ATCAAGTAGTTCTTTTTACTTAGATAATTCTTGATGTTTTTTTGTCTTAAGTTTCTCAATTTCATTTTTATATAATTCTATTTCCTAATCCAATTAAATGTTGAGATCCATTTACTGTTATGACTTTCTTTTCAATTCAGTCAGTTCTTTTAATGCACGTTCACATTCATTTTTAAAGTCTCTATTTTATCTGTCTAATTATTAATTTAATTGACTAAGAGAGTCATTCCTTGATCTCATATCATTTATATCTGAGTTTAATTGTTTATATCGTTGATCACATTATTACAAATTTTCTTTGGTAAGTAAATTCTCTTTCAATAATTATTGTTCTTTGGATTGTAATTCCTTAATTTGCTTATTGAACTTATCATTTTATTGTTAATATTTCTAATTTTGAAATTTAAATTTACTTGAAGTTATGTTTCTGAAGCTTCTAACAAATCCTACAGTTCCTAAATTTCTCTTATTTGTTATAATTGAAATTCTCTTTATTTAGAATCAAACTCCTATATTATGGTCTCCTCCCTTTCCAAAAACTCTCGTTTAATCTAATCATTCAGTGCCTATTCTTATCTTAATTCTGCTTATAAACGATGAATCTCATCTGTAAACTATTTGGAGAAAGCTTCCAGAGTGATTTCTTTGATTCTATTAAACACTATGCTCTTGGAGTCCCTATTCGATTCAATAGCTTAGTCATGTAAAATCTTCGTTGAGATATCCAACAAGCACTCTAAGCAAACTAATTATCAAGATATTACATTCTAATTGAGATTGACTATTAAATAGTTTAGATGATGATAGCATGTTTAACGTATATATAAATATGAAAAAATTAATTGTTTTTTCAATTAAATATTGTTTTTTAACATGCAAGCGAATTCACAAAAGGTTCCACCTACAACCAATAGAAAATGATAAATTTGAGCATATTTGAGGTTGATAATAAATCTGTAGAGCAGATGATGATGGAATTGAAATTCAAAAACAATTGATTAAGGATTATTAAATATTTTGGATAAGAAGTTAAAGGTGCTATGATTTAATTTTTATTAAATGATAATCCTCTTAAATCTGACATTATTATACCATATACCACTTTTGCTCTTTTATCTTAGAACAAGAGATGATATATTAGATTGATTTTATTCGACTTTGAATTTTGGAGGATCCACAAAAAATATATTTAAAAGCAGGAGTTGAAATTAAATATTGTTCATTTAACAAACTTTCCACTGCTCTTCTCTACCTCCTACTATTATGAAATCCGCGGAGAAGATCAAATAGAATTTAAGAATATCAATCAAAATTGTAAATTTCTTGAATACTAAGGAAAACTAAGAATAGACTAATCCAAGCTCCTATTTGTTATGCGCAAGAAGACCCAAGGTAAATTGAGAATAAAATCAAATATATTGATAGCTTTTTAGAATTTCTTTTGCTTTTTAAATAAAGTTAATTCTACATATATAATTTCTGTATTCTGAATAAATACTATTAAATATTTTAAATGTTTTAAATAACTATGAAGATGCTAAGACAATTCTAAAGGAAATGAACTTTTCTCATATTTAAAAAATAATCTAATGCCTTTGAGTTATTTTATATTATAAAAAATTAAATAAAAATCTTGTGACCATGAATTTTTGGTGTTTTTTAATGTTGATTCTACTTCAGCAGTCCTACTCTAGATTTTTTGGACTAACTAATAAATTGAGTAGTTAAAAACTAAAAGTAATAATATTACCTCACTCACATGATGATGTAGGTTGGTTAGATACTGTTGATTAAATATATTTAAGCGGACCTGGTGTTAAAAACATTATTTCTTCATATGTTAATGCATTGCTGGAAAATAAGGATAGGAAATTTGTTTAGGTGGAAATTGTATACTTTGAGAGATGGTGGAATGAGTAGAATGTTTTGATGTAATAGAAAGTAAAAGGTCTAGTGGAAAATGGTTAATTGAGTTTTGCTGCAGGAGGATTGGTGATGAATGATGAAGCCACCCCATATTATGAAGACATTATAGATTAAATTACATATGGACATGAATTCTTATTCAAAACATTTAATTTGATTCCGAAAGTTGGATGGCAAATTGATCCATTTGGACATTCAAATGCATAGACCATTTTATCTTATTTATTTGGTATGGAAGCATCTTTTTATGCGAGAATCGATTATTAAGATAAAGAATACCGGTAGAAGCATAAAGAATTAGAAATGATTCACGTTCCTTACACAACAAGCAAATAAAATTATCCAATCTTAATACATGTCAATTATTATCATTACTCCAGTCCCCCTCGTTTTGATTTTGACCCATTAAGAAATTCAGGAGGTTATGTGAATGATCAAAATGTCCAATAGAAGGCTGATGATCTAAATTAATATTTCGTAAGGCAAGGTTAGTATTACAGAGGCTAAATTATAACTCATACTCTAGGCGATGACAATGAATGGTCAAATTCGAAATCCTATTATGAAAATATGGAGAAAGTGATTAATTACATAAACTCTCATCCAGAAAAGTACAATGTTGTAATTAAATTTGGAACTCCATAAGATTATGTCAAAGAAATCAATGAATATTCTGATGAGATATTCTATCCAACCAAGAATGATGACTTCTTCCCTTATGCTGACAAATAACACTGTTATTGGACAGGGTATTTCACCAGCAAAATAGCATTTAAGGGTTTTGTCAGATACACTGGGAGATATTTCTAACAGCTGAAAACCTTTGTTTCATATTAATTTGCTACCAGCAATTAGGACATATTAGATCTTAAACAACCACTCTTAAAGGCATTAAAAGAATTAGGCTATGCTTTAGGAGTATCTTAACATCATGATGCTGTTACAGGCACATCAAAGGATCATGTGACTAAAGATTACGTTAAGATGCTACATAGGGATTTGACCACAATGAACAAAGAATTCCATAGATTAATGAAGATTGTTATTTAAAAGGATTTGAAGGAGAAAAACATTGACTCCCTCTATTAATATTCATACAATTCCACATCATCGGAATGCGCTGAAATCTATGACAATCTGTAGAATAATAAGACTATTCTATTGACAGTTGTAGATACTAAAGTAAATGAAGATGATTAAGATATCATCAAAATTAAGGTACCTAAAATGTCTCTTAATGTCATTGATACCCAAAACAAACCAATTTAAGGAGATGTTATCTGTAGCAATCCAAAAGATGAGTAAGATTGCACACTCTATTTCAACTACAAAATCCAAAAAGGAGTTCAATATTACAAAATCAAATAAGGTAAGAATAATGAAGAATCATCTGCAAAGATAATTCCTTCAGAAACTTATACTAACATCACTGCCAATACTAAAATATCACTTGATAATGGACCTGAATTTTAGTTGTAATACAAATACTATGTTGCTTCCACTGATAATGTGTAGCCTAGTGGTGCTTACATTTTTAGACCTTCAGGAGGAGCCTAAGTTTATGGATCCATTTCAGAGGTTAAGGTATATAATGGAACGGTTGTGACTGAGTTGAATATTGAACGATCTAATGTTAATACATGGATAAGGAAATATAAGATATAGGACAATCAATATGAAGTGGAAACATTCGTAGATTCTATTGCAAAAGAATAAAATAAAGGAAAGGAAGTTATAGTCATCTTTAAGAGTGAAGACATCAAAAATCAAAAAGTATTCTACTCTGATTCAAATGGAATGGATTTATAATAAAGAAAAATAGGATTTCGTGAAACTTGGAGTCTTTAAAGTAATGAATTTGTTGCTGAAAACTATTATCCAATAAATGGTGTCATCTAAATTAAGGATCATGCCAGTCATAATGTTATGGCAGTCGTTAATGACAGATCTTAAGGTGGATCCAGTTTCAATGATGGAGAAATTGAAATTATGATTCATAGAAGAATGTATTCAGACGACAGAAGAGGAGTTGCTGAAGCATTAAATGAAGAAGAGGATAATCCATTATGTAAAAATCAAGTCTAATAAAACTGTTCCAAATTGGTTGGACTTAGATAGAATATCATTCATAAATTGTTATTCTTTGATCAAGAGAAGAATCCAAATCTAGCAAGAAAAGCCTAATTATATTTAGATTTTCAACCAATTAAAATATTTGCAATTGATTCTCAAGATTAATTCACTGAAAATCTTGAAATTCAATAAACCTAATCTCAATTGAACTAAATTTAAGTTGCTAATCCAAATGGAGAGGCTATTATCAAACTTTACTTGATACCAAGAGAGGAGAACAATGAATATTTACTTAGAATCCACAATATGTAAGAATAATCCAATGTCAAAATTTCATTCCCTGATGATATTTCAACATAAGAAACTATTTTGAGTGGTCTTCGATAATGGTCAGAATAACAAAAATTAAGATTTGGTAATTACTATATATATATATATTAGTTTGGAAAAAAAATGAAATTTAAGATTCTATTTATGTACCATTAGATGAAGTTGCTCCATAGCAAATTAAGACATTTGTAATTAAAATTTGAATGGATATATTATAATGTGATTATTAAAAAAATACATGTAAGATCGAAAACTTCTTCCTATATATAAAATTATTCTAATGTCCAATTATCAATTAATTAAATTACTTATATTTCTATTTTCCAAAATTTATTGATTCAAATTTTTCTTTTTCATTTATATATTGAAAATTCAAAAACAGTACCAACCTTTCTGTAAATTTTGAATGCATGTTAAGCCTGATTTCTCTTCACCCTTGTTTAAAAGCCTATAAATAGTATATGATATTGATCTCATCATATATTAGAATAATTCTTGAAATATCTAGAGTGGACTATTTGATTCCATCTCTAGTTAATTGGGTTTATAAATTCTGTTCAAATAAGATTAGTTACAATATTGTTATAGATTATTAATGTTTGCTAATTAAGAGAAAAATAATGTTAATGTCATACAAAATTTAAGTAAACAAATTAAGATCATAACTTTAGTCATTATTACATACCACTCTCAGGGTTATAACAATATTAGTTAAATTATTCTTAAATATTAATAATAATGATACCATTAAGAGTGTTATTTCTGAGAATAGCAAAATTATCATCTTGAGGGGTCTCTATAGAATCAAATGAGCAACCAGATTTTGAAACAGGTTTTGGCTTATAAGGGGCAAGCATTATCTTTTTTGATAATAAAGTCCAATCAAATTAGAAAAACCATGGATGGTTTTTAACATCATTAGGATTATAAGAACCTAATCTATTGCTTGGCTTTCTTTAAATTAACTAATACTATTAATTTGAGTTACTTGATTGACAAAATCTGCTGCCTCAAGAGACCAAGCTACTGGCAAATCCATCCTTCTCACTTAAACCTGTTGACCAAGAATTTACTCGCGTATTTCCTATCTTGTTTTTCCAACATAAGGTCGTTTACCAAGCATGCATTCATATACTATAACTCCAAGCGCAAAGAAGTCTGCAGCAATCCCATGGTTTTATCTACAAATTACTTCTGGAGCCATATATCCTGGTGTACCACTTACATCTGATGAGTTTTCAGGTCTCCAAATTCTTGCAATCCCCATATCTGTAAGTCTCAAGTATCCTTTGTCATCAAATACGAGATTCTCTGGTTTTAGATCTCTATGAATTATTCCTTACTAATGTAAATAGTCTAAACTCGTAATTATACAGGCAGCAAAAAATTCTTAAAATGAACAATTTTTCATACTCACTTCTTATTCCGAGAACCTTTTGTTTCTGTATATATGATATCTGAGATCCCCTCCAGTTAACAAATCTAACACCAGGTATAAACTTTCCTTATCTTGGAATGCAGAGTGCATATTCACAATAAAAGGGTGTCTTAGTTAGATTAGAAGATTTTTCTCATTCAAAATCGCTGTAATGCTCTTTTAATTAATTATTCTAGCTTAGTTTGTAATACATACTTTGCCTTAGACATTTTTTTGATTGCAAACAACTGATTATTCTTTTTTCTTTTGACTTTGAGAACTCTTCCAAAGCCACCTTTGCCTAAGACTTCTAGGATTTCGTAGTTTCTTATAGATTACACTGAGATATAATTAACAAGCTTACTAGCTTCTTAAAACTCTTCCTTCTGGCCTAAGACATTGCAATTTCCCATAATGTGAAAATTAAATATTAAAGTCTAAATCATATATTATATTATCATATTTAAATGTTATAGATCATTTTAGACCGTTATTCAAAGTTTCTCCAATTAAACTGATCCATTTTTTAGCATTTTAAGACTAATAGACTAATATTTTATTTTTACTTTAAAAATATATTTTTGTTTTTCATCAATTATGACAAACTTATCTTGTTTAAGCAATTAGTATTTCAAAAATTAAGTAACATGAATTACAGTCTTTTTGTCATTCAACTTTGGATTTGTATAATGAATTGAAGGAATATCATTAATAATTTATAATACCAGGAGTCTTGGAGAGTAGTATGATATGAGGACTATTATAAAAATGATTTTATTTAAATTTTACATCCAGAATCTTTTTCAACCATTTCCTAAAAGATAATTTTTGATATTGGTTCTTAGACAAAGGTTTTTGATTTTCTTTAATCTCTATGGATTTGGAGAGGCTGAGGTGGATTCATTTACCACAAGGAAGTAAAATCAATATCAGCAAAATAGGGGTGACTTTTAATTTTGGAGTAATCGACCAATCTATCATTTAGATCCTTCTCTAAAAATAGCTTCATCAAATCCTGGGCTTATTTAGGAATGCTCTTGACAATAAATGAATAATTTAAATACTTATGGAAATATAATTTGATCTTTCACAATTTTTTTATATAAGTCCTCTGAGTCTTCCTAGTTTTCTGTTTTGAATGGTATGGTTCCAGTATACATTTTATACATCATGATGGCTAGTGCCCATAAATCTGTCCCTGGACCTACTGGTTTATCAGAAATCATCTCAGGAGTCAAATAGGCATTTGTGCCTACAAAGCTATATTGTCTTCTTCTCTCGGTATCTACAAAGTCTTTTCTGTAATTCTCTATGGCTTAAACTATTTTTGGTGGAACCTTTTCCTAATCATAGATGACTGCAGTTCCGAAATCTATTAATTTAAGATGCTTCTCCTCAGTAATTAATAAATTTTCAGGCTTGTCTTAAAATGTAAATATACTTTTATGTCTCTATGCACTATCCCTTTTGAATGGATATATTCTAGAATGGATACAATTTCAGCTGTATAAAATTAAATAATTTGATGAGTCAACTTTTAATCTATATTAACATTTATTTCATACTGCCATAAAGCTTTAAAAATTCACCAAAACAATCCGATGCTAATTCAACTAAAAAATACAAATTATTTTTGTCTTGAAATGTAGAATGCAATTTAATTATTCCATCATATTTTAAATATTAAAGCATCTCTTTCTCAATGTATGCATGATGTTGCTTTTTATTCTATCTCATAGATATAATTGATACCAATTTCATAAAATTTTTATCTATTATTTTAATTGCATAGATCGGACATTGATTACTATTGCCTTTTTAAAGATCTTCCTTCTTTTGGCAGCTGTATACAGTACTGTAAGCCCCATCACCCATCTATTAGATCTTGATAAAATCTTCAATGCTTATTTTCCTTCTGATTGGAGTCTCTGTTTCTTACGAATTTTATATCATTAATATTATTATAAACTCTAACTAACAAAATCAGGTCTAGTATTATTCCGCACATGAGGCTCTTCATAGATTATTTGTGATTATGCAAAATAATCGTTTTCTACTTCACACTTAGGCGCGGGAGCAGAATGGAATTGGTTCTGATTTTAGTACAATCTTTAGCTAGATTAAGGTATTTATTATTAATGGAACTGATACTAAGATGGTACTTAATTGAAAGGTGTTAATGGAATAAAATAAGGTTGTTATTGATACTGCACCGCATTTCTAGCTGGAGAAGCGAATTAGGGAACTATAACTTATTATTTTATAGGTTGAACAGGGAATTATCCTAATTATCCTTTCTCTTCTTGCAACGGCAATTAAATGATATATTTAAGTCCCTCATGCAGTTTTTAAACAAACTTCTCTATAGATACTTAAAGGTTCTTATAATCTTATTTCCATTTACTATCCACGTAATCTAAAAATCCATTCACATCTTAAACCTCTTTGGAATTCAAAGTTTCCATTTGCATATCGAATAGTTTACAAAATTCAATGGTAAAAGCATTGCTAAAATAGACTTTTATCATTTTCAAGTAGTTATCTTTCATTAAATTTAAAAGATAAATTCTACAAATTATTTAATCGAATTTACTTTTTATTTACAATTTCGGCTTCCTTATTGTTTTTTAACTCATATTCTTTATGATTTACATAGGTTTATATCTTTTAGAATGCTTCTTCAATATCATTTCCCATATTTTCTGAAACTTTTAATTGTTGATTTACTTATTCTAACTCATTAATTACTTTATTCCTCTCTTCCTAATTACTTAATTTAATCTCCTTTTATTTCTCCAGAAACTCTTTCTTAAAAACATCCATCTTTTTTTACACTACCTTCAAATTTTTTTCTACAACAGTTTAAAAATAAGCATTCTCATTTCTAATTCTATTTTCTTCTTGAATTAATTCAGATTCACCTTTAATTAAATATTTCAATCCAGGACCTAAATTCCTGCTGTTACTTTAATATGTTTACAATACTCCATTTTCTAATAAATTTGAAAGTTCTTCTAACTTTTAAATTACAATTCAAATTTACTTTATGTGATTTCTCATGAATCTTGACTGCACATGGTGAGCACATTACTCGTTGCTAACACTGTTTCTCTAAACAAACCCAACTGATTTTTTATTTAGGATGTTGAGTGCATGTTTAATCGAATTCCATTTTGTTAATGATAATATATTATAAATTGTTTTATACAATTAACTGTCAATACTTTATAACCCAGTTTATTTTAATCTATTTAATTAATTTCAACAGCTAATTTTTATCAAATGGATCCCAATAACTCAAGAAAGCCATCTCAAAATGCCAGAGCCTTGACTCTTGCTGATCTAGACTAACAATCAATATCAGAGGACTCTGCTATGGACTTGGATTAATCACAATTGCACAGATTGGGAATCGATATTAGCAATATATAAGCAGCTGATGTGACTTAGAATGATGAACCTAGCAAATCAATTATGCACTTTTCTAAGAAGAACAGTGACTCAACTACCAATGTTGACTTAACTTAGCACATATTCTAATTTAAACAAAAAATTTAGGATCTGCAATTGGAATTAGGATCTGATCGATCTGATCCTTACGAAATTTCTATACATTCATTTAAGAATCAAGAAGACAATTCGCAAAATAAGGGATTGTGTGTTTCAGAAGCACTTGGCACAAACATTCACTCTTAAAATTAACTGAAAAATTAGGATTAATAAAATTCAACGTCGTATTAATTCAAGGCTCCAAACACATCTTTATCATCTGGAGGTCTTAGTTACAATCTCCCGCATTTAAATTCAACTGGGAACAAAGCTCCTCTTAATGCTAATCCAATTGGAAACCTTTATGAATAGTTAGAATATCATAGATTGAAATTTTATGATTCTTACATGCCAGAATAACATAAGGTGCTCAATAATCCACTCAAATTCCTTAAATATAAATTGCATTAACAAAATAGATATGCATTCGATCATTGTTTAGATTGCTTAATTCATTGAAAATGATATATACATTTAATTAACTTTAAGTAAAACCTATTTCCAATTTTATTAATAATTTCTTAATTTGAATTTCTCAGGCTTAGGCTATTCTGTTAGTTTTTCTTATACCAAATTAATTCTTGAAGTCAATAAGAAGAAGAGGATATTATTAGTATTCTTTCTAAGAAAACCAAATATTTAAAACAAAATAGTTTAAAGATAATAATTTCAACTTTTCCTTAAAGTTTCATTCCAAAAGTTTTTGTCATATTTATACAATTAATCAAAATTATTAGGAATTCTGTATTTTGTTAATTGCAATTGCGAGTAAAAGGGGATTGCTCAATAGGGAGGTCTTTGGATATGGCAAACTAATTATCAATCCTGTTTGAAAAATAAATAAAAATTAGAAGTTAATTTGTCCATATTTTAAATTAAATTTGATTTAATACAATTTTGATATAATATGAAAAGATCATGATCAAGGATAAGGTCTATAATATGAAGGCATCATTTGTGACATCTAGAAATGACATGATAATTGATACCATCTATTATAATTGGTGATATTAATAAGATAGTTAGGAGTAGTTCTGAGTTAATTATTATTTTTCCTATTGCAATTACTGTACTCGGCCTTATAATAATAAATTCTAATATTTATTAATTTAAGTTTATTTACCTATGTGTTTAATTATTAAATAAATAGGGCTTAACTCCTATTGGTCTCTTCTGCTTATTGATAAAGATTTGTTTCTAAATTATCTTACACCACATCAGCTTTTTTTGGTGGTTATTCACCATAATTTGGTTTATCAGAAGTGGCTAAAAAATTTAAATTTTGTAATTACTTTGGTTTAGAGTTTCTTACTTCGTTTAGAAGGTTTTCTTGTTCTCCCTCTTTATTTTCTTTGAAGTGCGACCCTCCTTTCTATAAATCTGCATAATTGCCTTAGCAGTTGAAAAATTAATATTTAATTCCTTAGCTGCGCTTTTTATAGTGCAGCCTGTTGTAGTCACTTGCTTTATCAACTTCTGTCGTTATTCATTTGATATTTTGGCATATTTTAAGCCATGCTTTCCTATTAATTTATTTTTTAAACTTACCTCTATATCTATAAAGAAGCTCCTTCTCTTCTTCAGGAGTTCTCTTAAACGAGGGCTTTTAGTTTAAGTCCTGTGCGAAATCATATGAAGAGTCAGAAGAATCAGATCCATGCGATGAAGTTGAAGAATCATCTTGTAGCATTTATTAGGGATTCTCTACCTTGGAAAGCTGCTCTATTGATGCCATACAATTTGAATGTATCAATTTAAAACAATAATTGAAAAAAAATGTTGATATATCGGCATTTATATTCTGAAAATTTAATGTATGCTTATAAAAGATATGATAATATAAAAGTCTCTATTAATTCATATATATATAATTAATTGCATTTCAAATTGAGAATGCAATCTATTCTAATAAAATGAATTCAATATTAGACTCCATCTTAGATATCGTTGTAATAACAATAAAAAATATGTAATAGTCTCACACTTTCCGTATTTAGATGGAATTTTCTACAGACATAATTACGAAACAAAAAGCAAATAGACAAGTTTTAAACCTCTAGAAGTACAAAGTCCATGTAGATTAGATAAAAAATAGCATTTTATAATTTTAATAAGAATTAATTTAAACCATTCTTATTTTTAAAAAAACTAAGAAACTTTCGAGCTTGTTAAAGTAATTGTCCAATATAATTTAGTTAAAATAAAATAATCAACTTTTCTAGTGCAATCCACGCTTGCTTGTTTTGGTTTAATTCAACTTCAAATTTTTTTTATCTATGACTTTCTTATTAGACGGTGAACGACTTAGTGATTTTTTGCTGTTATTTTTTTTATCTGTTTTAAGATTGTCTTTGGCTGATAATTTAGGTTTCATAATGGATTCTCCTTCTGATTGTTAAGCTACTGATTTTCTTGATTATCTAGAAGGTTGTGCTTATTATAAAACTTTTTAGTGATTAAAATCAGAATGTAAATTTTGCACATTACTCTTTAAGACATCTTAATCTTTTAATAGATTGTCCATTAGTAATTTCAAATCACTTAACTATTATTCTACTATCTTATCATGATGTTATCTCTCAGTATCTTGAATCTTGATTTACGGATCTGGTTGTTATTCAAGTTTTGTTATACGTTGCTCTAATTTCTAATAATCTACTTTTAATGCGCTCTATCGAATTTCACTCATCATCACATCGATTTTACGATTCACCGATTTCTCAAACTACTCAAAAGCCGGCTATTAATCTTTTAATTAAGTAGCTTCTAATAACTCTAATCGATATTAGGTTTCATGTAATTGTTGATTAACGTTTCTCAATTCATTATGATATAATTCCTCCATTTTTGTATTTATGTGTCGAGTAATCTTACCGTTTTCTTATTCTTGGGTCTCTGCAAAATTTTACAATAGTTTAATTAACTTAATGAAGTTCTTCAACTTTTCATCATGGTCTTCAATTAATTATTCTATTCCTCTCATTCTCTATTCATATTTCTTATGAACCATGGTCGCTGCCTACCAATTACATATACTTATACTTTTTCCAATTGTTGTTCTAGATATTAAATATAATTTTCTTTATTGTGATGGAGCATTTTTCTATCTTCACTCGTCGTCTTTAAAATGGGGGACACGCTCCTTCTATGCTTATCAGAGTAGTTAGAATGATTCATCAAAATATCTGAATTAAATTACTGTTATTATTATTAGTTTGTTAAGAAATATTAATCATATTTATTATTAAATTAATCAAAGAAAATAACAATATTCAATTTTTAGTTTATTAATTTTGAAACAATTATTAGGCAATACTTAGGATTCCAAAAATCTATAATTTATTCTTACTCAACACTTTCAAGTAATCCATAGATTTGTGGGATTCCAAGATTAATTCTTCCTAAAATTAATATTAGATTTTACTTCTTCTGAATTTGTCAATTGGGTTTTTATTAATAGAAAGGGGAACTTAATTTTGTCTTATTCATTGATTTCCCTTTCTTTATTAAACCTAATAAAATTTTGGAGTGCTTCATGCTTTTTTATAGAGCTTGTTAACTATTCTTTCTTTTATAATAATAATTCCTTTAATTTTTACTGTTAAATTAAATAATTAAATATACTTTTCGAATTATCAAATTCTATTTTGTTATGTTGACTTAGTTTTATGTATTCTTTCTCATCATTTTCTTCTCCTTAACTACTATTCCAACTGAAATCATGACATTTAAAGCATCGTAAACTCTCCTTCTTAAATTTTTGACATCTTTTAATCCATAATCTTAATGGCCCTCCATTTCCTTTGTCATCTCGTCCGTTAGCTTTTGGCATATTTCTGAGTATCCGACAGTTTGATTTTGGAGTTCCTTTTCCACTCTCTTGCTTATGTACTTCAGACTCCATTTTTTCAATGATTTTGGAGAATTAAATTAAATTTTGCTAATTTCAAATGGCTCGCTCTGGACAAACAATTTCTTATTAGTATTTGCTTGAGAATCGCAGGGGTCTTCAAAATCTAAAATAAATAAATTTGCCACCAAATTATAGTATAAGCGCCAAAATTAGTGCGCGTTTATATATGGATTAATTGAATCAATTCATGATGTAAGTGTTAAGATTTTATACCTTTAATAGTACCCTTTACAGGTGTCTGAAATACATTGAAATTCAAAGAATCCTCATCGAGTCTGAATTAACCTGTAAAGTCCATAATGGATTAATAAATTATATTAATAATATTTTACTAATTAAATACTATTAAAAAAGTTTTTAAGCATATATATTTGGATTTTCTATAGAAATTTGATCTCTTTTTTAGGCTGATTCTTGATAAACAAAAAGAATAATTGGAGAATTTAAAAAGAATTGAGAATGAGAAACATTCATTTTTCTAATTATTATATAATATGTTCTTAAATATAATAATAATACTAATAAATTGATGATTTCATTTTCTTGGTTTCTCTTAGTTAGCTAATATAATATATTAAAATAATACGATCGAATCCAAATTAAATGGATGAGGTCTAAAGGAATCCTCCTTAATTTGTTTAAGGTGCTTGAGCAAAGAATCCACCTAAGGTGTTGGGTCCACCTTGACTCTGTAGATTAGTAAAATTAATTTCTAAAGTAATAGGGTATTGATACTTTATTAAGGTGGTGGAGCTGTATTCCTTTAGTCGAATACACTGCTTGTACTTCCAAAACTGGATGAATTGATTATAAGAGGCCCAGGTTGACTTTATTACTATAATCCTATGGAATTTTGCATTCCTTAAAATGGTTGATTACTACAATTTTAAAATAATGAAGTAGGTTGAGTTTAAGAGTAAGTAGTAAAATTAACATCTGACTTTTATGAGTTGAACATCGAAGAACCTAATTATAGAGGAGCTTGTGCTTATGCTTATGGCTAGATTAAAGGTTCCTGTTAAGTCACATTATTGGCTGGTGTTACTTAAATTTCACTTGTTTAACCAAAAGCAAATAAAGGTGTTTGTTATGGTACTGGAGCTGGTGCTGGTGTGGATGTCTTTGGAATTTGATTTTATTCTTAATTTTCTGGTTTTTATAGATTTTATAATAGACTTTGAGATTCTTTCTTTGAATTTTAAGGCTAAGTAGCTTCTTCTTTCTTTTTATTTTATTCATTTTGTGCAACATCTTTGGTTTCAGTTTTTATTCCTAAAAAGCTAGTGGCAGATTCTACATTAGGAGTAAGTGAGGAGAAAAGGGATTTTCCATCTCCAAAATTAGTATTAAATAGGGAGGGCTGACTTGGTTTTTAAGATTACTTATCAGTAAGGTTTTCATTTGAATTTAGGTTAAGCAATTTATTTGAATTTTAAGTTTGTTGGGAAGTATTTTATGCTATAATATTTGATTCTTAATTGGGTTTATCATTTTCATTGAGTGTTGGTTGCTTTTAAATATTTGAATTCTGAGCAGACGTATTAGATTTATCATCTAGTTTTAGATCTTTAAACAATCCAGTAGTATTATTTAGAGTTTATAATCCAAACATACCTACTTCTTAATTACCTTCTGTTTTTAAAGATTATCCAAATATACTTTTTTCTTAATTACCTTCTGTTTTCAAAGATTGTCCAAAGATACTTTTTTCTTGATTAACTTCTGTTTTCAGAGGTTATCCAAACATGCTTTTTTCTTAATTAACTTCTGTTTTTAGAGGTTATCCAAATAACGGTTTAGTAGATTCTTTTAGATTATCCTTTTGTTTAGAGGGATCAATTATTTGAGATTCAACCATATTCATTTCACGCACACTTTAGAAATCTGATTTAAAAGGATTGATTGATTCTTAATCTGATTCTTGACTTAAAAAGCCACCCTTTGTTCTAGTCAATCCTTTGTTATTGATTTCAAATAATTATTATTATGAATTGGCATCACTTTTCTTTTCAAGTCCCTTATCATTATCTTCAAACAACTTAATATTTTTCTTTGATGTATCAATTGGTTGATCTTTTCGTTATGACTGAGTAGGTTCAATTTTTTAATTCCTTTCCATTTGACTTTTCAAAGTACCAAGCAGAGATGACCCATTATCTGTTTAAGCCTAAATAGTTTTAACTTGGTCTTTCGTATTTGAAATTTTAGTTTGCATATTATTATTGTTTTCATACAGAGAGTCAAATATTTGTTGTTTTTAAGAAAATCTTGAGTGAGGTATTCCAAAAGATGTTGTGGACATCGCATTTAAAGGAAGACTTAGATCATTAATCTCCTTACTGGTCTCATTACATAATTGTAAATACTTGACATTGGATTTGTGAGCTTGACATAATTTTTCAATGAATGCCATTTGTAAATCAACCTTTGGTTCTTAATCGCAAAATTCTGAGAATACGATCTTCCTTCCGATTTTAGTTTTTGGATTACTTTATTATTTTTTGGGTGTAATATGATGAATACTAGGAAACTCGAATTCTCCAAAAGTGATTTTATTCCTCTTAATGGGATTCATTTATAGAGTGTTAATTACAAAGTTACAAATCCATGAGAATTGTTCTTCTACTTTTGATAATGAGGCTAGAGTCTAATGAATATCATCATAACAGAATCTAAATTTTGGAATGTCAAATGATTTTCTAAGTAAACAAAAGTCTTAGACAGAAGAACTCTCCAAAGTTTTTTATTTCATCAATTTTCTATTGTTTTATATCTAAGTATATTGAGCACTTAATTCATCCAAAAACTTTTGGGATGTGAATATTGAGAAGTATGGCTTCATTAGTAGATCCTCTTCTTCCTCTCCATTCAATTACTTCATGGATTGCTTACAAAATTCTGATAATTAGTATGTAATTTAGGTGACCCTCTTTGGTGGTTAAGGTTATTGATTGATCAATTATCTTGATACTTCATTTTATTATCTGTCAGGTGTTTTTTGTTATTCCAATTATGATATTTTTTGAGGGATAGGTTTGTCTTCAAAAACCTACAAGAGTGGAGTTGAATCATCCAATTTATCTAATTTTACTAACAATAACCTATGAATGGTTAGATTGCTTTTTTCATCGAATTCATATATCAATATTGAAGGCTGCATCTAGTACTGAAATTCTTTTTGTTCTTATTTTGCTTTACATAAGCCTGGCTTATTCCCTAATTTTTCTTCGTTGGGTAACACATATTTAAGAGTTGAGATTCCTTTAACAAAATGAGTGTAGGAGGAAAGTTAGATGGGTTCACCCTTTTCATTATCAATAGTACGTAAGTCATTTCCACAGACCTAGAATACAAATCCTTCCTAAACTCCATTGGGAAATATTATGATGATTTTGGCGTTGGGTGTATTTACTGATGTTATGTTCCAATCAAAATTAGTGATTTAGGTTTAGATATCGTTGATGTTAAGATTGGAGAGTACGTCATTCAAATGTAATTCTGATTTTGCTTGATTTCTTTCTGCATCGTAATTAAGTATAAAATGATTGAATTCATACTCGTCAATGGTGGCAAAAGATAAATAAATGTGATTCTCATGCAATTAGGCAATAAAATACTCCTTAGATTATACTATTTCGATATCGATTTGGACTAATTATTTTGTGACAAAGTCCTTCAATATATATAATTAGTCATCTATTATTAATAACAATTGTATTTATCCATCTAATTATAATAGACAACCCGCATTGCCTCTATGAGAAACCTTCTATTATAGGCTGTCCTTTTTATACTCATACAATATTTATTACACACCATCCTAGGAAATGGTCAACAATAGATATTAATCTTAAACCTAGACTCTGCTTATATTATTGTGATTCAAGAGTAGTTTTACATTCCATTGAGTATCTTAGTAGTTGACCAAGTATAAGGAAGTGTTGGTTTATATCAATATCTTATTCTAAAATAGGAATAGACTATTAATAAGTTCTGCTGGATTAGAAGTAACCCTTTGAATTTACAATTTGGGTTATTATTATTCTGAAAGTATCTATTATACAATAATTGGCGTAAGTATTATAATCTCTCTTTCATGTCCTATGATTTGAAAATGTTGATAATCGATGACTAAATTAGCTGAAGGATTCTTGTTCTGATGTAACCGAAATTAATAATCAATTCTTCCTTTACCAAAAACCATTTGAGAATCTTTGTTTTGTGTAATCAATTATAAATTAAAGGGTGGATTAGCAATAATGTTCATCTCCTTCTTCTCACATTCAATCAACGTAAACTTGATATCATCCAAACCTTTTTATTACTTTTGAGATCTATTAGATTACAATTGAGGATTCTAAAATAGATTTTAACTATTCTAAAATATGCTATTTTAAAGTTATGGTTGGTTAACCTGATATTCCACAATTTTTTTAAAATTGAAGAATTCATACATTTGCAATCCTCCCTTTTTGTCTAAGATGCAGATATTAGGATTTCGTTCTATGCTACGAAAGTTCTTTTGGTTCATACCGAACCCAATAAAGGGATTGGATTTATAAGTGACCAATCCTCTGATTTCTGAATGTTGGAGCAATTCTAATGTCTCATCTGAATTCTCATATCGCTTAGCTTGTTAACACAGTCTATCCAATGTCCAAAAGGTAGCCACTCTCAAATTACTACCGAATACTATGTATAGGTCACTTAGTTGTGTGATTCCAAAGTCTCCTTTGTTATTTGTATCTGCGATTAAGTCCACTTCTCTGTGACTGCCTTCTTTAATGGGTTGATTGCAAGTCATATCGAACCAAAAGACGTGGGAACTGTAAGTGGCTGGTTCCTCATCTTCATCGTCATAGGGCTCATATTTGGTTTCATAACCACAGACACAAATGAATTTATCTATCAAAAAGAGGGCCTTTATTGCTATGGGGATTGGAATAGTTAGTTCGTAGTTTCTTGATAGACTCTTAACAACGTTGGAGTTTTCGCAGATGTAATAATATTCTGAATCTTTGAGATAACCAGCAACTATCTTGTTGTCAGCTTTGAGAATTTGTTCTGTTTAATTAATTAGGTTTATTGCTATTAACTTATCAGACAAACAAAGGAAAAGCACATTATTTTAAATGTTTAGTTATTTAACATTGGAATAATTGTATGTTTTTTGGAGTGAAAACTAAAAATATTTAAATAGTTTAAATACATTTGAATTACTAAACTTATATAATATGATGGCATTTTCTGTTCTAACAATTAATTGGTTTTGATTTGGATGCATTGATATCACATTTCCAGATGTCACAGTATGTTATTGTTATGGCAAACAAGTTTAATACTTATCAGTTGAAAATAGATCTGATATTCGATCATACTATAAAATCTTTTGTTTGAAGGCAATCAATAATTTATCATTAATTATAGTAAATATGGAACTTGAATTGGGAGTTTAATTGGTAAATTAATTATCAGTGTTCTAGGAGTCCAATTTCCCTGGACCCACAATTGGTTCATATTCTTATAGTTTGTGTTTAATGCATTGTGCCCTAGAGTATGAAAATAGTATTTTACTTATTCAAAATAATCCATTAATCTTTGCAATCTGGGATGTCTCCTTTCTTTTGGTAATCCGATGTCAGAGAAATGCAAGCGTATTGATTAATTTTCATTTATAAAAATTTATTTAATTATTATTGCTCACTAAAAACAACAATAAAAATAGACCTCTTCATTTTAGGATATCTTAAAAACAAAATCAATATCAAACACTAACACTAACACTCACATCCACTCCTCATATGATCAATGGATATGTGGCATTTTCAATCTTCTTCAGATCTTCCCTTCTGCAATAACTCATTTGAGGAGTGATTTCAACCAAATCTTTCTCTTAGGTTCCTTCCAATTTCAAGTTCCTCTTATGTACATTAGACAACTATATTACAGCCTTTCTTGCATCATCTATGAGTAATGCAAAATCGTCTGTTTAATGTAGGATTGTTATGTCAGTCACTTCAATTATATCTTGAATGTGCTTTTCAAATTAGATATTATTTCCTCTTCTTATTGTATGATATCTTTGATTAAGTTTCAGTGCTTTCTCGTGATTCTATTTCAATGTATTGAGAAAAGAAACAGATAAATATAAATCATTCAAACACATTTGACCCAAGTTTTATGAATTCTCTTGTATTCCCTTGGCTTAATCTTTTATAGTCTGAAATTACTTGGCAAAATAAAATATTCTATCATCCAAAATTGAATTAGTTTCAATCACTTTACATAATGCATCACCCTTCTATTTACAAATGAGATTCAACATTTAGGGGTCTAATGGCAATCCAGCTAGATTGTCCAAACCCAAAAAATGAATATACTCCATGTTTGGAAATTTACTGAAATTATCTAAAACCCTTTTACTTTATGAATGAATTGAGTTATAAAAATATTGTACCCGTCCCCTCAGGTGTCATTACTGCTTGATTCTCTTACTCAAAAACTACCTATCCTTTCATATCAATCACAGGAAGAGATTTCTCAAATATAAAAGTGATGGACTAAAATCCAAAATCCCTTTTGCCTTTGAGATACATTTAGAATTTCTCACTATTTTAATCCGAAAGCACTATCGCAATAGGATAATCAACAATCTCCTGATTGTCAGAGGCTTAACCATTTAAATCATTTTAAATTACCTATCATAATCACCTTTTTCAGTCTCTCCATCATTATTTAAACCACACACTTCTTAGAAGGAAGTCCTATATCACTTAGCAGTTTATCATACAATCGAGAACTACGACCTCCGCATAAAAATACTATGCCCACCTTATGTTTCTTAAAAGTAATTCATCATTCTATACCTTTATCAAATCAAGATTCTACTCTTGACTATTGATACTCTGTACAACATTGCATGAAAACACATCTGGGTAATCTTGTTTATAACAATGATGAAATAGCTATATAACGTTATTAATTTTCTTTACAGAGTCTATGAATTCAAAATCTATGCGTTCTAATTTTGTCATGAACTATTGTTTTTTTTTACTATCCATCTTCTCCAACATATCTAAAATATGAGATTATCGAGAAGCAATCATTCTTTAAATTAAAGATGAAAATATCGTGTCAATCTGCTATTCTAAATTATTATTAGGTTTTACTTACAAGCGGCTATATTGTTTGCAATATTTTCCAGTTTCTAATAAGTTGAAACCCTATTAAAATCAAGTTTTTAATAATCTTGCTCTGAATTCTCTATTTTCTCAGCTTCATTTTGAGAAGTGCAAACTCCCATTTCAATAACAATTTACAATTAAAAATATATTTATATTATTTAGAATGAAAGCACTCAACAATTCTCGTATTTCATCTGAAACTATTGGAAATAAAAGTATTAGTTATCCCCAAGAAATATCAAGAAACTTTCCTAAATGAGTAGGCTAAACAAATGTAGTAGAAGATTAAAACGAATATTTAATTAATTCACCTAAATATGAAGGTATTTTAGATAGTTTTTATTTATTATAATCAATTTTTATTTTCTTAAATTTTTATTCATTCTCATAATGAATAATATTAATAGTGATGTAAACCTTTTTATTCACATTTTATTAAAGAAGTGATTAAACTTAATAAATAGAGTTTGAAATCAAAGAACTATTTGTATATTTTGTTTTCTTAAAAATAGATTCACAGAAGCAGCTTTTAAGCAGAATTAATTAATGACATATTGAATATGATTTTCAATTTTATTGATCTGACAATTTGCAATTAAAAATAAATTTCTAATCTTAATCTTGTTATTCTTCACATAAAATTTCTGTAATAATATAGAAACAGTAATATTTCTAAATAAAACATATACAAAATTCAAAATAAAGTATATGATTCACATATGACTGTAGTTAGTCTTGAAAATCTATTGGATCTACTCTGATTGGAACTAAGCTTGAGTGTGGATTGATTAACATAGAATATTGAAGTGGAGATAAAAAGTGATTAATTTTATATTAATTTAAATATGAAAATTCCCATAAATATACTTGAACAACCAAAAGAAATTGAACTACGAGTATTTAATATATAGAAGTCTAGATGCTGGAATTCATTCTGCAGAGCTCGAACTTCCTAGACGATTTGATGAAACTTGTTTCTGATCAAAGTCATCCAATCCATAAATTATCAAGAGGATCATTATGTTTAATTATTGATAAGCTTGATTAATATATCCAAATAGCAGTTGAACAAATTTAAAAAAATCCTAGTTTCAAATGTAATATGCTGCTATCCCTCATTAATTGTATGTTGGAATTAGAGTGTTATCGGTATTTCATTAAATTAGAATAGAAAATTGTTCAATTCATTAGAACATTTATTTAATATGTTGGAATATTCAGATAGTCTACTAGTCTATGAGTAGATAATGCTTATTTTAGTAAAAATCTATAAATAGCCTTCAAATTCAAACAATCCATAATAAAAAGATGTCTGCAATCAACAACAGATTGAATATCTTCCAAGAGCAATCTATTTTACGAGAATCCTCCTTGATCATTATAACAATTTGTCCTTCACCAAGATAGATTTATTGGATTATTTTAATCATGATCCTAATTATCAAACCCTTAGTGAAGTCCCAATTGAATTTCCTAAATTGGTATTAGAGTATATGGAACCAACATTGATGAATGAATCATATCAAGATTTGTGCAAGAACGGTATACACAAGAAGGAATTACATCAACCCATTTAAATTAGAGTAGTTGTCAACAATATAATTAGAATTTTGAAATAACTGATGTCAATTCCATTACGGCCCTAGAATTGTCCCAAACGCTTCTGAATGCACAAGGTCAAAACTTTTGTCCTCTACTTGACGCCATGAAATATCGGATCCTTATCTATAGAGGATATTAAAAAAATAAAATCCCCGCAATATCAATTGTAATAGTTTTGCACATACAATCACTTCTCATGTATATGTTACTGACGTAATTTTGCCAAATCAATAATTGTGGAGAACTATTAGATCAGATTTTTGAGGAATAATTAGAATATGAATAACACTTTAAAATATACATGAAATTGTTTTAATTAAAAACAATCAACCCTCAATTATTGTCCACTTTACTATTGACATTAGACGAAATAATAAAAATTGAACGACAGAATGAAAATGAAGTAGCTTTTAGTATAGCCAAAAATTACGATGAAACATTCCTATAATTTATTTATGATGCTTTGTCAATGCACCCTCTCTAAATTGAAACAGAATAAAGTTATCCATTATTATATTCTCCTACTCTTTTGAGTGAACCATGTGCAAAACATTAGAAATTAGCATAAAGTATTTTCGAAATATTTTCATCTGAACCAGGTGTACAATTATTAAGCAGAACTAATATAGCTCTTGGGTCATCCTCTGCTCTTATTAAAGCACTTTATATGCAAGATAATAAATTATTATTGCCTCCTGAATCCTTAAAAGCGGCAATCCTACTATTAAGCAGATTATCCAGAAAGGAGGATATCTAAAGAGATTTACGAATCTTTAATGATCTCCTTAAAATTGTAGAAAATTTGATTAAATGTAATATTGATATTTAAAAACCTACTTAAAATGGATATTCCAATATCACTTCCGAAGAGGCAGATTAAATTATTGCTGTCTGCATTTAATCAATTAATGAACATTTTAGAGATGATCTTGGCAGAAGACTAAATAGAGCTAATGCTCCATCTTTTGCTAGATAAATCTCTGAATCAATAATCATTAAATATCTATAAAAGTTATTTGAAAATTCTCCTCAATTCATTTGCTCAATCTAATAGACCTTAATTCTAATCTCTCATTTAGCTAATGAAGTTCCAACTTTAATTGGTAGGTTAATTGATTCAAATTTACCATAAACCTTAAATGAAATCATATCAAAAATGAGTATCGATATGATCAATTATAAGATTATGACAGCTATATTCTAGTTTTACTTTAACATTTCATTAAAAGAAGAAGGCTACGAAAAGTTCAATAAATCTGGAATGAATTTCTTGGAAAATATAGTAAATTATTCATTGATTGATAATCTGAACAGTCCAAGAGAATAATTATGCGGTTTAGCCTTGTGTATAACTAAATATACACAAAAAATCGATAAGGTTGGACCTTAGGTATGTGAAATACTCAATCAATCAGTAAAGAGATTATGGATGTGCTTAAACGAGAAGAAATAATAATTAACAATTTCTAATATTTATACATCATATTTTGAGATTATTACTCAAATATAAAACTTATCTATTTTAAGTTTTAAGATGTTCCATTACCCTCATTATACTTACTTGGCTGAAATGAATTCAAAAGGATTTTTTGATTCCTTATTGATGTTCTTTGAATTTCCCACATTTGATTTTAAAAATGACTTATTGAAAGTATTTCGGTGGTTAACTTCAGTTGATGAATATGAGAACCCTCATAAAATATTAAAAAAGACTTTGTTAGTTATAGATAAATGGGAAAACTCAATAAACCAGCCTACACATACTGTTAATGTTTTGTACTACAATGCTCAAAAGTTATTTTAAAGTTTTAGTTAGCAATCAATATAGGAAAATCTTTAAATGGCATCTATGTATTCTTAAATAGAATGCTTGATAGAAATTTTAAAGCTTTACTTAGTAAACTCGCCATAAATTAATTGGGAAAGAACAGATCTAATTAATTTACACAAGAAATGCTGCGGTTTATTCACAATCATTTTAGATTCAGTCATATTAAGTGATGATGATAATTAAAATGATCAAGCATTAAAAAAATCTGTGTTCTATTCGTATATTTAAAGTTTAAAGCATGTGATCGTTAATTCTTTTAATTTAATTAATAGAAAGAATAGTGAATTAAACACATTAGTAGCTTTGCTTAATTAGATGTGTTAAGAGTTACAAAATGATAATATATAGATAGTGATTCTGTATATATCATAAATTGATGAATTATTAATCAATCTTTTTGAAGGTAAAAGAGTGCCTGAAAATAAATATTTAAATTTAGATTTTATAAATTTGCTATCAAAATCACCTTTTACTAAATATTTTCAATTGGCAATTCATTAATTTACAAAAATGACACTTCAAAACAAAAATGATCAACTCAGTATTTTGTCCAAACATTTTTCCTCAATCATTAAGATTTTGTATATAAATAAATTTGAAAAATAAAATACTGATGTTGGATATTCATTATTACCATAACAAATTTCAGACATATAGGTTATGCTTCAAATAACTCAATTTTCTAATTCAGATGAGATTTCTAACATATAATAGATTCTAATTGAAAAAGTAATGATGATATTAAGTCCTACTTTTTTGTAAGATCTGATCATAAAAGAAAGAGAGAGGCTTAATTTCTTTACATTTTCCAGTTTACGAGATGATTTTGGCAACTTCAATGTGATATAATAAAATGAATCAGCCTAAGCAAGGGATTAATTAAGAGGCATGGGATTTTCAGATGATGCAATTTCATTGGCATTTTAAAATATAAGATTTCCTGATGTAGGCAGGGCTGCTGTGTGGTTATCGGATAATTAAGACAAGGTTGAATACAAAAAATTACAGTAGAAAGAAAACCAAAAGAATGTATTTTCTGAATTAATTCAACATAAATAAAAAGAACTCAAAATTTATATCAAAACTAATATACTTTTCTTTAATAAATTTGAGGAAACCTTATTCAAAGTATTCGATGGATAAATGATGCCTTCTTTATTGATGTGTTTAAAGTAGGCAGTTTAAGAATAATTCAAATTGTAATTAAGATTTAAAGATTGTGTATTAGAACTTAAGTAACCCTTAAATAATGATATAAAATTGATAATCTCGATTTTGCATTATATATATAAATAATAAAATTTAGTGTAGGAATATGATTATATTGTGATTGAGATGATGAAATTAATTTAGGAATTATTGAAATATGAGGATGAATAAATAATTAGAGCGATTAATCATGTTTTAGCAATCTTAACTCTCTTCATAACAGATGATTAGAAGTCGAAAAAATATCAGAATGACATTTTGAATGAAATTTTGATAGGAGTTCTTAATATTTTGAAAGGGAAAGTATAAAATCATACAACATCAAAAATCTGCATAGAAATATTAGTTAGAGCATTCTAAGTTAATAGAGAGAGTGTCCATAAGTTCGTCTATCAAATGAGAGGACTAGAGTATCTCTTAAAAGTAAAAGGGGATTCAAAGAATCATCTTTATAGTTTAACAAAACTTGTATTATCTGTTGTTCACGATTCCAGTATTGTTATAGCTTAGGTTGAGGCAAAGCTTAAAAAAATAATCTATGATTAAGAATACAATAAAGAAATTGAAAATTCAAATAAATAAGTTTAATAGCAATAGTCTTTGCATACTCCTTAACATAATAATTATCCTTCATGTTTTAAGCCTATTCATTATAACATATAAATTCCTAATGAAACCAAATTAGCGAAGGATAATTTAGCATTGATTGCTATAAAAAATTAGCGTTTTTATAGTGAATAAATCAAATTCGTTTTAAATTCACTATTTGAAGATTAGCCAAATTACTATGTTTTGAAAAAAGGTGTTCATCTATTCACTTTTGATTGTCTTGAACCAATGAGTTTTTAAAAATATAAGGAACCAGAGAGTGCAAAACGAAGTGCTAAGACTTCAACTAAAAAAAAGAAGAGTGAAGATAAAATGTAGTTATAATCTAATTTTTAACATACTCAAGAAGCCTAAATTTTAATAAAACTATTAATCTAATAGATGATCATATCTTATTTTGATAAAACAGAGCCATATCAATTTTAATGGAATATAATTTCCTAAGTTCTTTAGATATTAATAAGAAGATACCCAATTCTAATTCCGAAATTGGTTCGAATAAATTGTAGCAAATTTCTTAAACCTTATCATAAGTCATTAGGGCCAGATTATAATGAGACAGAATTTCCTCGAAAACTCTCATTTATTTCATTAATCACCAAGATCATGACTCCCATAAAAAACTTGCTTTTTGAATTATGCTTAGATAACATCATTCTGACTTAAATATCTAATAATTCTACAGCTCCATTTTCAATTGAAATTAGAAGGAAGATACTTAATGATATCTATGAAGGAATAGAAAAGAGAATTAAATCTTTAGATTCAAATTTTTGTCATTTATCAGACACATTAGTATTCTTAATATAAATAAAATCTGTGGCCAAAATTTGTTTTAAAAATGTAAATGAACCATAAAATTCATTTAATTTTGTCAAACTCTATATAGAAGGGATGAAGCACTTTGATTTGAAGTCATATTATATATACGAGAATGAATTACAATTCTTGAATGAAACACTGGCAGTTTTATTCAACGTAGCTGCTTATTTACTTCTATTTAAGCCCTCTCTTATTGTGATACCAAAATAACTTTAAGAGCAATAAGGAGATCATTTCCAACTGTAAGGAATGGTTGGATAATTACTACCAGAAGATATAAACTGTCAACTTATCCCAAATAAAGGCATAATCTATTAGGATCATATTAAATATTTCATAAAATGGCCTTTGTTACCTATTTCATTTCATGAAGGAATGAATTAAACTACAAGACAAGATGAGATAAATTTATAACATTTATGGTCACCATTTCGTAGACGAAATAGAATCCTTAATATGGAGGTTTTGGAGGATATTCAAGATGAAGATGATGAGTTTGAGATTGAACACGACGATGATGAAGACAATTATATTTAAAGTGTTGAGAGCAGATATGATTCAAGTATAATTGAAGAATCCGCTGAGGAAGAATTTGATCAAGAAGTAAATAGTTGGGTTACAAGTTAAAGTGGAAATAATCAAATTGAAGCTGAAGATCCTTAAAATGTAAATTCAAGTTGGACTGATGAAGATGACGATTAAATTGGAGAGGATGGTCAAGATGATGATGTTGAAGATAGTGATGATTCCGATGATGATAATGCATCAAATAGTGAAATAGGTGGATTAAATTAAGAGGAGATTGATTAAGAAATTGTGGAACGCAATGTCTAAGATCTCAATTAACATATGAATCAACAGCAGAATTTAGCATAGAGTCACCGGGATAATTAAGGTTTAGAGTAAAATAAGGGAACTGTTAATCATTATCATCATCTTACCAACAAGGAAGATTTGACTTTCATGAAAATGACTAAATCCATCATTTAATTGACAGGGGTTAAGTTTTCAAAATAATTCTAAAAAATCTTGGATAAATTTAACTTTTTATTACCTGAAAAGTTACAAGTTGGCGACTTATAACTTATAAATTGGTGGACTGAATTAACCTAAAAGTAGACAATTCCTGAAGAAAGAGTGGTTCTTCAATAAGACGTTAGAATTTAGCCTTTAAATATATTTAGGGAAAGGTTAGGAATAGATTTCCTAAGAATTGATTAAGATGATAGAATCTTATCTAGAGTATAGCAGCAACTGCCAGCCAGACGAGCTCGCAATAATTTTTAATAGATAATAAGAGACTTTCCAGAAAGGCAATCACAATTTGATATAATATTGGCATAATAAAGACAATTTTAGGAATAATTCGGATAATAACTAGCTAATTTATAACAATAAAATGTATAGACAATTGAGTCATAAAATGAAAATTAATTTAGGGAACATTAATAATAACAATAGAATCAATAATAATAATAATAATAATAATAATAATAATAATAATAATAATAATAATAATAATAATAAATACATAGTTAAAATCATCAAGAAGATTTTGGCATTCAACTTTAAGAACCTACATAAGTAAATTAATCCAATTAAATAAATGCAGAAATTTAAATTCAACAACAGTAAAAAATATGTGAAGAAAATAATTAAAATAACATAATAGATTAACTAGAGAAGGTTGAATAACATTCATCTTAACAATAATAATAATAATAATAATAACAACAATAATAACAATAACAACAATAATAATAATAAAACAACACAAATTATTCATAAATTTACCCAAAAAGTTACAATCTATTGAAAAGGATAAATAAAACTTTTGAAGATCTTATAAAAAATGATATTGATCCCTCAGTATTTGAAGATCTTAATGAAGATATGATGATGGAAATTGCTTTAGCTCTTCCTCATGAAATCGATGGAATAGATCCTTAGTTTTTGGCTTCTCTTCCTCTAGAAATTAGAAATGAAATAATTCAGTAATATTCAGCTCCTAGAAACTAGACTCCACAATAATAAATTACAGAAGTAGATTTATCATAAGATTTATTAATAAATAACAATTCTGAGAGGATGCAATCGCAACAACCTCGAACTTAATAAATTATTCCTCCACCAAATATTCATCAATAGAATCCTAACAACTTGTAACATAAAATTAATTCTCGACTATTTTAAACTTAAAGACACATCATTTCAAAATTAGGAACTGTAGAAGAGGAATTTATAGAATCATTATTAAGTTTACTTTATGTTGAATCTCATAGTTTCATTAATTTTCCTATTAATCTCTTTATTTCTTTATGCAATAATTAAAATGTAGAGCATAAATTAATAGATACATTGTTTTTAATTTTAAAAACAAATAAATTGCACGATTAAGAAAGGTTATTCCCACCATGTTATTTGGTAAAAAGAAATGGACTTGTTAGAGATTTAAGCAAAATATAAAGTGTTGTTTCTTTAAAAGTGTTGTATATGTTTTCAAAATTAAAAGGATTTTCTGTCAATTACTTTTTTGAAAACAAAAAATAACATTAAAGTTCAACTGGAGATATTTTAAGCTTTCCCTTATTAGAATTGATACAACTTTTACCTGAATTTAAAGGGAATCATCAAGAAATGCTTATTTAGGCTATTACAAACATAAGCATAAAACAAAAGGATTTTAAATAGGACAAAGTAAAATTAGACTAAAAATCTGTTGACTGTATTTGCAAAACACTATTATCAAATATGGGTGGGATTGTTAAGAATTTTTCTAACATTATTATAAGTCTATGCAGCAACCAAGAAAACCAATTATTAATTGTTTAATATATAAAGGAGTATATAGAGAAAACTATTAGAGAGATAAATGAATAATTTAAAATACAATAATAATATGATGAAATTTTTAATGGAGATAAGGCTCTCATAAATGTATTTTAGTTTGTAAAGGAAATTAATGCAAAAGGAAATGAAAGCAATAATCAATAGGATGTAAGATTAGATTTTTAAGAATTATTGGAAAATAAAGAATTGATAGAATTATGGAAAAATATGATAACATTCCTGTAATAAATGCCCTAATCATAGATTATCAAATTGACACCAAAAGTATCTCCATACTTGGAATGCTTTTTTATTATATATCAAATAGTGAATCCAATCAAAAAAATTAGATTGAATCAAAAAGAGTCTAAAAAGATAGCTATGATGGAAGAGTAATGCGAGGAGATAAAGGAGCAAGAAATACATGATGAATTATTTTAAAAAATTTGTGAAAGTGGAAAAGCATTGTTAAATATAATGCTAAAGGAAAGATTTCAAGAATAAAAAGAGAAGGGAAGAATAACAAACGATAATTTAGGAATTATCATATAAAAGAATCCAAGAATTGTTGATTTTGAGAATAAGCAAAAATACTTTAAAATAGAATTAAAATAATTGAAATCACAGAATAATAAGCATCATTATGGAAATATTGCTTTAAGATGCAGAAGAAAAGATATCTTTATGGATTCCTATCATCGTTTTAGTAAATTAAAACCAGAGGAATTAAAAGGAAAATTAATTGTAGAGTTCGATGGGGAAGAAGGTGTAGATTAAGGAGGAGTTACAAGAGAATGGTTTTTGCTGCTGTCTAAAGAGATATTTAATCCTAATTATGCTTTATTCACTCCATCTTTAAATGGATAAATGTTTTAACCTAGTAATAAGTCTCATGTTAATCCTGATCATGTTAAGTACTTTAAATTTATTGGAAGAATTGTAGGAAAAGCACTTTATGATGGGTAATTATTGGATACCTATTTTACTCGTTCCTTTTATAAACATATTCTAGGTTAGAAGTTGACTATACATGATATGGAAGATATTGATTTGAATGAGTATAAATCTATGAAGAAGATTTTAGAGGAAAATGTGAATGATTGGGGAATCTATTGGACATATTCAGTTGATAATTTTGGTAAATGGGAAGAGAGAGAACTTGTTGAGGGCGGTAGATAAAAATAAGTGACTGAAGATAATAAATTTGAGTATGTTCAAACCTATTGTTATTAAAAAATGGCAAAGGAGATTAAAGATTAAATAGAAGCATTTTTGAATGGTTTTCATGAATTGATTCCTCAGAATTTGATTAGCATATTTGAATGGAAGGAAATGGAACTTATGTTGTGTGGTTTACCAGATATAGATCGTACATTATATATTTATTATTTAAGTTGAGGATATGAAGGAAAATGTAGAATATTATGGATATGATAGAGAGGATAAAATTATAGAATGGCTTTGGGAATTGCTGGAGAGTTTTGATTAAAGCAAGAGAGCAGCCTTCTTATAATTTATAACAGGTATTTTATTTTTACTATTTAAAGGAACTTCCAAAGTGCCTCTTGGAGGATTTAAGGATTTAAAAGGTATAAATGGTTCATAAAAGATATAAATTCATAAAAAACATTATAAAAATTTTGAATTGCCAACATCCCATACATGGTAAATGCTGATATCTTATATAGTTTTAATTAATTGGATTTACCGTGTTATCCAACCAGACAAATTTTAAAGGATAAGTTAGAACTAGCAATCTTAGAAGGAAAAGAAGGTTTTGGCTTTGCTTGATATGTTTAATACAAATATAATAACTTATGTTTAATTTAAAAAAATAGTGTTACTTATCTGATAGGAATCCTATTCTTGAAGAATAGCCAATTGAGATGTAAAAATGAACTCCAATTAAATGAAAGATATGTTTATAATGAACATAATTAATAAAATTGGTATTATTGTTTTGAATAAAAATTGTAATTTCATCCAGCCTGAGGATGTTGATTTCTAGCACCTTTATTTTGATATACTCCAGTAAACTCTTGTTTTCTTGCAGGTAAAGCCCTAACAGGTTGTTATTGTGGTGGAACTCTACTTTGTATTCCAGGTTGTTGAATAGCTGATCTGGTTATTTATTATTACTATTATGGTAAAGCCTATCTACCTGGATTGTTATTATAACTATTACTATTATTTCCCAACATAATTGGTTAGATATCATCTAATTTTATTCTATTAATATAAATTACTGTTTCTTGGATAACTGGGAGTGCCATAAGCAATTTGTTCTTTTGGAAAAGGATGATTATTAAGATCTCTCATATTTTGTTAACCTTACAACGCTCTGAGTCCTCCTGAGGGTCCTTATATTCCTAAATTTCTTCCCATTCCGAGCCATTCATTTTCAAATTATTCAACTTAATTTTCATCCATATTTAGATAATGGTTTGTAGTAGTGATTTAACCTGTTCTATCTCTTTCTCTCACATGCTTTCTGCCTTTATCATTCATCATTCTCTCATGTCCAAATCTATCTATTCCATCACTGTTCTTATATCCTTGTTATCTTTCACTTATCTAATTTAAATCATATCAATTTACAGTATGACCATTAACACCTCTAGCCACAGCATTGTTATCAAAATATTTTTCTTATACTACTCGTCCATCTGGTCCCATTTTAGATGATTAAACATAACTAGATGAGTACACCTAAAATACTCCATCCTTTGAATGTTAGTTAACATCTCTTTAGTTCAAACCTGCCATATGTCGATGAACATTCGAGAATTCCATCATTTCATTTTCTAAGTCATCAAAGCCCTTAAAAACAGATCCAAATCCTAGGTTAGCTAATTAACGATCCATATGTTGCATCATCTTGTTAGACATCGAATCAAATTCTGAAAACATATTAAAAGGAGCCAATTACTAATTGTTCTAGCGAGACTTTATTTATAAATGACAGATTACATAATTTTAGATCTGATTTGATCGAGGTGGTTGACTACTTCCTCTATATGGTTGTAACATATTTCGTTAAACAAGTATAAATAAATATTATAATAAAAAGATTTCTAGAATTAACTTTATTTATGAACCAGAACCTATTCCTATTCAAAATTTATTATATTCTCTTAAGAAAAAATGGATCTCTTTAAATTAGAATTAAAATTATTGTTTGAAAAAGTAACCTTTACTATTAAATAGAAATAGTAATAAAAAAAGATAATTTTCTGTTAAAAGAATATTTATCACCTTATATTTTTTTGTTGACTATAATATATAATAATAAGTAGAATTTATTATATGCTCCTTTTATTTTTAGAGTGTAAGAGTGTTTAAAAATTAAGAAGAGCAAATAAAACTTAAAACTATTCCTAGAGAACAATAACAACCTCTATGAATATTTTAATGTTATACTAATTGATAAATATCTCTTAAAGAATACAAATCGATACCTTTGACTCAATGAACCTTGGTTTATTAATCAAATTGAGTTGATAAAAATAATAATATTTATAAGTTAAGTTGTTTAGTAATAATTTGAGTAAATTATGATTGATTTGAGTTAATTAAAACAAAAAAGAACAAAAAATGAAAATAGATATAATAATTATGTGATATAGTTTTGATCCATATACTCCAATCATTTCTTTTTGTCTATAAAATTTCATTGTTTTTTTGTTTTGTTTTTAGCTTCTGTGATATAATAGGTTTATAATTATATTTACATTAAAATTTTTTTGATTAATGGGTACATCATTTGTTAATTCTTTAATTCTAATTAAGCTCTAATTTGTAATTGAAATTTAGAATAATTGTAGTTGCTTTATGTTTTTTGCTTATTCATTATGCTAATTATTTGTAATCATTAATAGAACTATTCAACTTACAGATTATTTTTTATTTTAAATAGGATTGTTTCTAAAAAAGGAGAAACAATTGTGTAGGAATTGTTTGAAATATTGCTGAATTTATATAATATAAATATATTATGAATCCATCAAAATTGAGTCAATTAGAGTTGGGAAACTTTGATAATTATATAGAAGCCCTTTATAGTGGCTAATTATTAAGTGAAAATGATGTAAAGGTCTTGTGTTAAAAAGTGTTTATATTTCCATTATTGATCAGGCAAAGGAAATTTTGGTTGAAGAACCAAACATTGTTTCAGTGAGAGCACCATTAACTATATGTGGAGATGTGCATGGTTAATTTCATGATTTAATCGAGTTGTTTCACATTGGAGGTAGATTGCCAGTAATTTAATTATATTATTTTAGGACACAAATTATCTCTTTCTAGGTGATTATGTTGATCGAGGATCTCAAAGTGTTGAAACTTTTAGTCTCATTCTTTGTCTTAAGGTACGTTATAAAGACAGATTGACGGTTTTGAGAGGTATTCATATTTAATTATATGAAAGGCAATCATGAAAATAGAGAAATCAACAAAATATATGGGTTTTATGATGAATGCTAACGTAAGTATGGTAATGAAATTGTATGGAAACATTTTACTGATGTGTTTGGATATCTTCCCTTGGCAGCAATAGTTGAAAACAGCGTATGTTTTTGGGTATAATACTTAGTTGTTTTGCACTCATGGCGGACTTTCTCCTGCTATTGAATCCGTCGAACAAATTAAATAATTAAATCGAGTCTAGGATATTCCTCATGAAGGAGCCATTTGTGATTTATTATGGAGTGATCCTGAAGAAACAAAGATGGGATGGGGAGTTTCACCAAGGGGAGCAGGATGGACTTGGGGTTAAGATATAACGGATAAATTTCTACATTAAAATAAACTAAAAATGGTTGTCCGAGCTCATCAATTAGTGATGGAGGGATTTTAACATGTGCATCAAAGAAAGACTGTCACTATATTCTCAGCTCCCAATTATTGTTATCGATGTGGCAACTAAGCTTGTATCTTAGAAGTTGATGATCAACTCAAAATGAGCTTGTAAATATATGAGAATATAATTATATAGTTCCCAATATGAACCTGCTCCAAGAGAAAATGAACCTTAAACTACACGAAGAGTACCAGAGTACTTTTTATGATATAAGAATTAAAATATATTAATTCGATATTTCACTTTCATTTGGTGATCAAGTACTCTTTTCTCTTGAAAATATTGCTATTATCATGGTTTGACTCATTCTTAGTAACTTAATTGCTGAATTTCTATTTTAATGTTTGAAATGAAATTACTGTTTAAGTGGTGAAAATCCAAAAAATATTTTATCATTATTTAGAAATCACGTTGTTTTCTATGCCATTTTTTGGCTAATTAATTTACAAGCTTTAGAGAATAACTTTTATTTAAAATGGTGAGGAGAATTTCCTATTAAAAAAAAAAAGTGAAATAATGTTTAAAGAATAATTTTTTTGAATTATAATATATTTACATAAAAAATAAAATTACACTTTAATTATTTTTAAATTAATATATAAATACAAAAAATTATTCTTTTGATTATGGTAAATTAGTAAATTATAATTTTATTATAATTTTATATTTAAAATTCTATTTATGACTTTGCCTCTTTTCCAAACTAATTCAATTAGATTGTCTAAGAAATTTCAGGACTATTATTTGCCTTCTTCTAATCAAATAATTTAATTATTATTTTATGATATAGGGACAAGCTCTATTTTAAAAATATACATACATATTTATAGAATTCCATAACAATTACTTTGGATAATTTGTCTATAATTATATAATTTGTTAAAAATAACTCATAAGCCTAAAACAAAGTTTGACTTGATGTTAAAATGACACTTTGATTTTTGTGTTATTTTTTTTATTTATTTATCACTCGAAGAATTTTAATATATTTCAAAATAAATATAAAAAATTATATTAATATACTTAAAATTATTAATATTTTTTTTAATTCCCTTAAAATTGTGATCAAGAAAGATAATAGAACTGCAGCTTCTCATATTTTGGTAGAACCCTATTAAAGAATCTAAATGCCATAATTTAAAGAAGTAATTTAAACAATCTTGCTCATCATTAATAGAACAATTTCTTTAGTCGTTACATATTTAGTCTTTCATTTTTTACAAGATTTTTCATGTTTCTTTAACTTATGCAAATTCTTTAGCTGATGAAGTCTTTAAAATAAAATTTCTTATAAATTAATATAATTAAAAGGTAATCAAGGTTCTCTCTTGCCCTTAGAAACTTGTTTAGAAACACTAACTTAACCTTACTGCATTCTACAAATAATGATTAGTCTTAGTAAACTCAAAAGGGAATCATTTATGTAGCGGATATCATTAATAAAACTCTTAGTAAAGAAATATGAGTTTAAGCATATGCTGAAATCAGTTTAAAATTTAGATTCTCTCCTAGTATGTAAAAGAAGTATTATTCATTCAAATTATAAGTGCTCTTTAAAAATTCATTTATAGATTGTATATATTTATTTTATATTATCCCAAAAAAATAGTGTAAATTCAAAAGTAATAACAATAAATCATAAAATATGAGACTTAAGTTATACATGTACCTTTACAAAAAAAAACATAAAAGCATTATTTATTAGATCATACTTTATGTTTAGAAGCATTTATAAAGCGATATTTATAATACTTTAGCAATTACATATAAATCTAAAACTCATCTTATTCTTATAAATGGTTAATTTGCTTGATTTTGGAAAAGATTGTTAATTTTACTTTTTGGTCTTTCTAAATATATACTGCATAATTGCTAAGTTTTTTTGTCGAGTTTAGAGGTGTTCTATTTGAGTTTTCTATTAAAGACTTGCTTTTAGCATTGAATTTTTTTGCAAGACGAGGGCGAATAGGAAAAATGGAGAGAATCCGAATCAATTCCATTTATTATTAATTCATTCTGTTTGGCTACAAGGTTTTCCTTATTTTTTTGAGGAGAGTTGAATTTTGTGTTTGGTTTTGAAAAGTTGGTGAATGGAGATTTTTTAGCCACAGGTTAAATGGACAAATTTTTGAGAGATCTTATTCTAACTGTTTTAAAGTTATTGAGTGTTTTAATAAACGTTGGAATTTGGCTGTAGTTTCTGACGAGAGTATTTTTGGAATTCATAACGTTATTATAAATTAAAAATTAAGGGATAAATATTTAGTTATTTATATTTAAAGTTAGTGAGTTTGTATTTGATAATGAGAGCAGTGTTTGATATTAAGAATATATTAGGGCTATATGTCTGTTTTAAGTATTCAAAATGATGATAAATTAAGTATAATAATGAATATATTAATATAAAATAATGATGCGTAATGTTATTGTATATCATAAATATTAATATTCTAAATTTAATTAGCTGCCTACAGTGATTCCGATTAGTTATGAAGATTATAGAAGAAATAAAAAATCAAGTGGAGTAGGAAATGAAAAAGATGATTGGGAAATGTATTGAAAAGAGATATGCAAAACTTACGGATAAACTAAAATAGGAGTTCATAATTAAGGTTGTGCAAGGGGGATAAACTATTAGATAGGTATGATATTAATATGATTTAGGCATCAAAAGACTTATGTATAAATTATTCATCTGCAAAAGCAATAATGTCAAATTATAGAAAATCTATTGGTGGTGGAAAACAGAAATACAATTTGGAACCAAGATAAGTGAAAGTGAATGACAAATATGACTGGAAGAAATTTAAAATTTTGACATACTGTGAGGAAACACAAACCAATGAATACACGATGGAAACTTTTGCATAGAACATAAGAAAGTCAAATTAAGACACAGTATTAATATGAAATTTGGAGTACGAGACATGATTTTTAAAATACTTAAATTGTTTATGATAATAACTTAATAAATACAATGAAACGTGATAAAATTTATCAACCCCATTTTTATTGGAGTGACTTAGATCATTCTATCTAATTTTAACAACTTCTTATATTTATTTATAATTGTGAGTAATTCCAAAATTTTAGATTTATTCTAAGAATTCCATTTATTTTTAAATACTATTTAATCAACTTTTGAATATTAATTTGGTTAGCTCAAAGTCTGCAATTTACCGAATGATTTGAAGAGTATTCAAATAAAATGGACCAATAAAAATATTCCCAACGCATGATTGCATAAATAAATCTAAATTGGAATAACAATTAAGAAATAGATAAGAATATTGGATACATAGGAAATGATTGTTCATAAAGATAATCATCAACCTGATATATGATTTATATATGTTATAAACAAGCAATCATTTATTCAGCTATTATTGCTACTTCTACTTCATCCATTCATCATATTGTTCTTTGGCTTCCTTTATGTTCTTAGTCATCTATTCTTGCTCTTATTATGTTAATTATGAAAATAGTCCAGTATACAATTGAGGATTGCTTTATTGTAAAGTCAATATCAGTTTCTCCATCAATAAAATAGCATCGTAATCTTCCAATGGACTATCATATAATTCAGCATAGTCATCCTCTTCATCATCATAATCATCATCATCATCATCTTCTTCATCCTATTCCAAATCCTAGATCTTATCTGCTAATTTCTTTTAATTATCCTCTTCCTCTTCTGCTTAATCTTCTTATTCGCAGGATTCTTCCTCCTCTCTCAAATCTAAAATCTTAGTCGACAATCTCACGAACAACTTTCCGATTTCTGAAGATGCTGTCAACAAATAATTAGGAATTTAAGGGAGTGAATATAATTGACAGAGAGCAAAGATTAATCTACTGATATCCCATTCATATTTATAGTGTTTTTCCATTTACAACAAGGTTTACAATATTTAGTCAGTTATTCCCTTACTGTTCAAGTAGTTTTGAACGAGTTGTGGATTGTACCATATGCACATATTGAGGACTCCAATATTAACCATTTTGAATTTGTTAGTCTTCTTCTCTTTCTAAAAATATAATTTAAAAATATAAATACTGATAAATTTAATAATGTGAAGTCTACAATTTGCGGTATTAAATTATCTATTTATCCTGGGAAGTTCTCGATTAAAGCAATCAATATGGTGGTAACTTGATTTTGATCTGTTTCATCTGAACCATTCTCAGCTATTGTATAGATCTTCTAGATAAATCTGAAAATCAATGAAATAAATGAGTTTCCAAAGAAATCAGTTTAAGTCAAGAATGTGCTTCCTCCTTTTTGGATGTAGTTTCTAAATGACCCCAACATTTGAGTAACAAATTCACTACCCCAATCCTTCTTGCATCCATCCAATAAAATATATTATTCTTCTGTCAATCCTTAGATAGCATATACATTAGTTTCTTATGGCAATCCAATGATAATATAACATAACACTGGATAATAGAACCATAATCCTGGTGTTAATTGTTTCTTCTTGTAAAGCATTAAGTTTAGTATTTCCAATGCTTCATTAATGAAATCACAACCTGACTCAGTCAAAGCAAAGTTGATTATTGGGAATATGACTGGTTCTAATTGCACATAGGATTCTTATTGAAGTGGAGCATTTAAGATTCTCTTTATTGCTTCCAGACATCCAGAAGCAGCCAATTCAGCTTCACCATCATCATCTGAATCGCCATCACCTTAATTTTATTTATTGCAATATTTCTAAAATATTGTAGCAATATGTGCAGCCAATTAATGTGCATATGGTGTAATTTCATTAGTAAAGTTTTTGACTATTTCTTCCAATGATCTGACAATCCTTTCATTGTCTATTAAATCCATCAACTTGATGTAGATTTCCAACACTTAACTCAACTATGGTCTGATCAAATCCTAAGCTTCTTTATGTTATAATATTGAACTGAAGGAGATTGCTGCTGCTACTCTCACAGGTAATTCTTTATCTAATATACATTTAGATATCCCTTGTACTGCTAACTGAATATTCTATTTATTTTTGAATTCAATAGTTCCGTATTCATAAAAAACATGACAAGCACGTGCTCTTAAAAATCCAACTGGATTCTAAAACTCAGGCAAAATATGTTTCTCTAAAATTGATTCCAATCCTTCCTTGATTGCATCAATCTTTTGAATTTAATGAACTAAACATTCAATTCCCCAGAGTAAAGCCTCTTTTTTGAGTAAATTCAAAGGTTGATTAGTCAATGGATCCAAATTAGAATTGAAAGCATTTTGACAATAAGTAAGGAATTAGATAAGCATCAAATTACCGTTTGCATCAGTTTATTGACAAATTTCTTACAAAAGATCATTTGCAGGGTTTTTCATATTATATGTTGAAAGAGAAAAGTCATCTAATCTTTTGATGTACTCTTCAGGATCATTCTTCCATAATTCATCATCTCTTGGAGTCAATTACATTTTGGGGATGGCCACATGATGAATCAATTTATCATAATGAGCCTTTAATAATTCTTTGGTATTGTCTAATTTGAGAGAGTAATATAAATATTTGAGTGCAAACAAACATGTTCGAGGTCCTTGGAATTAGGAATTGTCAGTAAGAATTTTATAAAATAGCTCCATGAATCCGATTGCATAGGTGCTCTTAATATGTTCTGCAAAATCAGCCATATCTGAATCAACCATCTTTTTGTTAGCAAATTTCTGGATAAATCTTAATACAATTCTGCTAGCCCATTTTTTATTGGTCCAAATGTATGTCTTCTCTCTTCTGGTTTCCTCTTCGGAATCCTAAGTGAAGGAAGCCAATTCTGGAGGTGTTTGTGCAGATATGATTGTCTTGAAAAATAACATCCATTTTGCAACAGCATTAAAATCTCTCATGTATATTGGCATCAACAAATGAGTGGCGTGATGGAAGATCTTCAATATGACCTTAACCAATTATCCACTTTATTCGTTATAGTTTTCAAGGAATTTTTGCATCAAGGCCTCCAAAATTGGAAATGTTGAGGCCACCAATGGTTCCAATGGTTTACGATCATTGTCCAATAAAAATTGATGAACCTCACATGTTCTACGTAGGGTCAATAAAGCACTCCATAAATCTTCATATGATGTGTAGTTTTGTAATTTGATAACCAATTATTACACTAGTTATGGCCAATCCTTAGGAAAGTCGATGGCTACTAATTTGTAAATCAAGTCTTCATATTATGACCTTAACTTCTTAGCTTAAATGCATCTATATACAATTGTAATTTATGACTAACCTTGCTAAAGCATCGATTATTGTTGCTCTGATCAGAGCCTTTTCCTCTGGATTCACGACATAATGTCCAGGCTCCTTCTTCTCTCCCCAATGCTTCTCCAAAAATGTCTTCAAATTCACTACTGCACTTTGTCTAACCAAATCTTGTTGAGTCTGGTCATCTACTATTTTAAGTAAGGAAATTGCATATCTAATTATCTAGGGGATATTTATTACAATGGTTGCATGGAAGCCTACTTTAATAATGCTTCTCCACTGTTTACACTTTCTTATGAGGCACCATAAGTTAATTATAACGCATTTATCAACTATCCCAAGTCTTATGTTTGCATTCACGAACTAAAATTTAAAAATTTATTTTTTTAAATATTTTTAAAATAATTTGCGCTAAAATTACTTAATTATTTTATGTTTTTGAGAATCGTTGGTTTTACAATCGCTTAGCCCTTATGTCAATTATACAGACAAGTTATAGGCCATGCAATTTCTAAGAAAGATACTTGACTATGATGCTTAAACTTTTGGACAGAATATTAATAAAAATGATGAAAAATTTATTGCTATAGTCAAATGATTCACAATACTCTTCTCATACAGAATGTAAGTTTATTACTTATTCAAATATGATTACAAACCTAAATCAAAATGTATTTTTAGTTATTCATTACTGAATTCAATTATATTAATATAAATTGTTATTGTCTAAAAATAATTTGCTAATAATGTGACATATATTCAATCAGAGTTTATCAAAAAACATTTATGTTTAATATATAAACTTAAATTGTTCGATAGATAATATCATCGAATTTATTTTACAGCATTCTAATGCAATAATTATTAAATATTTTATATTTGAAAAATGTAATTGCATTAATCTACCTATGCATCTCATCTAGAATCCCCATAAAATTCTAAAAATGAATCTAAAAATGTCACTCAACCATGACCCTTCAGACACTGCTATCAATAATGAGAACCTCAATTTTTAGCAAAAGAGTTTAGTGTTCCTAATATTTGCAATCATCTTTCAATTAAATTATTTGAAAATATACAAATTTGATTTATATTTGATTCTGTACATCTATTAGCAAAATTTCTAAGACAATAATACTTTTCAGATGATCTATTTTTACAATTTTAAGAAAGATTGGTATAATTATTATTGTTCAATGAAAAGGACAAAATTAATTATAAAGAAATTGTCTATTAATCAACCGACAAGTTTTATTGCTAAAAATTTACATTTTATTTGCTAAATGCTAAAATTAAAAAGATTCTTCATTTCTCTTTTATTAAACTTGTATACCAATAATGGATTTTAGATTTGATAGATATCCAATCGTAAAAATTATGATTTGAGAATAGATTCTAACATGAAGGAGAGGAATAAAAATGAATGTCGATAAATGATGAACGTACTTGAGACAAAAAGAAAAGAGTTGAAGAAATATTATATTGTTATATGAATAAATGAATTAATTATTATGATTATTGGAGAGAGTGATCTTTATCAATTGATACAATCAATAAATAAGAGATCGATGTTTAAAACTAAGTTTGATCTTGAATTTATTGATGTATGTCTTAAGGATGTGCCATTTTTTCATGATTTACGAAAATAAGTAGGAGAAACACAATATTAATAAATATTGAGAGAACTTTAATATGAATGCCATATACCTTACGAACCTTAGGTTAACATAGGTGATATGAGCACAAAGTTTTACTTTATTTTGAGTGGGAAATTTTTGGTGTTGACTAGAAGTTATATTACTTATCAGGATATTGTGATGAATTCAGAACTGTAAGGAATACATATAACTATATGGTAGATAAAAAGTGCTGACTCAGAGATTCTCGGATTTGACTCCTTAAGGTTATCTGTACCCAGGGTAGCACTTTGGAGAATAAGTGATGATGTTTGATCAATCTCACACTCAAACAATACTGCCTTTAGAGAAGTCTCATCTAATAGTGATAAAGAGGGATGTTTATCGAAGAATTAAAGGTAATAGGGAATATAGATTGTAGATATCGAATCTCGAAAGTAAGATGCAGAGAAATTTGCATTGTTATCAACAGTTCCTATGTTTAGCAAATGGTCGGCTAAGACATTGAGACAATTGCTTTGTGATATCAGTGAAATCAACTTCATCCCGAATTAACTAATATATCAATAGGGAGATCCAGTTGATGCAGTCTATATCATTGTGGATGGAGAAGTGCAGTTGTTCAGATAGTACAATAAGAACATTCATCCGATCTCAATTTTGGGGTGCAAGGAGTGCTTTGGAGATGATGAAATCCTAAGCCAATTTAGAAGTCATAGTGCTAAATCAATAAACTGTGTTCGGCTCTATAAAATATTTAGAAATAAATTTTTGGATCACATTCCTATTCATTGTGAAGGGAACAGTCTTTCAAATCACTAAAGCTTTGCAAACTAATCGACAATTTTAAATCGTCCATTTATCTCAAACAACCAAACTCAAAACAAATTCTCTCTTTATTAGGCTCAAAATGAAGAATTACGAGTCTATAGATCTGAGTCGTTGAAATAGTTCAATTCACCTGCAAAAGTATGGTAAAAGGTAATGAATAAGAAAAAAGAAAAGAGCAGAACGCATTAAACTATTTCATCGACTCAGTAGGTCCATGATTTGTTAAGGAGGAATTACAGACATTCAGACGAGTCATTATAAGTGCAAAAAGTGTACAATAGTCAATCTCCCAAAGTCAAATTTGCCAATACTCCTACCCACATAGATGAGATTGCAAATGAGGGCAAATACAGAATACATGCTAATGGCAAATTTGATAAAACCAATTATCTCATGGGCTAAATAAAATTGAGATCGATTACGCAATCAGTTTGGAAAAAATAACTTGATAAAATTAAATGAACTTAATTATTAATAATCTATTTATGAATGATAATAGTGTCTCCTCTAACTCCAATAACTTAAATTTCAGAATAAACATCACAAAACTCCTCCAAAGCAAGTTCTTTAGTCAATCTCCCATTGCATACAGAAGAAATTATATGTTTGGAGATGATGAGAAAAATCATCGTAAGTTAAAACCTTTGATTGTCTACGACGATATCACAGATAGATAACAGTCTATGACTAGTTCATCATCGAGTTCGTCTTACTTGAAAAAGATAAATTCGAAATTAACTCAATCAACTGAGGCTGACAATCAAATTGAAAATACTACTTCTTTTTATACAATAATTAGCAAATATTATGATTATTACAATAACCAACCAACTCAACGAGAAAAACCAGAAATCCCTTAAAACCCTGTTAAAAAAATTGAGAGGCTCTATACAGAATAAAATGAATAAATTAGTAACCAATAAATAAAGCGAAAAAGCACCAGGAAGCAAGAAGAGCAGAAATCAAAAAGTAAGAAACTCAATCCTTCTTATAATAAAAATAAGTAACTTTTTTGAATTGATAATATTAATTAATATGTATAAATATAAATTCAAATTAAACTAGTCACCAATGCTGCATAACTCACAGAGGAATCATTTGGTTTTGTCACTTGACTCGATTGAGCATACCTGGCTAATTATGTTTTTAATTGCAATTTGCTTAGGTTAATTATCTAAACATCAAATCAAGTTTACATTTAGTAAAACACAGATTGGATGTCTACCACAAATGGTATTCTCTGTTTCATCAAGATACTTATAAAATTCCTTAAGATTGTGAGATTCAATCAATTTGATAGCTTATCCATCTAATTATGCTATAGATTAATGGATTTCTCCATGTTCTTTATTATAAGGTGTATATTGAAATCTAAATTGATTACATAAATATAATATATCTACCTCTTTCCCCAATGACAGAAATCTGATGATATGACAAACACAGTGTTTGGATCGACGAAGTATTTGACGAGAACATTTGCCACTTAAGCATCTTGTTCCTCACTAGTTGCACCCACCATTATGGGGATTAGTTTGCATTTTGGAAATACCTTATAAATAAAGGGGAGATGCATCTCTAGACTGTGCTCTTGTTCCTCAATGTCCTTATTTGTAAACACATAATTCTTTTTCAATTCTGCACTTAATTGTTTTATTGCTTAAATCTCATCAGATGTAATTACTTGGTTAATCCAACTCAATGTTGCCAAGTGGAGTCTCGTACTGTTCTAGTTCAGATAACCCTATTCCTTTGATGTAGGTATGATGGCAAGGTCCAAGTAAAAAGACTCTCATTCTAGAATAATTTAAATAGGAAACTCTATTACCTTTCTTTTTAAACCAAGTGCTAATATGCAAAGGCAGCTGTTGGGCCTGAATATGAAAACCCAGCGTGTCTACATAAGTTAATTAATTAGTTACGGTCCGATGATGGCTTTTATGTTCGGTATGGTTTCTCCTTTGGCTTTTGATAAGAAGTCGTTCAATTGGGCATCCAATTGCTTCGCTTTGAATTGATAGTCATAATCTTACCATCTCCGATGTACCAACTCCCTGCATGAGAGGCTTCTCTTATTTTTGAGGAGGGTTCGAACATCAAATTAGAATATTTATTTGATAAATGATTGCGTAATTTTGCATTTAACTTCGAAACTTGGAAGGAGACACCTACAGTAATAGAAAGAAAGGGGTTTCTTGTTTTAAGAAAATGCGAAACGATCATTGGCTACTTGTTTAATTAATATGTGGAATACAAAATAAAGATATTAATTATTAATAATGAACTTCTTTAGGTCCCAAACGATGGGCTATTATAAATTGATCATCCCAAGAGAGAGTGCTTGGAATGTCATGAATGAATTGGCAGAGTTAGATTGCATTCATTTTGTTGATTATGATCCAACATTGCCTATGATCAATAGGCCATTTGCTAATTACATCAAGAGATGCGATGACTTGCTAGTTAAATTATCCCTAATCGAGCATGAAATGAAGAAATACCAAAAGAGGATTACTTACTGCAAGGATGTCAATTTTTTAATCAAAAACTTCAAGTAATTGATCAAAGAAAGGTATTCAATCCTTTGAATTCTCAAGGTCTAAAGCCAGTCACACCTATTTGGATGAAATTGAAAATGACATCGACAAGAAACATCAGCAACTCATTGAATAAAGTACTAATATGGAAAATCTTCATGAACGCAGAAATAAACTTATTGAGCACAAATCAGTCCTGTTAAAGGGAGAAGCACTCTTAGGACAATCATTTTTCTAACCGTATCAAATTCATATATCTTAGTGCTAATTACGTAGCCGAAGGATATGTCAATTTGCAAGGAAAAGAATTAGATGACATCAAAGTCTTATAAGGATCTGTTAAATTTAATTATTTGGTTGGTGTCATCAACAAGGAAGACCAAATACGATTCAAGAGAATCATATTTCGTATTACCAAAGGTAATGCTTGGATGAACACCATGGATATTGAAAGTGATTAAATAGTTGACACTAAAAATGTAATATTACTCATATTAAAATAAAGGATGACGCAAAAATTATTAAAAGTGTTTTTGTAGTAGTCTATCCAGGTGGAGGAGGTTCCAATGTTATCACAAACAAACTCAATAAAATCTGTGAATCCTTTTAGGTTGCTAAATACACATTCCCTGAAAATAATATGGTTTTCCAAGAGAAATTAAGATCAATTGAAACAGAATTAGTTGAAACGAGAAATGTACACATCCTCATATTATCTTTATAGTTATTAGAAATGACAAAGAATCAAGTTGAAGCCTACCTTGATGATTTCTAAAGAGTTTATTAGAACTCTAATTGCTCATAATTGGAAGAATTAAAATTATTTTTGGTTAAGGAGAAGTATCTTTATACTCAATTGAATTACCTGAGAGTCCAAGGAAGTGTACTCTATGGATCAATTTGGTTACCTCAAGGAGCAGATATCAAAGTTGATTAGGCATTAAGAGAAGTTCAAACCAATTATGAGGGTTTGCCAACAGGACAATTACAAATATCACCACCTGAAGGTACAAGGCCACCTCCAACATTTTTTGAGACTAATGAAATCACTTGGGGATTCTAAGAAATAGTTAATACTTATGGTATGCCAAGATATAAGGAAATCAATCCAGGATTATTCACAGTCATGACTTTCCCATTTTTGTTTGGTGTTATGTTTGCTGATATTGGACATGGGTATTCTTTAATATCATATTATTTAGATTTTGTCTATTATTATTAGGAATATATCTTTGTGTTTATAATAAAGAAATCAAGGAGTCAGATTCTTTAATGAAGCATGCTCTAATTGTCAGACATATGGTATTAATGATGGGTTTCTGGGCATTCTACAATGGATGGATTTATAATGATTTCATGTCAGTTCCTATCAACTTATTTGGATCTTGTTATGAAACCTAACCAGTTGAAAATCCAAGGTACGAAGACGAATAAGAATGGGTTTAAAAAGATGAATCTTGTGTGTATCCATTTGGTATAGATCCAGTTTGGATGTGTGTACCCAATGAATTAACATTTATGAATTCATACAAGATGAAATTGGCAGTTATTATTGGTGTCATACATATGTCATTCGGTATTATATTGAAGGGAATCAATGCAATATACTTCAAGAATTGGATAGATTTTATTTTTGAATTCATTCCTCAAATAATATTCTTTACTTGCACATTTGGTTGGATGGACTTTTTAATTATTTATAAATGGTTTGTGAATTGGACAGGAAAAACTGATTAAGCCCCAAGTGTCATTACTTTAATGATTAATATGATTCTTGCCCCTGGTAAAACAGTAGATCCACCTTTATGGGGAGATGGTTAATCAGAAGCTTCAACTTAAACTGCAATGTTATTGATTGCACTATTTTGTATTCCAATTATCCTACTTCCAAAACCACTCATACTTAATTCTCAAAACAAAAAACATCATGCTCAAAGTGCAAGCAATTTAACAGAGAGTATGAACAAGGATCTTTACTAAAAAATCAATGAAGTAATATTTATTGTAATATTATCGATAGGATTCTGAAGGCACTCAAGAGAATTCAGAAGTCCATAGTGAATAATCTGGTGGTGGACATCACGAAGAATTCGGTGACATATTTGTACATCAAGTAATTGAAACTATAGAGTTTGTGTTGGGATCTATTTCAAATACAGCCTCATATTTAAGATTGTGGGCTTTATCTTTGGCTCACGGATAATTAGCAGAAGTGTTCTTCTAAATGTGTTTGAATGGAGGCATTAGTGGCGGAGGTTTTGTTGGTGCAATAAGGGTATTTTATTCCCATCTATTTATTTCTAGCTCTTAATTGGTTATACCATTTTCTCTATGGCTACTTTCGGAGTCTTGATGATGATGGATGTGATGGAATGTTTTCTTCATGCCTTGCGTCTTCATTGGGTTGAATTTCAGAACAAGTTCTTTAAAGCCGATGGATATGCTTTTGAAAAATGTTCATATGCTAAAGTAATGTAAGACAATGCAGTTCCAAAGGAGGAATGATATAATTATTTACATATATCATACAACAGTATTATATTATAATTTGTAGTATCATTACTTCAGTTCTTTCAATATTTAGGAATTTAAGAATCACCTGATTTAAAGTGATGATGTTTGATATAACCATATATTATATTATGCATTAAATGCTCATTTTCCAAGGTGACTGAAGGGGATAATTATTTTTTTCCATCCTGGGTGGTTCTTAGCAAGCTTTCTTGAAATCATTTCTGCCAACCAGATAATGTTTCTAATTTCTTATTCCTTGAGTTTCAAATAAGAATAGAAGACCTAATATGAATAGTATAGATTACTCCATATGAGCCTTATCCGTCAAATGCAAGAGCATATCTTCTGCATTCATCATCATACATAATATCATCAAGAGTTCTATATGTTAGTAGATTTAAGCAATTACTTTGTTTATACATTGAATTCTTCCCTCTTTAAAGGATCTGGTGCATCTTTGAGTAAATCCCTATAATTGTCACATCCTTTGACAGCTTCTCTGAGTGCATCCAAAGTCATGGCTTATAAGTACATCTTCTCACAATCAGGATATAAGTTTCCAATTGTTGGACACAATTGTTTTCTTGTTGTGATAATTTTAGCTGCTGTATTAAGATCCCTGTTTCCGATTGAATTGTAAATAACTTAGATTGTTTTGAAGTCAGCCTCAAATTTTAATAATTCCAAGAGTGCTTCCTAAGATGTTGGCATTAACTAACTAAATTGTATGCTTGTACTTCTTATTCGCAAAACAAATAGAAATCTTCCAACCACATCTTCTTAAGTGATGTTCTGATGTACTCTGGTTTCATTTCTCTGAATAAGTTTTGGATGTCATTCAAAGTTCTGTTTTCATGTAAATTCTCAATGGATTCTTCCAAGAATTTCATAAAATAGACACCAATAGGTGTATCGATAAGGACATCTCTATATAAACTGCTATAATCATCTCCTTCAAGCACTTTAATATTTTTGATTTCAGGGAACCAACCGAGTGGATCAATATTACTCAATAGTATTTCAATATCAATTTTATTCTTCAATCCCTCTATCATGTTGACTACATTATCAATCATAAAACGACATCTTTCATAATGAATCAATCAATCATACCTCAAATGAAATAAGTATTTTGTAAGTGTTCCAGTGGATTGAGCTTCGATGTACTCAAATTCATCAGCCAATTTCTTTTTGAGTCTCTATCTCAGAATTGATGTTGGTATTTGAGGATTGTCAGCTTATAAGCAATTCTATATTAATAATTGTCATAATTACTTAATAATCTGTTTCTTCTAAGAAAGACTTCAATTCTGGAATTGAGGCACAATTCTTCATCTATTAGTATTAAGCTTCAGTCAAGAAACTTGCTCTCAAGCCTCTGATTATGGCTTCGGCATAACCATCGTCAACCCCAAAAACACAAAGATCCATAAAATTTAATTTATTAAATTTCTATACACTCCATGAGTTCAAATATGCATATCGATAATCCACCCTATATTCCAATCAATATTAATTAATAAGAGAGTAACAAACAAGAACAATTCATCATAATAATATCAATAACACAATCATTATCAACATTAATTATCAAGGTGAACATAATGCATAGTCAAATGATCCAATGGATTCGAGTTTTAATTTGCTCTTATTCTAAAGTATAATTTGATATGCAAATCTTTATGCAAACAACAATGATTGCTTAAACTAAAATTTCTACAGATTGATTTATAGTTAGAATTCTAAACAAACCATTTTGACTCCCATCTATAAACTTAATTTGTTTCATAAATCAAGAATTTGCTAAATAAGATAGAAAAATAATTTAGAATTCTTTGCAATCTAATATTTATTACTCATGACTTTTTAATCATAAGATTTTGGAAGATAATATAAGCAAAAATATATCTTGGATATTAAAAATATATAGAATTTGAATCTGCTTTTCTTATACATTTGTATAAAGTGGGAATTTCAATAATTCAATTAATACATCAATTGGTTTATTCAATATATATTCCTATTTCTTTACATTTTATCCATATTATTTAGATCTACTCTATTAAGCTAATTCATCATAAAAAGAAAGAAAATATATGAACTAATATTATAATTCTTACAGATTAGTGTCCAAATATTCTATTATTTTTGTTATTAATATTTATTGTGTTTATTTACAGTATTATTAATAATATTATCGTATAGTCAAATCTCATTTAGAATGAAATAATAGAGAAGGTATTCCTATTAACAAATATGAGTGAGATTCCTTAAGACAAATTGTAATGATCAAATCTCTATTATGAATCATAGAATTATTTGTATTACTTTAGTTCTTTTTGATTGAATTAATTGAATTAAAAGTTTTAGTAAAAATCAACACTATTTATTGTATTTATATAATATAATACGTTAATGCTTAGTCGTCATGACAATAAATTTTACATCATTAATTAAAGCTTTAAATACAAGTATAATTTCTCTAAAAATTATTAATTTAATTTTAAGAACACAGATTATTCAATGGGATCAATATTTTTTAAAAAAGGAGTAGATAAACTTCAACCACCTACAAAATAATTCTTCGATTTTGAACTCAATAACATTGATGGATAGAAAACTTAACTATCTTAATTCAAAGGCAAAAAAGCTTACATTTGTGTGAATGTTGCTTGTTCTTGTGGATTAACATCTTCAAACTACAGCGAACTTGTGGAACTTTATAAAACCTATAGGTATCAATCAATAATATTTTAGTGCTCAAGGTTTAGAAATCTTAGGATTTCCATGTAATCAATTTATGGGTTAGGAATCCAAACCCGAACCTGAGATCAAAGAGTTTGTTCTCTCTAAGTACGGCGTATCCTTCCCATTGTTTTAGTAAAGATTTAAAAATATTAAAGAAAAATTGAGGTTAATGGATAAAACACTCATGAAATTTACAGATATTTGAGATTGAACAGTTCATTAAAAGTTAGTGCCAATGAAGCAAAAGAAGTGCCTTGGAATTTTGGAAAATTCTTATTGAATTCATAGGGTCAAGTTGTGAGATTTTTTAATCCAGATTAGAAACCAAAAGAAATGAAACAAGATATCGAAAAATTGTTGAGTCAATGATTGTATTCGTTTACAATAATATATAAATGTATGAATTATAAGTATTTTAAATCTTATTCGCCACAATGTTTAAATAATATTATCAATATATTCTTAAAGATTCTAAACTTATATAATAAAGATCAATATGTTAAATAGTAAATCATAACAGAGATCTACACGTATAGATATTAAGATAATAACCATATAATATGATATATTTTTACTTTTACGAATATTCTGAAAATGAGAGAATTAATAATAAAGATAATCTCTACATTTAATTGATTAAACCTATTAAAATTATTTTATTTTACTTGTTATTGTAATGAGTATTAATAAAATGCCTTGACATGAAAACCTCATGAGTATTTCTATCAGGAAAAGCTTGGTCTAAAATAACAACGAATAATTGAGTTTTTGACTTAATTTATCTTATTTAGAAAAAAGTGAGGAATTTTATTTTATATTGATCTTATTTCTTATGAATTTCATTAAATTCTGGGTGTGGAGTCCACTGTATGTTATGATTTTACTCATTGCTTACTTTGATATAATGTTAATTTATGTAAATTAGTCATATTAATATAGATTTTTAGAGATCCAGATACGACAGAAAAGGCATAGTTGATTGTGCATCATTTATTAATGTTGGTTGACATTTACTTAATTTTTAAAACAAGCAGTACTAAACCAGGAACACCTACATATTTCTATACTGAAGATGACCCTTTGGCTGATATGCGGCCATTTTGTAAACATTGTTTCTTAAAGAAACCACTGCGATGTCATCATTGCATTAGTTGTGGTAAATGTATTTTAAGAATGGATCATCATGAGTATTGGGTAAATAATTGTATAGGACAGAACAATTACAAATATTTTTTTTGCTTAATCTTTTATATGAGTAATTTATTATGAATATTTGGAGCTGTAACTTTAGAGTTTTACATTTGCATCTATTTAATTAAAATTATTAAATCTCCTCCGAATGGGGCAATTGATACGTACTTTATAATTTTCACAGTTCCTTTGAGCATCTCATTGAATTTAATACTGATTCCAGCCTTGGCAATTCATATTCGGTATGGTTGTATTGATATAAAGATTAATATTATATAATCAAACAATGGTTGAGTACTTTGAAAAAACAGAAGAACACCATGATAAAGGTGTAATAGCTAATTGCAAGGAGTTATTGGGACCAGGATGTTGGTTAGTTCCTATTTGAAAATAATTTTATTTCCAATTTAAATGAATATAACTAAAAATCAAATCATCAATAATTAATTAAAGTGAATGAAAAAGCTAGCTGAGTTGACTAATAAGGAAATAATCAATTTGTTGTCAAGACAAGCCCATGTAGAGTTGCAGTCGAGCTTCTTGTACTTGTAATATGCCTATTGGTTCGACAATAACAATTTTGAAGGGATTGGGAAATTCTTCAAAGCGGAAAGTGAAGAGGAGAGAAAACACAGTGTTTAGATATTTGATTACTTGAATGTAAGAGGTGTTCAAGTGGCAATCGACCCATAATAGACAGCCTTCTCAAATCTGAAGACTCATTTTGAAAAACCCGGAGATTATTTTGAAGCCTACTTAGCAAGAGAGCATTTGAATTATTCTTTGCTTGATTAGATTGGAAAATAGGCATAATAGACCGAAGAGATATTGACTCACAAATTCATAGGTTCAATGTTGGAGGATCAAGCATCATCAGTCGATGAGGCAGAAAAGCTATATGCCAAAGCCCAAGCTTATTCTGCCTTTCCAGGATTATTTTACCATTTAGATGCATAAATCAAGAAGGGAAGCCAATCATTCGACACATGGAAAGCAAAGCAGTCATGATTCTGAAATTCATATTGGTTTATTAGAATTAATTGATTCTTAATTTCTGAATGCAAAAAATCATTTTTAAAACTTTTTGTGAAATATGAATATTTGCAATTTTATTTTGTTTGTTAATATTAAACAATAATTGGGTTATTATAGCACACTATTAATGTATGTAATGTGATTAAAATAAAAAAAGATCCGTAATATATATAAATATGACATACTTTTTATAAGAATTAATTAAAATAGTCAACGATATTCAACATGCAGTGTTTTAGAGCTTTGAGATACTTTTCTGTATGGTCTTAAGTGCCCATGGGACCAGCCGATCCTATTTTGGGAGTGGCTGCCCAATTCAAGGCTGATCCAAGCACTACAAAAGTAAATCTAAGTATTGGAGCCTATCGTGATAATGACGGAAAGCCAGTAGTACTTGAGTCAGTTAAGAGAGTAACTAAATCCAATTTATAACAAGGCTGAACAAATTATAAAGGAAAAGAAATTAGACAATGAATATCTTCCCGTTGAAGGACTTCAATCATTTATTGATGCTTCCATTAAATTAGGTTATGGAGATGCTTACTATGCTTAAAACGGAAAAAGTATTGCAGGATGCTAAGTATTGAGTGGAACAGGTGCAGTTAGACTTGGGTTCGAATTCTCTAAGAAATTCTTGCCTTAAGGAACAAAAGTGTATATGCCCAATCCAACATGGCCTAACCATCATAACATTGCTAGAATGGCAGGATTAGAAATTTCTGAATATCGTTATTTCGATCCAAAAACACGTGGAGTTGATTTCTCTGGTTTGGTAGAAGATTTGAATAAGGCTCAAAATGGATCAGTCATCTTGTTCCATGCTTGTGCTCATAATCCAACTGGATGTGATTTGACTACAGCCTAATGGACACAATTATTAGATTTGACCAAAAAGAAGAACTTCCTTCCATTCTTTGATATGGCTTATCAAGGATTCACAAGTGGAGACGTAAATAAAGATGCTGAAGCAGTCAGATTATTTACAGCTCAAGGAGTTCCTATTGTTTTAGGATAATCTTTTGCTAAAAACATGGGATTGTATGGATAAAGAACAGGATGTCTTAGTTTTGTCTGTTCCAATCAATAAGAAAAAGACAAGGTGGTTTCATAATTGAAATTGTTAGCCAGACCATTATGGTCAAGTCCTCCTCTCCATGGAGCTAGAGTGGCTGACATAATTCTCAACACACCAGAACTCAATTAATTGTGGTTATAAGAAGTCAAGATGATGGCCAATAGAATTCAATTGATGAGAGTTGGTCTTGCCAACACTTTGAAGAGTCTAGGTTCTCCTCATGATTGGTCTCACATTTCCAAATAAATTGGTATGTTTGCCTTCACTGTAATATATTAAGTACTATTTTCAGGGTGTCGGTCCAGATCACGTTAAAGAATTGATTGCCAAATATCACATCTATTTATTGAGCAGTGGAAGAATCTCAATTGCTGGATTGAATGAAGGAAATGTTAAGTATGTTGCTGAAGCTTTCCATGATGTGACCAAGAATACAAAATTGTGAAGTATTATTCAATTATTAATATAACAATATCATTGGTAGAATTTAGACAGATTTCATATTCATCCTTCGTTCTTAGGTGCATTTCAATTGAAATTAACGATAATGAGATATTTTAAGCAATCTAAAGTTTTGGATTACTGATAAGTGTCATTATAATATTGATAATTAATAATGCTCAATAAGTACACTCTGGAATTTCTATTCAAGGATTAAGCAGAGCAGTATGAGAATTATTCCAAATCCTCCAAACTTAGGGAAGTAACTAATTTCACAATCTATTCAGTTGTAATATAATCCATATCTATCTCATAGTCATTTTCCATTCTCAATACTACAAAATTTATTTTACGAGATTCTATCCCTTATTCTATACTTAGTGGAGGAGCAATTCTTCTTATTTTGATCTTGTGGAAGATACTGTAAAGAAAGCCACACTTGATCAATGTGATTGTAACAATTTATCAAATATTTTTGCTTTGTGCTTTTAAAATACCTTAGTTATTTGAAGGTGCAACCAATCCAACCTTAGATTAATCTTGGTATTATGGATTTTAATGTGGCTACCTGCATTTTAATGTTTATCTTTTAAGTGCAAATTTCATTTATCAAACCTTTCTGCTGATTTTAACAATTGGAATCCACCTCTATCAGGACAACATCGACATTAAAGATGGAATTATTAATATATTTCTCTTCATTTTTTTGGCCATGAACATGATTGCCATCAAGTATAATTATGAAAAAACTAAAAAAGAACAATATCTATAGAGTTGTCAGTAAGAAAAGTGGGAATAATTACTATCCAAAGTGTTGTCAAGTTCAATTCTACTAATATCCTATGATAAGAAGTAGGACTAATTGCAATTAGAGAAGGAAAATAAATTTTCATCCATTTTATTCAGACTAAAAGATAGTGAAAATCTGAGACAATTATTGAGACAGGTATTTGAATCCCCCCCACTTATTTTAGTTGATAATATCCTCAAGTAGTGATCCTGATGATAGCGTCTCTAATTTAGTTCACATAAGCATGGAAGCAACTTTGAGGAGATTTTTAATTCACACTCAAGAATTTTCCGATTCTTTTAAAACCTATAAATATACTGTTCATCATCAATAAACTTAGAAATTTTATAATGTCAAATTACTCAGATGTGTGTTTAACAATAAACTGCAGTGTTTACTGATCATAGATCCAAAAAAAAAATACTTTTACAATCAAACCTAGGTTTTGTGGAGCATCCTTTAAAATATAACTGAAACAGCAAATGAACAATCCCGTTTTTTAATTAAAATGCTAACCAAATTTAATCAAATCTCCATTAAATAGAAATTCCCAGATTAGAAATTCTATTTTAATCATAATTTCATACAAAATATTCAAATCATATTTCAAAACAAATCAAATCGTCTCAAACTCTAAGATATCACTCAAACTTCATTATAAACTCTACTGGATCCATTAATTGGTATTGATTCTTAAAAGGTACTTATTAATAAGTCATTTACTCATGATATTGCAATCATTTAGCAATTGCTAATTTCTTGCTTTTACATAATTTAGCATATCTTTAGAGATGTCAAAATTCTACAAATTCTTATAGAGAATCAAAATACGGAAATATTCTTCTCCATTAAAATAAGGGAGAATGATAAAGCTATTCAAACTAAGATCTTAGAGATACTGCAAACTAATTGGGTCAAGTCTCCCAAAGGGTTTTTCCACAAAAATACTATTCACCAATCACTTCTAGAAAGAATTAGCTATTTGACACAATAGTTTTAGATACCCATAAATTTACTACTCAACATAAGCATCACTTAATTGATTCTCTCTGAATTCGGAGTTTACAATCATTTAGATATTATACAAACTAATAATCAGATTACTTTTAATTTTTCTTTAGTTTCCTAAATTTAATGATTTATTATTTTAAATTACTTAACTTATATATTATAATTATTAATATAAATATGTAATTAATAGCTGTGTTGATTGCTGCATACAATCCAGTTGAAAAGAAAGTTATTATGCTGACTCGATATTATGAATTGAACTCGGTAGGAATATTCTATAGAAACACTGTGAAGGATTCCATGAAGTTTGTGTGTAGAGAATCAGTGATTGGTTTAGACAAAGGAACTAGGTAATTAATAAAATGATTTTAAGACATTCAGTGATGCATGAGGATAAATATTGCCACATATAAATGGGTTATGGAAGTGATAAAGTAGGAGCTTACGCATTTTGTGATTAAGACTATCCAAAAAGAATAGCATTTGCATTTTTAAATGCAGTTTTACAAGCATTTTAGAAGAAAGTAGGAGATGATTGGAAAAAGTACAAAGAAGATGAAAGCATAGAAGTTCCAGAAATTAAGCAAGTACTCATTTGATGTTTACAATAAGTTATTCTAAGAGTATTAAGATCCAAAGAATGTCGATAAAGTACTACTTGCATAAACTAAAGTTGATGAAACCAATATCATATTGCATGAGAACATAAAAAAACTGTTGGAACGATAAGGTGATTTGGATTCATTAGTTGCTAAGAGTAATGATTTATCAGCTGGTGCTAAAATGTTCTATAAATAATCTAAAGATATGAATAAAAAGAGCTGCTGCGAAATTTTTTGAATTTTTCATATATTGAAAAGAGATATATATTTAATGATTCAAACATTTATGATATAATTGGCTTTGTTGTTACTTCTTCATAAATTTCTGCAAATACTTAGAATAATATTATGGAATATTTTATGAATAAAATTTGAACTTATCAATAGATTTGATCACGGTTTAACTATATATAGAAGCATATTTGCTTTTAGATTCATTAATCTTTGACTTAAGGAAGTTTTAAAATTCTAGTGTTTATTGTAAAATCTATTTACAAATTTGTTTAACTTGATATATATTTAGATTGGCTATAGATTCCTAAATTTATTATCTATCTTCTATCATATCTAAGTCATATATACATAATTGTTAATTTGATTTAACTGAGCAATTATTTGAAATAAATTTTCATCCAATCTACAAATAATTCATAAAGATTTACTACAATTAGTCATTTAAGTATTATTAGTTGATAGTAATTTTATATAATTGGAAGAATTGGTTTATTATTATTATTTGATATTTATAATAATATATATTTTTTATGTAATGTAATTAATAAATAGTATTCTTAAATATATCCTAAATAATTATTCACATTTATTCTAAAATCTATGAAAATCAAAAGGCTTTCCTATCTTCGTCAATTTACTATTTAAATGCATTTAATTAAATGTTTTTTTTGATCCATTACCATTATTTGCATTCTTAACATATAGAAGGGAGTTCTCAAAGAAACTACCGTTCATATTTGTCTCTATTGAATTCTAATAATATTAAAATAAAATGAATAAAGAATCACAATCAAAATAATATTGGCATCATTTTATTGCTGGTTTAGTTGGAGGATTCATCAGTGTAACTGTATGCCATCCTTTAGAAGTAGCCAGAAGCAGATTGAACCTTCAAGTAATGAATTAACCATTTTAAGAATGCTACTAAATCTGTAAACAAATATCAAGGTTTCATTAACACACTTTACGTTATCTAAAAAGAAGAGGGTTTTGCAGGTTACTACAAAGGTAAAAATGCATCATCATGTAAAAGGGTATCGAGCAACAGCAATAGCTAATCCGATTTTTCATTCACTTTTCTTCCCCCTTTATAAATGGAATAAGAAAAGTTTAGAAATCTCATATGGAATAAATGGTTTCTAGAATCACCTTTTGGCAACCATCATCACAGGGTTTGTTTGCGATTTAATTACAAATCCTTTATGGGTATATTAATGCAATTAACTCTTATTAAAAGTTAATCAGAACTAGAATGTAAACGTAATACTTACATGATCAAAATAATGCAAAGTATACATCTGTTTTTAGAGGATTGATCACTTTATAAAAAGAAGTAATGAATGAAATAAGGGTTTTAGGAAGGTTTCCTTGCTTTGTACAAAGGACTTGGAGCTACAGTGTTGGGTCTATCCCACGTAGCAGTATAGTTTCCAATATACGAGAGATTAAAACAAAATTATACTGATAAGAATGGTTAGCTTTTGCCAACTGATATTCTTAAGGCTTCAATATTATCAAAGTGTAATAAATACATCTATGTATAGTAATTGCTGTTTTGGTAACCTATCCTCATGTGGTTATACGAACTAGATTACATGATAATAAAACTGTATATAAAAGTGGTCTTAAATCAAGAGTTAGAATTATTGATATTTGTAGAGTCATATATGAATAGGATTCGATAAGAGGGTTCTATAAAGGCTTAATACCAGATTTAATAAGAGTGTTACCTACAAATAGTATAACATTTCTTGTTTATGAACTCTTCAGTCAATACTTAGGGAAGCATTTTTGAATGGATTAAGCGCATTTAAATATGTATAGGTGGAAATGAATATATTGTATTTAATCAAAAGTAATTTTCAGTGTTCATTGTGTCTATTCCTAATTCATCATTGTCCTCCTCTGATCTATCAAAAGCAATAACTTATAAATTATAATCGTTGTCAGGTTCTCCAACGTTGGAAACAAAGCTGCTATCAATCAAATCTCTAATTATTAGAGTAAAGCTTTGAGCTCCATCATGAAAAGCCTGCAATTAATCAAAAACCTTTTGTAATTTGCTGTCACGATATGGATCATCGCAATTAAAGATGGGTGTTTTATCTCTCAAATGATCCAACACCTTAGAGACGATACCTTAGGTTGTAGTAAACACAGCTCCCAGAGTACCAGTGCACATTTCCAATTCAATTTCTGGTATTTGTAAACTGGCTGTTTCGGATTTAAATACATTTCTCTTCAAATCTTATTTGCTATTAACATACAATCTGAAGAGTTTCCCTTATGGAGTAATACCATTGGCTCCTTTGATTTCTGTATCCCTATATCCGCATTCATTACATGTGAATGACATGATGATAAGATCTCTGACATAAGGAATTGTGATTTTACACATCTTATTTATTCCTACTTCTCCACACTAATTGCAATTGTTGCTGAATTCAACGCCATCATGATCAAATTACTCCTTGACGGCTGAATTGAGATCTTGATTATTTAAGTTTATTTATTATAGAATTTCCTTAGTAACATCGTCGTTTTTCTTATCCATTTTACCTTTGATTTCTTGGTATGAATAAATTAATTTATGAGTTCATTTTAGATATCCTTTAAAGTGCTATGAAATAGTCATCAGAATTCATTAGTTAATATTTAAATGGTTGCTTTCTCTTATGAAATAGTCATTAAAATAAATAATAAATTTTTGATCAATTCTGATAATTTTCGGTCTTCATTGTATCTATTCCTAATTCATCATTGTCTTCTGCGGTTCTGTCAAAGAGAGTGATTTTGACTTAATTGTCTTCATTTGGGTAGAAGGGATTTTGAATGAAACTGTTTTCAACTAAATCCCTTATGATTAGAGTAAACTTGGATTTTCCTGACTTGAATTCCTCCAATTTCTAAAATATTGATTCCATCTTTTTCTTATAATCCTCATCCGCACTATCTCCAACAAATGGATTCTACTATTAAATTATAACAATTACATTATCCCTTAAACGTGTAAGAATTTATTCTAATAATCCCTCGACATTTGAATACACACCACCCAAAGTGCCAGTTCCAAGTTCCAATTCAATATCAGGAATAATCAATTTAGCAGTATCTGATTTAAATACATCTCTGCATAAGTCATTTTCATTTTCAAATTTCAATTCTATGATTTTACCTTGTTTAGTGATCTCACCAGTTGCTTTAACTTCTGTGTCTTTGAATCCACAAAACCCACAATTGAAACTCATAATAAGAATTTCCTTAAAATGAGGAATAGTGACAGTGCACATTTTGTTTTCTCCCATTTCTTTACAAACATTACACGGTGTGGGAATATTGATAGATTCATTTTTAACAGAATCCTCAATAGGCTAAGCAAAATTCTATCCACCAGCTTATATTTATTCAGCCCCTTAGTGAATTGGATCAGCAATGACTTATTATTATTGCTGTATTTGCTGAACCTCTTATTTTTAATTCTCAGCACTATATCCCATAGCCTCCAACTCTTCGATTGTTCTTATGTAATGTTGAATTTTAAGTGAGGGATCTTCTTAGAGTTCATTTAGATTTTAGATGAAACTATTTCCAGAGGGGTCCTCCAATATCCAATGAAAGGGTAATCCTTAACCCTCCTTGAATTCCTTTAATTTTCCAATGATATATTCAATTCGATCATGGACTTCCACCTATGTATACTTTCTAATTGGTTGATCATGTGATAAGTCATCAATAATATTTTAAAGGAATCCCTCTAAAGTATTGATACTGCTCTTCTTATTGGATGGCATTTCAAACTCTAGTTCTGGAATCAAAGCTTTACAGAACTCTGATCTGATGATCTGTCTTTGGAGATCCTAAAATTATCTAAATAATCTTTACTTTAGGTTCATTGACTTTTAAATGCAGTTTAATTCCCTTTTCTTTGATTTCTCCACCAAATTACACTTCATTATTTTTATATCCACACTGTTCACAATCAAAAGAGACAATAATAATGTTAGAGAACATGGGTATTTTAGTCAATAATATTGTAGTTTTGCCTTGTTATTCGCAATTTACACATAAGCTATCAGTAACGAAGGCTATTTCATAATGATAAATTGTTACGCTCTGAATCTCCTGTAAGGTTTGCATAAATTACTTCTGGATTATTCATTAATTAAAATTTTAACAAATATATAAAACTTTAATTATAAATGAAACTAATATAGTCTTTAAATAAATATTATTTAATGATTCACAATATATAAAGACATTCTAATTTAATCAATCTATCAATTATTATTATTAAACTTCTATTTACATGGATACATCCTCTTAATGTTCTTCCTACATTTCTCCCTCCTCATCCCACACATCCTCCCATTCTCCTTCATTTCCCCTTAATTCTCCCAGATCCTCAAATTCCTTCACTAACTTCCCCCAATCTTATGGGAATGGATCATTCGCATTATCCCATCCACTCTATAAGAATTGTACCATCTCTTATTCACTTAATAAACAACTCTCGAAAGCATCTAAAATTTCTTATTTTGGTAAATTTTATCCAATGAACACAAGCTCCTATCTTCTATCCCCAATTGGTTCAGGTAGCCAGTTCTGTTTGAGTCCATCCCAAATGGCCTATTGACATAATCATATAATATACATCAACTTCTTCTTTGGTATCAGCCCACACCTTCTTGGGTATGGATATCCACCAAAAGGAACCAGGATGATAAGTCAATTAGGTTCCTGCCTTGTGTATGTGGATATTCAATCTTTCCCAACTTGCTATCCACATATATCCCTTGCATCTGATGATATTATTCCAAAATGATAGTTCTTCAGTGGTATTTCTTTCTATGAGTTGAAATAGTCGGTCAGGATGGAAGGCTCTCCTTGATTTGAAAGCACAAGATTAGATTCCATATTCCTCAATCTCACTTTTATGGATTGGCTTTTAGAGTTCGGTAATCCACTTTCCAGTTGTAGAGGCTTCTTCAAAGTTGAACAATTTTGTGTTGATAATTTCCTTTAAATCTATCTATCCTTATATAGATTCTATAATCTTAGCGTTGGGATTCAGTTTCTTTAGGAGATTCAATATAAACTCTTTTCTCTCCTAATTCACAAGATCTGTTTTGTTCAATATTATAACATTAGCAAATTCAACTTGATCCAACAACAATTATGACAATGGGATCTAATCCATCTATTTGTTATCTACATTCATTTCCTCTCCTTATTTATCCGATTGCAATTGCTCCAAGAAATTCAAGGCATCAATCTTAATACTAGATAATCAAAGATACCATAGTGACCATAGTGTCAAGTCGAGCGAACTTCTTCAACATCTATCCCTTCTTTCTCATCTCCTCATTTTCAAAATAAAAAGCTTAGGCTATTGGCAATGGCTCAGCTATTCCTGTACTCTCAATCAACATATAGTCAAACTACCCAGACTTGGCTATCTTCGATATGTGTTTGATTAAATCCTCTCTAATACTGTATGTCTAATAATTACCTCAATGTGCAGCAAATGCATCCATTCGACATTTCAACAAGTTTTTCCTTAGTCTTTTTCACACTAAACTTTCCTTCCTTTATTAAGTTCGAATCGACATTGATCTCTCCCATGTCATTAACAATTACAGCTATTCTGCAATCATGGCGCTATTTAAGAATATAGTTCAATAGGGTTGTCTTTCCTGACCCTAAAAAACCACAAAGTACTGTAACAGGTAATTTCTTAATTTTAGTGGTGTGATTCATGTGCCAACTTGGATATTATTTTTAAATTAAAGTGTGATTCATGAATTACCACAATTTATATGAGTGAATTTCACACCCCCTTATAATTTATATATAAATTAAATAATGTATGTGAATAAAATTATTTTTTAGTATATCTAAGTATTGGACATCTACTCACTTGTCTTACTTACTTTCAAATTTGGATGAACTATACAGAATTATTTAAAATTAACCAAAAAATATATTTTTTCATTTGACTAATAATTAACCAGAAAGATATTGTATTTGCAGATGATATCCAATAGAATACTAAATAAAAACCAATTTATATCCTGTTATTAACCTTTAATTGATTAATGAATCGAAGTTTTTATTCATTTTTTCATAAATAAAGACATCAAATATTATAAATACATGAATTACATTATTTCTCAAGTGTATGACCAAACATTTGGTTAATTATTTGAGTTACACCATCAGCTCAAACTCTATGATACAAATTATAAAAATTATATAATTAATTTAAAATATGTCGTTGCAATTCTAACCTAATGCTAACTAAGTATTAGGAGCATTTTAAAGAGTCGGATTAAATCAGGGGCAGGCTTACTAACCTGATCAGATATATCAAGCTTTGGATCAATTAGTATATTAAAATTTAAGAATAATCAAAATAGACTGGCTAAGCGTATGATAGAGATGTGGCCACTTAAATTTATGAACAATGTACTCCAAATCAAAGAGGATAAGTTTAAATTGAAGAGTTTTCGCAGATTTTGATATCTGCTGATGGGATGTTAAAGAAAAAGATTAATGATACCGAAAAATAAATTTAGTAGTTAGTAGAGGAATCAAGAGACTGTCAAAGACAAGTATAGGAAATCCAATGTACACATTATTTTATATCGAAGACACTCAATAATAAAATTAATATGGTATAGACATTGATTCATCCCTCAATATAATCATAAAGTCAGCCTCAGGAATCACAACCCAAGATTTCATTTAAAGTTATGTATCAATATCAGTTGATAATAATGAATAAATTGCTTAACAGAATGGAGGAGATAAGTTCCATCCAATATTTAATGAGCAATTGGGATTGTACAAATGCATATATTAATGTCTAGCCAAATCAAAACTGGAAGAGAGAATGTTACCCTGAGCTTATTGATCTAAGATCGAAACCAAAAGAAATCCTTGGTCGGACAAGCTAGAATAGATTTGTCTTCATTATAAGATTAATAAGTCCATTCTCTCCAACTCCAATTGTAAAATGACAAGCAATAATATGCCTCCCCAACCATATAATTCGATGTCCAGTGGATTTATAATAAAGTAATTCCCACAGTCCTTATTTAGCTTAAATATTACTAAGAAATGATCTCTAAATTCGAAGCTGATATTCAACAACACTACAATGACATCGAAGATTACAAAAGAGATCTATTTGTAGTTTAGTAGCCTTTCATGGATAAAAACTAAAGGCAGAATCTTTAATCCTCCTTGAAACCATAAACATCCTCAAAGGTGCAAACAAACTCTGCTCTCCTTTACTAGCAACAATAAAACTAACCGCAAATATATAAGCCTACAACACCTCAATAATCTTAAAGATAAAACCTAGATAACATTCAACCACAATTTTAAGGGGAGGCCTCAGAAGAACTTAGTGATGAAATATATTATGGATTCATCTTGTACCTTCTGATGATTGTCTTATCCATGTTCCAGTGTTTTGCAAGACCAGCCTATGTGGATGTAAACTTCAGATTATAGTCTTATAGATTTTATTAGGGACTTTGTACTTGTTGATTATCTGCAGAGATTGCTTTACTCCAGAGTACTTGAAAATAGTGGGGGCAATAACAGTTTTTACTATAGTTTTAGATATATTTTGGATAGCAATCTACAAGGTAATTTCGCATTAGTAAATATTATAGAATTGGTGGAGTGGCACTGACAAAACCCTGCCTACTTGGGGAGAAGCTGGAGATCCAATCGTCAGAATAACTATAGTGTTTTGCATATTCAACATGATTTTAAAGGTAAAAGGCAGTCTTAATTTATTTTTAGACTGCCTTGTGCTATATAATTTTCCACTATTACAAAGCTGCTTAAACTAATTAGGTCTTGAAGTTCAAAGCATGGCAGTTGGAATTCTAGATCGGAATATTGAAATAAAATCTCTTTACTTCAGACAAGAGACTCTTATCTTGATTTATTAAATTATCAATATATAATACAATTATGCAAACTCTTGATTAAATTGTTGAGGATCTCTTCAATAAGTTCACCTTCTAAAAACCGATTCCTTGTCCAACACCTGTTAAACCATAGAGGGCATTTTCAGCTTTCAGAAGAAAACCTTAAAACCCATAATAAATTTTATAATAAGCAACACAAATTGTGGAGAGGAAACAGGCTTTACTCAATAGCATTCAATCAATGAAACTCTAAAGAAGTTATACTGTTTGCAAAACTGAAGAATCAAATAAACCTGTTAAATTTGAAAGATATCAAATTTTGTCTAAGTTGGCTGTTGGAGCATTTGCAACTGTGTTTAAAGCTTATGATAGAATGACTGATTCTTAAGTAAAAATAATAAATACAATAGTTTAGGTAGCCATCAAAAAGTATAACTCTAATCTATTAAAATCAGAATAAAAAAAACTGTTGTCTAAGGAGACTGAGATATTGAGAAAGCTAGACCACGAAAACATAGTTAAATTTCTTGGGACTTACAAGAATACAATAGTCTTAGAATTCATTGATGGACAAACTCTCACAAATTATTTGAAAAGTAAGTTTAGAATCTATTTAACAAGATTAACCAAATAGACGACTATAGGAAAAAGAAGCCAAACAAATATATTCTTAAATTCGAGAAGGAATTAAATATTTGCATTCAAAAAATATCTTTCATAGAGATTTAAAAGCAGATAACATTATGATAATTAATTAATAAGTCAAGCTAATCGATTTCGGACTTGCATCAGAGAATCAACTCTGCTCAGATTTTTGTGGTACACCTGCATATATGGCACCAGAAATCTTTCAAAAAAAGCCCTACGATGGCAAAAAGGCTGACATTTGGGCTCTTGGAGTCTTACTTTATTAAATACTTTGTGGAAAAGTGCCCTTTCCAGGTAAAAATGATGAAGAAATTATGTTGGCTTAACTTCCAAAATTCTCACTTCCTAAAAAAATTAGTAAAGAATTTCAATATCATTTATTTCATCTTTTAGACAAAGATCATACTAAAAGAAAATTATGATAATACTATATTAATATGAATTATTGTTTATCTTTAAAGAATTTATCAACTTTCTATCCATTTCACTTTAAAAAATTGTCTTTGTTAAATTTCATTTTATGTGATTTTTTATTTTTGGAATTCCAAATTCTAAATGATATATTATTATGAGATCTTAAATGCATTCAGAAACTATTTAGAAACTCAAAATTACATGAGAAAGATATTTAGATGATCTTATAAATTTGGATAAAATTACATTTTATTAATATTACTATGTTAAATTTTCACTCAATGTAATAATTCAAATTTATGACAATGCATTCAAATTGAATAAAGTTATTGAAACCATTGTTTCTTTCTATAAATTTATTTGCCTATTATGTAATATCAAATTAAGGCAACAGTAATGTCAAATAGAAAAAGTAAAAAGAAAAATAATTTTAGAAAGTCAGGTTAACTCAGTTAATTCTAAACTATTGGTTTGATCATTGCTTTAAATGACATTTAGTTTATATATAAATTAATAGGGAAATAATTATTTCCATTATATAATTGCATAATAATTTGATAAGGTTGAAACAATTTTATATAAAAGTCAGATTAGACTTCAGATTCGAAAAGCTGTTAAGAGGACATGCTATTCTAACTTGATTATCCAAATTTAAAAGGCAGAGCCAATCAAAATTTGAGTTTATCTATTCTTAAACCAAGTATATAATAGTTTTAATGCTTAAAAATAAATTAGCATCAAAATGGTAAAGTATCAAATATATTTGTTAGAGTGGCATAGCTAAGAGTGCAAAAGGCGGAAAAGGTGGAAAAGGTGGAAAAGGAGGAAAATTTGGATAAGGCAAGAATAAGAAGGCCCCTTAATCTAGGTCTTTGAAGGCCGGACTTTAAGTAGAAAATTAATCAATTATAAGTTCCCTGTTGGTCGTATTCACAGATATTTGAAGCAAAGAGTCTCTGCCAAAAACAGAGTAGGAACAACATCTGCTGTTTATACATCAGCAATATTAGAATATTTAACAGCTGAGGTTCTTGAATTAGCAGGAAATGCCTCTAAAGACTTTAAAGGTAATTCTAAATATTAAATTTCTTCCTAGTGAGAAGAATTACACCAAGACATCTTTAATTAGCTATTAGAGGTGATGAAGAACTCGACATTCTCATTAGAGCCACTATTGCTGGCGGTGGAGTGATCCCTCACATTCACAAAGCTTTGTTAGGCAAATAAACACCAGAGGGAGGTCTTCCAAAGGAATGATATATATTATATTAATTCATAAGAATTATTTTTACGATGGAAAGAAAACCTTTAACAAATAATATTTGGAAATTAAATCCTCCGAGTAATTAGTTCCTTTGCAAAACTTGTAGAGCAAAATAGATTTAAGAATTTTTTTCATAAAGTCCCTGCTAAAATTTATTCGTTGATTATTTTAAGATAAAATTATCAAGGATTCTTATAAATTGGTTATTGATTATAAATATCTATTTTTTTGCAAACACATACAAGGATAAACATCCTATTCAAACAAAATTTGAAAATTTCAATATACCAAAACTTATTTTATTAAGAAGAATTAAATTTGAAATGCATTGAGGATGATAAATATCATCTAAATTAATTAAATAGGTATTTCAGACTGCTTTGCTAAAAGTCAATTTTATTTAATTTCTATATATAAAAAAATTACCTATTATTAAAGCAGTTTTCTGATATCTAAAAGTGTAACTATTATCAATAATTAAAGTAAATAAGTACATTAAGAATGAAATTTGGAATAAAGCTGTTTCCAAAATATTTTGAAAATCGCATTTATTTATGAATTAGTTGATGTCATCTTCATAAGCATTTTTAGTGAAATTATATGATGCAGAGATTATATTTTAGAGTACTGTTATTTTATTAGTAGATTGAAAATAAATTGCACAAAAATTAATTATTTAACGATTATATATAAATTATAAACTAAATGCAAGGTAATTTCAATATTTTTCTTGTGGTGATTAATACACCTTTAAAGTAAGGTGTTCCTCGAAGAAAAATATCAAAATAGCCTAATATTACTAATAATAGTATTATTTGTCATAGACGTAATTTAAAAATAAAATGCAATTTTTATTTATTCAAAAAGATACATGTCGATTTATTGAGACAAGAGCCACTCTTATTTGAATATTAAGGCTGTATGGTGTTCTGTTACTGGATAAAGGATATGTATGTTTGTTTATAATGGATAATATATATATATATTGATATCAATTTCTAGTAAAATTGACATCTCAATTGCTGAAATAAGAGGCTGAAAGCTCTTCGACAGATTTTTCAAACATGTCTTGGTTTGAAAATTCTATAGATGAGATTTCAAATTCAACATTCATTTCAGGTTCAACATCATAATTGTATTCATAGGTGAATACATTTTGATTAAAATTATCACTAGTGTAGTGACTAAGGAAGGCATCTGAATTGCCTTGGATGATGTTGTTGGTTGAATAAGAATGGTCTTAGGATTCATAACAAAGTGAGTCATTTTTTGAGACACTCCTAGTGTCAGATACATAGATGAGTTCTCCTGTTTTTAAATAATTTTGAATAATATCTAAGATATTATTGACAATTTAGTCGATGATCCTTCTTTTGTTGGAGTCTATCTTTTGGGTTGGGATCAAGTGGGCAAACATGGAGTTATTTTAAGGAGGCATAACCTCTTTAACAGTTGATATGATTAACTTTTTTAATTTCTTTTCCTTCATAGACTAATATTAGAAAAAAAATAATACCTGGAGAGATGTGTTCTAAAGTAATTGGTCAATTCCATATCTTGTGACAGCCTCTTTAAGGCCCTTGTACTCTGATTTTCTCTCGTAACCATGGACGGATTGAATGGTCTTTAAATTTTTATCTAATCTTCTGGCGATCTCTTGGCAACTTACGCCTTATGACTTTAAATCCATGATGATGCAGCGTTCCTCATCACTTATTTTATCATACTTCTTCCTTCTCCCGGAAGAGCTCAAATCTTTATTCATAATAAAAATAATAATAAAAATGATATTTTTGATGACCTTAAACTATGGAAAAATTAAATGAGAGTTCCGTTATTAATTATTTAACAATTTAATTAATGTTTTTTTTTCAAATATAATATGTAATTTGGAAAAATAAATAATATGAAATTTTCCTTTTTATTATTAAATTCAAAACTTAAGAAACACCAAGATTTAAAGTTTTATTATAGTTGATATAAATTTAAAGGACGTTCAACACTTACAATCATCGTCCTTGTCTTTATTCCCTTGTTAGGCTTGTTTATAAAATGTCCCCAATTTAATGCCACTATCCTAAAAATATAGATTGAATGGATACTTCGTTTGCAAAATCAATTAAATTTTTGTCAATTTTATCTAAGATTTGCTATGCAGTAGTTTCAAAGAGCAAATCAATATTTTGATTGGTTTTAGCAGATGTTTCAATATATTGCATCTTGTATTAATCTGCCAAGGCCTTCCCCTCATTTGTTGTAATCATTCGTCTAAGTTTAAAGCATTAGCTTACTTTGATTCAAGATCTGTTTTATTGCCAACCAATACTATAGTGCATTTGAGTGCTGCCTGTTCACTTACTTCGCTATACCACTTTTAGACATTATGAAAAGAATCTGGATTGGTAATGTCAAAGACCAAGAGCACTCCAATAGAACTTAAATATAGAGACTATTATCAACCCTTTATAATATGATCTTGTTATCGATTTAAATGATTCTTAACCGGCAGTATCCCAGATTTGTATTTTCAATGTTTTGTCATTCTTCTTTAAGACTTATGATCCGAATTCCACTCCTATTGTCGTGTCATGTTCGTCTCTAAACTATTTCTCCGTATATCTAAGAAGTATGCAAGACTTTCCTACACTAGCATCTCCAACTATAATGAATTTAAATAAGTAGTGGTATAAATCCATATTTTATTAAATAAATTGATAATATTATAAATTAAGGACATCTTAATATTTGCAGAATTAACTAATAATTGCCTGAAATCCAGACTCAAATTATGTAATTTGATTGCATGATCAATCGACATAAATTACACTCCTTAAACATAACATTCATTAATTTTGAAGTTAATTATACATATAATTCATTATAGAAATGCATAGTTATTTTTTGGTGGTATAAACAAAGACATCAGATAATAATATGCCTTTGCAAAATGGATTGGAATAGGTTATTCATATATATTACTAGGAACTTCAGGCTTATTCTCTTCGAACTCTTCCTTTGTGATGATGGTTGTTTATTGACTGTCATTCATTTTTTAATTTGTATTTTGAACCTTCTCAACTATGTTTAAGACTATTTATTATATAATTCTTCTCTTATTGGAGAACTTTTTTTATTCTGGAATTAGATTCCAAAACTTCGATGTCTCCTATTCCAATTACTCTTTGATAAGTTTATTCGCCTGCTTCCCTATGATTTTCTAATTCGTTTTCTAAAATTAATCATTAAATATACATCCAAACTTTACATTTCCATTATTTGTTAGAATCCGAAATCGATCAAAGCTTTCTTTAAATCAGCATATTCAGATTTCTTCTCAATCGATTTTATTGATTATATAGTTTTAATATTTTTTTTCATCCTCTCACTTATCTCTCTACAAGTCGAACCATTTTCTTTCATTTTTACTATTTATTCTCTTTCTTCTTATGTAATTTTATCATATTTCCTACTTCTCTATCTGAGCTTTCTTGATTATTTCACCATAAAAAAAATAATAATGATTTAAACTTCATTAACAAAGATTTATATAAATTCTAATTAAAATTGCAATTATTTGTACTAATGAAGAAATTAAATGATATGTTATTTGTAATTACATTGTTATTTTACCTACATCATCATTCTGTTATTTAATGCCAAAATTACAAAATCCAATCCCATTTAAATTATCCTCTTATCGCTTGTTTAAATTTCATTGATACTATCTCCACAACACTCATTCTGATCTTCCTATTTTTTGCATATCTTATTGCGTAATTCAAATTCTCAATTTCAACGGAATTTTCCTAAACTTATTCTATAATAATTCTATTCCAACAGCATTTTCTCACTCGTAAACTTATAGATTTAATCATCATTCTCATTTTACAACTATACAGACTCAATTTGCAATAAAAAAATATACTTCCATTCTATTTTTAGATTCCTTATATGAATAGTAATACATTGACAATATGAATTAATTTGAAAAATCACTGATTGACAATATCTAAATTATTTAATCAAAATTGATTTGATTCTTCATTAAAGGCTATAGATTAAGTGCATATACTAATTACTAATTAAGATAATATGTATTTTTTCTTAATACCTACTAAAAATTTAATTAAATTTCTTATTATTTCATTCTCTCCCACAACAGATTCGAATAACTATTTTTGGGTTTGCATTGTTATTTTCTATGAAATTAAGTCTAGTAGACATGGGGAGCATTACTTGATTACTAAATTCAAATAATGAGAACAAATTTCTCAATTATTAAAAAAAACACATTAAATTATCTTATTATGATTTGATGCTTTGCATTCCAGATTGTTTAACTTATAGCCAAAAAATAAAACAAAAATAAATATTTTCTTTAAGTATGAGAATATAATTTCATAGATCTAAGCTAACATATTATAATTACGCTTAAAAACTTTAAATTTAGAATTGCAGAGCAACATGAAAAGATTGCCTAATGTTATTTCTATCTTATAGATTAAAAAATCAAATATAAAACTTGATATAGATCATTATCTTAGATTTTTTCATTATCAAATAAACATTAAATTATTATAATCTTAAATATTTAATTTAGATATATATTGCATAGAAAAATTAGTGAATTAAGGGTCACACATAAAAATATTTTTCAAATTAAATAAAAAACGAGAATTATAGAGTTATTTCATTTATTGAGAAGTTCAATATTAAATTATTTTATCTGAATGGTCTTGGTTTATTTTATGTGGCTGTGGAAAAATTAACAAATTTCTATACTTGATTGTTTAAGCAGTGCATGACCCCCTCTAAAATGGTAATTTATAAGGAATTTTTGTTTTGGAATTCTTCAAATAAAAGAAATAATTCAATAAGCTCCTCAAAACCCCCTTATACATTCATCTTTGCACAAATACCATGAAGCCCCAAATTTAAAGAAGCATTAAGAAAAAGATAAGAAAACACATTATACACATGATCATATTATATGAGAAAAATCTTAGTTCCCCTCACAACACAAATCAATACCTCCTAACAAAGCACCCAAGCTTAGAAACAAGTCCAGAAACAGAAGTGAAAGAACCTGGGAGTATGTTATCATTCTTATTAAACGAAGAAAGACCTTAAATACACTCTTCTTATTCTATAATCTCTAAATCAGAATAAATTGTAACAAATTGAAACGAGCTCTTGTATATGAATAGTGATTTGCTCAATCATAAGACTCAATATTTATATGTATTTCATTGCATTTAGAGTATCTATATATATATATAAGGATAATTTTAATTTTTATTTCTCACACAGTTTATAATTCATAAATTCCAAGCACATGAATCAATGCATAAATTAAATTGCAAATTAAAAGTTTGAAATTTAGAAAGTAGGAAACAACCAGATTAATATTACTCTTAAAAGTATCACACATATATGTAATATTGACTTGTATAGAATAACTTCTAAATTTTCAGCCAAAAATAAAAAGAAACTAATTATAAAATTAATTATATGAAGTTTTTGAATTTATATATATAGTCTCAATTGAATCACTCAGTTAATGTCTTTATAATATTAAATTCATCAGAATGAAAAGCTATCCACAATATGAGACTTATACTAAAGAATACCAATGATAAATTTATTATTAAATATATCAATACAAATTTAACAAGACTTCCACAAGGTTCTTAGTAAAAATAAACAATCTTAAAATTAAATAATTTGAATTACTGTCAGAGCAGTCAAAAATATTGCTTATTATGTGAATTCAACACTTACAATAACTCCAAACATATTACTAGAATACTCTTTATTTATGCAAGGATAACATCCACAGGGACATATTACCAATAAAATATAGAGTCCTAATAGAATTAATATTATTCCATGATAGTATGAAAACCCTCCTAAATAAAAGCAAACGTCGTTGTATTCTATAATCAAAATTAAATATATGTACCATTCCTTGAATATTTAACAAAGTAGAATCCTATTACAAGGTTAAATATTATTAATATAGAGCAAGTTAGATTAAATTTAGTCTTTGAATTTGATTAAGGAGCTTCTTCAACAGGAATTTAATTTTATAACTAATGCTCTTCTTCTGATTCTTTTTGCATAAACGGATTATTAAATAAATAAATAAATCATCTAATTACTTTTTTTCCAAGATCTTCTGTATTATATACCTTTAAGAAGGTTTTGGGAATGTGTTGCTTAGATACTTGAAAATAGTTGATAAAAAATTACGAATTCACATTGTTTTCATTCAAATTCGGAAGAAAATAAGAGCTTGAGTTTTTAGATTTCCTGAATAAATTTTTTAATTTCATCAAGAAAGGTTTATTCATCTTAGAAGACGAAACTTCGATTATATTTTACAAGTATTATCTATCTAATTGGGAATTAAGATTATTGGTAAAAGAATAAAGATTATAAATATTTAATTTCACATAGTAGCTTAACCTTACATAAAAATTAAGATTTTTTTATTGTATTTTGATCTAAAATTCGAATTGGAATGAAATTATAATATTTACTCATTAATCCATTAATAACAACTTAAACTTAGTGAAATTAATGATTGGAAAATAAATAATGAATTTTAATTAACAATATTTAATTGCAAACATATTATTGATGAGTTAAATATCTATATCCAAGATTAATTTTGCATTGTTGAATCAACATAAAAGTAAAAAATAGTTTCTAATGTTAGGATTATGAAATAATTGCCCCACTTATTTTACTATTTATGATGATAAACCCATGAGTTTAATACTTTAGAAAATATTTATTAATAAGTAAATCTAAATAATTATAGTAATAAACCTAAAGTGAATTAATCTAGCTTTTAGAAACCCAAAAATACTTAAAAATGCTTAAGAGAATAATTAATTTACTCAAAAAATCAATATTAAAATTGAATTTAAAATAATCTTAGAAAGTATTTATATGAAAAAAATGAATATAAATATATTTTTATGAAGGTAGGTAAGATTATATTAAGGTTTTTGAGTTTTAATATGGTAATGAAAGTGAAAATATATTAAATTGAAAAATAAAATATAATAGGATAAACAATTATCAAATAAAAACCTAGTAAACAATTATATACTAGGGAATAGATTAAGATTGGCAAATTAAATTGAAAAAGATATCATAAAATAATTTATAATGTATATATTTCTATCATGGATTCTTCTCCTAATCAATTCTATTATAGTCTTATTTGTTTCTCAATTTCTCAGTTTTCTGTTTAATAGATTTAACAAATTTTCTCCATTTAGTGCACAACAGAACTATTAATAGGATAAAAATTGCCTAGATTAAAATAATAATATACTGATGAAATACAAGAAACAGTAATAATTAGAGTAAGACTATCCGATTCCAATAGAGTGCCATCAGATGTTACTGATACCTTTTAGATCATTTAACATTAGATGTATGGAGATGTTTCTTAATCTTGATAACAAAAAGATGCATTCGATTTTAATGTATACTCCTTTTCAACTCTTGAATCAAAACTGCATGCCAAAAAGGAATTGTAATTTCTAAATTTCCAAGCATGAATGGATTTCTTAGATAGCCCAACATAATAAATGGTCTTTGAATATCTCTAAGATTATTCAACCACTGAAGTAAATTGCTAAAACTTAATTAATTAATCTTCAAAGAAAGTTCGAACGAGTTCTTTATTGTTCTTGACAAACCCATTAAATATAGAATGTTTTATGATCATGTGAGTATCTTCAGCAATAAAGAAGGCGTATTCATCTGTCATTTGGATATCTACAAAGGTAAAGTCATCAACATAAACTCTATTGACATAATATGTGTTAGCATTGAAATCCAAGAATATTTCCAAAATATATTGAATGTGATTGACAGTTTCTGCAACCACCATTAATGTGTTTCCATAAAAGTCAAATGCTATTGTTCTTGGAATTGGTATCCTCATTTTCAAAACGCCTTTTTATATATTTTAGATGTCAAATATAAATAATCCCAGATCTTCATCCAATACATATAATAAGTTTTCATTTATTTTCACTCCAATAATGTAAATTTGTTGACTTGAATTTAACTCCATTTATATATTACCAATTGTAGTCAGATAATAGATTTTCTTGTCAAAATTACTGCTAATCTTATATCCACATCTGTAAATGTCTACACCTTCCTCACCTGCTGCAATAGCCACAATACTCTCATAAGTAAATATCCTTATAATCTCCTTCCTTTTAATGAAATTCTTATCTTGTTCTGGCAAAATTTCTGTTTTCGGATCATCAAAGTCAACGAATTTAGGAATCCAAAAGGCACCATATTCAGATATTACCAAAAAATTTAAATGACCCTAAATTTATATTCATGTAAACCTTTGGACAACTAAAGTATGCCTTTGTTCTGATTGATTAGTCCTAGACATCAATATATTACTTCAAGTCTATTGATTTGCGTTATTAAGAGACAACCCAATACTTTGTACTAAGTTTGAATTATATTAGCACCAGATCCTAAGTTACTACGTACAAGTTTGAATAATCTGTTGCTGTAATAATATCCGAATAGAATGTAGAGTTGCTTGAATTCCATATATGGTAGTCCATTAATTCTGTCAATTAGGGATACTTTGGAAATGCCACACATTCTATTGTTAAATCTTAAATTAATACCATTTTCAACAATAAAATGATCTAGATCAAGATTATCTAAGGATACGTAAGGTGTCTCAATTATTTTCCCATCTTCATCAATTAGATCAGTATCATATGATTCAGAGATGCTAAGGATTAAATTCCACAAAATACTTTAAAGCAAAAATATTTTATTTATTATGGATTGTTTATAAGGAGATATCAGGAAACATTGCTTATAGTGTATGTGATTGCTAGGATCGGATTCTGGAAGTGCTAACTCCAAAAGAAAGTTGAATCTATGTTAGAAGTAATAAAATCATTAATTATTTAATCAAATTATATGAGCTTTTTCCCTCTTTAATTATTCAATCGCTGGTAAAATTAAAAAATAAAATCAATTTATTCTTAGATTTGGGCTTAATTTATTTAGCTTTTCATTTGAGTTGATAGCTTAAATTATAGACTATTGTATTTTATTATTAAAAAGTATATGTATTTATATTATTTTATTTGAATATAATAATAGTCTTGATGTTTTATTATTCATCTATTAAAACTAGTCACAATTAAAAATCATTTTTGTATTGTGTAGTAATTTTAGTGTATAAATCAAAAGCATTTTGTATTAGAAGTAAGATTGAATCAATTTATATATATGTGAGTATTATAGTTTGTAAAAATTCATAATTAGAATTTTCTCTAAATTAAATTTGTAAGATTTAAAAAATCGTAATAATTTCTAATATCCTTAGTATGTCTGATATTTTTATATCTACTTAAACTATCAAATAATAATATTCTTTAGGTTCATGTTGTTTTTCAATGATTAATAAAAGACAATACTCAAAAATGGAGGTTATATAAAATAGCAATCTTAGAAATAGTTACATACAACCTGAGGAGAATACAATTTATTTAGATTTATAGAATAATTATAATTTTTGGATGATTCTACATAATCAGTTGGTAATTTTGGCTTATACATCTCTCTTGTATGTTGTGCTTTGAGAGCCAACTTAACTTGAATAAATTCTGTAAACATCATCAAAGGTATTTTGCTCTTCCTAGAGAGTTTCAGTTACAGACTTAAAGTGGGCCTCTGAAGAAGCCAAGTCCTAGGAATAATTTATGAGAGAATATACTTCGTTAGCTAAATCAATAGAGTTTTGGATTTTCTTTAATCTGTCTTTGCAAGCTGCAGTAGCTTATAAGATGGTTATCAATTAATTTTGTAATTTTTCCTATAATTAAATATATTAAAAGTGTTACTAGATTAACATCTTCAGCTACTAGATGTCCTTTGAATGTTTCATTTTCCTTTTGAATCAATCCCTTGAAATCACTGTAACCCATAGCTGAGTTAACTTGGTTATCTTGTTTCTTTCCAAATGAACCTCTTACTTAATCTTCTAAAATGTCCAAGAAATTTAACAATTCTTATTAAGCAACTGTGAATTGTGAATAATCTTTGCCAGATCCAGCTTCAGCAGGAGCCTTTTGTCCCTTTTCAATAATTTTGTTGAATGCAGCAGCCTCCTTTGCTAATTATTCATTGGTAGCCTTTTCTTCAGCTTCTAATGGATGTTCAGGAACAGGGGCATCAGGTTCTTCATGTGTATCACCCAAACTATGTTATTCTACTTCCTCAGAGGGAGCTTCTGCTTCAGTAGCTGATTCTTCAGTTGTTTCAACATCTGGAGCGGCATCTACTTAATTTTCAGAAACGTCTTCAGTGTCATCAACAGCTTCTGGTTCATCATAGACATGAGGGGGCTCATTATCTTCGGATGTCACTTCTGGTTCTTCACCATCATCAGCCAAAAAGGATTTGAGTTAAATGAATTGAGCAGATTACAAAAGTGTTGGCAAATCAGTCTAATTATTGCTTTAACAATACTTCTTTTGCATTCTTTACAGCTCTTCTGAGGAAGGCAATCAAATTTAGAGTTTTCTTAGAATTCTTGATATCATTAATGAAATTAGCATTGGATTCACATCTGTTGACATCCAATCTTTAGAGTCTTTCATTATTCTCTTTGATTCTTTTCTCTAACCAATTGATATAGCTGAGTGTAATTCTAATGTCTCTTTCTTTGTTTGCCCACTCTTGATCTCTTCTATTACATTCACCTCTTTATGTTGATGCAGATCTCATTAAATCATTTACGACGTCTTGTTTTTGCTGTTCAAATGTCATATATAATCAATTACATATCTGGTTGCTTCCCAATCGCTCTCCAATTATTATAATTGTTTGCTTGTCTCATTTTTTAAATCCCCTAGCATCTTTAATACAACATCAATCTCATTTGATTGACAATATGCTGCTGCCAGCAATAATGCCATCATAGCAAAAACCTTCATTTATTTAATTATCACACAAAAACGGTATATATATTTACTTATAATTTATATAACCTTAGAAAGTGACCCATTCGAGTGTTATGAATCAATAAACTTATAGTTGATCACTTTAAAAACATCACCAATCCAAGACATTGATTCATTTGAATAATCATTCTATTTGGGTCTATTGATAATTTTAATTTTTTTGAATAATTATTTCTTTTGAAGGATGAAAGTAACTCAAAATATCTATTGGAGGGAAATATTACTATGAATAATAATTGATGGATTAAATTTTTAGGTTGAGGTTAAAAATGTTACATTTTCTTTGTATAAAATTGTTGGAAGATGCAAAATTTTAGCAATTAAAAAGCAGATAAATTAAATATATAGTAAAAGATAGTTAACAATAATTGAAAAATGTATATATATGTAATCACTGTAAATTAAAAGTTAACTAGAATGATAATTCTTAGATTATACTTCATATGTGTATTTTAATGGTTTTTGTTGGGATTAATCGAATTGTTCATCAAAATGATCATAATTGGCAGCGGCAACATCAATAATTTTGTTCATCAAGTGTGTGAAATCATCTTAGGTTTTATCAAGGGAAGAGAGACCAAATTAAAACAAAAGTAACCACTCCTCAAATACTTTTAGTTTAGGCTTAAAAAATTAGAGGAGTGATGTCGGTTGTTCTTCCATAAATTTTAAAGAAATTTAAAGAGATTAGCATTTAATCATGTTAGGATCATTATTGATATTATCAATTAATTTCTTGATGTCCTTGTCAACTTAAGGTTCCCCACATCTTAACTAAGGATAGCAAGAAAAATACTTAAGTAATTTTTGGTAAACGTTCACATCTCATGTGATTCAATTCTATAGGGCCAAGTGCCCGATGAAAAAATATTAAATTGAGTGCAGCGGAAATAACGTCTTCTAAATAGGTCTTTTCTAATAACTAATAATGAAATGAATAGCATACGAATTCGGGCAATTTAAATTGTGGATAATCTAACATATATAAATATATTTCTATATAATTTTCAATGCCTAAACAACTTTATTAAGGAACAGGGAAACATGATATCGCTATCGAAATAGATTTGACCCAAATAAAACGCATTGAAGTAAAAATTCATATGTGGTCTGTATCTGATCATCTAACACTCCCAAAGCACAAAACATAGAATTATAAAATAAGCGAAGAACCAAGCAAAGACTTCTACCCAAGTGTACACTGCATAAACTAAATTCACTAGAATTTCTTAGAGCATGAATATCAGCAGAGCCCTAAAAATTAATAAGCAATGGCTCATTTATTTACCTCCACCAATAATCCTTGGCTAAGAAGCATTGATTCTTGCTTCTCCTATCGATTTGAAAGCACAGGAAGATAATTACAAAATCAAGTGAAATCATTATGTACACTATTTCTAAGTGTATAAAAGTAAATCTAAATATAACAAATATGGATAACAATGTCCTTGAGACTGCATGGGCCATCTAAAAACTTGAATTATTATTCATCTTTACGTATAACAAGTAGTTGAATGGAGGAGATCCCCAGTCGTGTTATTTGAATTGTATTTGTATTAGACAATACAGATAAATGAAAATGAACACAAGATCAACTGGATATTTGATATAATTTGCTATAACATTCCCTAAATTCATCAGATATAGAAGCAATAGAATCCAAAGGGAGAAAAGGTTTTGCAAGGCTAACATAATGATGTACATCCCTTAGACGTTTTTGATCTTTATAATTAATCTTAAGCTATACTCTTTCCCAATCAGGTTCTGTTTCCTCGAAGAGTTACTTAATCTACTTCATCGTTATGGTTTCTCTCTTATTGAAATTCAATTCATCTATCATTTGTGGAGACTGGGAAGGCTTCTATTCGATTATCTCTTCTTCTTAATCATAACTCCTATTATCCATTTAATTTTTATAATTTGAATTCAATAAATGGAAGTCAAGAAAAAACCAGCTATAGATTTGCCAACATCTGAAAATCTGAGTGTGTTAGACCAGAATGAACCTCAGAATGGTATTGAAGTAATTTGTAGAATTCGTCCCAAATTTGTTGGTGAAAATTATGGTACTAATTGTGAGTTCATTATAGTAAACTATATGATTACGGATAAAAGACTAGACATCTACGAAACGAACAACGACAATGAAATCTCCAATTAAAAAACTTTTACATTCTCTTAAATCTATGATTAGAATTCAACATAGAGGAACTTGCATCAAGAATATGTTATTCCAATGATTAAAGACATTTTTGAAAAATGTACAAATTAAACCTTACTTATTAGAGAAAGGAGTACTTGTATTTACTTATGGAGTTACAAATTCTGGTAAAACTTATACTATAATTGGTACATAAGAAGCACCTGGCATTTTACCGCTCACATTACAAACTCTAGATAAAATAAAAACAGCGTTTCTATTAAATAAAACTACGATTGAAATTGATGGATAGGTCATAAAAATAGGGGAATCCCCGTATGATGACTATGTCTTGAAGGAAATGAATTACACATTTTAATCATTGGAAATCTATAATGAAGAAATTTATGACTTATTAGCGAGTAATAAGACTAAACTGCAATTAAAAGAAATCTATGATAAAAAATGCTATGTGAAAGATGCTGTGGAAAAGGAAATTACCAATAACCAAGAATTTAAAGAATTGCTCAATAAAGCCTTAACAAATAGATAGATGGGTGAAACAACATTAAATAATCAATCAAGTAGATCACACACAGTCTTTAAAATACAAATCTAATTTCTATATTAATAGGAACAATTTACTATTTAAAGGAAGTAAACAATATGTATCGTTGACTTGGCTGGGTCAGAAAGAGCAAAAAAGGCTGAAACACAAGGTTCGTAACTTACAGAGGCATGCAATATAAATAAATCTTTGTTGGTTCTTGGAAAGTGTCTCAAATAAATGAGATGTCAAAATGAATCAGATTAAAATAGTCGCATTCCATTTCGAGAGTGTAAACTAACTAGATTACTGTGTGAATACTTTACAGAAGAAAACAAAATCTTAATGATTGTTAATGTTCGATTAACTGGTGACGACATTGAAGAAACACTTAAAGTTTTACATTATGGAGCTTTAAGTGTTAATGTAAATCTACTTAAATCTAAAATCTATGATTCCACCATCTCCTACAATCAAAGACTTTAAATTAATTAGTTATAATAAGTGAATAATGATTCAAAGTAAAAGAAGATACCCAAGAGAAATGCTAAAGAAATAATCAGAAGAGCAAAGATGCTTGTTCAAAATACAACTCAACACATGCTATTTTAATAAACTATTCAAGATTCATTTGTCAAAGACTTAATATCAACTGTTAAATAATAGCAAGCAAGATTGAAATAATTTAGTGGATTAGAAGATGAACTATTTTATCCTCCAATTTTTTAGAGTGACTAAAGATTATAAAAGTCCTTAGATAAAATATAGTCTGAAAAGTCACGACAAGCCTCTTTAGATCTATTAGAAAATAAAGAATTAGCTCATCCGCCCGTCGTCAGTACTTTCTCAGAAGAAATTCCAATTAGAAAATCATATATATTTGAAGAACCTGTTGTATAGAATAAGGATGCCATCGTTGATGAAAGATCTTAAGTTGTAAATAAATAGCGGTCATCAGGAATATAAGAGGAGAAATAAAACATCATATCTATTATAGAATAACACTTCAATTGTTATGATGAGCATGATGACTTAATGGCTGGATTTAGACAACTTGATCTAGAACAAATTGATGAATAAACTGATGACAGTAAGTAATAATCGAAATGTCACTAGATCAAACAGAATCACAATCAAGAAAATGACATTAATGTTTCTAATCAATGTTTTAATTAACTTAAATAAGAAGATTTACTTAAAAATTCTAATTAAAAATTGGACAAAAATCATTTTGATTAAGCAACCAATACAACTCCTTATGATGAATTGAAAAAAAAGCTTTTTGGCTAACTTTTTGAATAAGAATTATAAAAACAGTATCTATATATTTAATTTATGTAGTTAAGAGGAGAAGGATAAATTTAAGTAAGAAGTAATGAAGAAGTTATTTAATGATGATGATTTGTAAAATTTAATTGAAAAGGAAAATCAAGAAGAATTAATTAATCTAGAGGATTCTGCCAAAAAATAATAATAGAGGAACCTTGAAAAATTGATTTCAAGTAATCACAAAAGTGATCTAAAAGTCATTAATGAATCAGATTAAGAACACGACTCTTCAGGTGATAAAAAATATCATCAACCCAAAAATCACCCTAAAAAGAAAAAATAAACTAAGAAAAAAGGCAAATCGAAAAAAAGATGATAATTTTTATATATCTAAAGTTTGTTTTAAACTTTATTGTATTTATCTACCCAATTAATAAATCAATAGTGTTCTTCAGTGTAAAATAAATTCCTTTGAACTTGATGCACTGAGTAATTTGTTCTAAAATTATAATTTATTATACATTTGATAAATATTGATAATCTAATAAGCTAGAGTAAAGACCTGCTGTATAAATAGTTGATTAATTAATTTTCTTATAAATTTAGGACAATTCCTATTTCGATTTTAAATTTGTTATCTATGACTTTATGCTTGGTCCAACCTAACTTCATTATAAAGATTACATCAATTTCATCTGATTATCTAGTTTTGTGAATTGTTGAATCTTAATTTTTCTGATCATTAATCAAATTTAATAATTTGATATTGCTACCAATATTACTGCCATATTAAATGCTAGAGTTTTCAATTGGAGTTTGCGTAGGATTATTTAAATGGAAATTCTAGGAATCATTAATATATTTTTTCTTTGGGGTCATCAATTATCTCTAAACTTCAGTCAAATTTCGGACTTATGATTATAATCCCAAAATTAATTAGTTCTTTTCAGCCACTTAATTTTAATAGGAGATTATCTAAGTCTAATAATCAGAGATATTATGTTTTGTGTTTGAAAAGCTATTAGTTTTGATTCTAGAGTTTTGGGACATTAATGATCCACTTAAATTGCAATCATTTTATTAATTACCCTCTCTTCTGCTTGATAGGCCTTATATCTAAGACAGAGAGTTACTAAAGTTTTAATTCATTTCAAATTTCTCTTTTAACTAATTATTCTCTTCAGATAACTTATTTAAAGTTTAATTTAACTTAAATTAAAAATTGGTCATACCTTTTGCATTTAAATTTTCAATTAAGCTATCTCTTTCATATATTGTGCATTATTTTCAACAGTTTTCTTAAATTCGTTTTCTTTTAATGATATGCGATTTTAAAAATTAATGAGCTCATTTTATAATTATTTATTTTCTTATTCCGATTTATTGTACAGTGCCTGGAGATCTATGTTATTTTATAATAACTATTAGTTGATTCGTTAAAGCTGAGCTTAATTAATGTCAGAATAGTGAAGCGCAGATTGCAATTCCAAATTAGATTTATATAAATTAAGCGATTAACGATGGTTCATTATGATTTCTGAACGATATATTTAATCAGAATCATCGATATTATTAGAAGAAGGAAACTTTTAAATTTAAATATTTTGCGATGAAGTCTACGTAGTTCTATAATATGGAGAATATAGGTGAGTACCTAATTGACTTAGGCATAATAAAGCAGTTATTAGGGTGGATGATCTCAGTAGGAAGTTTATTATGAGACTTTCTCTTTTACATGATAATTGATTGATTTTTATAAAAAAAACTATAAAATAAATCAAACTAATAGATGATCAAATTATTTATTATTTTAAATAAAAGTTCTTACTTCATGTAATTCATGAAATTGTTATTTCTTTAATAAAGATTTTGCTAATTCCATTTAATGTTTGTATAAGAAAAATGAAAACTCCTTATGCTTATTCTTAACAGATTTTTATGCCCATTTATCAAACTCACTTAGTGAATCATCTATGTCGTAATTCTAAAACTTTGTAACATAATTATTTCTGAGTGTTGGTTCTCCTGGAAATGTAAGGATTAGATGCATCAACAATACACCTAAAGCATACAAGCATTGTTATTTGTAATCAATATAATCTTTGGCTTAGATCTTTTGCAAATCTTGATAACAAGAATATGAATGATTCAAATCTGCTAACATAACCTTTGTTACTTGAATCGATTACCTATATGTCTCCAGTGATACTTTTAGTAACCATAATGCTTTCTGGTTTCAAGTCTCCATGGACTATCTACTTTTTTTACAAGTACTCTAAACCACTTATAATCTAACATAGAATTTCATTGATAAGTTTGCTCTTCTATTCTTAAGGCATGGGGTTCATATAAAAATAGGAATAACTCAATAGATTTTTAGATTGTGAAATATATCCAGGATAAATACAGTATTCTATCTGAGTATACAGAAATAATTAGTAGTTTTTTATTTCCAGCCACCATTCATAAAGTCTGATTATGTTTGGATGTGAAACATGTTGAAGAGTACGTGCCTCTTAAATTTTGTAGTAATCTTATGTTGAACTTTTTGTGTTAAATATATCTTGAAATGTAACATCCAAAGGTATATTTAACAATTAAATCTATTATTAGGTTGTTTTTTACTCTTTTAACAAAATAAACTTAATCATCCATAGGCTTATACACATGATATGTTGTGGTTTATTTCTATTGATCTATTTCCTCATTCAATGCGATGAACTCATTTTTGAATTTATTAATTCGCAAAAATTAATTTTTAAACTCTTACTAAATTTGTTTTTCTTTCTAAATGTTGATATCAAAAAAATATAGCGTTAGCCGCACTTATTAGTCCTTTTGTTCAATTGACATTTTCTTGTTCATAAATTCATTAAATATGTTTTTATTGACAAATATGAAGGCTGTCGATTTGATTTGCTGCGTAGACGTTATAAATCCAATATTAATATCCTAATAATAGATTCTGAAGAGAGAAGATTATTAAATCTACTCTTACAAATATTATCATACCTTAAATTCCTATTTAGATGAAAACTAATTAGTCTCTTGAGTAAGCCTTTTTTTGATTGCCTTCTTTATGGCCTTGACAACCATTGTAATATGTCTAAAAAAGGGATCATCATTAGAAAAGTTGATTGTAATTAATGAAATAACAAGTAGTTGTTAGAAATTATAATAATCTTCTGAATTTAAAAAATCATTCTTCTGTTTTAAATTTTCTTCCTTTTTGTGTATAGAAAATACAATTACAAGTGTGAGCATGATTTTATTTTTATCTGCATTTGGAATTTCAAGTTTTTCATTTTAAGTTTCAACACAGACCTCCTCAATGTAAAATTTACTATCCATTATTTTATTAAATTACTACATAACAATTTCTCTATTACTTCTTCAATATTATACTATTGCATTTTATTTTATTAATAATATTTAATAAAAAATGAACGTACTCCTCAATTTCAAATACCAGTAATAATCCCTTCATTATTTGATTATGCAGAGTTGAATTAGTTAAAGCTAAAACAATTCATTTAAAGCTTCAGCTAAACAATAAAATTGATTCATCACAATCTGAATCACATTTTTAAATAATTCAATTAATAAATTGGACAACAAATCATTAATCATCACTTACTTTAGAAAGATAAGTAAGTAAGGATTAAGAATCCTAGGTTATTTATTCATTGCATATAAATTGATGTTAAGAATATGGCTTTATTTTTGAATTTATAAATATTTAAAGTTAGTTTCTACATAATTTTAATAATATATTAAAATTGATACGCTCACAAAATATAAGATTTATACAAAATCTTACTCTTTTTGAAGTAGGGATGTTACTCCAATACAAACTGAACTGTTTTTACAGTTATTTCCTTTTGAGTCAATAATGGATTATCATTATCCATATTATTTAATCTAAATATCAAATTAATATAATACCTAGTCTTTATGTAATTTTTTCCAGTCAACAATTGTCTTTCGAAACTTCTTTGGACTTCCTGGATTTTTTAGTCTAATTGATCATCCTCCACAATATCAACTACTTATTGTTATTAACCCTTATATTTATCTGATTCCTCATCCGAATCCATCATATTTTCATTACTCTCTCTTTTACAAAGGAAGTCTTAAACTTAGTTCCATAATTCAGCCCCTCTTTTGATTCTCTTTTTAAGAACCTCCTCTAATTCAGGATGCTCTTCTTTCCACTTACTTTTTCTTACTTTGTTCTTTAACTTATCCTCATAAAGAGGTTCCATTTCTATTAAGAAATTCCTGAATTCTATTTATCTTTGGGTTGGTGTATAATCGCATAGTTCGTAATATAATTAATTCTTATTCTCATTGCTCGTAAGTAATGAGATATCAAGATAAGAATTTTTTTGGGGTCCAAACCTTCCTTATAATTCTAAATTTTGTCTATATTTTAACATTTAAGCATCATTTTATGAAATAGTTTTATTTTAAAACTATTTTAATTCATACCCTGGCTTCTAGGCTAAAGCTACTTAAAATACTTTTCCTAAAAGTTATTTCATATATAAACTAAATTATTCATAAATAAAAGTCAAAACCTATTGGTCTTCTACCAAAAACTCTTTATATTTTGTATCCTTTCTTAGTGAAGCTAACTTCCTCTATATCACTGGCATCTATAGTATGGACTATTTATCTTCTTTTGGAGGTTTTTTAGGAATTTTTTCAATATCATCTTTGTATTTGGAGTAGTTTTTTTTTATCAAGTCTTTTATGACAGCGTCTGGAAATGTATTCATATCCTTTTATAATTTTTCATTGATTTATGCACATGTTGCAAAAGTAAGAATTTATCTAAAATAGTCTTCAATTTTTTTTTTAATTGTATTATCATTAATCTGCCTTAATTCCATTGTTATAATTTGTACCCAAAAAGTCTTAACATAAGAATACTATTCTATTTCATTCTAAGGTAATTTATGTTATTTTTTAAATTCGATAATCTCATTGAGAATATACTATTTACTAGCATATTTTTGAAATACATCTATGCATTTATTTTAAAAATTTTAGTCATTACTTTATTGCACTTCTTTTATTAATTAAGCTTTGTAATTTTTTAATTCATAATAGACTGCCAAAATGTCTTATTAGGTAGTTTCAAAATTAGCCTTATCACTCATTAAATTTGAAATTTTCTTGAAAAATTCGCCTTTTAATTGTTCTTCACTTTTAATGACATTCTTTTAGTCTTAAGAAAAAAACTTGGTTGTAAAAAAACAAATGGCATTATAAGAAGTAGAATTATAATCAGTGATGCTTTTCATTTAACTAATAAGAGGAAAGGATTCTGTTATTGGTTTACAATCTGTACCATATTAAGGCAATTTGATATAAAAATTATAGATATTCTTCGCAATTTGAAATTGCTATTCAAAAGTAAATAATTCTTTTTAAAGACTCATATAATCCAAAAATTTATTTATTTCATTTTAATCTTTATCTTTGAATGCCACAGCTGCAATTCTTACTCTTTCAACTTTCTCCAAATACTATAATTTTTACCATCTGAAAAATGCCAACCCTTTATATAGAGCTGGCAAAAAAATAATGAATGGGTTATCCTTAAAAAATGTTTCTATATATATAGATAACAGTTCTTTTTAAACATCATTTTATTATTATTAATTTAGCTTTTCTGCCTCTTTTTAAATATATTGTTCACAAATCTAACTGATTTTATCTTCCCTTTAAAATATTTCTTAATACTGGCCTAAATCCTTTTTCAAAAAATCAGATCTCAATTTTGAAACATTAAATATATACTGTTTGAAAAATTAAGAAGCAATTTATTTATTTGATCTTTCATTCATTAGGTTTTTTAATTTTTGCTAATACAAAAATGGATAAACTTTGAAAAATTGCATTTTTTAATCCTTTTCTTCCTTTTCTCCCTCTAGGAAGGAATCAGAGAGTTTCTCAAAAACTTTAAAAAAGTTTTTTAAATTTTGACTGCTGTCATGTATTAAGTGCAACTCATAAGTTTTCAACTCATTTATCAATCTTATTTTTTAAGAACTTTGCAAATTCACTTAGAGCATAACTTTAATCAATTTATTATTGATGTAAGGAAGGAGAGATTCCAATAGTGAGACAGAATTGTAACCCAAATTATATTCATTTTTATTAAAATATTCAGATACTATTTAGGTATTTGCTTTTTCATTTAATTATGCTAAAATCTAATCAAAAGTCTTATTTAAATTAGCTTTCGATGTATTTTGCATCATATTGAAGGCTATATCTAAAATCTAATCCAATTCTTCTTATTACAATCTAGCTTCCACAATTAATGCACAAAATAAATAAAGGTAGTTCCATCTAAATTTAAGGAAAGATAAGATTAATTGTTGTACGTTTTAGATTAATTTAAAAACAAGATTAGACTCTTCAATTGTTGTAGCTCTCTGTAATTCTGAGTATAAACTAAAGTAAATGTCATTCCACTTTTCAAATTATGATATATTGAATTTCCTTGGAACTTCAAAAGAATTGATTTCTTATTTTATAAATTCAATCAATCGTTTTTTAAATGAAAAGCATTATCCTTTCAAATTTCGAACACGTTTTGACTTTAAACTTTTATAAAAGTATTTGACAGATGGAATGTCAATAAAAGAATAATAATCCTTTTGAGAATCCATAATATCTTTTTCAAGTTCCTGTAATAGTTTTTGCAAATCTGATTTATTTTCCTTGATCTTTTTGGCAGAATTAACCAAATAATAAGAATTTAAATAAAAATTTAATTTGTCTACAAATATGTATCCTAATATTTTTTCTATACCTTTATTCTACTTTTCTTATATAAGGTGATCTTTAAAAGCTTAAATATTAAAAAAATTTAAGCTTTTAAATGTATCCTACAAATCTGGGGGAAGATTTTGCAAGAACTTTTCTTATAAACTATTTGTCTATTTAGGAGCTTTACTTTAATCTTCAGAAACAATTTATGTAAATAATTCCTATTCCTGCTAATTGAAACTCTCAAATACAGCCATTTCAAATTCTTAACAAGTGTTACCTGTAAAGGTTTAATAGGATTAATCAATTTTTGTCAAGATGTTTTTTGACAATACTTAATTTACACAACTAGGTGACTGCAGGTAATCCCATGCAATCTTTTTGTAATAAATATAATTCATATGTTTGAATGCATCATCAGGACCTTTTAAAAAGGCTTTTTCATAAAAATGAGCTATCTATTATTAAAGTGTATACCCAAGACTTCATTATATTTCTGGTTGATATAATGGCTTAAATCAGAATTTTATATAGGTCTATTCTTGAATTTTGATTTATTTAATATGGTGTTTAATATTTTGGTTGCTTTTTGGAGTGCATCTTTTTGAATATAGGAATTAACGAGTGCCTTGAATAACTCTTGTAAAAAAAAAGACAATCTCGGATCTTTTATTAATAAGTATTTACTTTGATTTGATTATCCTATTTTTTTGCAGGTTTGTTATAATAATTGGTCAGTAGATAATTCCTTTTCTATCGTCTAAAGCTATATAATCTCTTCATTGTTTTGGGGATCCTAAAGCATTTCTATTTATTAAAAATATGTGAAATTTAGTAATAATTATATACTATATTTTGTATAAACCAAAAAAATTAAAAAAGTCATATGGTTTCAGTCAATTTTAACTTTCTTTATTTTAGCATCTTGATCAGAAGCATTCTCTAGTTTTTCGAGCCATTCTAATTTTTCTTATTTCTCTTGCTTCTCCTATTTCTCTAAGAAGTCTTATTTATCTTTCTTTTCTTTTGAGTCCTCTTCTGTTTAATCATACCAAACATGATTGAATTGAAAATAATAGTTGATGTCTAATTTATTGAGTTCATTAATATCCTAACACCAAATGAGATTGCCAAAAAAAAAGTTAACAATTTCTTTTCCAATTGTACTTTGCTTCAACGAGGTTAAATTGAGCACTTTATAATCATATTAGGAAGTATCTAAAAATTCCTTGACTTTTGGATCGTCTTATAAAAAGGATTGATCTTTAAATTGTTTTTCTATAATAATTATATTACATTACTTATGAATCTCTTCAGTTTTCCACACATAGTTTTGGTTAGATTTTTAGTAATACCTGGATATATATACAAGTCTTGATCCATGAAATCAAATAATTAGAAGAATTAATAATTGATGAATGGATAAATTGTAAACAAACTTTAAATCATTCATTCTGGTTTAGCATTTATTTTATCTAATTATAAAGTTCTTCGTTTTCACTAACCACATCATCCTATATAATGGATGAAATCTAGAATTTAGGTCTACTTTCATCATTATATGTTTCCATCTTGGCAATAATTAGGAATCTATATTATTAGAAACTAGCCCTTTTAATTATTTCATCTTATTGATTTTTCTCTTTGGTTTTAAATTCATCGCAGGACAGTTCTAAAATATATGAATTGATTACTTAAAATTGATTATCCTTAATCGTTGGACACACTAACAGGCAGATTTCCAGTAGTATCAGCAATTTTAGCATTAAAGATATACTTGTAACTAGGTTTAACGAAGTTTTGATTGCAATTTTAGCAATGAAATTGTTTAGTTTATTAAACTTAAACAACTTTTCTTTTACAAATTTCACATCCTTCATAATAAAGAAGTTTAGTAAATATTGTTGTAATATAGGCCCTGACTTCATAAAATTTGGTTAGCTTACTGTTTCTTTATCCTTCGAAGTCCTTTTTAATTTATTCAATATATGATAAGACAAACTTCTTTTTTGATTCCTTTGGTTTAGATTCTATAAAATCCTTATTTTGACTATAAAAGTCATAAAAGTCTTGAAATCCATTAATTTTCTATAATTTCGATAAATCCTTTTCATAAGTAGTTGAATTTGTGACTGTTAAACTTCTGATCATTTAGTAATCAGTCACTTTTAGGCCTCTAAATGCAACAATTTCATCTTTTTAAAATTACCATTTCTCAGCTTATGCTCCCCAAAGTACAATATCAATTCCTCTTTAAGTTTGATCAAATAGGGTTATATTTTTCTTAGCCTTATTTTCACTTGATTTAGTTATAACTTGAGTTAATGGTTTGACTTCTGTAATTACTCCAAGAATATCACATTTATCATCCTATGACAAATTATCTATATCTCCTATTTATTTAATTTAGAATGGAAAAGCATCAATTTCTCTATCTTCTAAGGCTTCAGATATTTTAGAAGCCTCCTCAAAATGAATTTAATATTCACTCTAATTTTGATTTTTGCTTGAATATCTATTTGTTTTTACTTAACCATTTTCAAAATAATAAACCTTTCCCAGATCTATTAAGTCGTAAAACTTGTCACACTAATTATTAAAGAATACTCCTTAGATAGTTGATTTTTCTGAGTCGATAATTTCAATGGAAAATAGTTATCCCTTTCCACTTTTAAATTGGGTTTTATCAGATTTTGAAGTAATTCTTCCTTTGATTTTGAATCCTCTCATTCCAGGATAAAGTTCTGTTATTTTTAATAGATTTTAATCGGAAGGCGCATATTCACTTTTACAATCAATTTTTTAAATTGCTGGTCTAGATTATTGTTGCTTTTATTAAATTGAGAGTTTTACTGCAGATTTACCTTGTTATTGATCTGCATTAACATTTTCATTAGTTTACTTTTACTGTTATTGTAAAATGGATTATTTTTTATTCGAATTTATTTGGAGAAGATGAGGCGCTTTTGCAAATTGAATTTCTGTGTTTCCATTTGGATTAGTGTAATTCTAGGAATGCAAATTAAATTAATACCAATCTCCTGAATTCTTCATATTCTAAGGGCTATCCGACTTGACCCTTATCCTAATAAATAACTTCATGTTTGGTAACTATATAAAATGATGAATTCATCTTTAATTCTAAGATTCTAATAATTGGTTTGGTTTTTGAGATATTTGCTATAATGGATGGGCTTAAATTAATAAAATGCATAGTCATTTTAGCAAATCCATCGCTACATGTGCATTATGACAAACTCCCAACTTTTGTAACCAAATCACTCTTTTCTTCAACATGCAAAATTTAAACACAATATTGCTATGAGCCATTTTGGGTTTCTACTATGCTTTTTAATGCTCCGTGTGTCAAATGGGTAACTTTTTCCGCCATATTATTTTACTATTATTAGTTTAATTTCTGAATTTTGGTTGTAAACTATCCCGCCTTTATTTTTTATAAAAAAGATTTAATCACATAGATAATATCAAATTTTACATGTATATTATAACATTTTTTCATCAAATCTTATGTTTTCGTTAAATATCAGATGGTCAACCAAATTAGCAAGGTTTACTACTTTAGCGGTCCCGCTTTCATGATTGCCATACTGCAATAATCCACAACATTCTAGCATCTCAGTCATACTAGGATCTTTTAAAGATGTCTTAGATCTTAAAGATTTGGGAAATACTGAAATTCAATATATTCGATACCTTTCTTAATATTGATATAGTAAGTAAAATTTCTAACAAGTTTGACTTTTTTTCTTTCTGCTTCCTTCTTCAAAATAATTAAATCAATGTCACCTTGTGTGATTATACAAAATCTTCCTAACTCCTTAAATATATCAGTCAATTAATTGATAGCTTATTAGAGAGAAACTCCATTGTTAATTTAAAATTGTTTAATTCCTGTTTATTTAGTACAATATTCACTAATGATAGGATTGTCAACAGGTTTTATATACTTTTAGAATTCTTGAACTCTTTTTCTCTAATCAATATTATAAACTTATGCTGATATCTCAATAATTTCTTGATGGTAATTTTATCTATTATCCTCAACTTGAGCTACTTAAATATCAAATAGAATTAAATTTGTAAACCCTTACAGTCTAGACAATTCTTCAGGAATTGGAAATTACAATTGTTATAACATCTAAGCTTAGAAGGTATATGATCTTTTCAACAGCTCTATAACTATTGATGTCAATGCAAATTATTGGGCTATGAATTAGATGCTTTATTTACCTGAATATGGAATTTTTAGCCATCTCAACATATCATTCATTGTTAACTATGGTTTTTGAAACGGGAAAACATTTTTTAATTCAATGTATTGTTTAATTGGACATTAAACATTGTTTTAAATCGAAGAATTCAAAAACATTTGGGCTTTGGCTCTATTTTCAAAAATGACTAAATCCGTATCGTTCAAATATTGAAAGGTACTTTTAAATAAAACTCCGTCGTTAGCTTATTCTTAAGTTACTGACTAAAATTATGGGCTTTGTATTAAAGGAACAGTCAGAGGTCTGATTATAAATTCTTTCTTAAAGTACTCATTATCATCAATCTCTTATGGCAAAATTTTAGAAATTTTCAATTTGATGATTTCCTGATTGTGTCTATCCTAATTGCATTCCATTTCTATTATTCCTATTTTCTTATATTGTTCTTAATAGTTTAACTCATCTAAATTGATACATAAAACAATACAATTAGTATTCAGCAATCTACAAAACTATTCTTTAGGGGTTTGACATTATGGGCATTACTTTACAAAATAATCGCTAACACTCTCGCAAATCATGCACTACCATGGATATTGGCAATTTTCAGAGCAAATCATCAAATAGATTAAAGTATAATTAAAACAAAAATTTAGATTATTCTGTTTAAATTTCAGTTGAGTGATATATTTTATCAAATAATGGCGTATTATTTATTACACACAAAACTAATTGTAATTGATCAAATTACGCTTTTTTCATATAATATAAAGATTTAATAGATAAGTTACTTAAATTTATAGACTAGTATAAGTTTATATTAATTATCCATCTGAAAATCCAATTTCAGTATATTCTTATATTTGATGATTATTTTTGCCATTTTTAAATACGAATAAAGTATATTAGTTTAATCTAAAACAACTGCTAAGCCTTAGTTGATGGCTAATCATTAATTTTTTATAGTCAATAGGATAAAACTACAAAAGTGTTGATAGTTATGAGCAATATTATTTTACTTACTTTTGGATAATGTGAAATTTCTAATTATTAGTTAGCTATTGTATGTCTATCTCACAGAAATATTTATCGTCTATCAATTATTTGATACAATTTATAAATAAAATAGAGTATTTTATAATAAACTTGTTTTATTGTAGAGTAAATTGATTAAATTACAATTGAAATCAATTTTACATGTAATAGGAATATAATAATTGTTGATTCAAGCATCAATAATTTCAATAACATTCTAATCACGAGATTAATAAATATGTTTAATAGAAATTAATTTATAAGAATAATTAGTGATTTTTTTAATTTTGATTTATTGAGCCACAAATTTCAAAAGGTATCAATTTAAGTTAAAATTAATCAAGAAGGTTATTTAAATTAAAAATTTATCTGTCAAGAATCTCCATAGAGTTCATATACTTCTTTTAAAATAAAATGATATAATATAATTTACATAAATTAAATAATTTAGTAATTCTTAATTATCACTAATTTTCTCATCATCTGAGAGTAATTGATTTACTTATATATTCTTGAACTCTATCCGGATAATATCTTAAACAATCATTGGCATCTTTAGGATATTAATCAGAATTGACTGAAGATGGTTATATTATTCTAGTTTTCCAATGTCCAATTTTAGTTGCTATTTTATGAGAATTAACTCTTCCAAAATCATCATCATCAACCCAAACCAAGATGTTATTCAATTCTTTGTATTCATTAATCCTAAATGATATAAAAAATATGTAACCATTCCAATAGAAAGTTAGGGAAGTGTGCTATACCATAGGGTAAGGAAATAGATGGGATTCCTGTCATCTGATAAGCAGCCATGGCATCAAATTCTCCTTCTGTTACAATAATTTATTTGACATCTCTAGTTAACAAATTTAATCCAAAAATTCCTTTCATAGCATTTTTAGGCTCTATTTTTTAGATGTATTTGTTTTCTTTTCCCATTCCTCTTAATTTGCAACTCACTAACTCATAAAGTTAAGAATTGTATTTGGATTGAATATACTCATTTTATATATGGCTCTCATTTTGTTGTTGTAATGTGAGCAATCTGAACATAGGAAAATAAATAAGAGGAGCCATAACTATTTTTTTAAATTGAGGATCAAATACTTCATCTTAACCAATGCCTACTAAATATTTATTCAAGACTTCATCTTTGATACCTCTTTGATTCTAGATATAAATATACATCATTAACCTTATCCCAGTTATTTCCAACTAAATACTCATAAATAAATTTTGGCTATTGCAATTTCATTCTCTAATAATGCAAATGAAATTGAAATAGTTCATATTTTTAGTCAAAGGTTCCAACATCTTCTTAATTATTCTACTTAGGTATCGCATGAATTGGGCCATCAACAATCAATTTAGGATCATTGTGAGTCATTTATTGCAAAAAGTCTTTCCATTATCCTTTTGATTAACAACTGGATCTAAAACAATTATACATTCCACTAATTCATTTCAACAAAGTATTTACTTTTTTAAATTGATGCCCATTGTATATTGATTAGAAAGCTCATCAAAATTTCGTTTACTACAGAATGGGCAAAACTACAATTGAGCATATGATCTCTAAATTCGATATGCAATTGTATTGTTTTTGAGAAACGATATGATTTCCTCTTGAGTAATTATCATTTTAGATGATTCATTTGATTCTTAATTTTTGGCAATAAATCTATTTGATCTAAAACCATAAGTAATTTTGTTAGTTGAACAACTTAAGAATACTCCTAATTAAAATGACTTTGCAGAAATCTTCTAAAATTATTGTGATAGCTTTTTTAACATAAATAATTTATAATCTAAAATTTATATTAATCTGGTTGTTATTAATTAATATGAATAACTAGGACTCCCTTAAGTAAATAATTTGTCTTTTTATTTGCATAATGGTGTTTATATATAATAATATCATAACATAATTTTAGTATTAAGGATAAAGAATCGATATGACCATTCCTTACATAGACTATTCAATGCCTTATCGTTATCTAAAATACTCGAAGAAATTATATTATTTGTTTCAGAACTATTCACATTTAATTAATTAAGGAAATCTTTTTATTTAAAAATATAATTATTATTATGGCAAATTAGGCAACAGCAGTAGCATATGCAGCTCTTTTATTGGCTGGATCCAACACTCCATTAACAGTTGAAAATGTTGAAAAACTTACCAAGAAAGTATTCATTAATTGAAATATTTTTACAGGCTGGTGTGAATGTTCCATCATAATTGGCAACCTAATTCGTCAGAGCCTTTGAAGGAAAAGACATCATAAGCCTTCTTTCAGTCGGAGGAGGTTCAGGCTCAGCACCAGCTGCTTAACCAACTTAAGCTGCTGCCAAACCAACTGAAGCACCAAAAGCAGCTGAAAAACCAAAGGACCCAGAACCTGAAGAAGATGTCGATATGGGAGGTTTGTTTGATTGAGATAAATTTAGAATAGTACATTAAAATATATTAGACTTGCAAATTATAAAGGGCATTCTCTTCATTTTATGCATATTAAAGAATTAATTTTTGATTATTTTTTTATCTAATTATGCATTTTCTAATCTCTCAAAATAGAATTTAAAATTTGAATTCAATTTATTACTTTGATAGGAGGAAACTGTATTAAAATATTTACCATCATTGCTTAAATTTCATCTATTTAACATTGAATGTTTGTTAAGAGTTTATAAATTTAGATATATTTGATTAATTTTCTAAAAATAGGATTTAAGACAAAATTATTAAGATATTCTAGTTGATGATTGCCTCTAATTAGACTTAAAGTTTTTTATTTATATGATTTATAAATTTTTATTGAAATGAAATAACAGGATGGTTATCTATAACAAAATGTAATTCTGTATTGCAACATCAAGGTTCCACATTCTTGAATCAAAAAAAAACTGATTAAATATTCAAAATGTTTCTTATTATTTTGTAAAGGTTGAAATAAATATATCTTATTTTTGGGTATGCAACTATAAACAAGTGGTTTAAAGATTTTAATTTTGCTATAAAAAGAGAATCATAACATAATTCAAATTTAATTTTAAGTAAATTTTAAATTTTGTATGTTGAAATCACTTAACCAAACCTTGAGAGGATATGATAACTTTGGTGTACCTTTAAGCCTTAATATCAACAAACAATAGGAGTATAAGAGTGTTTGTGGAGGAGTATTGTCAGTTATGATGACAGTTGTACTAATCTACATTCTTGTTTCTGGTTTGATTGGTGTATTTAATAGAGACACCTACACAGTAACAATAACAAAAACTATAATAGATTGAAGTCTAATAGCTTTAGGACATGGATCCAGACTTAAAGGAAATGAATAGCAATAACTTTATGTTTGCAATTAAACTTGATAATCCGTTTGCAGATCATTTTCCAAATTTGAATAAGACAGCATTTAACATCTCAATGAATCAAGTTTATATAGAGACAACTTCAAATGGAAAAAGAACCAAAAGAATCACAAAGTCTTATATGTTGGAGAGTTGTACAACTAATCATTTTCCTTCAATAAATTTTGAAGAATTTCATTAAGTGGAGAATTAGTTAAGCCATTATTTATGTTTACCTAAAGATTATTAATTATGGTTATAAGGAACTTATAGCTCATATATCATGTAATACCCTAAATTGTCGGTCTCCTTATGCAAATCTGAGAATTGTTATTCAGATTCTGAAATACTGGAGTTATCTAAGAACGCATCAGTTATGGTATCACTATCAACGATCATTTAATCAGCAATTTTCATGGCCAATTAAACCGATTATCCTTTATATCAATATTTGAATTCAGATTTCTTTTTGGCAACAAATTTTGATGCAGAATCAACTGCTGACATTTTCTTTGAATCAAATAGAATAGTGAATTAAAATAGCATTTTCAGTTTCTATGAAGATGATGAAACAATCGACTATTGGGTCTTCCCAATTTACAGTTATAGAGAAATCAAAGTAATCATTTCTTGTATAAAAGACATTCAATAATGTTCCTAGTTCGTTATTTTCAGTTAATTTTAGATTGAGTTAAGAATTTCAACAGACAACAAAGAAAGTTAACACAATCGATTAGTTCTTATCATACTTTGGAGGTATGCTTAAAATAATCTCATCTATTTTTGGTATTGTAGCACTTTAATATAATTAAATGGGTCTGAGATTGTCTTTAGCCAATTCTCTTTATTAATTTAATGTACCATAAAAGAAGGATGGCAGGATCGAGTTTTCATATGATAAACTGTTAAGTTACATCTAAAGACAACTTAACAAAGTTGATGAGACAATAAATAAACTGAAAAATCATACTCTAAATCTTGTTAAAATGAATAAAATAACAAGGGCTATAACTTTAAGACATTAATCCAATCCTACATTATAAAGTGAAAAGAAGAGTTCCATTTTAATTGATTAGCCACTTCATCATGATGATATTCAAAGATAAGCTAGTAGTCTTTTGGAAGTTAAAGAGTCTTTCTTAAAAGAATTGTTCAATGAAATCTTCGAATAAAGGCATAAGTTAAAGTTAGGAATCAACTTCTTCTTTTATTAACTCCTCTGTTGTACTTGTGTTGAGAAAATTAGAGTGACTCGTAAAATGCTACAATAATGCGAGAATGTAATACTGTAAGATTTGGATATTGTGAATATTCTGTAGAAATTACAACAAATTGAAAAATTGAAACAGGCACTTCTAGAAAAGGATTAAATCAAAGTTTTCAATTATACTCCTAAACCCATTATAAATGTCGAACCCAATTACAAATTCAGTCATAATCAAGAAGGTGATCCGAATTCCCTGTTTTCCTAGGCTAATAAACAAAAACACAATAGGTTGATTAGAAGCAAAAATTATCATCATCCAAAAAAAATGGTTAAGATCTATAATTCCTATTCAAAATTGAAAGACACTTCAGATGTAGTGAATTCTAGAATTATCTATTTAATGGGTCCAGCAATGGAACAAATATTTAATAAATATTATGAGGTGTAAACTTATTATGAGCATCATAAAATTCATCAGGAAACCTAAAACTAGGTAGAATAATATCCCCAAATGACAGAGAAACTAATAAGTGATAATGCATCTCCTCTACCTTAGACTGAAGATAATGATAAAAAGAATAATCAGTCCAAAGGTAAAATACATCTTCAGCTCAAACCAAAAACATTGAATGAAAACGATAACTAGTTTCTTGATTAATGAATTTATATAAGTAGACTATTCAACAAAATATTGTAACACCAAAATTCAAATATAATTATATTTAATAATTAACATATTACTGTGTTGTGTCTTATCATTAGCTCTATCTTCATATTATGAATAATTTATATGCTATGTAACCATAGATAACTAGAATATAAGAGAGAATGAGGAAGAATACATTTTTCAATTAGGTTAAATTTATCAATATACTACTTAATAAACATTCTATTTAAAGATTATCAGATAGGCTCATTAATAGATTTCTAAAAACCTATTACACCACTTAATATATTAAAAAAGTGATTAATGATGTTATATACAAATTCATATTATGTTTCAATTTCAATAGGTAACTCGTATTGTGTAGTATTATTTGTTATTAAATTTATCGTTAATATTTTAAAATATTATTTATTAAGTATGCAACAAACTCGATCGCCTTTGTCACCAATTGACTCGAATCAAAATACTTATAGATCTCAAGCATCAAAGACCTAAGATATAAACTATTAGATTCAATTCCAAATATCCAAATAGAAACTTTCGACTGTGCCAGATTCTCGCTAAGAAAATAATGCTATTTATATGAGTCCCAGAAATACAAAACTCAAAACCTAAACTATTCTCTCTCCTAATTGCAGATCACCCTTAACAACCAGGAAAGAAATAAAACCCATTCAGTCTCCTTATAATTTATCCATTCATTCAGCTTAATCACCGGTTAAAATTGGAAATAGTACTGCTCATAAAATAAAACAAGAACTTGACTATTTTAAATAAAAGAACAGTAATCTTCAGAAACAAATCCTTAATTTGACATCCGAAATTTAGCGTGGTTAATCCAATACTCTGATTAAAGAATTACAATAGAAAATCCAGCTATTGACGTAGATGAATGAGAAATTAACTTAGGAGAATAAGGAATTGCAATAAAGAGGAGATAAAAGCCATCTAAAGAAAACTATTGAATCTTAATTATAATTAATAAAAGAGAATGAGAAAAAATTGAGTGAAATTAAGGAGAATCAACAAAAATATGAAACCTCCTAACTAGATCTAGGAAAGAACTCTACAACTGACTACATAACTCAATTGATTCTTGATCTGGAAGAAAGAGTCCATACCTTGATAGTTGAAAACGCTAACCTAAATAAAGTGTTCAATCAAAGAATTAAATTACAAGAAAGATTTAACACTTTGGAACTTTAATTGAAGTAGGCCTAGGTTTAGTTTTAAAAAGTCAAGGTTGAAGAAAAATTAGTAAAAACGAAATATAATTAAATAAAGAAAAAATGAAGTTTTATGAATCTGTTTTTATAATTTATATAAAGTTATATAATAAGAATGAATAGTGAAGCAAAACCATAGACTCATTAGGCCAAAGCAAGATTAAAGGCTGCTAGATCTATTTTTGAATTAGCGGATGTTAATAAGGATGGTTTCATTACTTTTGATGAAGTATTATTTTTATGATGTATCATAAAGGTTCCAAAATTGCTAATTGAAACAAACAAGTTAATTACAGATGAGTAGTATGTGCCTACAAAAGAGGAAATAGATTGTTGGATTAATATGACAGATTTAAATAAGGATAAAAAGGTTAGTATCCATGAATTTGAAGTTTTAATATTAAAAGCTCTTCAAGCATAAGGAATTGATTTAGATGGACAATGATTATGTTATAAATGATTTATATATATGATATTCGGCATTCAGAGATTAACCGCTATTGAATATTCATTACTGAGAATTATCTGCACAGTTAGAAAGACTTAGTTCTTAGATCCATTCATTTATTGAGGAATTGAGTTGCTTCGATTTATGTTATATTGACTTTTTTGTCAATTTATTTGGGCATGTAAAGTATATGAATTAATTAAATATTAAGGCTTGTTTTTTCTTTTATTTTCAAAAAATATATTAAAAGATTTTCATTAACAATGGTAAATTTGATTGTGATAATTCTTTTAGCCAAAAGCTCCAAAGACATCCAAGGCTAAGAAGATTTAAAAGAAAGTAGCAGACAGAAAGAAGAATCCCCTCTTTGTTAAAGACGCCAAAAACTTCAGAATTGGAAATGATGTCCAACCAAAGAGAGATTTATCAAGATATGTCAGATGGCCTCGTTACATTCTTTTACATAGACAAAAAAAGATTTTATTGCAAAGAATTAAAGTACCAGCAGCCATTCATTAATTCAGCAAAACACTCGACAAAAATCAAAGTAATGTGTATATATTAATGTTAGGTTCAAAGGTCTATGCTCTTTTGAAGAAATACGCCCCAGAAACCAAAACCGAAAAGAAATAAAGATTAGTCAAGGCTGCTGAATCCAAGGCATAAAACTAAAAGGCAGATAGCAAGAAAGTGACAGTCCTCAAATTCGGATTGAATCATGTTACTACTTTGGTTGAAACAAAGAAAGCCAAATTAGTTTTGATTGCTTATGATGTTGATCCAATCGAATTAGTTGTTTGGCTTCCACAATTATGTAGACGTTAAGAAGTTCCATTTGCCTTTGTTAAAAGTACATAAATATACAATTATAAAAGACAAGGCCAGATTGGGAGCATTGGTTCACTAAAAGACTGCAACTTGTGTAGCATTGACCGATGTCAGAAAAGAAGACTAAGCAGAATTCGACAACTTAGTAATCATTTAATATATTCTAGGCTCGTGATTTGAGATAACACTACAATGAAAATCATGAATTGTTAAGAACTATCGGAGGTGGTCAAGTAGGAATTAAATCAAGACATCAATAAGAAGCTATAANTATAATAAGAATGAATAGTGAAGCAAAACCATAGACTCATTAGGCCAAAGCAAGATTAAAGGCTGCTAGATCTATTTTTGAATTAGCGGATGTTAATAAGGATGGTTTCATTACTTTTGATGAAGTATTATTTTTATGATGTATCATAAAGGTTCCAAAATTGCTAATTGAAACAAACAAGTTAATTACAGATGAGTAGTATGTGCCTACAAAAGAGGAAATAGATTGTTGGATTAATATGACAGATTTAAATAAGGATAAAAAGGTTAGTATCCATGAATTTGAAGTTTTAATATTAAAAGCTCTTCAAGCATAAGGAATTGATTTAGATGGACAATGATTATGTTATAAATGATTTATATATATGATATTCGGCATTCAGAGATTAACCGCTATTGAATATTCATTACTGAGAATTATCTGCACAGTTAGAAAGACTTAGTTCTTAGATCCATTCATTTATTGAGGAATTGAGTTGCTTCGATTTATGTTATATTGACTTTTTTGTCAATTTATTTGGGCATGTAAAGTATATGAATTAATTAAATATTAAGGCTTGTTTTTTCTTTTATTTTCAAAAAATATATTAAAAGATTTTCATTAACAATGGTAAATTTGATTGTGATAATTCTTTTAGCCAAAAGCTCCAAAGACATCCAAGGCTAAGAAGATTTAAAAGAAAGTAGCAGACAGAAAGAAGAATCCCCTCTTTGTTAAAGACGCCAAAAACTTCAGAATTGGAAATGATGTCCAACCAAAGAGAGATTTATCAAGATATGTCAGATGGCCTCGTTACATTCTTTTACATAGACAAAAAAAGATTTTATTGCAAAGAATTAAAGTACCAGCAGCCATTCATTAATTCAGCAAAACACTCGACAAAAATCAAAGTAATGTGTATATATTAATGTTAGGTTCAAAGGTCTATGCTCTTTTGAAGAAATACGCCCCAGAAACCAAAACCGAAAAGAAATAAAGATTAGTCAAGGCTGCTGAATCCAAGGCATAAAACTAAAAGGCAGATAGCAAGAAAGTGACAGTCCTCAAATTCGGATTGAATCATGTTACTACTTTGGTTGAAACAAAGAAAGCCAAATTAGTTTTGATTGCTTATGATGTTGATCCAATCGAATTAGTTGTTTGGCTTCCACAATTATGTAGACGTTAAGAAGTTCCATTTGCCTTTGTTAAAAGTACATAAATATACAATTATAAAAGACAAGGCCAGATTGGGAGCATTGGTTCACTAAAAGACTGCAACTTGTGTAGCATTGACCGATGTCAGAAAAGAAGACTAAGCAGAATTCGACAACTTAGTAATCATTTAATATATTCTAGGCTCGTGATTTGAGATAACACTACAATGAAAATCATGAATTGTTAAGAACTATCGGAGGTGGTCAAGTAGGAATTAAATCAAGACATCAATAAGAAGCTATAAAGAAGGCATTTGAATTGGAAGAACTTAAGAAAACAAGTTAATGATCAAACATATCAAAATATAATATAAAATAAGAGAATTTGTTGATAATTCTTCCTATTCGTCTCTTTGAAAATCAGTTTAACTTAGTTATGATCATTTTTGTAAGGATAAATTATCATCCTAAAACAGAATACAAATGAAAACAAATAAAAATATATTAGATGATATAAATCATACAGATGAAGAATCTGAATCTGTCATAACCTTTTTATACCTCCTTTTTTATTCAACTTCATCATCAAAAGCCTCTTCGAGTTCTCCATTCTCGATTTTACTCAATTTTCTCAATATGTCTTTTTTCAATGCACATAGATTGTTTATCTTTTCAACTGTTGTAAAATTGCCCTCCATAATTTCATCATGTGAAAGAAAGGAAGTTTACGAATTAACATGGTATCTGGGTAATTTAATTAATACAATATCAGTAGGACTTATGCCAAACTAGAAAATAAGTGGAGAATACATTCTTTTTGTTTTCTGCTATTCTCTTCTTCCTTTCCTCCTATGTCATATTATCTCCTGTGTTAATGATTGAATTGTTTTTTCTGAATACATTCTTTTTCTGCATATTATGTAAATACACTTTTTTGAGATCAACCTACAAACCCATGAATTCACCCAAACTCTATTATCCCAGTAATCTTTATGTTTGCATGTAAATCTGTCCTATGCTCTTGCCTGGTAAACACTCTGAGTTTATAATTTTGCGCCATTTTCCTATGCCGAACTTCATAAGCGCCAAGTTCAGAATCTCCACTTCTTTCATTGTCCAACCTTGAATATTGATAATATACAAGTACCTGGTGATAATGTATAATTCCAAAGACTTTATGACTAATGATGTACAATTTATTTAGACATTAAATTTAATATGTAACGATAGCCAACAAAAAAGAGTTTTTCATCTAATAAACGTAGTGAGTCTGGAAACGAAAGAAAAAGGAGTGTTCACAATGACTCATCTTATAATCATAAAAGTGATGAAGAATTACGTGATGTTGTCAGTAAATTATAATTCAAAATTTTGAAAAAAAATGATCATTTGGCTAAGATGAAAGAAGAAATCATTGAGTTATAAGTACAATGGCAAGAAGAGAAAAGAAATTGGCAGAATGAAAAATGTGCACTTGAAAGACAAGCAGACTTCTATAAAGAGAATGTGTATGAATTTATCATTATCATTAGACATGCAGAAAGACTTAATAATCAAAAATTATAGATCCAGATTGATAAACTAACATAAATGTTGACTGATTAATCCAAAATCAAGTAACATTTCGATACAAATACTACTCTAGAAAAAGTGAGTGGGTAATTAAACTAAGAGATTGATGTATTATAGAAAGAAATAGGAACACTAAGAACTTAAATTACTTTATTAGAAAATAAGTTATTGACTAAAGAAGAAACTATTTCAGAGTAATAAATTAGAATTTAAAAATTAAAAAAGAAAATGGATCAATAATTATAGGTTCAATTAGAAGAGAAAATGGTTGATGTTGACAAATAAAAAAAAAGGAGTGGAGAAATTAAAGAGAGAGTTTCAGAATTAGAATTAAAATTAAAGAATTTAAGTTTGGAAAGCGAAAGAATTAAAAAAGATAATAAGTTTCTATAATCAGAAAATGATCAATTAAGAATTTAATATGAAAAATCAAGTAGATTAATACCATAATTAGAAGACTAAAAGTAATTTTTATTTCATCTTTTTTAGTAAGCGATTAGAATTAGAAATAAATGATTATGAATAATAATTTGAAAAAATGAGTAAATAGATTAGAGATCTTAATAATTAATATGCAAATGAAAAACAATATGGCCAATCTCACAATGAAGAACTTAAAAAGAAGAATGCATAGATTGATAATTTAGAATCACAAATTAATGAATAAATTAGACTATTACATGCTGAATAGAGATAAAATACTTTTTTGAAAGAAGAGATGGAAAAATATAAAGAATAATTAGAAAGATTATAAAGACAATCTTAATAATTAACTGATGCTTAACATAAAGATATGGATGTGTTGGAAGCTAAAATTGAAAAAATCAGCAAAGAAATGATTAAATTAAGAGAGGAAAATAGTATTTTAAAATCGCAATTGTCAAATCAAAAAAAGGAACATGCTTAATATATTGATACCATTGATCAATTATAAAAATAAGTTAGGGATTTAAAAGGGAAAAATAAAATATTAGTTTAACAACATGATGATTTGGATGCAAGGATCAATTAATTAGCTTAAATGAAACAATAAAAAACTACTAAAGTTAGAATACAAGATTCTGATTTTAGAAAGAAGATGGCAAAATTAGAGCGTTCAGATAGTAGCAGTTCCTTTTCTGATTGAATTAATTAATATAAAATTATGCTAAAATTTTTAATTTTTAGAAGCAGCTTTAAATTAATTTCATTTAGATGAATTATTTAAAGGCAAATTTTCAATCTTTTATTCTTAGATACTTAGAATTGGAGTCTAAGAATGAGGACTGGGATTTTCTTCCATTAATTCTTTTATTTGATCATTTGGACATTTTGATTTATCCTAAATCGATTTTAACAACTTATCTAATTTTAACTGCATATGTAGTATTTCATCAATACTCATGGTCTTTTGTATTTATTTACTTTCATCTTAATACTATTATCGAATTTTTCCATCTTTTATCAAATTGATGACTGTGATAGGATTAGATTACTTTATTTTAGTATTGTCATTCATACTACATTTGAATTGTTCTAATAACTTAATCAAATAGAAATTTAAAAGCAATTATTAAATTGGCAAAACTATAAAGTCAAGTATCATTTTTAAAACCGTATAAAAACCTCCCACTTTAGCTAAGACGTCCATCAATGTTTAATACTAGATATAATATATTTATTGTGTATGTGTGAGTTATATGATTATTTCAGCTAATAAATTTGAATTTCCATCATTATATTAGGTGTCATATATTGTTTGATCATATTCTATCGCACTATATGGTTATTCTGAAGGGAAAAAGTAAAAAGGATTTATATTTGTCGTTGCTTGTGAGAATTGCTATTAAACTTTAATATGTTTAGTTGTTTGAGAATATAATACACTGGTTTCTGTGTTTTAGAATTTAGCATAGGGATTCCCTTCCAACTCCTTATTAAAAGAATAAGATGTGTAAGTGTAAAATAAATTAGAGCTGGCTAATTATTTGTAAATTTCTTCTTTCGGTGCACAATCTTCGTTTAAATATATGTATACATGAAAAATCGGTAGTATTTTCACAAAACCTAATTAATGATCCAAGAATGGAAAAGTTCCTCATTCTCAAAGACCCTTTAAGAGTAATGTTTTACCTTTACTCCAGGTATTCAGGATTGATACAATAAGAATGTCTTTGAGTTACATCCTTTAATAATAATTGATTTTACGTCACTGAAGCTTTGACCTATGGTGTCACAAGGCACGCTGGGGATGAAATCACAATTTGTCTTTAAGTCAATCTATTCGCAATAATAGAAAACGACACTAAAGATCTGATTCATGTCATTTTATATATAGTTGCCATAAGTGTCTACAACCCCAACAGAAAATAAGAAATCAGTTGGGCCAAATGTTAAACCCTAACATAATGGAAAATAATTACTTAATTCTCCTATAACAGAGCATCTGTAGAATTCAAAGAAGCATTCTTTCCCTCATTCATTTCTAAGATAAATAGATAGAATGAATAAGTTAATAACACAAATAAGCAAAGAGATACAAAAGATCCGAACTTACTTTTGAATTTTTGTTATCCATCAATTCTCCACTTAATTTCACAACCAAAAAGATCAAGTTCATTTAAAAGACGATAAAAGTGTTTCATTTTTTTAAATAAAGAAATTTTTATATAAACCTTGAATTAAAATTTAAATGTTAATTCTTTTATTATTAAGTAATATTTTCTAAAGAAACTTAATTCTAAAACAAAAATCTTAATATTCAATTAATATAACACAAATCACAAATTTTACAAAGTTTTCCTTTTTAAGANTTTTATTTGATCATTTGGACATTTTGATTTATCCTAAATCGATTTTAACAACTTATCTAATTTTAACTGCATATGTAGTATTTCATCAATACTCATGGTCTTTTGTATTTATTTACTTTCATCTTAATACTATTATCGAATTTTTCCATCTTTTATCAAATTGATGACTGTGATAGGATTAGATTACTTTATTTTAGTATTGTCATTCATACTACATTTGAATTGTTCTAATAACTTAATCAAATAGAAATTTAAAAGCAATTATTAAATTGGCAAAACTATAAAGTCAAGTATCATTTTTAAAACCGTATAAAAACCTCCCACTTTAGCTAAGACGTCCATCAATGTTTAATACTAGATATAATATATTTATTGTGTATGTGTGAGTTATATGATTATTTCAGCTAATAAATTTGAATTTCCATCATTATATTAGGTGTCATATATTGTTTGATCATATTCTATCGCACTATATGGTTATTCTGAAGGGAAAAAGTAAAAAGGATTTATATTTGTCGTTGCTTGTGAGAATTGCTATTAAACTTTAATATGTTTAGTTGTTTGAGAATATAATACACTGGTTTCTGTGTTTTAGAATTTAGCATAGGGATTCCCTTCCAACTCCTTATTAAAAGAATAAGATGTGTAAGTGTAAAATAAATTAGAGCTGGCTAATTATTTGTAAATTTCTTCTTTCGGTGCACAATCTTCGTTTAAATATATGTATACATGAAAAATCGGTAGTATTTTCACAAAACCTAATTAATGATCCAAGAATGGAAAAGTTCCTCATTCTCAAAGACCCTTTAAGAGTAATGTTTTACCTTTACTCCAGGTATTCAGGATTGATACAATAAGAATGTCTTTGAGTTACATCCTTTAATAATAATTGATTTTACGTCACTGAAGCTTTGACCTATGGTGTCACAAGGCACGCTGGGGATGAAATCACAATTTGTCTTTAAGTCAATCTATTCGCAATAATAGAAAACGACACTAAAGATCTGATTCATGTCATTTTATATATAGTTGCCATAAGTGTCTACAACCCCAACAGAAAATAAGAAATCAGTTGGGCCAAATGTTAAACCCTAACATAATGGAAAATAATTACTTAATTCTCCTATAACAGAGCATCTGTAGAATTCAAAGAAGCATTCTTTCCCTCATTCATTTCTAAGATAAATAGATAGAATGAATAAGTTAATAACACAAATAAGCAAAGAGATACAAAAGATCCGAACTTACTTTTGAATTTTTGTTATCCATCAATTCTCCACTTAATTTCACAACCAAAAAGATCAAGTTCATTTAAAAGACGATAAAAGTGTTTCATTTTTTTAAATAAAGAAATTTTTATATAAACCTTGAATTAAAATTTAAATGTTAATTCTTTTATTATTAAGTAATATTTTCTAAAGAAACTTAATTCTAAAACAAAAATCTTAATATTCAATTAATATAACACAAATCACAAATTTTACAAAGTTTTCCTTTTTAAGAATGGATTGCTTAATCAAACTAACACTAATGATTGCTTTATTCCTTATTGATTGTCAAAGTATCTGCAAATATTATCTTGCAACCTTAAATTAAATAATCCTCTTCGAAATCAATTTGATATTCATTTCTTAATTATTACTCACAATTTTTTAAAATCTAGACTATTAAAATTGATTACTTTCTTAACGTTTTCTATAACTTCAGGTTTAGCATAAGCTGATCCTTATGGAGCCTTTTCCAATAATTTTAACAAATATCTAGCTACCTAAGCTCCAGTCAAATGGTTCTTCTGCTTGTAAGCCAAACTCATGGCTGCTCTTAAAGTCAAAGAACGATGTATTGGTTATAAATCACACATGGCCATATAGCATGCTAATTCGATTTGTCTAGAAACACTTTAATCTTTTTTATTTAATTCACAATTCATAGCCATAATGTAATTAAAACAGATGGGCACAATATCTGTGTTTTTCTCATAAAATAATGCTTGTCTTAATAAGGATTTAAAAGTATTCAATGCATCTTGAAATTTACCATCAGAAGTTTGCTTATAACCTTATTTGAGTAGGGTTTAAGAATTTCTATTGAAATGTTATTTATCTTATAAAGATGATAGCAGTTATGGGGCAGCCTATAAGAAAGGTATTTGAGTTATCTCCATAATTGAACTCAAACACAATTATTTCATATAGTCCTTACATAGATTAAGATTGGTCACATTTTTTGTTGACTTTAATGTTTATTAACATTATTAAAATTACTCAGTTATTACTTATTCGACAGGTGATAAAGCTATTGTATTATAAGTAGATAGTACCTTTTTTATAATCAGGATATCCGTATTGTAAGCTCTTAAAATCCAAAGTTGTTTAGTTTAATTACATTTCTAAAAGTTCTTATTCATTTATTTCCCATTAACAATCTTCAAATATTTCTTCCTTATCTTATTTATGTTAGTCATCCACTTTCTATTCATTCTATCTATTTTTACAATTATTCTAAGTTTACTTATTTTAATTCCCTGATGATTTTTCTTATTACTTTTGATTTTTTTCTTTGGTATCTTTATCTTCTTCTTCCATTAACAGATTGTATTATTGATCTTGGTCAACNAGCATCTGTAGAATTCAAAGAAGCATTCTTTCCCTCATTCATTTCTAAGATAAATAGATAGAATGAATAAGTTAATAACACAAATAAGCAAAGAGATACAAAAGATCCGAACTTACTTTTGAATTTTTGTTATCCATCAATTCTCCACTTAATTTCACAACCAAAAAGATCAAGTTCATTTAAAAGACGATAAAAGTGTTTCATTTTTTTAAATAAAGAAATTTTTATATAAACCTTGAATTAAAATTTAAATGTTAATTCTTTTATTATTAAGTAATATTTTCTAAAGAAACTTAATTCTAAAACAAAAATCTTAATATTCAATTAATATAACACAAATCACAAATTTTACAAAGTTTTCCTTTTTAAGAATGGATTGCTTAATCAAACTAACACTAATGATTGCTTTATTCCTTATTGATTGTCAAAGTATCTGCAAATATTATCTTGCAACCTTAAATTAAATAATCCTCTTCGAAATCAATTTGATATTCATTTCTTAATTATTACTCACAATTTTTTAAAATCTAGACTATTAAAATTGATTACTTTCTTAACGTTTTCTATAACTTCAGGTTTAGCATAAGCTGATCCTTATGGAGCCTTTTCCAATAATTTTAACAAATATCTAGCTACCTAAGCTCCAGTCAAATGGTTCTTCTGCTTGTAAGCCAAACTCATGGCTGCTCTTAAAGTCAAAGAACGATGTATTGGTTATAAATCACACATGGCCATATAGCATGCTAATTCGATTTGTCTAGAAACACTTTAATCTTTTTTATTTAATTCACAATTCATAGCCATAATGTAATTAAAACAGATGGGCACAATATCTGTGTTTTTCTCATAAAATAATGCTTGTCTTAATAAGGATTTAAAAGTATTCAATGCATCTTGAAATTTACCATCAGAAGTTTGCTTATAACCTTATTTGAGTAGGGTTTAAGAATTTCTATTGAAATGTTATTTATCTTATAAAGATGATAGCAGTTATGGGGCAGCCTATAAGAAAGGTATTTGAGTTATCTCCATAATTGAACTCAAACACAATTATTTCATATAGTCCTTACATAGATTAAGATTGGTCACATTTTTTGTTGACTTTAATGTTTATTAACATTATTAAAATTACTCAGTTATTACTTATTCGACAGGTGATAAAGCTATTGTATTATAAGTAGATAGTACCTTTTTTATAATCAGGATATCCGTATTGTAAGCTCTTAAAATCCAAAGTTGTTTAGTTTAATTACATTTCTAAAAGTTCTTATTCATTTATTTCCCATTAACAATCTTCAAATATTTCTTCCTTATCTTATTTATGTTAGTCATCCACTTTCTATTCATTCTATCTATTTTTACAATTATTCTAAGTTTACTTATTTTAATTCCCTGATGATTTTTCTTATTACTTTTGATTTTTTTCTTTGGTATCTTTATCTTCTTCTTCCATTAACAGATTGTATTATTGATCTTGGTCAACAAAATTATGAGGCCAATTCATAGAAAATAGAGGATGTTATTTAGATTTTATGATTGAAATAGGAGGTTATAATGTTTACGGTTGCAATGATTATACCCATTCTAAATCTTCAGCATTTACCAAATTTTAATCATATGGCAATCCATGCACTAATTTGCTTAGATTTGCAATATGACTCAATTTGCAATCTTATAAGAATTGAATTCTTTAACTAATATTACCAAGATGTAATAATGTTTAGAATCTAGTATTATATTCATTTTATTCTTTGGCTATTTTACTTAAAACATTCAACTTCTCGCTTTAGCCTGTGATAGTATAGAGAAAAGACAATTAGTCAGAAGCTCTCAATTTCTATTAACAAACTTCAACTATATTGTGATTACCCTATCTCATGGCTTCTTCAGATAGTTATTGATAACAAATTGGATTCTTTAAGTCATCACATGTTCTATAGGAAAGTTCTAAATTATTAGAAGACAATGCAAGTTAAAATTTAGCTCTTTTATCATCGACTAATTAATAAGCTAACATTGAAAATCCCTTTTAATATAGATATGATGTAATCAAGTCACCCATTTTCTTACGTGTCTTTAAGAAATTCTGTATATAATTAATATTTTTATCCATCAAAGCCTACTTAAATAGCATTTCAGAACAATCAAGACTCATATTTAGTAATTTACCAACATTATTCATGTAAAATAATTTGTATTTTTCACTCTATTTATCTATTGGTTGTTGTAATTGTATAAGATATGGAACAGTCTCCACAGTTCCAAATATACCAGAATCTCCATTTATTAATAAATATTTTATGTGAACTTTGGTTGAATATATTATAATGTTTTAGGTTCTACTTAAGAATAATACAGATTTAATATTGATCGACTCTGAAATCTAAGTGACGCTTTAGAATGATTTTGTAAACAGATAAATAGATTTCTTAGTTTAAATCATCACATATGTGTCGTTGTTTAATACTTGTTTGATATTATTAAATTCTATTGAGCAAGGAATTTGATGAATGAGTTGGTTAGCCACAGGATCAAATACATTTATTATTTAGTCAGTGTAAAAAATGGCCTTGCCTCCTAAATAAGGAAAAAGTTTATCTGCTTTTAACCCTAGAGCCGTATGAGAATCGACTTCAAAATTATATATTTCTAATTCAGAACTTTCTTTAGATTTCAAGATCTTAGATTTTCCAATGAAAATTGCAGACTTACCCAGAAATATTTGGCTGATGTTAGTTTAACATTCGAAAATTACATATTTGCATATTCCTCTCTATTTATTATGGGAGCTCTACTTCAACCTAACTAAGAGTTAGTTTTTATTAGTCTCATAAATATTTTATTAGATAAACTCAATATTATCTTATAATAGATTGTCTGATATTAAAGATGTAATTTCTTGGAAGTTCTTTATGATTTTCTCTGAGTTAGTCTATAGATCTATTAATTTGATTTGTTTTTTGGACCCAACAAACAAATTCTTATTGTCTGTCAAATAAATAGCAGGTCTATTCCTAAATAATGTAAATATGTATAAGGCAGAATCACTTCCTCCTGCAAAATAATTATTATTCTAATGAACAGCACTAACCCAATATCTATCCAATTCATAATTTGTAAAACAGTCTATCTCACTTTTCTTCTTCATATCCCAAAGTCTGATTGTGTTATCTTCAGAATTAGATATAAAGTAATCTCCAAATGGGTGAAACATAGCACTACTCACATTATTCTATAGTGATAATAGATGATAAATTACATTATGACCTTAATAGGAATCAATTTCATAGCCTCTTGATTCATAGAATTTCCAAACTTTTATTTTCTTATCATCTGATGCAGACAGTATTAAATTTTCAGTAGGACTGAATGTACACCAATTCACACCTTGATTGTGTCCTTCTAAAATTTATATTAATTCTAATTCATTTTGTTGATCATTTTGGACCTATAAATTTATTTGAATATTTTACATTCTTCTAAGTAAATCTTTTCTTCAATTATGCAATTGACCATAATCTAATAGTCTAATCTAAAGAACAAGTAATTAGAAAGTCTTTTGTTGGATGAAATTCACAATGCATCACATAATGACTGTGTCCTGTTACTATGGCTATCATTTGTCTTGATTAATAATTCCAAATTCTAGACGTCTAATCATCTGAAGCTGAGACACACCACGGCAATTCTGGATGAAAATGTACGCATCTCACAAAATCTAGATGGCCACGCAATACAAATTAACATTTTTTAGTTTTGTAATTCCAAACTCTTACAGTAAAATCATCTGAGCCTGATACAAACAGACACAAAGATTGGTGAAACTAAACTGATCTTACAGGACCTTCATGTTCGACAAATTCTTCTATTGTCTTTTTGTAAATATTAAGCATATTTTACTCTTCCCAATCTATAGTCAATCATTTGGATTGTTCCAGAATGCAATCCAACTAATAGCCAAGGTTGCTATGGGTGAAACGACAATCCTTTTATTCTCTCTGTTTTCTTATGAAATTTTACAATCATTTATTTTTAATTATTTACCAATACTCTTTAAAATTTTAATATCAAGAAACCACATTCTTATTTTTTTTCATTTATCATTTAAAATGTGCTTTCTTAATCTCATAGGTGGAGGGGGAATGATTATATACATTTTGAGATATTCAACATCATTTTAGAGACAAATAAATCCTAAAATTTGAGACCACCTCCAGTTTTTGAACATTATTATTAACAATATAAGGTACACTTTAGTATTCTTATACGATGCTTGTTTACTATGCCATGACGATTCATAAATTTAATAAGTTTAAAGCTATACTATAAAGATTGTTTATTTAATTAATCATATTAATTCTTAAATAAAGCCAATTATGAAGCTTAGTATAGAGTTGAATATTTAAAAAAATAAAACTATTTAAATCAATGAGAGAGGCATAATATCATGGACAATAATTCAAAAAAATAATTCTCACTAAGTTTCTTTAGAAAATGTGTGATTCATTCTATAATGGTCAATCAAAGAATAAAATTTCATATTAGACATTGAAAGAATTATGATAAAGAAATGGGGAATTACAAAGCCAAGTAAATGAAGAATTAATCCTCATTGTATTTTAAGAAAAAGAACAATAGAACAATAATAATTGAAATTTGATAGGAAGAGCGATTAATGAATCACTTTATAAAAATCTTATCACAATATGTATCATTTTTCCTACTTATCTGTTGACTAATTATTCTTGGATTAAAGATCTTCTATGGCTTTCTTGATTGCATCTTCTGCTAGCATACTGCAATGCAATTTGACAGGAGGCAACTTTAAATAACTTGCTATATCAGAATTCTTGATGTTGTAAGCTTCTTCCAGGGTCATTCCTTTAAGAATTTCTGTAGCATAAGAACTAGAAGCTATGGCTGAACCACAACCAAATGTCTTAAAATTAATATAATCTATTAGATTACTTTAAAGACAGCTTGCTCAATGGTTTTACCATCTTCTCCAACTTGGATTTGTAGTTTCATAACATCTCCACATGCTGGGGCTCCAACCAATCCTGTTCCTACTTTTGGGTTGCTTTTGTCTAATGATCCTACATTTCTTGGGTGTTCATAGTGATCTATAACGTTGGGATGATAGGAAAAGCGAGGAACAAATTATATCGATCGTTTAAGAAGAGTTAACATAAATAATAATAATTTAAATTTTTTATTATGGCTTAGAACCAAATAGTAGGAGCAATTAAAATAAAGGATGGATTATTTATTGGGGATGAATTTGCATCATAGGTTTAGTATTGAATTTAAGAAAGGATCGAGAATTTATAAATACAAATAAAGTAACTCATATTATTAATTGTGCTGGCACAGAGGTTCAAAATAAATGGACTTTGATGGGTGCAAAGTATTTAACTTTTAATTGGTTGGAGTAAGATAACGAAGTATCAATTACAATTTTGATTTTTAGGTGTTATTTGATGAACGAGGTGAAAATGTAAATAAAATATTTACATTCATTGAAGAATGTTTTCAATAAGGAGAGAGTTGCCTAGTACATTCAGTTAGAGGATAGAGTAGAGCATGTTGTGTGCTTGCTGCTTATTTTATGAAAAAGTTCGTTAAATAATTTAAATTTTTTAGATATTCGTGGACATTATATAAAACATTAGAATTTTTGAATTCCAGACGTCCAGATCTAGAAATCAGAGCATCCTTTTTTTATTAACTAAATGCATTGGAAAATAAAATGAATAAATTAGGACCAAAAAGAACTGCTTCATGGAATGAACTCACAACAGATGAATAAAATCCTTAGCATGTCTAAGAGGAATTGATCATTAGAAATACTTTTTTGAATTCTCATAATGGTCCTGTTGATGAAATATATACGAATTTATAAGCTAAATAGGTACTAAATTCAATAATACTCAAAAGGGAGTTTTAGGAAAACCAACTAATTAAAAGTTAAAATGGAGAGATCAGTTGAACAAAGAAAATATTCAATTAGCAACTCTTGTTTACTCTGGATCTCCTGATTTCGTGCCTGTTTCTGAAGTCAACTTAAAACGTGATTCTGAAACTTCAATTTTAAAAGTAAAATTAGAATTTAATTAGGGAGCATAAAAAAACTAATCTGTAATCTAATTGCCTAAACAACCCTAAATCTAAACTAGCTTTCCAAAAAGCAATTAAAACCCAACTCAAGGTAGAACTGAAAGTAGCAAATCATAATAACAAGATTAATCTGATATTACAAATAAATCTAATATAACTTCTGCTAATTTGACTAGCAACCCTTCATTTTAAAACTTATTGATGCAATGCACAGTAAAAAATAGAACACCATAACAATAATAATAATAATAGACTATAATTGAGCAAAACAATAAAAAAACCTAATTGATTAATAATTTTGTTAAGACTTCTGATAATCAAATATAAGAATAGAAACCTTTATTTGGAACTATATTAAATAGTAGTAATTAGGTCATATAAAACAGTTCTAATGCAATTAGAAGTAATTCTTTGTAACAAAATGATGAAAAGAAACTAACATCAGATTCTTCCAATTAAAATAGACCAAACTCTTTGAAATAAAAAGACAACTAGAATTCCATCCTAACTAACTTCTAGGAATTTAAAAATTAAGTCTAATAATCATTAAATTATTTCAATAAATAAACAGAAACACTTTTAAATTTTGACAAATAATCCTAATAATCGTAAACAACGTAATTAACAAATTAATCAAATAACACAATCTAATAAAAAAGTAAATTAGATTAATTAATTAGTCCAACATAAATGTAAACAATGAACTCCACTAAGCATTCAGAAATTCAAAAAACTCTCACTTAATCCATTTCCTAATTATAGTCTAGTTATTAAAAATTTCAGCAACTTTAGCAAAAATCCTAAATAAATCAATCTTAATCGTAATCTTGTATTTAAAAATAAAATATTTAAAACACTGAATTATGCATGATTAATTAACCTGCTATGCTAAATTAGTCAAATTTACAGGATAGAAGCTCTTCTTTAAACAAAAATTAGGAAACATTAGAATCCAAACTCAGGCCTGAAATAAAGGATACATAAAAAACTAATTGCGTATAAAAAAAGGAAACCTTGTCCCCCTTTTCAAAAGATCCTTAAAAAAAGTAGTCCCAACAAGGACCCCCTTTACCATAATCTAGTTCTTAAATATATTTAAGAAATGTTTAATGCAGAAGACAAGCAGCGTCTACATTGAGGAATTAGTAAAAGCCAAACAACTCATTTTAGGATAAGTACTTAAATTAAAGCGCAAATTAAGCATAAAACAACAGCTTTAATAATAATAGTAATTCTGCAATCGAAGCAGATTAAAAATAATAAGTTAAGGGCATAGTTACAGATCTTAATTAATTTAAGAAATTAATATCTCCTTAAAATTTGACTAAAAGTTAGGCATAATTTGTGAAGAATTAACCCATCAGAGTTTTATAAGAATTGGCAGATAAGACTCATTCCCAAAAATAAGTGTAAGATTGTTTAATTATTTCGTAGGAAAGCCAAGGATAATGTATCTTCAACTAGTTTTACAATAGTTCATAAACCCTCAACTGTAAATACAAGAACATTTTCCCCTGTTATTAAAAGTATTCAATTAAATTTAGTTTAAGATGAACCAAAGAATAATGCAACCAATGTTACTAGTGTTAGACACAAAATTAGAAATTCTTCTCCAGGTATAACATATGTTAATATATCTCAAGGAATATCAAAGGATTAGGATTAGTCAAATTCATTTTAAAACTTATAATAAACTTTACAGGGAAAAAATAGTTGGAAGATGCTTTGATACAACTACTTTTTGTCTTATAATTTTATTTTAACTAATATAAATAAATTATTAAAAGCTATCAAAATTTTACAAAAATAATAATCAATCTGTTAAAGTGTTGTGTGAATTTAATTCATTATCCAAATTTCTAAAAGTATCTTCCATAATAAATTTCGATCCTTGTTATTATTAAAAGGTAATGTGATGTATTCCTTAATGATCACCAAAACTTTTTCTGTCATTCTCTTTGTCTTATATATGATATCTAATGATAATATGATTCTATTTACATGTCAGCAGATTAGAGGGAAAATTTATCGGGATCATTTGAATCAAATGTCTTTTTATTAAATTAACTGTCCTACTCAGTAGAACAATACAATAAGGTTTACAAATTTTAGATTTCATAATGTTGATTCATAATAGTTTTCTATTAGGACTCAATTTATCTCTTTTAGATCTAAATAATTTATTTCATTTTATTAAATTCTTTTTATTAGGCAACTGAATTAATGGATGGTTAATTTACTTTCTTTTCTTTTAATAAAAACTAATTTATAACTGTTTACATTTCAACTAATTTTTACTCACATATGTCTTTCTCTTTTTGAAGTTGCTCTTATTGAGCTTGATAAAATAGGACTTCATTTTGCACTGAAGATCTTCTTGATAATGATTCAAATTAATTACTTTTTCTTTGATTTTAGATGTTTAGTTATTATTATTATTTTAAAGTTGACAACTCCTCTTACTTCTATTCTAACTTATTCATTATATCATATTATTATTATTCTAAATTTTCAAATTATTATTTTAAATGTTGAATAGATGAGTCTTTAGCTTATAACAGTTATTTATGCTCATTTAATTCATTTTATAATTAAGATATTTCTTTATTTTTTTAATTGATAACTTATTCATTATTATTTACTTTATTTCTTTCACTTCTTAAGAGTTTCATATCATCCAACAATTAATGATTTTATTACTTTAGATTGTTAAACTCTTTATTTTATTATTCAATACTAGTTCTCATAAATTCAAGATCCTTTAACATTTCTTCAGTTTAAGAATACAATTTTTGATTATCTTAATTTAAGCGATTGTTAACTTCTTATAATTTTTAATTTTCTTGTTCTTTTTATGTTAATTAGTATTTTAATTCTTTCAATAATATGTTAAGCTAGTCAACTTTTTCACATTGTTCTTTCATGGAAATGGATTGCTGTAAAGGGACATTTTTGACATTTAATTAATCTTCTGATGATTTGAGCTGAGGTTTTAAACAAGCATGAGTATGGGGACTATATGATAAGTTGTTTTAAGAATTATCAGGAGTTTTATCATAATGAAAGCTAGCTGTAGTTTTGGTTGGAGTTTTTTTTAAGATATGTTCTTTGGATTTGTTTATAGATGTGTCAAGTCTTAAATTCCCTGTGCTACTTTGATGCATTTATTTTATTATGTCTAATGCTTTGGTTGATTGTTGAGTTTCCAATTTATTTTTTGAGTTCAGAAGCATGTCGATTCTTAAAGGTTATATTGGCATGGATAGTATGTCTGGCTAAGGACTTTTAATAGGTTTGTCATAAGGGACAGAATTTTTTGATTTTGAGATATTCATTAACGACTAAAATATTATATATTAACAATAATTTATTATTCAATTTTGCATTTAATTCTAATTCACCTTTTTGAGAAATCCAATAACTTCAATTTAAAATTTCTTAGCTAAGTCTGAGAGATCTTCTTTATTTCTATCGATTATTTTTTGTAATTTTGGTGTTTAGGCAATGATTTTAAATTGTTCAATCACCCTATCATATTTTTAGATTCTTTCTTCTCTAGTCAAATCTGCCTTTGATAATTAATTGAATAGCTTGATGTTAAGGATTTCCTTGAGTAAGATCAAATATATTACATCTCGAAATTAATTTAGAGTAGTCCAAGCAAAATCAAGTCCTCCTCTAATATGAGAAGTGTACTTTGATTCTATTAGAATTCTAGCTTTCTCCAAAAGCATAGGGAGAGAATCAATAGGCACTTACCCAAACTTAGGAGATTGGGAATAAAGAGACAAAGCATCCTGCAATATTGATGGTTCTAAGACTCTAATATAAAATAAAATATATACTGATTGATAGCATTCATAGCAGATTTAAGATTATTGTTACTCCACCAATGAAGGATGGGTTTCATATAATTCATCCTTTAAGTCAAGACTGATTAAACTTTATTGTGATCCTTGACAATCTCATGGATGAGATCAACTTATTTAAACTTTTCTTTATTTTAATCCCCCATCATAAATTAAGAAAGAGTTAAATCATTTGAAGCCAGAATCTCTGATTCATTGTTAGGATACTCTTCCTCCTCCATATTTGGAACTATTACTTAAGGAACATTAACCTGTTAAATGGGCTTTTATTGAATGTGCTAAGGAGTGTGTACTTAATTTGAAAAATATTAATTGGCATCATAATTTTAGTATAATTACTATGGTTATTATGCCAGTAGGTTTTGTTGTAGATATAACTGATTTTGTTGTTATTATTGTTAATAAAGTTGATTAGTTTATTATTAATATAACAAAGGATTTTAGTTTTAGAATTACTAAGGTTATTGAATTTGGTATTAATATGGCATTTGTTATAAGGGATATTGTTATTGTTATTGATATCCATTATTATTAACATATGGTTATGCCATAATTTACTATTATTAATAATATGGTTATTATTGTTATTGCTAAATCTCTTTTAATTATTCATTAGATTTCTAACGATCATATTGATAATCCTAATTCAATATGTTTTATGCTTGCATTTATAATGATGGTTTGCCTTTAAGTTTAGTTTCTGAGTCTGAGGGTTTTGAGTTTGCTGTTTGGATATCTGATCTTTTATCTGGTGTTCTTCCTCTTTTAATAGGAGCACCTCCACTAGATCTCACATCTAAATTTTTGGTTTCCTGACAAATAGATTTAAGATTGACTCCATGAAGACTAAATCCATTTTGCACATTCGAAGATAGTCCCAACAATTGATCTCTTTCTTGGACCACAATCAAATCCATAACTCCCCTCCAACTACTTTCCACATTATCTAAGAGTTAACAATCATGTTCAACATCCCAAACTTTTAGAGAATCGTTGGCAGCAGAATATAATACTTTTCCATTTTATTCAAATAAGATACATTAAATCGGAGTTGTATCTGTTCTTGTAGATGAGATCTAATTTACAAAAAGATTAAGGTACTTAAGTTAATCTATCTAAGTCCCAATACCTGACGCATCGATCTCCTCCTCCTGAAGCTAATGCTTTGTCAACAGGATTAAAACTTAGACAAGTGATTTAATTATCGTGCTATGTAAAAGATGCTAATAATTTAGCTTAAGTGATATCCCAAATTTTAACTTATCCATCGTTTGAACCTGAGGCCAATAACTTACAATTTGGAGAGACCGATAAAGCATTGATTTACATGCTGTGTCCTTTGAATTGATTGACTACTGTTTTCGACCTCAAATCCCACAATTTAATTGAAGTGTCATAAGCACCACTTAGGAGAAGATTCTTATTCTCTTCAGTGGGATAAATGCAAAGAGAGTTAACACAAGTTGTGTGGCCTTTAAGTGTTTAAATTTCTAGGTGAGATGACTGGAATATAGCATACATTTTTAATTTTCAACATCCCAGAGATTGATGATTCCTCTATTGGATCCTGAAAATAGTTCAGTTTCACAAAAGCTAAAACTCACGCTGGCAACTTCAACTTATGCATTTGAAGTGTTTTATGAACTTAATGTCTAGGAATGTATTATAGAAGTACGGCAATGGGTTTTTGATTTCCAATTTACCAGATTTGAACGCTATTCTTTTCATCTCCCGCAGCTATTAATTTCTTAGAGTAGGTTCCGAATCTTGCACAAAGCACTTTTGATGTGACACATAAATCAGCTTAATTTATTATTTGATTTACATACATAGTTTCTAATTTCTCTTCTTCATTTTGTAAAATATATAATAATTACTTATTATAATTATATAATTACTAATATTTCATTTATCACTTTTAATCCATTACTCTAATTTTGCTAATCTCTCATGGTCAACTTTTTGGGCCTAAAATAAATAAGAAACGATAATAAACCTTCTAAGATAATTACAAAATTTAAATTTCTCCAAAAGAATCTCCAATAGCTATTTTAGTCCCATCCTTGGACCATTAAGATTTATTGATGGAATTATTGCCAGATTTATATCTTGTGATAGGTGCTTCTAAGTCATATGACAAATCCCACAAATCGACATAACCTTCCCCATCCACAGTTGAAAATAACGTAGGATGCTATCCATTCCATTAAACATCATAGACATAGTCTTCTGAACATTCAAAAGTGGATAAACATTTGGATTCCAATTGTGTTCTTGTATTCCATAACTTGCATGTCCAATCAAAAGAACTGCTTAGAAGTAAATTAGATATGATTGGCGAGGCTTATGGTGATGAGTTCAAAGAAATTCCACTAACTGGAGCCAAGTGTTCTTCAAATGGGATGACTATATTTTCATTTGTATTTTGATGTAATTTAGATTTGTAAACGCATCCATCTTCAGCTCCAACATAGAAATTATTGGCATCTCCTTAAGGGAATACCATACAAGTGGCATTTACTTCTACTTAAGGGTTTGTTGATTACTATTTATTCTTGGTCTTCAAATCTATGATTTTTTGTGGTTGATTAAATTAGGCTAAATTCCATATGCAAATTCTTCCATCATTTGATGCAGATATTATATTGTTTGCATTTTGTGAACCAACTATACTTAGTCCATAAATAGGGTAACTATGTCCACCACTATTCAACGTTGATCTCTTCTCAGGTGTATGTTTAGCTCTTAAATCCCACACAACTACCTAACCATTATACAATCCTCCTAGAACTATGTTAGGACTAAAGGGATGGAAACAGGCCGATGTTATTGGACTGCTTGCAAAACAATAGAATTCCGGTCTGGATTTCAATTGCAAAGACCATAGGAGTACTACTCCGACCTAATCCGTTATAGATCCTTCTTCATTTTAGGAATAAGCAGCTAGGAATGTATTCGGCAAATTGGGTGACCACTAGATTGATGTAACAACTCTATTATCTGTATATAGTTTGTCACTGAATGACAGCAATTTGGTTAGGTTGTCCTTCCCTATTTCTTAAGTCACTTATTATGTGTTCATCAAATCCTCCAAGACATCGACTTCTGCTCCATGAATGGCTTTTTCTATGGTTTTGGAGCTTCTTGAAAAAAATCTCTAGAATGATTGGGATTGAACGATGGAATTGATTTCTTCCATGGAGATATTCTTTTCTACTTTTTCAACTGGTTTTTCAGCACTTTACAAAACTTCTCTTTTTTTTCTGGAATCTCTTCTGACATTCTCCATCAATGGTATTACTTGATCCTCGTTTTCCTGCTTTTTTTAAGGCACCTCAAAATCACATTATACACCAAATTCTATTGTCATAACTTCTGTTTGAGGAGGAGCAGGGTTGTTTGAATACATATCTATTGTCTAAAACCCTAATTTTTTTCGCTTTGTTTGTAAATATAAATTTATTAGGTCTGGCTATTGGGGAGGTGCAATGACAGTTTGGTTTTGAGCAGGCTGATCTTAATGAAAAGATTAATTGCTTTCAACATTTGCTTAGGCTTAAGTCACCTGCTATTAAGGTTAGGTGACGGGAGCAATCGTAGTGGATTATTGAAGTTGCTGTTATTTAATCCTTAAATAATTTTAATAATTATTACGCCTCTATCCTTTGTCTTTTTTCTTGCAATAATCTTTATTTTTCTTCTGGACTTATCATATAATTTAATTATTTGAATTTATATTTTATTTAATTTTCTCATTAGATGTATAATTAAAGAATCAACTCAATTTTATTATTACTTAGAGTTATCAATGATAGATAAAAGCTATTTGATTTAAACATCATTGAGCATATACAATTTACAATACTTTGATGTTAAAATTCTTATATTCTGCTTTGATGGACTAAAACTTAACATGTTTTCTATTAATGAACCCAAGAATCCAAAAATTGTATTTTTCTCCCTAAAATACATTGAAATAAAGACCTGTCGATAGAGTCATTGATATTCTCATTAATCCTCATGTCTTATTGCTTTTTCATCTCCTCATACAAGCATTCAAAGAAAATGGCATCCCACAAGTCAATTTTATCAAAAATGGAGTGATGTTGAATTCCATCATACAAAAATATCTTCTCTGTCTTCTCGATCCTATAAAATGTAAAAGTCATCAACATCAATTTCCTCACTGTAAATGCATCCAACTCTTCCATACACTATCTAATTAAATTGACTTGATACCAAATCTAATAATTGATTCAATAAATCCACGATATTCTAATACGAAATTTAACAAACTTCAAATTTCTTATCCAGTCTGAATTATTAAAACTCAAAAACCCAAATCTATCTGCCAATCAAGTTATTACTTAGTAAATTTATTAAAGATTTTAAATTCACTTATTAAGATGACCATAATTCTTACATCTAATTGTGGATTCTCTCTTAGCATAATGATATATTTGTAACCAAATCCTAATTCTAAGATTACACCAAATAATTAATTTTCTCATAGTCATTCTTCAGAATGTCCATATTGAGTGTGATCAATTATCGATTGTACTAAATATTTTAACATTTTGTATTTATAAAATGAGTAATACGATCTACCCAATTATCTTCAATCTTCAGAACTGAACATTAAACAAAGCTCTTCTAATCTTTGAATTTAATCACTAAGGATTTTAAATATTATTCCTTGAAACGATAAAGACTATACTCACCCTAAATCTAGTTTAAATTCTATATATAATTTAGAAGCTATTACTTCAAAAATTCTATCATTCTAAAAGAGTTAGTTCGTTACAGTCTTCAATTAGTTTACTCTGTCCTGATCTTATGTTTAGAACTCCTCTATTATCTTGGATATTCTCAGTTCATATCCTTATAAGAATTGTTCATATGAGGATTATTAGCTGTTTAGTTTTTCTCTGAGCTCTTTGAGATTTCTAAACAGCTTGTCCGATTTTAATGTATTCTCGTTTTTCTTCTACGGCTACAACTGACTCAGATTCTCTTGAGAAAACTTCTGTATTTAATGCTGAAAATAATCGTTATTTTTTTAGTTTAATTAGCTTATGAGCTAATAATTCTATATAATTTTTATACCTTCTCAACATCTGTCTTCTCTTGTTTTAATTATGCGGACAGCTTTCGACCGTCAGAGATCAAACCCCTAACTTTTATGTTTTAATCTTTCACTAATAAATTCAATTAATTGATGATATAATCTTTGATAAATTATGCGTAGGCCCTCGACTCTTTAATCTTTTGCCTTATTTCATTACAATACAGAGCTATTATTTTCTCTAAATTGACTGCAGAGTCGGCTGAATTTTTATTGACCAATAATTCAGATATCCCATCTTCCAAATTCTTTGAATACTCATATTCAGCATTCACACGATTTTACAAGGAATCAATCATTTTAGTGATATCGTTTCTTCCTTTCGTTGACTCTCTAACTACGTTTTCAAAATATTCCAATTCCTACCCTCCTATATATTTTTATAATGTTAAAGTCAAACTCATATAAAAATTATAGCATTCCAATTTTAGGAATAAATATCTATTAATACTCATTTGTCAAAAGTGATTTTCACTAAATTAACTTCTTAAATGATTCTAAATCTATTCAAATTTGTTTCTTTAAGTTAGATCAAGTAATAAATAAAACATCTTTAACTAGCATAGTATATAATTATTAAACAAATAAATGAAGTCTGTCGCCCTTTCAAAAATTAAGAAAGCCATTAAATAATTCGATCTCTTTGGAGTCGAATTAAACCTGAATATTAATCAGTAGGAGAAATATCGAAGTGCCTGCGGAGGGATAGCATCATTAATTATGATTTTCTTGTTGGGCTATATTTTTACTAATCGCTTCATTAGTATCATAAATAAGGAGGATTACACAGTAAATGCTGTAGTTTATCTATAGATTAAAGTTTAAAACCTAAAAAGTGCTAATCCTAATTATAATATCATGAATAGTTAAAATTTCATGTTTGCGATTAAAGTGGATGATCCTCTACAAAGTTACTATCAAAATGAAACTAAAACGTCTTACAACATAACAATTTAACAATTTATATAGAAAAGCTATTAAAATGGAACAAAAACGAAAGAACTATTAAAATTTTACAGATTAGAAAAATGTACAACTGACCATTTTGTAGCAGTTAACTTCCTTGATTATTCATATATTTTTAAATAGTTAAGTTCATACCTGTGTTTACCATTAGATTACGAACTTTATCTTCAAGGAGGCTATAATTCTGAGATTTTTTTTTTTCCTAAATTAATCATAGAAACTTGTTAGAATGAATCGGATCTCTGTTATTCCAAAGAAGAAATAATTGAATTTAATAAAAATAGATCTTCCACAATTACACTTTCAACTTTAATTAAATCAAGTTTATTTTTATCCAATGAGACAAAAAATACATTATACCATTATATTGACTCTGACTTTTATCTTTAATCAGATTTTACTCATTATGCCACATCAGACATTTTTTTTTAATTCAACAAAATAAAGATTGATGATAGCCTATTAAGCATGGTGACAACCTCTACAGAAGAACTAGATTATTGGTCATTCTCCTTAACTAATTACAGATAATTTTAAGTATATATAAAAATAAGTGATAGAAAGAAGTGACAGAAATCGATGTGTTGTTTGAAGTGAATCTTAGATTAGATGCTGAATAATAGGTAACTACAAAAACAGCTTAGAGATTTGATTAATTTTTGTCATATTTAGGAGGCATGTTAAAGTTCTTCTCAGCCTTGTTTGGCTTCGTAGCCATATAATATAACTTCTTAGCTATGAGAATCTCATTGGCTAATGTATTGTATGAATTTAACCTTCCAATAAAAGAACAAGGAAGAGTGACATTCTCATATGATCGGTTATTAAACTATATTTAGTTGAAAATAAATCGAGTTGATGAATTGATTGGAAAGCTTAAGAATTATGCTCATTAAGTGGTTAAACTCAGCAATATAACAAGAGCATGGACATCATTTTCTTTGCATACACGATTAATGAAATAAGAACAACATGACGTAGGTGAGCATTAATATTCAAAATAGGAAATTAATGAGTATACTGAAAAATTAAAAGAAATGAAGGAAAATTTTCTATATAGTTTAATTTAAAGGATTTTAGATACTAAGAAATAGTTGAGATTAGGAATTAACTTTTTCACTCTTGTTTTTTATTGTTGTTAATGTTTCCAAAAGGTTTAGGTGACTCGGAAATTAATTAATTAATGTGATTTAATGATTAGAAGAGATTTAGATATTGTAACAATATTGAGTAAGATCTAACAGATTGAAAAATTAAAGGCAACTATTTTGGATTAAGATTAAATTTATGTTTTCAATTACATTCCCAAACCTGTTATATTTGTTGATTAGCATTATCAAATATCAACAGATGAATAATTATAATAAAATTAACTTATTTAAAAAATTAATTCATAAAAGAGAGCAAGAGTTATCAAAAAGAGAATGAAATATAATTCTTAAAAAAAATTTGCGAAGATTTACAAAGCCTATTTAAAATTGAAGGAATCAAAAAATGATATTAATAATAGATTAATTTAATTACTAGGTCCTACTATGGAACTCATATTTTAAAAATATCATGAACTCCAAGAAATAGCAAAATCAAAGGAAGATTTGGCTCTAACTCTTCCCATGCCTTAAAAGTCATCTGTTCGAAGTGGAAATCTACATACTTCTGATATAAAATAAGATACCAAACTGAATATTAAAATAACACAAAAAGATATAAGTGATGATGGGAATATAGAGTTTTAAGGATAATGATACTTTAAAGGGCAATCTTGATTAATATTCACTTTATAATTGTAATATTTTATATATATGATGTTCTAATTTATCAAATTGACTTTAAAAATTCCTTTAACTTGTTTAATTTAAGAACAGCTTGATCCATATAATTTTTGAATTCAATCCAAGTCAACTATTAATATAATGTAAATAAATACAGTTCGATCATTAGATTATTTGTCACCTTCTGAATTTAAGTCATCAACCACTTCTTGAGCAAGTTAATCAACCATTTCTTCAAAATTATCATTTTATCCTTTCAACTTTGAAATAAATCAATTTATTAATACTTTAAACTTAGTTTGCATATCCTTCATGTTATCCGTTAATAGTTGTTTGATTTCTGGAATACTGAGTGCTCCACTGTTATCTTTGTCATATTTATTGAAAAGCTATTTGAGATTTCCTCTAAACTAGAATTTACCCTTATCTTCCACACATAAGTATTGTATCCATTCTTCCCTTGAAACATATCCTGAATTATCTTTATCCAATATTTTCATCTCCTCCTTAATTCTAAACAAATCTGGCTTATCTCCTTCATAGGCATACAATAAGAACTTCAATTCCTAGATTGAGGTTTAGTTATCGGAATTGATATCTGAAGCATCAAAGGCACTCCATGCAGCCATAATATCCTCGTAGGCTTCTTTTAAAATTCCATTTGGATATTGCTGGTTTTATTCGTCGTGCTTTTGATGTATTTTAGTAGATTGGATCAAGATATCAATTAGCAATTCGATGGTCTCTTTCTTTTGCTCTTTAAGTTCTGTCAGAAGCAAGGTTTTTATGGAATCAGCATCGCAATATTATTGATCTCCTCCTCCTGCTGCAGCCTCATAGAGTTTTTGAAAGAAGATTCTTCTCTCCTTTGCTCTTCTATCAGCATTTTCAAATGTTTGGATTAAAGCATATTACAGCATAAAATCTTATAATTCCCATGAATTCAAAAGCCATACGCCAAATTCATGGAATGATATCGATGCACTCCTATCTGAATCTAATTGAATAAACATCTTTTCTGCAAAATATTCTAGATCCTTAAGTTCTGGAGGTTACAGTTTTGCAATTTTGCACAATGCTCTAATACTTGTTTACAAGGTCATAATGAGTTCTTTCTTCTCGATTTCACCTGATTGATCGAAATCAAACATTTTATAGATGAACTCCAATTTAGTGTTGAACTCTTCTCCACAAAAGACAATCTAGTAGATAGTGTTAATTAATACAATGACAGCTAAACTTTCATAAATATCCACTTATCCAGCAGATGAATTATTGTTTTCTAATAGTAGAAACACCTATTCAGTCCATTCTTCCAGTATTCCCCCAAATACATCCAAATATTCATCCAAAATTAGAGTGCTTTTAGTAGGATAAGAATCATTGATCATTTCTATGCACTAAAAGTTTCTATGTATATATTACATCATTGATGTGTTATAGTTTTCTTGTTTTAAGGAAATTGATCAAGGTCTCTTCTAGTGGTCCTTTGGGGACAGTTCTAAAATAATTGCCCATTTTTTAATTAAATTTTATATAATAATATTAAATGAAACAGTGCAATATATCTATCAGATATAATTGAGTTCTGGCCAAGAATAAGACATAGATTCAAATAAATTAATTAATTATTCCCTTAAGAATCATTTAATATCAATATTCCGAATTAGTCTTTAAAATTCACTATAAAAAACAATATTTAATAAAAATGTATTAAAAAATTGTAGGATTAATACAAGATGTTGACATGTTTGGGGCTGATATAACACTGAATATTCAAAATAAAGGAAAGTATACTTCTTTTTTTGGAGGTTTCATGAGTTTGGTTGTTTGGATTGCCATGATTTATGTGTTTATTTCATAAGGAGTAGATTTAATCAACAGAGTAGATCAATAAGTAATACTGTGTTTAAGAATAAGGCTGTCACTAGAACAATAAATGACATCAGTCCAAATGCTAGAGTTCTCAATATCTCTAATTTTATGATTGGTATTAAGCTAGATGATCCTTTGTAATCACTGCTGAACACCACCAATTAGACAATGTTTAACATAACCATAAATCAGAATCACTTTATCACTTACCCTAATAAAACCAGAATCAAAACTGCAAATGCAAGTCTTACTCTTGAGCAATGCACAAGTCAACATTTTTCATCTTTGAATTTGATATCTGAGACTGATGAGTTGGAGTCATTTACTTCATATCTTTGTTTGCCTTTGGATTACTCATTTGTTCTGGAAGGCTCATACAATTCTCAAAGTTTCTAATACACTTCAATTAAAGTTGCTCCTTGCAAAGATTCTTCTAAATGCTTTACAACTGACTAATTGAACTTATTATCTGAAAGATAATCATTCAAATTATCGACCTTGATGTTCACAACCATCATAAATCCATTTTCTAACGATGAAATTGTATCCCAGTAACTATTTTAAGACTTTTATCAACAAACCAAAAAACTCTAAGAATAAGTATCGGATATATTTTTAGAGCCTAATACTCTCGAGATCGATAATTCAGTATTTCCATTTGAAAATGATTCCTTCTTTGGAGAATTCTGGTCATTTCGTTTAGGAAACATAAGAAACTTTGTTGTAATTTATATATCCATATTAGAATGATTATGCAGAACCTACTAGTTATTTTACTGTCAATCTCAGAATTTCCTCAGAATATTATTCTTCCTTTATATCTTATAACAAATTTGGTGATTTTATCTCATTCATAGGAGGAACCTTAAAAGTTATCTCCAGTTTAATCGGTATCATAGTCATTAAATACAACACAATTGGATTTAAATTGATGCTTGCCAATTCTCTTTACTCTTGTCATATAGATGATCTTTCTAAAACCAAAAAAAGGGCTGAGCATAATGATATTTTCAAATTTATATAAAAAGAAAAAGAAAAAGCAGAAGCTATGTTACAAAGATTTAGAGGTTCAACAAAGAAATTGCTCTAATTTAATAAGGTTACAGGAATTTTTAAATCCTAAAGATTTACTTAAGTCTATAAATCTGATACAGATTTGCTCAAGGATGTTCAGTAGTCGTCTAATGTCAAAGAAATAGATTCAGTAAAACTAGAACCAACTAGTCATGAACATGGATCTATTGACCATCTCAAAGATACTTTCATCTAAAATATGGTTGAACACTTGCTTATGGCTAATGAGAAAATTAAATTAGGGTTGAATTTTGTAATTTATTATCTTTCTTGTTTCAGGCATTTTGAAAAATATAAACGAATCTATATAGTACTTCAAAAGTCAACAATCAATATTAACAATGATCTGGATATTGTTCTGATTTTGCAGAAACTTCAAGAAATCAATAAACTAAAGTGCTTATTGCTAGATTAGCATCAATTACAGCTTTTCAATTATATCCCTTAACCAGTTATCACATGGCATGGACTTTAAGTAAAAGACTCATAATTATCAAAGGACTCAATAGAAAAAGCAAATGCAATTGGCAAAGTCGCTAGATATGATACTCGAAACAAAATGCTAAAACTATTTAGAGCCTACCAAGAAGTGAAAATAGAAGAAAATGAAAAAGAAATAAATTCTCGTCTTATCTAGTAACTGGGGCCAACTGTCCAGAAAGTGTTTCAATAATCTTATTAAATAGCAGAAGACTATAACAAAATGAAATAAGAAGAAGATGCTCATGTCAAAACAAGTAAAAAAGCCCCATTAAATACAATGAATGTTTCTTAGCATAATTTAGTGGTAAAACCAACTTAAGGCACAAATTACTTGCAATCTAAATCAGATGCAATCGAAATTGAAGATATTGTTTTTGAATGACCAAAACATGTTTTTATTTAATTGACATGATTCTAAAAAGCATATATAAGTAGAACTTATTATTATTGCAAATATAAATTTACATCTCAATTTTGCTCCTACTAGGCAGCCTATAACTAAAGAGCCATAAAATAAATTACTAACTTCTTTTTTTAATTCTGCAACTTCTCTCTTTAACTTGATGTTTTCATCCTTAAGTTTTTCATACTCTAATTTTAGCTTATCTACGTCAATGTCCACAGGTGATCCCAAATATTTTTTCACATAACTAAGTTAAATACTCAAATTACTCAATTGCATTGTTAGGTTTCTCTGGTTCTTCATATAACCCAACCAATACTCTTGTAAGCTGATCAATCACTCCAGCCTTCTCCAAATACTTTCTAAATTCTTCTTTTTTTGAATCTGTTGTCTATGTTATAGCAAATTAAAATTTACCTAGAAACTCATTTGTTTTAATATTTTTAATAATTATGCATTTGATTAATAATAACTATTAAAGTCATAGGTATCAGTTAATAGAAGTGGATATTTTTTCTAAATATACATCACTTTTGAAAATCGTTTGAAACTCCTTAAATATTATTATCAGAAATTTCATTATTATGTTTTCAATAATATTTATAATATATGGATTAATTATCAAAGGAGATTGTCTTAGTTAACAAAGACATTTACAACTAACTATATGATACGCAATCATACAAAAAATTGGAGTAGTTAAAAAAAATGAACCTCTAACCATCTCCAATAAATGTTGCAAAAGATCTACTAAGTGCGAGAGAAAACCCAAAAGAATATGCAAAACAACATAAATTAGATTTCAAGTTTAGATAAACATAATTTTGGTAACCATCTATTAAGGATCCTATGTCAAATTAATAAAGCTAATAATAATAACAATAACAAGGATAGTAATAAGATTAATAGTAACTGATAGATACAACTAATGCAATATCATTTATTGAGAGTTCAAAAACTGAAGAATCATAAATTTAACAATCTTCATAGTCAACAAGAAGGAAAATACTGGTTAAATAGAGACTCTCAAAATAACCAAGTGACTCATCCATATGGAAGAAGCCTCTAAAGTAAATAAATAAAATTATGTTATAATTCAAACAGGATAGCAAAGCAGAATATTTAGCCATTATAAAATATGAAGATGCAAGTAATTAACTTGAATAGAAGTCAATGGATAATACTAAAAAAATTTAATGGGATTGTTAGGTGAAATTTGAAATAACAGAAGATTAAAATTTGTATATCATTATTGTACAATAATAATAAGGAAAGATAGGATAGTAAAATGTATTATAATAAGCAATAAATATATAAAATGTTGAAAAATAGTTTCAATAAGAGGTATAATTAAAGTATTTAAAAAACTCTATTAACGCTACTTTATTAGTTGAATTCAATTGAAATGTCATAATCTATATCAAAATATTATTACCATTAAAATATTTTTATCTGAAATAAACCATATTTCTTTTTAATAATATCATACATTTTTTAAACTATTTATAATTTAATTAGCAAGCAGATAAGCTAAAGAGTAGCTTCGACCAAAAATCACTGCATAAACTATTATGTTGAAACATTCTTGGCGCTCCTTCTATTATTTTCTTTTTATGTACTTTACATATTTTGTATATTTATAGATGGTAGCAAATATAGGATGAAGTAAAATGTTAATAATTTTATGATTATCGTTTAAATTAATTTTAATTAAATAGTTATTATTTGTAATATGAGATAGCAAATTTCTACGCCTGCCTACGGAGTAGGATACAAGACTCCATTCTCCCTGACTTAACAAGGAGCAGTTAAAGTGATCTCTCAACCGTCGTTTTAAAATTAGGTTTAACCAATGGCCTAATAATAATTTCAATAACAACAATAAGGATACCCGTAGCAATTCAATAGATAGATATATCCAATAAATGGGAATGCAAATGTGAATAGAGGAACTTGGGAGTAATAAGGAGCAGCTCAAAGATTTCAGACAAGTCAGGGTAATGGTGCTGTGCAGAGTCCTTTGTAAGTGGTTGATTTGTAGTAAGTGGAAGAACCTTGGAGGATAAAGGTGCAAGAATTGCAGAATAGAATAAAGGAATTAGAAGCTCAGCAATAAAATAAATAAGAGAATGAGGATGAGGAAAGTGAATTATCTTAAGCATATAGTTAAATTTAATAGTTAGTTAACACAATAAAAATTTTATAGGATGAAATTTAATAATTATAGGAGAAACTTGAACAGAAATAAAATGTCATAGATGGATACGATAGACAGATACAGGATAAGGATAAAGAAATTGAAGAGGCCAATCAATACATTTAAGAATTACATGGGTAACTGGAAGAGTAAACGACGAATGTTGAAGAGAAACACAAATATTTGTTCGATGAAGTAAACACATGGAAAAAGAAGTTTATAGAGTAGAATAAGTACGTATTGAATTAATGATAGAGAATTTCATCAGAAGTAGGAGGAGTTGATGATTCTATAAGCTGAGTTGGACAATCTTAAGAATGCTCAAATAATAATAGGTAAATCGAGTGATTACAAGCAACAAAAATGACTCCAAAGATATAAGTTAAGAATTATTATTATTAATAATTTAATTATCATAAAATATACAACAATGTTGTAAAAATGCATTCAATTAGCTAAGGCAGCTTAATTTTCACAAATAGTGAAGTCCTACACAAGTTTGGCCTAACATAAATGGTTAGATTATGATGAAACTCATAAGGTATTTAAAGATCAAATGATTATTAGAGATCTCTCTAAACTCATAAAAGCAGAGCTGAAGAATTTATTCACAAAATACCTGTAATAGAGGTGGATTCTGATGTTGTCAGATGTTTGGTAATCTAAAATTTGATTAATAATAAGGGAGGCACTCACATCAATGCAGGACATCCTTAAGTCTATATCAAATTGGATACAAGAACAGAGGGCACACCTTAAACATGCAAATACTGTGGTTTATAATATGTCAAGAAAGGCCATGGATCACACCATCATTGAGCATCAATCATAAATATTATAATAATTAATATATGAGTCTAATTTACAATACTCATAATTTGGGTATAATGGTATAATCTAACAAAGATCTAGCAATATCTATAGGGTTTGATATTGATTTAGAATAATTATTCTTTAAATATTTTTTAACTTAAGCCTCAACTTCCAATAACTAAAGTATAGGAATATAATTACCTCTTGATCAGTAAATACAATACTTACTTGATCAGAATCATCCTTCTTGCTAATGTCGATACATCTCATGGTTTGATAAGTGTTGATAGCATTCTTAATGGTTTCGATCGAACAACTTTCATAATGTTCCATTATATGTTCTCCATACATCTGTTCTGCGAATCCTTAAATTTAAGTAATCAATTCAGACAATTCAAACGTTGTATTTGTGTCACTTGCTCTTTTTAATTAATATAAATAGACAATCGTAGCCCAATAGCATTCCACCAAAGGCCAAATGAGGGAACATGTAAATTACGATGCCTATTCACCGAATTATTGATTAACTCTGATCTTTTCTTAGACCTTCTCTAGAACATTCTTTTCTATCATAGATTAAAGGAAATTTATCATCTATTCTTTGGATGTAATCCTGTTTCTTATAACATATTCTCTTTTTAATAATTTCAACAAGAAATCACTCTCTTCCCACAATCTCTCTGTGCTTACTCCTTCCTTATGGGATAACAAATGTCCAAATCCATTTAAAGCACAACAAACTATTCCCTCGCTGAAGAATATATGAGCTAATTGATTCCTATAATAACTTAACAATAAAATGCTCTTATATTCTTGTTTCGGTATCAAAGTCAATTCAAATACATTCTTCTTCTTCTTATCAACCAAATCCTATAGGAATCCAATTGAATTTCTCACAGCTACGTCACTTTAACCATTATTGGTAATTGAAGCCTTTGCTCCTCTTTTTGTGATTTATCTCAACACCCATTCAAATCTCTTTATTAATTAGTCTTCTGTAATTCCTCTTCTATTCATCAATAACAGAGTTGAAACTATCCCTGTAGGCATTACAACCATTTCTTCAATTAATTAGTACGCTACTTCGTAACCCAAGGTCTCCACTCCCCTCTTACGATCTCTAATATTCTCAAAGGAATCTAAACCTTATTGTTTTGACCATTCTTTAACTGATATCATTTTTCCAAATCCAACATGAATTCTACCAAAATTCGATGATAATATTTTAATTGCCTTAATAACTCTAATTAGAGATTCTTTAACCTTCTCTTCCCCTAGTAATTCATAGGGATATGTGTCAGCCTCTAGAACTTTCTCATAATTTATTGTAATTGGTAATATTGTAGCATCAGGTATCTTTTTATCAAAAACAGCATCACAAACTATGCTTAACAATCCAAACTTTGGATTTAAAGTTTTCCCTGTTCTAGATCTAGTACCCTCAATAAAGAATTCTAAATAACACTCTTCAATCAAGATTCTCTAAACATATTCGTAAAAGATGGCTTTATATAATATATTATCTTCCAATTATTTCCTCTTCAAAAAGAAAGCCCCAGAGGCCCTTAAGATAGTTGGAATCAAAGCCATGGACAAGAAGTCTTCTGCAGCTGCTATGTGCGGACATTTAATCTTATACGAGAAAAACACATAAGAACACTAGAATATACAAGGTTAATACCATGATGAAATCGATGTAAGATCTATGGGTGGGCATGAAAATTAAAGGGCCTCTTGTTTTCTAATCATAATTTTGGAGTTCTAATAAAGCAGGCTCGTTTATTTAGACTTTCTCATATATCTATCTAAAAACCTTGGTGATGAACCATGCAAACATCCTTATGACTCCCATATTATAATTTGCAAACATCACTTCACATATATCAATACCTTATTTTTCTATGTTCTGATGCAGCTTCTCAAGATTAAGAGTAGTTTATTGATATTTTTTAGATTTTTCTTCAACTAATTATTTGATAACTGATTACACTCTTTGAGAATTTATCACCAAACTAATTTGTTCTTTTGTGGTTTTTGTTTTGAAGTCTTATCCATGACTAAGACACCATTCAATATCACTAAAGTAAGACTATTGATTTCTTTGACTGAGAACATCAGTGCTTTGCTCATTCAATTCCCTTGTTTAATCTTTCAAGATGTATTTTTGAATTCCCCAATTAAACCTTTCTAAATATTACCTCCAATTCAATTTTTCAATGTCAATGTTAAAGTGCTGCTTATCAGATTCACTTAAGAATTTGATTAACACATTACTATTGGAACTATCAAAAATCCATTCATTAATGACAAAAGGTTTGAAAGTATCATTAATTGATTCAGCTCTATCAATAATCTTTTTTAATCTTTTAGCCTAAATCTTCATCTCCTTATTTCCAATCTTATTCGCAACCTAATAATAAATTAAAGCTGGAGCATTTTTAACTTTGGACATTATCTTATAAATTTTTTCATTTTTATAGAATGTTAAATTGGGTTTTGAAAATTATTGAGAACTCGGAGATCGTGTCCAAAATAAGGCATTTACCTCTTTAGCTAACTGCCATGTCATTGGATTTTTTGCAGAAGAACAGCAATGATAAACACTTACTTCTTTCCTTCCATTTTAATATGCTCCAGCAGCCAAAATAAAATCTGCTACATAATCTACAGGCACTTAATCTCCAATCAAACATTCATCCCCATTTAAAGTTTTTATTAATCCTAAACCAACAAAGAAGAAAATGGCACTGCTTGCCACCAAACTATCAATCCAACCAGGTGTGGGGTCCTTCCATGATGCACCTACTATTGATGGTCGAACAAAGGTAAGTGGAAAGTTAGGAGCTCTGTTTTAAACCAATAGTTTTTCAGCAATGCACTTTGTAAAAGTGTATGTGTTTGGAAAATCCCCTATAATATCTTTTACATTTTTCTCCAATATACTCACAGGAGTCTTCAACAATTAAGACACTAATTGTTCCAAGTTCTCCTAATTTACATCATATATTTTCTCTTCTATATAACCTGCCTTATCTGAATTCACATATGCTGTTGAAATATGAATGAAGTTTTCTAGATTTTTAATTTGCTATGCTAATGCTATAAATCTTTGAGGGCCTCTTACATTAATTTATATTGCATCATCCAATCTTGCATTAAAATCCACGCTTGCAGCACAGTTAATTATAATCTAATTATTTTTGTTTGCTTACATTCACATTATCAATAATCACATTTTTATCATTCTCAGCCATTCCTAAACCCTCCTTTAGCATATCACCTTCAATCGGAATAATCTTCTCGTTTATGAATTTTTCAAAACCTCCCCCATAGATCTATCTCAATCGATCAAAACACTAACTTATTAATAGACCCTTACTTGTGAATCCAAAATCTCTCGTTTAAACCTCTCCATCAAACTACTACCTTTCTTTTGCCTGATCAGAACATAAATATATCCAACATTCGATAAACAACGCAAAGTCTTTTCAAGCAATACCTTGCCCACAAATCCTTTATATATATCATTATAATGCTTACCTGTGCATCCGGTTATAAACAGCACCTTTTTATTATAATATTCTTATAGCATTTAATAATTAATTTATGGAAAAAAATTAAAAATTACTCATTTTTTCTTAGAATTAACTAATTGAGTAAAATATATTTATAATTCCAAAGGAGAGTAGATTTGATTCTGAAAAAGAGTAAATAAAATTATTTTGAATATAATAATCTAGTTATTTATCAAATAAAATAAACGCATAAAAATAAAGCACTATTTTTATAATTTCATTCCATTATTATCCAGGTATCTTTAGAAATTAAATATTAGCTCCCAAATTATTAATGATTATCACATTCAAATATATGCAATAAGCTGAGATATATTTTGTGTTTTATTTACATATAAATATTTTTTAAAAATTCATGATTATTTTAATTATTTATCCAAAAGATTTCTCACTTTGAATTATCTGTCATATAATGGTAATTTCAGAATAAATATATATAAAATACTCTATGATTTTATAAGCTTTATTCTCATTTCTTAAATTAATTCTGCTTGTCCTTACAATTCAAATTATCCCTTAACCATTTATTCTCACAATAGAAGTTCCTAGGTATTTGGTTGCATAACTTATTATCGGTTTGAACATTTAAAAAATATATTTAATATTTTTTATATTTGATCATTATAATGGTTGTGCTGATTTGTGTAGCTCTTGCTTCAATTTGTCTAAATAGGTTCCTCCAAGCAAAGTTATATCGACAATCACTGATCCTACTAAATATGGGTCAATATTAGCAGCAGGTCTTCGATCTTCAAAATATCTATAAATAATGAAAACACCAAGTATACCCTTTGCCCAATTCTTTGGTTATGATTGGAACTCTAACTGAACCACCTCTAGAACCGTCTCCCCAAGTGAATTTTCCATATTCACTTGTCTCATGAGCACCTGTTAGTCTATCTATGTTATTAGATCCATAAAGAAATAACGATTATTCATGATATTTTTCAAGTTCTGGAATTAGTGTTTTCAGTATATATTCATAGCCTCCTTCACTTCTAGTCTTGGAATCAGAATAGTTGAAGTGAGCACCAGATCCACTCCAATTTCCTTTGATCGGTTTTGGATCATAATTGATATCAATTCCGAATTCCTCACCAATTCTCTCTAGAATATATCTTGCTAACCACAAATGATCTCCGGCTTCGATGCCTTGAGCTATACCTATCTGAAATTCAAATTAGGAGGGTGCAGCTTCAGCATTTATTCCAGCTATCTTCAAACCAGCATTCAAACAAGCTCTTTGATGTGCTTCGGCTAAAGCACGACCAAAATTGTTTCTCTCTCCAATTGAGCAATAATATCTCCCTTAAGGATGTGGAAATCCACCATTGGGCCAACCAAGAGGCCAGGTATGGGTAGTACCTGTTCTCTTTAGTAGATAATACTCCTATTCAATTCCAAACCAAGGATTATACTCTTTTGCCTTTTCCATTATTTCCTACGCTAACCATCTATATAGAATTCGTATGGCTCTTACCTAAAATTATATCTTGCCGGAGTTTTTTTATCAGGAAGATAAGTTTCACATAATACTAGTAAATGTGGAGCACCTCGGAAAGGGTCCCGAACGAAAACCACAGGCTTCAGATAGATCTCTGACCACTTTGTGTTGGCTTATTCTGTTGATGAGCCATCATAAGTCCACCATTCAAGATCGGAAAGTTATTTGATCTCATGATGAAAGACCTATACATTAAACCTTTATGTATACCTTGGTTTTTGATCTTAAGCTTAGCCCAGTTCCGTCAATCCAAATGTACTCAGCCAAAGTAACCTTGACATTTGAATTAAACTCATAATGATTGAAATTTCTGAGGTTCTCCAACTATTCAGTCATATATTATATAGAAACTATGTTTTCATAGAGTTTCTGAAAACGATATAAACAATTAATAGTAGGTCACAATCAGAATACTTGATACTATTTATTATAATAATAAATAAATCATCAATATTAAATGTTATAAAAAACAATTTAACTTTAACAATGAAAGTTAATTTTTCAAAGAATAAACCCGTTTCTTGAATAGTGTTGAAATTAAAACAATATATTAACTCATTATAAAAATATATTCTATTTTTTAGTTAAAATAAAAAGAAGATTTCTTACTCGAAACCACCTGACTCAAAATAAATTGACCATAAATTATAGAATTTAATTAGCTGTAAATTTTAGGATAGGAGAGATCATTATTTATTTCTTGAAATACCCTTTACATTAATTGGATTGGTTAAGATATTTAATAATAATAAACAATAAGCATCTAAATAAACTACACTTAATCATTCAATTCGAGTATTTATGCTTTATTCCTCTTATTCTGCAACGACTTCGTATTCTGGTAATTTAATTGCAGGTGACATCAATTTGTTGCCATGATAGATATCATAAAAATAGATATTAACATTGCTTATATTAGCTAGGATTGTGACAAATCCAAGGAAATATATCATATATTAATAGCTTTCAACAGATTCAACAAACAGAATTCTACCCACAATAATTGGAAATGCAGTCAGACCAGCATTCTAAATGGAACCAATAATTCCAAATCCAGTTCCTTATGAATTGGCATTCACACACAATGGTATACATGGCCAAATCACAGGTGCATACAAAGCAAAAAAGATTCCATTTATCAATTAAGCCAAAAGAACTAAACTAAAACATTGATCTTCAATTGAACAATCTACATTCTTAGAAAATATTATTGTGGACAATAATAATAAACTACCAGAAATTATTAAAAATATTGGTCTTTTCCCTATTTTATCTATAAAAAACCCTATAATTGGTGTTACTGATGCACTAATAAAGTATGGTAAAGTGTAAAGAAAAGTTTATTAAGTTAGAGTTAGATTATATCTATAAATTAGAAATAATTTTACCTGATTTGGAACATCCGGATTGCATTCGACTATAAGATAAGAAATGCACTATAACTGCATACGCAACTGATAGACAATAAGTAGAAATCGAATTTAAAATCCTTGACATCACTACAATTCACTGGTGGCTGTTATTCTAATTCAGATAATTCTTGTTAACTCATCTACTCTTTATCTCTCGTATCACTTCTTTTATCTAATATGCATTGAATGAAACTAGTAAGCATTGTAATCAAAATGAAAACAAAACAAAAAACCATACAAGCAGTAAAGCTATTTCCATACTCAATATAAACCTTTGGTAACCAATTAGCACCAATAACTGAGCCAACTCTAATGAATGTAATTTATACACTAATTATCTATCTATTATTTATACCCAAAAGCTAATGACATTTCTTATCCTAAAAACCATTTTGTAAGCACAGCACTTTATGCTACTGTTAAGCAAACTTCTCCGCCTAGCCCCAAAAATAGCATTCCTAATTTTATTAAACTAAAATCTTTTTCTTAAGCCCCTTAAACACACAATCCTTGACATAAAAATAATAATAACCTTATCCAATTACCAAAAACGAACAAAAAATTATCAAAGCACTTCTAACTCCTATTTTATCAATTATTATTCCACCAAAAAAGGGTAAAACTATATTAGGCATCGAATAAATAGAGAATAGGTAATTGATATCCTTTTGACTAACATTAAAAGTAGATTAGATTTAACTTGCTAATACAGAAGGGAAATCGATGCAAATGCAACATCCAACTTAAAATAAGCAAGTCAAGCCCAGAAATAACCATCTAACATTGGTGCGATGCCATGAAATTTATTTCTGTTTTTTCATTGAAATTTATATTCTTATTATATTATCTTACTTTTCAACTACTATTTTGGCAAATCAATTTTTTAGTACTGCAATTACAAATCGAAATTAAAATGAATAGCTTGTGGAAAAGATATTTATTAACAAATTCAACTTCAAAAATAAATTATTTTCTTTTTTCTATTTAAATATATATATCTGTATTTACAATATATTAAGTAAAATTATTGAGGAAGCAAAAAAGATAAACTCTGATTATCTCATGTTGACAAATAGCTATTGCTATAAAATTAATGGATGTTCTATTATGATCATAAACTTATTTAAGAAAAATTTATCGAGAGCATAATTAGATTTTGATAAGAGTGAAGTGATAATAATTTGTTAAAGGTTATTTTAATCTTTTAAGAATATATTTTTATTCTATCTCTTCAATAAGCTACCATAATTTTAAGGAAATTATTGATTAGATTGATTATAATTTATATACTATATTTTCAATTTTATTCATCTTCTTGTTCAAGAATAATTTCATAGTCTGGTTATTTAGTGGTAGGTGACATTAATTTATTACCATTATATCTATCATAAAAATAAATATTTATATTGCTGATATTAGCTATAAGGGCGATAAACCCAAGAAAGAATATCATATGTTAATAGCTAATAGCATTTTCCTCAATCAAAAGTTTACCTACAATAATTGGAAATACAGTAAGACCAAAATTTTACATAGAACAAACTACTCCAAATCCAGTTCCTTGAGTATTTGTGCTGACACAAATTGGAATACAAGGCCAAATTAAAGGTGCAAACAAAGCAAAAAATAACCCATTTAAAATTTATCCTATTAGTGCATAACTCAAACATTCATTCTATACTGAGCAATCATTATTTAATGAATAAACTAGCATTGATGATGTTGTCAAAACTCCGGAAAGCATTAAAAAATATGGTCTTTTTCCTACTTTGTCTACAATGTGACCCATAATTGGTGTTAAAATAATGCAAATAATGTAGGGTAGACTATAAAGTAATGTTTAAAAAAAGAATGTTAAATTATATCTAAGAATAACATTACTATTAACCTTATTTAAAACATGCGTAGGGCGTTTAACTATAATATTAAAAAGATGCAATATCCGCACGTACAACTTATGGAAATTAAATAGAAACCATAATTAAACTCTTTTAAATCTTTGCAACTCACTGGTTTTTATTACTCTAATACTAATTGTGCTTATGATTAATAATGATTTAAATCTCTTCTGTCACTTACATAGTCAATTATTATTTCTATGATACATGATACTGTAATAATCAAAACAATAGCCAAGCAATAGATCATGCAAGCTCCAAAGCTATTACCATAACTGACATATATTTGAGGAAGCTAATTAACAGCAATAATTGATCCGACTCTGATAAAAGTCAGTTAAATTCTAAGATAATTTATTATAATACCCGAAGGCTAACGATATTTCTTTTCCAAAAAACCATTTGGTTAGCAGAGTGCCTTAAGTAACTAGTAAACTAACCTCTGCTCCTAAACCAAGAAAAAACATGCCAAATTTGAGCAAGTTAAAATCTGTAGTCTATGCACTGTATACACATGAACCTAAATTCAACAAAAATGCATACCTTATCCAATAATCAAAAACAAACAAAATATAAGTAATGCGCTTCTAATACCAATTTTATCAATAATAATCCCTCCAAAGAAAGGAAGAATAATGTTGGGCATAGAATATATTGCATAAAGATAATTAATGTCTTGTTGATGAACACTGTAATAATTCTAGATTTCTGTAGCTAAAACAAAAGGAAAATCTATGCATAAAGAGCAGCCAGCCTAAAATAAACAGGTTAATGCCAACAATAACCATCTGATCTTTGTATTATGCCACGAAGTGTATAATTCTTATTTCATTCAATTAAAAATTGAAAAATAGTTTAAGAAGAGAAAAACCAACAATTTATTAATTAATGTTTTTACTATTTTTTATTTAATGGTGTAAGTTGCATAATCATTTCAAGAGGGTTTTATAATTAAATAAGAAGTATTTGATAAAATTAAACATAAAATTTCAGCGAAAAAAAAGGTAGAAAAGTTTAAGGGAATTAATTAAAATGACTCTGTAATTGAATTATAGGAATCAATAATTAACCTAAATTTCATAAAATGATTCCATTTGATTATGTACAAATTAGTTGATTTATTCTTTATGATAATTTGCCAGAAAGTATGTCAAGACCAATTAGTTCAAATAGAATATTAAATTTAACAATAATAACTACTCAAGTCTTACAACACTATTACATTGCCATTGGTAGTTTTTTTGGATTAAAGTGAAAAATAAATACTTTGGAAACTATATTAAAATTTTGAAAAACAACACATTTATTAGTTGAAATTATAAAAAAACTTCATTACATGATTTACTTTGTTCATTTGTAAATTATTTAAATTTCTAAATCATTTAATCATGCTCATGAATTGACTCTCTGTTATGAAATAGCTTTACACAATGTTATTTCCAAATTCTCTGTTTTTCATTAAAATAGATACTTATTTAGCTACTTCCCATTAATTAACTCAATGATTACATTTCCTTCATTTTTTTTGTCTACCCATACAATTTCGACTTCTCTATACTCTTTTCATGCATCTATTAAAGGTTAATTATAAAATGAATTACTTTCTACTTCTTTTTTTAATTCAGATATAGCATACTGATTTGATATCTCAAGATCAGTCTCCATATTTGTTAAGACAATATCTTTTTAGTATAGGGACAAGCTGGAAGATTGCGTTTAAGGGGCATATCCAACCAGAAATACAACCTAAGGTTGGATTGGACGATTAGATATTATTCAAAATTCTTTTTAAAATACGTCCTAATCATGTCATCAGAAGATGCAAGCTAATCTAAAGATCCAATTACTAATAAATATCATCCATAATTTTTTTCATGAATGTTTTCTCAAGAGTGGATTGTAAGCAAGATCATTATTGTTTTTTTCATCCTTCTTTTTCTTCCTCTTCTCAACCCTTTTAACGCTCTCTCATTCTTTATCTGAGTCTCTTTCTCTCTCTATTTCTGTATTGCTATTCTTGTGATGATTATCCTTATTTTCATTCTGTCCACGATCGTTAACTTTGATTGCTTTTTTGTTCATGCTTCCTCCTTTATTGAGTTTTCCCCGATTGCATTTTTAGTAAGAAATACTCAAAATCCAAATCCATATTTGTCATTAACTTTATAAATCTACATAATTTATCTAACCAAAGACATCGAAGCCAAATTAGATAAAATCATTAACCACCAGATTTAACAAACAACATCTTAATGATCGAAATTAAGATAATTATGAATACTAGAACTATGCTTAATCATGTAATCTAATTACACGAAATTTTAGTATTTAATTTATTTTGATCAAAATTAGAAACAATATTTTCAAATAATTTTGTAATAATCTAATTTTTAAATTTAATTTATTCGCCAGTAATTTCCATTCTGCATCCGAAGAACTAAGACTTAGATATAACTTTCAAATTTAGCAACTTTATTAGAATAATCAGTAAAATTATAATAATTATGTAAAGTTCTGTATGATAATGTTGTAATTATTTTTTACAGAAATATGTAACTCCTAATTTTATATCGTAAGGTTCAATAGGGTTTTATAAAATACTGTTTATTTCTCATCTTATCTTATGTAAAGTTAATTATGTTGTTTTTAATATGTTGATTGTCAATATCATGGATGGATTATCAAACAAAAACAAAAGAATACTTTTAAACAAGCATTATTCAGTTATGTAAACAATTTTCTTAATATCAGGCTTTTTTGGATATGATTATACTTAAGGGTTTATGGATGGAATCAAGTATTAATTGATTATAGGTCATAGTATTTTTCATTACTTACAAATTAATTCCTACTCTTTTGAATAATAATAGCCATTATAAAAGACTGAGAGTTTTAGTTTTTATATTTTATTAATTTACAGATCTAAGCCACTTTTTGATTCAGATTTACTATTGATAATGATAAAAGTCTTTTAGTAGGTGATATTTTAAATTAGATATTTTGATCAACAAATAACATTTTCAGAATCTAATGCAAAGGTTTTTAGTGTGATTTTGTGAATTAAATTTTTGTGGAAACTTTAAAATTTCAGTATTTAGTGAAATATAATCAGCTGAATTATTGAAATAAATATGAAATGAAAACCTTCCAATTTCCTAATTTTGAGATTATAATTTATTAAATAATATGATAAGGAGTGTAATAAAATGCATTTTTTAAAGTACTATGGTAATGTTAAATAATAGTAAGATAACCCAAAGTTTTATATATGATCAATCCTGACCCAATATTTTATGCAGAAATGGATGATCTTATAATTAACTAATTAACTTAGCAAAATGCTTAAGTTTAAAGAGTAAATCTATAGGACATAAGTTTCACAGTCGGAAATGTAAAATCATGTTATTTTCAAAGGAATTTAAATTTTATATAAATAACGAGCTAATAGATTTTGATGCATTCTTAGCGTATGGATACATGAATCCTAAGCATTTTCTTGATTATTTGTATATTAACTAGGCAGTTCATGCATCAGGTAGAATAACTTTGCATAAACCTGAGACAGAACACATACTCTACAATAAATTACTTTAATATATCAACTTTTCAAAGTACAACATACCTTTTCCAAAAATTGGAGCGGCATTTTCAATAAATTCATTTAAATCAGTTATATAATAATTTGATGAAGAAGCAATCATGAAAGATGTTCATGGATATTCAGGAATAGGAGTGCACCTAACTCATTGTAGAAACAATAGTGTAGAAATGTATTCACGTGCTTTGTGGAAATAAGAACAACAAATATCTTAAGTGTATGTTGACGATTGTCCTGGAAAATCGGTGAGAGTCCTCGTAATAGGAGGGAAAGCAGCATCAGTTGCTGAATTTAAGTTTAGTAAAGTAAAATATGATTTGGATTTTAAAATAGAATTTTAGGTCAGTTGGTTTAAGTGAAGAGGCTTCAGTAGAGTCACTAATGAATTCAGAGAGGAAGGATATATATTTTGATCTGGCTGAAAAAGCATGTCTAGCTATTGATGACAATTTAACAGTTGGTGGAGTGGATATATTGGATTCTAAGAGATTTGGGTTATAGGTTTTGGAAGTAAACAGTTGCCCTGAGATTTGTGATTCTATAGATGCTACTAATCTACCTTTACTCGAGTATTTTGGATAGGCTTTCCTTAAAAAAATAAAAATTTGATTTTGTTTTGGGCATTTTATAATTAACATAGCATATTAGAATAATTCATTTAAACTATTTCTGAATATTTTGAATATGCGAAATATCAAAAACAAATTTTTTTTAATTATTGAAATAATATTTTTTATTTATTTTCAATATATGATAAATCGTATATTATTATAAACATGGAGCAGATTGGCATTTCAGACAAGGTACTTCAATGCTTAGGCACCTGCAACTTAGAGTGAAAAATTGTTGTAATTCACTGATGCATTGACTAAATAATAATTGAAAGATACTAAATAATAGGTCTCATAGGGAAGATCTTGGAAGATAGAGGAATTGCGATTGAAATCAACAGAAGATTTAACAAAATTGTGGTACTTTTTTTGAAATTAATGATTGAAGGTATGTAATGTTGAAGGAAAAGAATTTATTATTATCAGATGGCATTTTTTTCAAAAAGGTGGTAGGTGTCAAAGGTAGGATGGGAAAACTTGTCCAACTCAAAATATCTATGGCCAGATTAAAGACTGTTGTATAGGAGAGAGAAAAAGTCAGACAAAAGTATAGAAAATAATTGGAAGATGAGTATGTCAAATAAAAGACAGAATAATATTTGGCTTAGGTAAGTTATTGATATATTTGCAGCAATAAGAAATTAGCAAATCAGAAATTGAAGTTCCAGAAATAACCCCTAATCTTTTAAGAGCCAAAGTCAGAGATCTTAAATTAGGAAAAGATGATGTCTCCTATATTGAAGAAGCATTAAGAATCAAACATAAGAAAGAAGATTATAAATAGTATTTAAGAGAGAAATATGATTATAAAAATAAGCCAATTGTCAGGTTGGGAGAGAGTCTTCCAGAGGGAAAGACAGAGGTAAACACTCTTTTAATAATATTGAGGATTAAGTCATTAGATAATTTAAGTCTTCAGTACAGGAATAAATAGAGACTGCTAAACCAATACCTTAAGATGAAATCTTGAGATCACATGTCAAAAATTGGTTCATGTTGGGTCCAAAATAAAAGAGAGTCATCGTGAATTTCTTATAAGCAAGAAGAGCCAGAGAATCTAAATCACTATTTTTAAGAGAATTAGACTTATTAGGATAGAAGATTAGACATGATTTGCAATAATACCAATAATAAAAATAAGCATAGTAGTAATGATATAATATATAATGAGTATTAAAGAATTTATCAAACAAAATATGATCTTTTAATATAAATATTTCATTTTTTCTTATGAAAAAAGGAAAAAAATAAAAAGATTCACTTAAGAAGAAAGAAGAACAAATTGAAAATTTTTGGAAGGCCTAAAAACTAGATCTTAACTTTTTAGAAGGGTTGAACCTCATGAACGAATTATACCCACAAAATAAACAGATATTTGTGAATGAAATAATGAATATAGAAAAAAGAAATTCAAAAGTCAGATGTGTAAAGAAAAGAAATAACAATGCTCCATTAATTGATTGTAGAACAAAAGAGGAACCTCAAAAAATTATTGAACCTATTAATAATCAATAAATCGAAATTGAGAAAATATCACAAGTAATTGAGCCAATTGCCATAGAAGTTAGTAACAACAATGCGGTTATTGTGATTAGTTCTGATGAATCTGTAATATGCCTAAATGATGTCGAAGATCAACTTTTAGATGATTATTTATCATGTCATGATGACTAGTAATCTAAGACCTAAGCTTAACCACAAATCTATTAGAGAGCCAGACAACCACCTTAAATACCTAGATATTTATAATATGAACCAGAGAAATCAAGTTCTTCTTCAATAAATCTTAGTTAGCCATTATCAGCGAGCTTAGTATTTAAGTTCATGAATGATGAGTATGATTTCCAAAGAAACTTTGATGAATGGAGCTTAAGCAGTTTGGAATCTAAAACTCCACCAATTAAAAATAATCAACATTACAATACATTTTTAGAATTGTAAAAGTATTTCTCATCAATTACCGATTATTAATATGAGGCTTTATTATTAGCATATAATAATGATTATAAACTTGTGCTGAGGATCTTAGAAGTTGATTAAAAGTAAATACAAAGATTATTGGATAAAAATAAAAATAGAAAAAGAGTGAAAAAATGATTCATTTATAATATTCTTTGTATTTATATTATAATTTTTTACTTTAGCAAGTTAAATTATAAAATATTTATGAATTTTAAAATCCTATTACTTTTCATAAATATAAAAATATAATTAGCAGTTTTTTTTGCGTTTATTTGCATAAGTCTTATTTTAAGAAAAATTGAAACTAAAAATTCCAGCATCTTTAAAGAATATAAATATGTTTTTAAGAATTATATATTATCTGAATAAGATGAATGGAATAATTATTTAAGCAAGGTATTCGATGTCAAATTTAAATAAAAACTGCATACATTATTTGATATATAATCATTTCTGTTAATAAAATATTAAAACATTTTCAATTTAGGGTTAATTGATAAAAAGAAAGAGATTCTGTTGATAATTTATTTTACAATTCCAAAAAATAAGTATCAGGAACTATTTTCTATTTAAGATCCCAATTGAATATCCAAAATTAAGACTTACAGAGTTACATATTGATCTAGTATTTGGTCGATTTCTTATTATCATTCTAATTTGAATAACACAAATGTCTTGTCAGTAGTTGTAGTTATCCTCTCCTTTCTCTATACACTTTGACTATTGGATTGCTAATAGACCCCAACCCACTTTCCAATTACACATTTTCTAAACTGTCTTACTTATTGAGCACAATATCATTCTTTTTAGTTTAGCTAAGCCAAATCTCGACCCAACATTTCCACATTATTTAAGGTTGTAGTTCCTCATCTACTTATTTTTCAAATTTCTCAACTATTGTTTATTCCGTTTCTAATTTTTAAGGAATAAATTACTTATAAGTTTACCATTGCTTTGATCAACTACAAATTTCACTTTAATTCCATTTGATATTTTCGTCGAAGTAAAATGAATCTGATTTGACTTTGTTATCCAACTTAATGAGTACTCAATAGGGCAGGTGATTACAGATTCATTATTTTGTTCAGAGAACTTAGATTCCCCTTCTGATATGATCTTAGATAAAATGACAAATTAACTTTTATTTATGAGTGAGTCCATAATTACACTTCTCCCTTGGCAGGCCAAAAAAAATTGTTTTATTGTGATTGCTATTATCCCATTTTAATTATAGTTTATAATTCAATCTCATTTAAAAAGTGGAACTCAAATAAATTTGATGAGATCTCAGTAAAATCCACTTCATTCAACAATTATTAATTCTTTCTTACTAATTTTTCAATATAAAAAAAGAAACCCAATCGTAAATTCTATCAATGAGCAGAAATTCCTTTAAAGAAATTGAATAGAATATTTAAAAACTCATTATGGCAATTAAATCCTTTCTATTTTATTATGAAATAACGAGATAGCAAATTAAAATCAATTTGCAATCCTTTTAAGATAACATATCCTTTTAAATTTTCTTTAAATTTTAGAATTACTGGTGCAATTGCAGAAAAGAAAATTTTGAGCTCTACCATTATATTGTATTAATGAACTGATCATAATTAAATATAAATTGATAATGAGTGAAATTGAGATGCAAAACTTTCCGGAATTTTCCATAATAGATTTTTTCAATAGTAATTATCTTTAGATCAGCAATATTTTAAAGAATAAAATCTATTCATATACGTTTTCCTTAGTCAAACACAAATTTTAAAGTAGCATTTATATTGACATTATAACAACTTAGTTGATTTAGTAATATTAATGGAAATCCTATGATAGTAAAAACAAATATTAATGAATTCCAGATAATCCAAATAACTTAATAATTATGGATACTTGTGAATGTTAATAAATAATTAGAAATACACACAATAAAATCTAATCAATTTTGTTTTTTGGAGGAGATGAGGCAAGGGAGGGAGGATCTTTTAATTTACATATTTTTCATTTACAGATCGATACACTCTTCATTTATTAACCATGCATCATCATAACTGAATTATTTACTTTTAATTACAAGATCAGGGAATTAATGGTCTTAATGATTGAGGTTCTCAGGTTGTAAATCCAGCCATTATACTTATTTTTTATTTTTGAAATCTTTGTTATTTATTCTTTATTCAATTGTAGTTTTTTCAGTCTTGACTTATTACGATATACTTTTCTGAGTCTTTTCATCTTAATTAGCTACTTTAATTGTGTAGAATGAATGAAAATTGTCGATGTCTCTAACTGACTGAAACTTTTGATTAAGCTCAAGGTTATTTATTGGTATATTGAAAATCCAGAGCACTATATCTGAACATCTTGGCTCCTTAACATAACTTTCATATGTATTTTCAAAATGATAAAGCTAAAATTTCTGAAATTTCACGATCAGTTCAATTTCACTCTCTGAATTTTGTACACACGAATGATAGACATTGTTAAAATATACCCCACATTTTGGTTTTTTTTTATGTTAATCAAATTATTTAGAGGGCCATTTGAAACAATTACTATAATAGACAAGCATTCCATTATTTTAGAGTGATATCATTCTTGAATTGTGAAATAGAAAACTATTATTCAGTTTTTTGGCTTTTATTATTTTCCCTTACAAAAATGACTCAATTTTTAACTATTTTTTGCCTTTGTGGGATTAAAACTCGTTGTGCATAATAAAAATAATATCATTTTACAAAAAAAAATCGTTTATTTATCTATTACTCAATCTTTAGCTTCGTTTCTTTTACTTGCGATATTCAAAAAGTGGAACTACATAGTTTTCTATAAGATGAAGATGAATAAATAGAAAAAAAATAATGTAGACTAGCTCTAAATTGATAAAAATAATAAAGTTTAACTTTACTTCTCAATAGCTTTCTAATGAAAGGTATAGTTATTTTGATATTTAAGTTTGCAATTAAGCATAAAAAATTAAGTTGGTTTTGATAAATAGCATCCACATAAATAAATTAAATATCATAAAATAAGAATAATAATTATTAAATTTTATATAATTTTTTTAAGTTAATTTGAAATTAATATCGATAAGTGCAATCCTACAAAATACGATTATAACTAATTCGTTGAATTACAACTTGAGTTAGTGTTGATAAAATAAATATATTTATAAAAATAATAAAAGACAAATCTATTATATATAAATACAATGTTGAATAAGGAAACATTGTAGCATAAGAGAGAGATTAAAGATATTATAGACAATAGAATATAAATTGAAAGAAAAGGAAATAGATTATTACCATCTTTTTAACGAGGTTATTTATAAAGCTCGATAAAAAAGTAAATTTATATTATTCTCATACTAAAAGTATAACCAGGCTAGTTGGATAGTGGTGAATTCCTCAGCTAAAAACAAAATTGATAGATGTGGATTAATATAATAATAAAAATGATGTGGTATCAAATATTGAGTAGGTAAGATTAAAATGAATTTTTATTATATCTTAAGAGAAAATTGCAATATAATTTAATTTTTCAAAATTTAATATTCTTATCTTGAGATAATTAAAGTAAAATATAAGTTTAAATCTTCTAGATTATATACAGTGATTTCAATATTAAAAATGCTTATAAAAGTAGTATTATACTTGATAGTTGTTTCTAATTCGTTATGCATGGTTTGCAATTACTTCCCCATGGATCCCATAGCATGTATAAGCAAAACCGAAGGCATAATGTGTAAATTCCTCAATTAATCACTTAGGTCAATTTAGTGTTTTTGACAATGCTTGCTTACCAATTCACAGTACGAATGTTGGATGTATACCTTAATTAAACAAAATGGCATGTTTAAATTAACTAACGAATAGTGATGGCAATGAAGCAAGATGTATGATGTTTGAAGTTATCAAAGGTTATTTTGGGAAACGATGTATGGATGCACAGCAAACCCATTTGATGAATTTGGGATGTTCAAAATAGCTTTCTCGAAATTCTTGCACAAATGTGATAGGCAAGGATTGTCTTTGGAATGGAAATAAATGCACGGAGACTTCAGAGAGGGCATTGGAGATTGCATATTGCTCTGAGGTTTATAAGGCTCCAGTAACAGCAAGTCTTTGTTCGAAGATAAAGGGAATCAATTGTAAGAGCAGCTAATTTGAAGGGGATTATGCTTGCATTAATGTAAAGGATGAATAGATTTAATATTTAAAATGCAATACTCCTGGTTTGAATGAAGATGCTTGTGTTAGGATTACAGGATAAAAATGTAACTGATATGAGTAAGCTAGGCATTTTTAAAAACATGATGTGTTAGGAGTCGAATGAAATGTCTGGATGTAATGATGCTGTAAATAAGGAATTGTGTTTATCTGTGAAGGATCCAAATCTGACATGTTAGTGGTATAAAAACAGATGTTCGGAAGCAATCTTGAAAGAAACAATGAAATGTTAGGATTATACTGAAGTAAATCCTACTGTTTGTGCAAAATAGAAGGGCTAGTGTCAATATCAGGATGGTAGATGCATAGTTCCGAAAAGCGCAGATTAAAGTTGTTCAGATTTAGGTTTGAGCAAAGAAACGTGTTTGCAAGTTAAAGATGATTATTGTTAATTCATTAATGGTTAATGTAAGAGATTAGAAAGTGACGAATTAAATCACGTTCTTTGCACTAATTTAAATTAGGATTCATGTGTGAATGTAACAACTTAGTTTTAGTTTTGTAAATGGACAGGATCAGAATGTGTTTCTATTTTTATAAATCAAGACCTAGATTGTCCAATATTAGATGTAGACAAGAATGTTAGATTTAATGGAAATGTGTGTAGGGCTATCTCTAAGCCTGGAGTTAGATGCAAATACAACGCAAGAAAATCCTTATGTGAAAAGAGTATAGATAGTGATGATTGCACAACTTCCTATTTAAATTTATATGGATGCACTGCCATATTAGGAATGCCCTGTAAATGGACTGATAGTGGGTGTACTGTGGCATAGATTACTTAAGAAATTACAAGTTGTTTAGAATTAGGATTTGCAAATCAAGTGGCTTGTTCTTAAGTAATTAAATCAGATGAGGATGGATGCTATTTTGATATTAATGCCTAATAGTGCAGATTAGTCAATGATTAGTTGCTCAAACAGATCGAATGTACAGGTATGGGATTAAGTAGAATTGCATGTGCTCAAGTAGTAACTGAAGGTCAGATCTGTAGATGGTATAATAACTCATGTCAACAAATAAAAACTAAATAGGATGTTTCATAAGTATTCTGTTTATAAATGCAATACGTCAATCCTGCTGCTTGTGCTTTGGTTGATGCAGGCAAAGAAGTCTGTAGATATGAGCAAGTAGCTAAGGGGTGTGTAAATAGTTTGGATACTGAAACCATGACTTGCACATACCCAGGATTGAATGCTTATGCTTGTGCTTAAATTTAACTTAAAAGTTGTTATTATGATAAAGTCTAATGGTAATGCAAGTAAATTTAAGTGATATCTGCCAATTATCTTACTAGAAAGTTGACAGAACAATTATTATTGAATTCTGATTGTATAAATAGTTCACCTACTCCTGATGTTTGTAGATCTATTACTAAAGTTGGACAGAAGTGCACTTGGTTGTTTAGGGAAAGCAGATGCTCAACATAATTTATTACATTCAACGAAAGTTGTTTGGATTATAATTCAGCTTATACTGGCAAAAATATTTTAATAAATCCTAATGTGTGTGCTTCCATTGAAATGGAATTGCCAGAATATGATGCAGTCAAGGGGCCTTTGATTGATAAAATGAAGGGCTATTGCATTTATGAAGGGGGCAATTGCAATGTCTTCAAAGCTATTTGTGCTACTCCTTGTTGTACTGAGTTTATTGGTATCAATTCCCATGTTTGTGGACGATTTTCCACAGGTTAGTATTGCTACTTCAGTAATGAATTGAAATGTACAGAACTTACTATGGATGTTGTAGATATCACAGTTGAAAAATAAGTTAAGGATTTTTACAATTCCCAATAGCTTAAATGTTCATCTATGAATAAGAATTCATGTCATATGATTGAGTGGTCAACTTAGCAACATTGCTATTATAATGGAAATTTGTGTGTCAATGTTAATTTTAATTTGTTCCCAAATCTGAACATTTTCACTGAACCTACACAAATCTTGAATAAATATGCTTGCCTGTCTATTGAGGCCATGATAACAACTCAAAATTCAGTGAAATATTTCGGATATTAGGATAAACATTGTATTGCAGATCCAGTCATAGTAGACTTATTAAATTGTGAATCTACAGAATTAAATAGCAATGCATGTTTAGTTAAATATCCAGATATCCTATGTAGATGGAATAAACAAGAACTAAAGTGTAAAAATATAGAATCTGAATACGTATCAACTTTGGATTATTGTGATTAATATTTGAATGAGTTTGGATGTGTAAATATTTAAAAGGCAAGTTGTTTTTTTTCTTACATAATTGATAAATGCGTTGATGCACCCAGAGCTGTCTCATGTGGTTATTTTGGTTCTACAACAGGGAAGGTTAGTAAATTGGCTTGCATGAACATTAACTTAGATGGATAAATCTGTGGTTATGATGAAGTTAATCATGTGTGTGTAGATATACTAACAGAATCTGATAATTGTGATTTGGCAGATGGAAATTCCATTGCATGCTATTCAAAAACAAAAGGAGATTGTAGATGGAATGACACAGATATGTATTGTTATGAAAATGATAAACCAATTGATAAATTGGGATGTGAAGATGATGTGAGCAAGGAATTATGTTTAAAAATAGATTCAGAGCCTTGTGAATGGAATGCTCTCAAAATGAGGTGTATAAAAGTGAGAAGTGTGATGGCTTCTATGATTTCTCCAGATAATCTGTATAATGCAGAAGCATGTGTGTCAGTGTTTGGAGCTCCTTTTAAATTTGATAAGGATTTAAATAAATGCATCCAAATAGATCCATCAGAAACTAACATAATTTGTGATGGAACATAGATTTTAAATGTAGATGCATGTTTATTTAGTACAATAAATTAAAAATGCTATTTTGATAAGTCTTAAACAGCGTAAAAGAGATGTCAAACATTTTTAGGAGTTCAAACTACTTGTGAATCGCCTTATTTAATCAGTTTATAAATGTGCAGTGAAGTACCACAATCCTGTTATTTTGCTAAATCGACTTATGAGTGCAAATATATAAGAATTGATGATTCCATGAAATGCAGTCAGCTTAGAGAATAATCAGCTGATAATCTTTATAATAAAATTGCTTGTGCTTCTATTAATTACGACTTTCAAGAATACATCGGTGAATTACAATGCTAGAAATCAGGGGATCCTTTAAAGAAACCAGATGATCAATTCATGTAGTAATGCAGGGTCGAAAAGTACTGCAAGTGGGATTCTGATATTAATACTTGTTCAATTATGGCATTGAAAGATTTGGAGTGGATGTAAGAGTATAGATGGGTTACAGATAAAAATGGAGTCACATCCCAATAATTATTTTAATGGTGTGAGGATACAGCTATAGTTTATTAGGCAGATGATTGTCGTAATATATTTAGTAAAGGAGTGTGTTTACAATTATCATCTTAATGTGTTTTTGATCTGACTATGGGAGGATGTTATAACATCGAAGACAATGAATAATAAATTTTATCATGTGAAAATGTTATAGGTTCCAATTGCTTAAAATCCAGAAATCCTAATGCCCCTTGCATTATAGATAATGATAACAGTGTAGAATTTCCAAAAATCAGTTCATGCAGTGGTTTTCCAAATAAAAAAGAATAAATTTGCAAATAGACTGCTCCTAGCAAATGCAAGGATGCTTAAGATTTAGGTAGTGTCAGTCCTATTGTGTGCAGTAGAGTTAGTGATAACTGCTATTACGATGGAACAAAATGTTCATCTGATACAAAGAAGAAGAAATGCAATGAAACATTTAGTTATAATGCTTGTCTTTCAAATGGATGCGATTTTACTTTAGGATACTGTTAATAGAAGTTCACTCTTCCTTCATTCGATTAAGATAGTCCGTTCTACCTTTATCAATGCTAATACATCAACAAATTAACTATCAAACCTATTGTAAAAAGAAATATTTGTGCATAAATGAATTTTCCTTGTGCTTTTCAAAATGAATTATGTGTTTCAGCAGCTCAAGTAACCTGTTCTTCATTAACTAATATATATGTTACCTTAAAGACTTGTATCTATTGCTTAAATGATGCATATGCTTATGACTCAACAACATAGCAATGTAATCCATTATTAATTGCTTAATCAGGATGTGACAATACAAACTAGTATGGATGCCTATCAATGACGACAGGAAAGAATTGTGCTTGGTCAGGAATCAAATGTGTAGAATAGAGTGATATAATTGTGGAATCCTTAACAGATTGTTCCTTAACTAATTCATATGGATGTCCAAAGGTAAAAAATGCTTGTTGGGTGTCTCCATCAACTAAATTATGCTCGATAGTAGATGTATATTCAGACTGTTCTTTGATAAGAAAACAAAATGGTAATCAACAAGCCTGTGTAATTAGCAATTAGCAATCATGTCAATGGTTAAATGGATAATGTGAAGATTATCCACTCGACAGTTTGGATTGTTCAAAGGCTAACAAATTTGGTTGTTTAAATTTGAACAAAGTTTCCTGTGGTTGGTCAGACCAATATCAAATGTGTTATGAAATCGACCCCAAACTCTCAGTAAGTAAATGCTCCGACTTCTTTAACAGCAGCAAGAATTTAGTAAAGTTCAATTCGAGATCCTGTTAATAGATTCCTGGATTGGCATGTTTTCGAGATAGAACACTCAGATGTAATTCGATAGGAGTCAAAGATAAACCTTCTTGTGAAGCTACTGGGTTGAATTATTTAGGATGTATCATATATTCCACAGGATATTGCTAATTTATTAATGGATAATGTGTGAGTATCAAAGATTTACAATAAGTGTCTTGCACATCCATAATCAATAAGGTTGCCTGTTTTAGTTTGAATAAGACTTGTAAATTTGATAATAATGAGTGTTCAGATTACGATGTGAGTTCATTTACCACAATTGCAGAAATAACTGTCAAAATGTCTTATCCTTATTCCCCTTCAGTATGTAAAGTGTACAAAGAATTGGAGGGACAGACTCTTCAATTATTTTATGATGAAATAAATGGTTGTTGTGTAAATGCAAACTAAGATAAGCCATTCATTTATAGTTGCAAAACTCAAGGTTTGAATGAGATTACTTGTTTAAAATAAACCAAAAGTCTTTGTTAATACTCTCAGAATTAATGTATGGACTTATCAACATCTGACTTGAAGAAAGCATAGAATTGTGATCCTAAATTCAATTGGAACGCCTGTGCGTCTGTGAAATTGAAATGTAAATTCTATCAGAATTAATGTCAATCTGTAAGAGATTCTGAAACTTGCATTTCATTGGCAGGAATAATAGTGTCTCCTTTGACTTGTTCAAGTCGATCTGCATCTACAATAGCTTGTATATATGATAGTGAGACTCATTCGTGTGTTACAACTACTAATACCAATCTTACATGTACACAGAATGGATTAGATCAATATGGTTGTCAAATGAATACTCAACAAGAGTTCTGTAGATTCAATGATTTAAACAGCACTTGCATGCCTACATACGAAACTAATTTGAATTGCCAACACTTGACCAATAAAAACAAATGCTTATTCATAAAGACTCCAAAGTAATACTGCAAATTCGACAATGGATGTGTCTCATTACAACCAACATAAGTCATTGATTGTTACAATCTTACTCCAACAAATCCAATGACTTGTACTGCAGCAGAAACTGTAGCATGCAAGTATGACAAGGTAAACTTAACTTGTGTCTCTGTCCCTGGCGCTATGAATGATGATGAACCATGGTCCAATGTAGTTTCCTTTAATCAAGCTGCCTGTATGAAATATCAAACTGGCAACACTCAAGTAATATACTCAACAGAAGGGTGCGTCCTTGTTGATCCCTAATCCCTAAGTGATTTGACTTGTGATTAACCTGTCAATCAATTTACCTGTTCCTACATCACCAATCCAACCCAATATTGCATATATTCCAGTTACAAGTGTTAATACATAATACCCTCTAATATACCGGTGAAGTCTTGCACAAGCATTGGTTATGTAAATAGATAAGAGTTCTGCGAATAAGCCAACGATGTTCCATGTAAATTCAATTCTTACACTAAATAATGTGAATAAATAGATATAGTGGCTGAACCACTGACTGCTTGCATCAGAGGAATCAATAAAGTTGCCTGTGATTCTCTTGCCACTTGTCAATTTGATTAGTTCTGTCTAGACATCACAGCTAGTTGTACAGGTGGCTCTGATTGTGGAAGTGTGAAAGTACAACCTTGTAAAGTAGTCAGTGGCAATTGCATTCTGGCTACAGATTTGGATACTCTTTAATGCGATTAAGTTGCCAACAAATTAGCTTGCATATCTATTACAACTCCATAACAATATTGTCAATTCGCTAATTCATAGTGTAGTCTTTAAATTTTGGATGATTTTAAATAATTAAATTGTGAAACCATTGTCAACATCAACTCGCCTTACTTTTGTGAATAGCCTACTGATATTCCTTGTAGATATAATCAATTTGAGAATAGATGCATTGAATCGCAATCAACAGATAATTTAGATTGTATTCGAGGTCTCAATGAAGATGCTTGTTTAAATAACACCAAATAAGATCTCAGATGCAGATTCGCTGATTTATGCTATGGACCTACCCAACCTATGTTTGATTGTGATTAAACCATTTTCGATTGTTGCAACAAAGCTCCCAATAAGAACACTTGTTTATTATAGGATTTAATGAAATGCTAATGGAATGGTACTCAATGTGTTAAATATGATACTCCAATCACTTCTTGCAACTTGACTAACACATCTAAATTAACATGTGTGCAATCTAGTGATAAGAATTGTGTTCTTGACCTCTAGACATCCTCTTGTCATCAAATACTATCACCAACCTCTTGCGACTAACTGTAATCTAAAAATTAATGTAATTCTGTTTAAATTCTACCTTGTGTTTGGTTAAATGATTCGTGTAAATATCATTCATCAAATGCATATGAACTCTGTCAAGACATCACTAATCTGAATGGTTCTTCAAGAGCATGTCTTAATGTAATAAGGAGTGGGTAAATGTGTCAATTTAAAGATGGAACCTGTCGATCATATGATCACACCACTGATAATTGCTTAGATAATATTAATAAAGTTGCTTGTATTAGTCAAACAAAAACGTAATGTATGTGGAAAACTCAAATGCAACAAATCAAAATAATCAGATCCTCTGATCCTATTGAAGTTGAATTCGGATCATGTCAACCATATATTCCAACTCAAAGCCAAATTTGCAATGATAAATTAAGTTACTTATCTTGTTTATCAATCACAACACTTAAACAATTCTGCAAATGGTATAATGGTTAATGTGTTCAAATTGCTGAAACCAATTAAATTGTAACACCAACCACACATTTATTAGTTAATGTGAATGCATGTTCATTGGTTAATTCTGTGCCTGTTTATTACAGTCCATTATAAGCTCTATGTATTCCACTCTAAAATGGCGATTAGATCTCTTGCTTACCACCAACTCCTGGTTTAAACATGAAAGCTTGTCTTTCTATCACTAAACAAACATGCAAATGGAATTTTGACAAACGATAATGTGAATACTCGTAATCTTAAAAATTTAGACATCTTTGACTTTTACATCTGTCTTTATCATAGAAAATATTGAATTATATTATATGATATTATTCTAATTTATTTTAAAAAAAACAAAAAAATCTTCTATTGCCGTATAATGTGTGATAATAGCTTGTATGTAATTATTCAATAAATTTCTAAACCCTTTGTTTAAAATTAATTAATTTAATATTCAAAGTTTATTCTCTTATTTCGAATAAACACCGAAGTCTTTTACTATTATTATGACAGTTTCTCATTATAACTTAGTGTCCCATAGTTTTCCATTATTTATGGTTATCATTTAAATTTACCTATTGGATACCTTGGTGCTTGGCATTCCAAATGTACATTAAAGAAAAGTGATAGAAGAATTAAAAAGAGAAGACAAGTTATTTGATTTTCATCCAAATGAAAAGTTAAATAACAAAATGAAGATAGGACCATATCCATAAGATTAGGTTGATTGTAATTAAGCCTCAATTTGCAAAGATTGTAAAAGTAATGAAGCATACTTAATTACTCCTAAGAATGTTCATCTTATTGGACTTCATTTTGGATATAAATAAGAAATAATAGATCTATTTCATTCCTTAAAATTTATAGATTAGGATTCTGCATTATGGTTTGCATTTTCTGAGAAATAAATTTGTATAGAGAAAAGTCAATTATAAATTGATGTAATAGAATTGATAATTTTTAGATATCCCTTAAGTCCATTTTCAATTAATATCAAACTCTGTAAAATACTTTGGAAGTATTTCCTCAATTATTTTCCATCCAAGATAACATTAAGTTGAACAACATTAGGATGATGGCCAGATTTGATAGAGATAATAGAGACGATTGGAATTACGAAATTCTATCTCTTAATTACACAGGCAATTGCGATTCTGATCTATTACTTTGTGAATAGTTTTATCAAGAACCTACTAACGTAATATAGCAATGTAATTCATAGGTTTATCTGAGAGTAAACGGTAAATTAAAGGCAATGGAGGATATGGGGTTTGAGATAATCGGAAATAAAAATATTAAATAAATAATTATAGAGGAGATGATATTGCCAAATTTAATTTTTGATTAATTGATTAAGTAATTCTTCGGAGAGAGATTCATTGAATAGATCGAATATGATATGGATAGACAATACAAAGTAGAGGTTAAGGAGTCTCTAAAGGAGCATAAGCTTGAATTAGAATTAATTATAGAAGAGCATTGAATATATAGATATTGACATATTAAGTATTGATTAAGTCAGTTTGGCCGAGTGGTTAAGGCGGTGGACTTGAAATCCACTGGGTTTACCCGCGCAGGTTCGAATCCTGCAGCTGACGATTTTTTTTGATTTTATTAATTGATGATGTATTTGCTTTAAGGACTTATTATTGTAGTTAATTAATTAAATGTTGATTTAATAAAGACTGCCCATTATCTAATATAATGATTACAAATCATTTTTAAACAGTTAATGGTTGATGAATAACTATCTCACCGAAATTTAATTTATAGATTGTCTGAAGGAAGTAAGCAATTAGGTTGGGATGCTCAGCAAAGAAAAGGCTTAATTTAATTAAGAGTAGCTGGCTTAAATAAACACAATCAATCAAAAAGTAATTTTACTAACTTACTTTCTTTTTGGTTACCACATTATTTATGTGGAGAAATAATATTTCGTGTATGCTCTCTATAAGTAATTTTTGCTTATCATCATTAAGATAAGCAATAAGAATTGTGATCAATTACTTTAAATTACATCCACCTCCCATCCCATATGTAAGTCTATATTTTTTGAATGCGTCATTATGCTACTAAATTAATCAACTTACCTCCTCAACCAAGCAGATCAAATCTAGGTAGATTATGAGATTGATGATGACATATAGAATCTGGTTAATTCAAAACTGTTTTACAAGATGGCTTATATAACTCTAATGGATCTGATAAAAGACACGGTCCTACAGAATCACTTTGATGGACAATCTCTAATTGCAATTTGTATAAATTAAATGCTCTTAACTGATTAACTTTAATCAAAATTGTCATTGGATAAAATAAAAAATATTCGATAGCATGACACTGAATATCTGATTAAATTGATGAGATTATTCATAGACAATAAGGATGATTAATTGCATGTAACAAAATAGATACTTCGATATATATTCACACTTAATGAAGAAAGAAATTGCTAGATATCCAAGTTGGTGTTCTCCAATTTAAAGTAACTATCTCATTCAACTCCTCTGATTCTTTAATCTATTAGAATTTGGTTGGAATCCAAAAATCCAATTGTCGTCCAACAAATCCGATTGTACTTGGAAGAATATCTGAAAACCTCGTTCAACCAAATTCACGATGATTCTGATTATATTCCTATGCTATTTCAAATTTTATGTAACTATAGTAATTTATTTAAGCCTCGATTTAATGTTTAGGATTTATTGAAGAATCAAATTTTTCTGAATCAGTCTTTGAAGAATTAATATAAATCTTTCATTTTCTGTGGCATCAACTTGAATTAGAAACTAATGATAGGATGTTTCCCGAGAAAATTGAATTCTGGCAAAATTACACAAAAAAATTGAAAAAATAATCCATTCCCACCAATCTCAATTAGAAATCCATCACCAGTACGGTCAAAGACTGTGCTGGTCTTTATTTGATTTTGCATGATCAATAGAACACTAAAAAATACATCAATCCAGCAGATTCCCTGATACCTTACATAGATGCTGTGTATCCACTTGAACAATAATAGGTGAAGGATATGCAGCTTATGCAAAATCTTATTAAATCATCTGTAGAATTCCTAGTGGATCCTATTTTAAAAGATGATTGGGTTGTTCTATAGACTTTGCAAAAAGTATTAACGTAAGTTTAATTGTTGAATTCTTCGATGAAATAAAAGGTCTTTTAATTGATCTGGTCGAGATGGTCCCCTGAAAATCCATTCTATGTAAAAATCTTGTAATAGATTGTATCTATATTTTTGGAAAATGAAGCTTAACAGTTAGGAACAAGAAATAATTTCTTTTTGTCCATTTTGGCTATGGAAAGTGAGAAGAAAATAGTACATCCACAAAAATTTCATACTTTATTATAGATTTGCTAATATCTTTGTCTTGAAAATGCTCCTGTAAATATGGACTATATATTTTCATAATCACAGGATCATAATTCGTGTTTGAAATTGAAACAGTATAAAATTAAAAAAAGTTTTCAAGAATTCTTTTAAGTGAATAATTATTACTCAATGATTGTTAAACTAATTTCAGGGATTTAAAATACAACTAATTTGGTATACATTTTAAAGGAGTTTATCAAATTAGAGTGGTTATTAACAGAAGGCTTGAAATTATCTTAAGTTGAATTTGCTGATGAGTTTGTTTAATTTTTAGAATAAAAATTATATGTGTTTTCAGAGGATTAAATGAAAGAATTAATAGAACTCCTATAAGATTGTTCAGTGTCTATGGTTAGTAGATTCCTCAAATTAAAGAATAGTATTGATAATCTAGAACAATATGGAGAAATGATTATATAAAATGAGTTTTGTTTGAAGGTATGATGATTCCATTATAATATAGGTTTTGGTTGAAGTGTTTATATTCAATAGTCACCCATCAGAAAACCTAAAATAAAAGTGTCTCTAATTTCTTGGGGTTCTTTTATCATTCAATGAGTATAATTAATTAGTATTCAGAGAATGTATTCGCTTATCTGTAATTCACCCTCATTATATTAGAACTTCCTCTAATGCATGAGATACCAGAGAAACAAAAAGCTATAGTAGTCCATGGAAGATGTCTTAAAAAGATCTTTGTCCTTTATTAGAAATGATCAAATCCAGAAAATGATCCAAAATGCTCCCAAAGACCATTAGAAAAAATAAGTTTTCAGGCAATCCAATTTTTCTTAATATGTTGGAGCTACCTTAGAAACCTTTTCTGCTATTAGTAAGGAAGTCAAAGGGAAAAGATAGTTCCAACTTTTGGGCAAGGATAGCGGAATTGTTATTAAGAACTATCAAGATTTATGCACTAAGAAATGGAGGTCCTTTACAATTCTAATTGAATTCAAGAAGGAAAGTTTCTACTTTATTAATTCGAATGCGAAACACAAGGATGAAGTATTTAAAGAGGAGTAGGTGATATTTAATATGAGTGGCATGTTCGAATCTTAAATAGGGAATAACTTCTCAGATCAAAAATACAGCCTTCAATAGGTTGACTTAATTAAGGTCGCCCTCTTAAAACCACCTTTCGCCTAAGAAAATCAGAAAATTAACCCATTGGAGAATTTAATCAAAATATCTATATTAAATAATGAACAGAAGCCAAATGACATTTATATAAATTTCACCTAAAAAACCAAAGATGAATTGATTTTATTGGCAATTATATTTGAGGATAAACCCAAACACACCTTCTTCGTTAAAATCTAAGATGAACCCAAAAAGACCTATCATGTAAAATCATTTATAACAGAATACGTGAAGAAACATTCTGATAAATATCATATCACTTTAAACATAGGAACTTATTACTTTAATTAATAGTTTTAAAATACATTCTAAGGAGTCATCAATAATTTTATTATTATAGAAAAGGTTTTATATCTTAAGTAGATTGAGGCTGTTTTTCAAAGAAATTAAAATAATTTAATAGAAATTATAGAAAAGGAAGTGTTACAGGCTGGGAATGAAGATATTGAAAGTATACATCCATAATAGCTTTAGGTCGGGAAATGTAATATTTGGATATTGAGAAGTTCAAGACTTGCTTCTCTCTTGTTGAGATCAACGATGCAATTAAAGTAACAAAGTACTAAACAATATAAGAGCAGAATTTCCTTATGAATATGATAAAGAAGCAGGTTTCTCATAAGATGGTGCATGAATCCAATTAAGTGGCAAAGGTGTTTTATTAAGGAGTAAATATAATAGAAGACGCAGGACTAGCTGATGTATTTTTAAGCTTAGATAATATTGAAATAATACTCTTTATAATCTAAATATCCACCCAAACATATTTCAATTTGGAAAATTTCGAAAGAAGATCAAGTAGGTTAAAGACCTTATAAGTTACATTGCAAAATGAAGCAGGAAAAAACCAGGGAGTATTTAGAAGGATCAATTACTTTGATAATTTGTTTAGATAGTACTTTTTAGTAAAAGACATGAGAAAGTGCAGAGACGATTATTTAAATTGCTAATAGTTTCACCTGAATTTAGTAAAATCCAATAGTTCTTAGTTTTCTTAAGGAGAATCCCCAATTGAAAAGAAGTAGAACTGCTTGTTCGATACTAGTGGGTCTATTGTTAATTCAATAATAGGTGGGCTCAATAACCCAACAGTGTCTTAATTCAATCTGGATCATAGTGAATAAAATTAACAACATCAAATTTAACCACTTTAGTAACATTCTACCTATGTAATTGATGAACTAACTTAAACTAAACAAAATGATACAGATATAAGAAATGGGGCTTTCATGGATGTAGTTTCAGTAGAGAAGCCTACTTTTAAATCTTCAACTGAAAAACTTTCATCAAACAAATACATTGAGGACACTAGAGTAAAATCATAATATGTGGGAAGAAGAACTTCAAGAAATTACACCTGCAATACTTCTCCTAAGAAACACATTTCATTAAATTAATTCAATCAAAATATAATAGAAATATAGAGTGATAAAAATATAGAGTTTACTCTTGAGGAAAAATCGCCTACTCATAATGACACGAATAACTTTCAATGTGAATGGATAAGAGTCAAGATGCAAGTCTTTGGAGAATTGAAAGTATTAGAAAAAGGAAAGGTTTTGCAATTTTAAAGTGATGCCAAAGAGCGTCCGGAATAGGATTTCTATACATATGGAACAATTGTATCTAAATATTCACATATAATTTTAGGCTTTCAACCTAAGAAAAGTTAAAATAACTAAGAGGTTGAATACGGCTTCTATTATTGAAATCTAAACTCGTCGCTACTCTCATAAAGAAATTGCAGTTGAAATATTTTGCAAAAATAAAAAATCGTATTTCTTTGTGTTATATGACGCTGAAAAAAGAAATTAATTTTTAAATTGTTTTAAACAAAATTATAATATTAGCATAGTAATAGATCGAAGAGCTGGTAAATTTATATGTTATAATTTAGAGTTTCAGGCAAGAAATTATACAAAGAAATGGCTCAAAGGGAAAATGACAAATTTTGAATATCTGATGTTGATCAACAAATATTCTGGTAGATCGTTCAATGATTTAAATTAATATCCTATTTTCCCTTGGGTTATTAGTGATTATACAAGTAGGAAGATAGATCTAGTATTTATTATGTTTTGATAAATTAGAATAATAGAGAGTAATATAGAGATTTAGACAAGATGATAAGCAATCAAAATAAGGAGAGATTGGAAAACATTAAAATGAGAGCAGAATCTCTGAAGTAGACTTAAATGGAATATTTTCTGTTTGGATCTCATTACAGTGTGGCAGCTCAAATCATAAATACTTTGGTAAGAATTGAGCCTTTTACTTCGCTTTAATGTGATCTATAGGATGGCAAATTAGATTAAGCAGATCGCATCTTTTTTTCAATACCTAACACATGGGTATCGTGTTAAAATGATCATTAAGATTTTAGAGAGTTGATACCTGAATATTTTTATTTCCCTGAGTTCTTGAAGAATATAAATAAAATACAATTTGGTGTAAGATAAAATTCTGAAGTTGTTGATGATGTAGTATTACCACCATGGGCAGAGAGTTGCGAAGAATTTATAGAAATTAATAGAAAAGCACTTGAATCATATTTTGTAAGTGAAAAATTGCATAATTGGATTAACTTGATTTTCGGACCCTATTCATAGGGAGAAGAAGCAAGAAAGAAAGATAATTTGTATCATTGGTTGACATATGAAAGCTGTTGGTAATCCTTAGATAAATTACCATACTAGGATAAAATGGGATATTTAACTTAAATTCAATCATTTGGTTAGGTTCCTTTTTAATTATTTACAAAACCACATCCATAAAAGCAGAGATTAGAATCAAATTTGTATTTTCCTTCAAATTTAGTAAAAATACTAACAGATAAAAAACTCATTAATTCAAAAAGAATTATGAAATTTGATAAGAAACTTATAGTAAAAACTTATAAAGAAAATGATAATTTGTATGTTCTTATGAATAATTGCTATGTTTATAAATTAAAGTAAAAATATAATAAATTATAATTTAGATATAATGCAAGTTTAGAGAAAAAAGAAAGTGAAGAGAAGTTATTGTCAGCTTAATTATTTTCAATATAAGATGTTGAAAAACTTCATTTGGAAAAATGTGATATGCTGAAAGATCAATAATAAGTACATGAGAATTACAAGAATGCTAAGCCTATCCACATAACAGGTCAGTAATTTTAGTTTGATGATCATTTTTTATTTGTTGCTGGATATTTGAGTGGTTCTGTGTACATCTATGATATTCATTAAGATAAAGCGCAGAGTCCTCATGTTTGCCATAAAATCAAACTTCACAGGAGGAGAGTGACATGCCTTTGTTATTCACCAAAATTAAAGGTTTTATGTTTGGGTGCAAAGGATAATAGAGTAACAGTATGGAAAGTGTAATAATCTAATGAAAAGACAATTTCATTTGGGGGGTCTCCGAAATACATTCTTTATGGACATGATAAATCCATTAAATGTTTGACCATTGATGAAGAAATGGAGATTGTTATAAGCCTTGACAAATTAGGAAAGTTATAGATCCATTCGGTTATTTCAGGTTTGTTTTTGAATGAAATCAAATTCCAATTGAATACTGGCGATAAGATTTGGAATGTCATATCAAATGGAAATGGACTTATAGCATTGTTAACTACTAATAGTGAGATTATAGTTACTAGGTATTAATTGAGATTTTAATTGTTAGAGTAAATGGCTTTGTTGTGAGAAGGTATGTCAATAACAATATTGGCTAAATTACACAATTTATGTTCTATCAGGAATCTCATCTACTTATTTCTACTCTCAAGGGAGAAATTCTATTGATTCAAGATGTATCTAGTTTAGCAGAACAATACCCCCTAATTTTTCACATTTATCAAAATACGCAAAAGATTGGAATAATCAATTTTTCATATTGTAAATATCGATATTTAAATAGAATTTGAAAACGAAGGCGTTACTTTTTTGATTACCTTGATTGATGGATCCCTCTGTCGCTTAATCTTAAGTGCAGGATAAAGTAGTTTCATTTTATAATTTTAGATAATGACTTTTAAAAATATTTAGGAAAATTAGGAATGTGATAAAACTAAATACTTGATAATTATATATTTTTCTCTTATAAAGTTTAATATTAATATCTAATTATGGGTAATAAATTGTAGGGGAGAGATGCCATATCATATCAATTGTAAAGTGGACGAGTATTTGAAATACAAGTCAATGATCTTTAAGGAGGCAAGAAATTTCCAAAGCCTCCCAAGAGAGAGGACATTATATTAAAATATAATCAATGGCTATCAGAAGTTTATCTCAATAATATTTATAAGGTTATTTTGGAAGAGTCAGATATTAAACTCTTGTAGACAGTTGAATCGAAGTATAAATTTCGTATTTGCTATCTTCATGAATAAATAATGGAGAAAATCAACATGCAGAAAAAATAAGAATTTCAGGCTAATCAGGTCTACATCGATTAATTAAAAAAAAGTATTAATAGATTATACGAGGATTATAATGACGTGGATATAAGCAGTAATATCTTAAACCATTCTCATAGGCATTAGTAAAAGTCTTTCGAATACCTGTTGTATTGATCAAAAAGTAGAGTTGATTAAAAATATGAATTTCATCTCCTATTTATCAGATAGATTGATACTTTTAGAAGCGACATCTAGAATTACAAATAATTTTAGAGATTAAATTAGAATTTTAGAACTATATTAAGTTATATTGAACACTTACAATATTAATCATAAGTCCTTATTTCATGAGACTAAATGTTTTAAATCAATTATCCAAAATTTTCATCCAGTCGAACCCAAAGTAACTGGCTTGGTATTCAAAATTATAGCTGGATAAAATGGATTAAGTTGGAAAGAAAACAACTTTCAAAATATCTAAGATGCCTTGTAAAATCTGTAAGATCTTTATGCATTCTAAAATAAGTAATTCATATTTATAAAATTAGATTCTAAATATTTATTAGAACAATGTATTATACAAAAAATCTAATAATGATTTATTAAATTATAAAGTTTCTCTTTCGATATTTGTATTCATTAGACGATAAAAATTAATTATCAGTTGCAACTGAACTCTAAACTACAAAAGTAAACGATAAATAGTTAGAGGACGTGTTTAAGTAAATTAAACTTAGAATAAAACTGGACCTATATAAAAAAGAAGATTGTACCTATGAATCAGTTAGAAACATACTTACTACCTTTGAACATCCATTGATCTCATATAACTAAGACGATCCAAGATTGACTAAACAATTTGCCTCCTTTGTAGAGGCGGCTGTTGATGATAAAATGAATTACGAAAGTGATTATGACTCTTCCCAAAATATTTAGGATATTAATTTCTTATAAGATTAGTATTTTTACTATGAGGAGGGTTAGGAACATGTGTTTAAAGCCATAAAATAATCAGTTATAGAATGGATTGATGCAATCTAAAATATAAGTCTATTATCTTTAAAGGAGGATGAAGTAGATTAGTTTTTCTTGGAAAATGAAAAGACATAGAATTATGCATTTATTGGAGAAAAGGATATCAGCTCTTCTAATTAGGCACTTTCTAAAACACCCAAGAATGATCATTCTGAATAAGAGGATTAGAATTTTGAATAAAAAAACTATAAAAGCAAATACAAAGAAGCAAAAGAAATAATAAATGAATTAAGAAATCAATTAGATTAATATACAAAATAACATAATGTAAAATTATAAGAACTATAGCTTTAAAATTAGAAATTAAATGAAGAGAATGGCTCACTTATAAAAAAATTATAAGAATAAGTCAATCAACTCTAAAAAGAAATCCAAAACTATAAAACTCTAGCATAAGAGGATTAAAAATCCATTTAAGCTTAATTAAATTAATCTAATATCCCTATGATACAATAAAAAGATTCGCAAACACAAAATAATCTAGATTCTTAAAAATAATAAACTGAAGTCTCATCAACCTCTAAAATTCAACCACCGCCTCCTCCTCCTCCTCCTCCACCACCTCCACTTATATAATAAACTGGAACCTCTCTTCCTCCACCACCACCACCTCCTCCACCGATTTAAACAACTGGTGGACCACCTCCTCCTCCTCCTATGAGATCAAATAATTAATAACCTTTACAATTACTTAGGAAATAGTAGCCTGCCCCATCAAAACCAATGAAACCACTGTTTTGGACAGCTATTCCAGATTCTAAAGCATTCAAAACAATTTTTGAAAAAATCTAAAATGATGATTTTACTTTAGATACATAATTTTTAGAAATGAACTTTTGCAAACCTCAAGAAATATAAAAATAAACAGATAATTCAGTGGAAGTTAATGTTAAAAAATAAAAAGTTAAACTTTTATAACCAGAAAGATCTCAAAATATTGAAATTATTCTCAGTAAATTACGTTTAAATATCAATTCATTTTCTGATTCCTTACTTTAAATAAATCTAGAAGTTTTAACTGAGAATGTAATAAACTCTTTAATTGCTATTTGTCCTACCTAAGAAGAAATTGAGTTATTGAATGATTTTACAGGAGACAAATCATTATTGGGATAATCAGAATTATTTATTGATGCTCTACGTAAAATCAATGGTTTTCAATTTAGAATCAAAGCATTGCATTTCATGTATAATTATCATGAGAATAAATCAACATTTCTAAAGGAGGCAATGTAATTGACTGAAGCTTTTATAAATTTGAAGAATTCCTAAGAGTTATAGACTGTTATTTTGATTGTTTTAAGATTGGGTAATTTTCTTAATGGTAATTTAACATTTTATATTTAGCAAAGACTCCAAAAGGAAACATTGCGGCTTTTAAACTAGAAGCAATTGAAAAGTGTAGTGATTTGAAAAGCATTGATAATTAATAGAATCTTTTATACTATGTAATCGAAAAATCAGAATAGATTTTGAATAAAGATTTCATAAATTAATAAAGTAATGATTGCTCTCTATTTTAGTTATTACAAAATTCGAAATTATTGAAAAAATTTCTTTATCGCAACTTCAACAAAGCTTAAATGACATTAAAAAAGGGCAAAATCTAATCGTCTAATCCATTGAGTCTGCATCTGATAATCCAAATGATCTCGTAGCAATATAATTTTAACCAATATTAACTGAAATTCAATAGGATTTTGTAACATTTTAACAAGAATTTTCAAAAGTGGATAAACATTATAAGGAATGCTGCGAATTTTATTGTGAAAACTAATCAGAGTAATCAGATAAATTTGGTGAAAAAATAATGAAAATATTGAGATGTTTATACAAAAATAAATAAGAAAAGCTGATTAAAATAGAAAAGTTAAGAAAAGCTGAAGAATAAAAATTAAAATTATAATAATCTTAACAAAATGAAAAACCTATAGCTAGAAATGAGAGAACGAACAAAACTTGGGTGCCTTAAAATCAATAAAATTAGGGATAAACAGTAATTAAAAAGGGAAGAGAAAGCATGGTCGATAAAGAAATTAAAGAGATGTAGAAATTTAAAAATCAAAGTAAATTTTTTAAATGAATTATAATTTTGTTGTTAAAAATTCATTGATTATGAAAAAAGAGATCATAAAATATGTTATCTAAAAAAAGGATAGGATATCTTCATGTAATATCTAAAGGGAAAATAAATTTCTCATAAAATCTCAAAATAAATTAAAGAAGATTAGATAAACTCTCTAATTAGGAAATTTCAATAAATCTCTGGAAAATTAATACCAACAAGCTAGCATAGAATGGAATAATTTTGAGCATATTAATAATAATTGATTTCAAATTAAATAATGTAATTTATAATATCATTTGTTGAATATGAGAAAATTTACTATATTTTACAGAATCTTTTTCAAATAATTTAACACGGCATTTTATTAATGATTTTAATTGTATTAAATCCTCATCTATTTATATTGTAATAAAACACTGATAAATTAAGTAAAACTGAAAAAAACTTAAACAATACGAAAAACCTTGTATTTCAAAATAAATATGATATATCTGATAAGATGTCACAATAAATTTTAAATAAATAGAAGATTCATGAGATTTAACAAAAGCAATCGTCTACTGGATCTCTTTCTTTAATATTAAATGTTTTCCAGTTTACAACCTCATATACATCCTCTAACCCAGCTTACGGATGGATTTCATCTCTAAAACTGATTTTATGGTTTTTGGTTTTTGGTTTAATCTCAACATTATATTTGTCAGTTCTCTATTTTGTTTCTTATTATTTAGCACTTATTTCGGTATACATTCTTTCAAACCAGAGGTTAATATCTTTTTCTTATTCAATCTCATCGTCCCCTGTACATTTTTATATTCTAATCATTATAAATTAAATTAATGTGATTATGTCAATAATTCTTTGAAAATAAATCAAGAAAATGTTGATTATAATAGCCTTTACACCATAGCTTTATAAAGAGTCTCATTTGAGAATGGTAACATTTAATTGTTGTTATCAAATATATATTCATTATTATTTTAACAAACAACAATAAAAGATTATTTGGCTAAACTAGTTATGAGTGGAATACTAAATTGCAATATTGCCTATATGAATTCCTCTCAACAAGAGCCAAAAGACTAGTCCAAATCAACTAAATTCTAAACTAGATTTATACCAATCTAAATTCTTCAATAAAACCCAAAAGTTTATTTTTACATTAGTTATCAATTAAAATATTTACTATCATCTATATTTCCTGTCTTTTTAAAGGAAAGTCTATCAATATCCAAATTTTAAATCAAGAGGGCAATCTCTAATAGAATCTTAAAGCCAAAGCTTTTAATCAAGATAGACAAATATTTTGGTTAAGGAAATGAAATTTCACCAGTGAACAGGAATTAATATAAATACAGAATGAATTACTATAGAACTGATCATAAGATTAGATATTAAATTGCAGCTTAGTTTTATTAGTATGGTTGTTCTTTTTTTAAGGATTAATAATTTTTATAACCCAAAATTACATGTAAACTTAAAATTCAGAAATATAGCCAAACAATTATTTTGATTTGATAAGTGTTCCACCCTCAATGAGAAAACAAAGTGCAAGAGTAGACTAAAGGCCAATACAAACTAGCAAAATGTATTTTGAATCAGATTCTAATATTGATAAGTAAGTATGATGATTAGGGTCAAGCACATAATCTTTGCATAGTCTATTACAATAGAAAGAGGCTTAATTAGATTCATTACAGAGGAAATACATGTAAATTAGATAGGTAAAGTCAAGAAAGCCTTAAGGACAAAATTTTATGCATGGATATTTAGATGACTTGATCAATTCATTCAAAGATAAGGTTGACAACAATATAATCAGTGAGTTTATAAACTATTCGAATTCAATGAATGATCTCTATAGGATATAATAAACTCATTTACATCTTTGCTAGTAAAGATTGTAACAAGCAGATGCATTGGTTGATTAACTTAAAATACTTAAAGAAGCAGATCTCTTCAATCTAAAAAAGATAATTTAATCTTTATAAGAATCATTGTAATAAGCTTAAGTTACAGAATTAGATTCAAATAAATTATATAGAGATCTTTAGAACATGAAGTTGAAGTATGCAAAATTGCAAAACTAATTTGAAATAGTACAAAAGTAGAATGATTATACTGAAAAAAATATGCTATCGATAAAGTAGCATTTACAGCATACAAATGAGGAAACTCAAATTTATAAGAAGACTTTAAGAAAAGAAGCTAGCTAGAATCAATTAAACCAAAGAAGAGTGTTTACCTTAGAATAAAGGTTGGAGGTTTTAAGCGGGAGTGACTATAAAAAAGTAGTTCTATTGATATTATATTAGGACAAAGACTCATTAAGAAACATTATAGAGGATATGCTGAAGGAGAATGAAGCAAATAAAAGAAAGGCATTCTAAAAATGTCAAGAAGTTTTAAAGCTGGAATAAGCTGTTTAAGACTTAAAGGAAAAGAATCAAAAGCTACAAAAGAGAAATATGTTGTTGGAGAAACAATTAAAATTGCTAGGGTATTCTGCTTATGATTTAAATGGAAATACTGTTGGACAAAAGACTATAGTTGAAGCCAATGATCAGGATGATGAGATTTAGGATGTATTTTAGTTGGCTAACTTGCCTAATAAATTAGATTTTAAATTATATAATTTGAAATTGAGACAAAAGAATTTAGTGCAAGACTTATTAGATTGTGGTGTTAAGCAAGCTATTGATTAATTATTTTAAATGGATTAACAGCATCAAGTGGATTAAATTAGTATCTTCATGGATTTGTTTGTATAGTATAAGATTCTAGGAGAGAGTGTGAATAGTTTAATTAATTTAATTAAGCAATTATTGAAAATTGATTAGATTGAAGTAATAATGCAAAGACTGAGTTCTGATTCTTAGTTATTTAATTGTGAATTGATCCAATTATGGTTGATAGATTAATAGACTGCGACATTTTACACTTATAATTAAAAAAATGAATTGGTCAATGCGTATATTGATACGGATGAATTTTTGAATGTCGTTAAATCATCATAGCCAATTTATAAATAATAAGCATTTGTTTATAGAAATATTAATACTGCTAAATTCGCAAAGGATTGTTATCTTATACCGTTGTTAACTGATAGTAGATTAATTGGGATTATATCATTGGAAAATCTAAATAATAAAAAATAGGATGCAAAATATCTTGGATTGCTGATTTCATAATTATTACTAGCAATTATAGATAAGGTATTGTAATTTAAACTCATAAATTATCAATTGAGATACAAAAATCTCTTATTTGAAGCATTTACTGAATTATCAAAGTAAAAGTCAAAATTTAAGTTACAAAAGTCAATTGAAAGTCACTCTGAAACACTATTTGGTGTGGCCAGTAGCAAATTTTTCTTTTATAATTAAGGGATCATTTATACTTACAAAGATGACTTGCATATAACTGAATATAGTTCAGATATAGGAGTTATTGGGTATGTAGCAAAATCGCAAGAGGCTTTGCTAATTGGTAATATTAAACAGCATCATTCATTTCATTAATCAGTAGATATGACTAGCGGATTACCAATATTTACATTGCCCTTGGCCTTTGGTGTTTTGTAAATAGTATTGAATTAGAGTGCTTAATTATAATAAAATAGTAACAATTTTATTCTAATTAGATAAATCAATTGAAGTTCGTAAGTTGTTACAACCAGGGGAAACTTTACAGAGCATGGCATTAATGTTCACATAAATTTGTAATTTCGCATATGAAATTCTAAAAAAAGAATTATCATGATACATTATAATAAAATTGACATTTTTCATATTTGAAATAACAATTTTTTAATATAAAATTAACAATAATGTAAACAATATGTTATACTCATTCTGCACTTTTTTCGGTAGAAGCTGCTATAATAGGTGCAACTGAGTATGCTTCTAATTGTAATTAGTTTTGACCTAACATTATGGATAATTTGAATACCAACAGCAACATAGGCTAATCCTTTCAATCCCCAAGTGTCTCCCCATGAATTTTCAATGACCCAATAGTTGACTCCATCTTGTTTGCCCCAACCAATAACTTTGACTGCATGTCCATATTGGAATCTAATTAATTTAATAGAGAGTATACTTTGAACTTCCTTCAACAACTTCATAGACTCCTCCTTTGTAAACAAGGAAATCTTTGAAAACTTAGATCACAGCAACGACTGGACCATTGTTCAATATTTCTCTTTTGATGTTTTCCTCACCTGAGACAACACAATAATCATGGATCTTATATTTTTCACAATTAGAGAAAAGAGCATCACAATTGTTTTTGGCATCTTCTGTTCCACTGTATGGTAAACATGAGGTTGAAACAAATCCTTGTTTCTTACCGACTTCCAAGACTCTTGTTACACTACCTCCTCCACACTTGTAGTTCTTGTCATCACATGAGATTGGGGATTATGGTGACAATTGGTCTTAGAACTCTCCATTCTTGGATTTGCATAATCTATCACTTGTGGCTGATACTGCAGCAATTGAATAACTAGATGAGCAATTTCCTATTGATATTACAATTATTAATACCCTAGAAGTAGATTGGTTATGCACACTCTGGTTAGGCTTCTCTGAAATTGTAGCTCTCTGGAATTATGACACCGCTTTCAGGACATTGTTAGATTTTTCCTTTAAATGTTAAATGATTGTTGAAAATGAATTTGGCATCACTGAATTTCCAATCCTTGAAGAAATCATTTGGCCCTTAGAGATAGGATCCTAAAGAATTGTGTGCAGCTATTTCCTCTTCATCTATTACAGGAGCTGTCGTTAATTTCTTGCTAGATCGTGTCAAAATGGAAAACAAAGCATAGACACAAACAAATCCGAATGCTCCTATGACCAAATGATAAGCATATTTTTCGAAAAAGCTTGGCTATGTTTGATTACGTCTTTTCATAGCTTAAGCTGCTTTCTCTCTTTGGGCAACCTTTTCTGGAGATTAGGGAGATGGACTTCTCTATCTTTGAGACACTTAACTCATGTATTAATTTAATTATTCAACACGTTTTATTAATTAAATTATATATATACTTTAAAATAACATATTTAATTAAGTCATGAGAAGAATGCATGCTCTAGGGCTTAACGTGCATTTATTCTTAATTTCTATGCAAATTAGGTTAATTAAATACATGATCATAAACAAAGATTTTTTCCAACAAATCAATCCCTTCTTTGGTAGCCCATCTCTTGTTCTTTTTATTCACCAATTTATTGAAATCTATTCGCTCTTCAACTTAAGGGATATCCTACAAACCTAATCTAATATGATATTTTTTCAGATATCCATATAAATCCTTGGTTCCCAACTTCAAAATTATTTATCTTAATTAATCTTTAAGATCTTTCCCTTTAAACAAGGGATCAGTCTTGAATATAAAATCAGCCAACATGCATCCAACTGCCCAAACATCAATTGAGTAATCATATTTCTTATATTTCAATAATAACTCTGGTGCTTTATAATATCTAGTACCCATTCTAACAGATAAGGATTTTTATTTATCATAAAATTGACTTAAACCCCAATCTATTAATATAATATTATCATTTTTATCTACAAGAACATTTTCAGCTTTAATATCCCTATGCATTATATGTAATTCTTGGGCCTTATCGAGAGCACTGAATATTTATTTAAAGTATTTTTTTACTTATTTTAAAGTGTACCTTCTTTTTTTAAGGATATTATATAAACTACGAGTTGTATTTTAGTAGGCAAATATTATAGTGGTTTCAAGAGAATCATTATAAAGAGATTCCTATTTATCATCTATTGATTATATCTCCTTATTTACGAGTTATTAATAATAGTCAGCCTATTCATCTTAATGTCCCTTGATAGCATCTATCATTTGAACAATATTGGGCAAACCTAATAAGGCTTACAGTATTGATATCTCTTGATTGATATCACTTTCTTTGGTGTCTTTGATATGTTTTAAAACAACTGGCTCTTAGTCTTCAATTCTATATGCCAAGTAAACCTTGGAGAAGGCACCTTTTCCTATCACTTTTTTTAATTCATAATCAAAAATGTTTCCAGAATTGTAATCCAATATTTAATTGACTTCATCAGAATTGAGTTATTATTATTATTGATATGTAAAAGCAAAGATCTGAAGTGGTATGAGAAGGAAAAATAACATCATAAATAAAAAAACGTATTTTTTTAAATATTGCTTAAATACTAAAATAAATTCACAATATTTTAGAATTACTCCATTCTTTATTACAAACTGGGCAAATCTAACTTTACTTCAATCATCTGTCAATACAATGTTTTTGGAATCCATGGTTACATAATCCTTGCACTATTTTCCACTCAAGGTGTAAATTCAGAGTTTTTAAAACTTCCATTAAAATTTAATTGGCTTCACACACCAAACATTGTCCAAATGACTTTGTTAATCTATTGCACAATTATCATCATTATTATTCCATGTCCAAATCCCAACAGCTTGCCAAGATTTGATTCTATTATATTATATTATCCTATTCCATTAATTAAAATAATATGAAAAATAGTGAGAATCTATAGAGCTACGCAGTAGAAAAAAGAATTGGTGAAGGTGCATTTGCAATAGTGTAAATCTCAGATCTTATGAAAGATATTTAGCTTAGGTGCAAGAGAGTGGAGAGAAAGTTGCAATAAAAAAAGCTCCGATAGACAAAAAATATAAAAACAGAGAGCTGGCCAACTTAAAATTACTGGGAGAACATCCAAACATTGTGGCCTTAAAAGATGCATTCTATGTGGTTGGTTAAAAGTATAAATTCTATACATTACATTCATCTTAGTGAGGAAGTTTACATTAATTATGTGATGGAATATATGCCAGACAATTTATCTGATTATTTGAGGAATCTGAAGAAGCAGAAACAATAGTTAACATAGATTCAATTACAGATCATAACGTATTAACTATTACGTGGTCTGGCCTTCATACATGGCAAGGGCATGGCACACAGAGACATCAAACCTCAGAACATTTTAATTGATGGAACAATCGTAAAATATTGTGATTTCGGATCTGCTAAAATCATTTCAGGTGGATAGATCAACACTTCCTATTTATGTTCCAGACATTATAGGGCACCTGAATTGATATTTGGAGCCACCGATTATTCTACTAGTATAGATATCTGGTCTTTGGGATGTGTCTTTGCTGAACTCATTTTATTGGAACCGCTATTTCCTGGCGAAAGTTCTGTTGATCAATTAGTCGAAATTATGAAGGTCTTAGGAACTCCAACAGCTACTGATATTGCAGAATTCAATGCTTCTAATACAGATTTTAAATTTCCTTAAGTCAAAGGACATCCATGGTCTAAAGTCTTTTTAAAATATAAACCTGATCCCCAATTCATTGACTTAATTAAGAAGATGGTTAGGTATTAATTTTCATCAATGCTAGTTACTAACCTTAACAGAGAATCAAACCGTTTATGGCATTGATGCATCCATTCTTTAATGATCTGAGAGAATTAAAGAATGAGGAGGTTCCAAATAAACTTTGGCAATTCACTCCAGAAGAAGAGAACATTTTTGGAAAACAGCCATTAAAACATCTCATGCCATCATGGTGGAAAGGTGGAAGATGACTATGATTATTTTAATACTGTAAAAAACAAATCTCTTTCATTCAATTGAAATTATTTTGTTATTAAAGAATTTATTATTATATTCATGGATCAACAAATTAAAAAAGTATTTCATACGGCTTTGGTCTTAGTTCCTCCAAAGCAATGTATAGATTAAATATAACTTCTCAGGAAACAATACGATAAAGCGTACGAAAGATGGATGCCTCATGTCAATTTGTGTTTTCCTTTTGCAGATCCTGCCTAATTTGAATAAGTTTTCTAAGCACTTCAGAATCATTTGAGTAAGAAATTATACCATTTCAAACTAGAGGATTTTCCTGCTTTCTAAGTTCGGTTAAGAGAATTTAATCATTTTCAACATGGCAAAAATTGTGTTATGTGGTTAAACCCAGAATCTGAAAATGATGGAATCTAAAAGTTATACCAAGAAATCTTAAAGGTCTATCCCTAATTGGATGATCTTAATAAAAAATCAGAACATGGCTTTTAACCTCATATAACAATTGGATAGTTTGGAACAAATCAGATTGAATAGAGAAAAAAAGCATTCCAACCTTAATTTTAGGAAGTCCAATTTCAATGTTAAGAGATACACATGATTAGCAGGAATGGATAAGATGATCCATTTTAAATAATGCATACCATCAAGTAAGTTTATGATCTGATCGTTTAGATTCAAGACTGAGAATCCATAAGCCTATGAATATCCAGGTTAAAAATGAATATAAATAATTATTATATTATATGTAAGGGTCTGAGATTTTGATTGCTCAAGCATAGCATAAAAATGAGTTAGTTCATCAGTTGTAGGAACAAGCTTATGAAACAGAATTCAAATAATTGGATAATAATCAAGTGACAAAGGCTATTGAGTACATTTTGGAGAACCCTCATTTTGGCTTTTTTTTTATTTATACCGAAAATCATCACATCTTCGGGTAGATCCTGATGACCAAAGAATATAATATCTACTCTGGATTAACTTGTTGGTTTCAATCTGTAAATTTATGAATTCAACCATTTTAGGTTTATGTGAAGAAGGATCATAGAATGAAGGGAATATTTAAGTAAATGTACAAGGAATTTATGAAGTATGCAGCAAAGCAAAAAGCAGGGACTAAATTATATGTCGAATTTGAGAATAAGAATGCTATCAAAGTCTATGAGAAATTGGGAATGATTAGAACAGAGGAAACCATATTTGAAGATGATTTCGTATTTCATCCTGTCAAGTAAGTCAAATTACTTATTTAATTAGAATTATTAATCTTGGTTAAGATTGTGTAACGAGGACTTCCAGCAACAAAAAGGAATTAGAGGACTTATTAAAGAAAGGAAAAAGTATCTTAGGGAATGACTTAACTCAATAATTGTAAATTGAGGATTGTTTAAATAATAACAAAAATGCATTTATAATAACAGAGAGTTCAACAGACTATTTGATAGGATTATACTTCATAGAATTTAGTGATTGGAGGAATGGAGTATTAATTAATTAATAAACATTAGATAATTCTGTGGTTTTACGATTTTGTAAGTTCTACCTATAATAATGGAATTATTAGTATAATGATGAGCAATATGCTGAATTCGATTAAGCATAAATAAATTAAATTTAACCCTGAAGTGAAAGGAATTAGAATACTTGTAGACAGATCTAAAGGTTAGCGATTGGAGTAATTATTGGAAGTCATTGGTCTAAAAGAGTCACACTATTATATATATTCTTAAAAAAGTGATTGAAAATGAGCAAGTATTTTAAATAAATAAAGTAACATGATTTCCTTCATCAATTATTTACGAAATTTAATTCGAATTTATTATTAAAAATGTCAGATTAAGAAAAGAACTTGGAACCTCCTCAGGACTAACCAGATCAAGAACAATCACTCTTGCAACAAGCTCTAGATAATAGATAAGTTTTTGATTCGGAAATTTAATAATAAATTCAGAAAGATGCTTTTGCCTTAAAGATGGAATCTAATATTAAAGAAGAAGAATTAGGAATGATGAAGAGGGATATAATCAAGAGGAGGAAGAAGAGGGAAAAGAAGGAGAAGTTGATATCTGCAAGAAGATTAAAACGATTGTTGAAAAAGAAACCTGTTGATAAGATTAGATTAGTTTACTAAGCTTATTTCTTCCTAGTTAGTATCGCCGTACTCACACTAAGTATATTATCATACAGAGATCAAACAGTTTACGAAGGAGATTATCAATAATTCGTTGACAATGTTAAGTCCTATGTAATTGATGATATTCAATTCACTTATACTAATAAAAATTGCAAAACTCAATTCGGAAGTCAAGTATTTTTTTATTCATATCTTAGTATTCGTCCCTTTATGAATATAATTGGCCAGGTACGAAGATTGGATGTGATTGCAGTAAAGGATTTAATTTCTCTTCATTAACAGATTATAATATTGATGCGTTTTTCAGCGAATCCTTTATGCTTGGCCGTATTTGCAGTTAAGACTTGCTCTCAAAGAATTGTAATACAGTGAACGAACAACAACCTAAAACCTTTAACTCATGGAATGATGGATCATATGGAAGACGTATCGTTATGCTTCAATTTTATTAGCCTTTGTCTTGTGTGCCAGAAGAAAAATTGGAATTGATTTACAATCTAACTCAACAAATTGTCAATCTGATCACAAAGTCTGTGGAACAGGTGATAATTCATTTTGTGTCCCCTCCGATACCAGTTGTCCTATATCAGAAATTGGATTTACTACCAATTCAAATTATTAAAATTTATCATTAAAAAATAATACAAGTATAGGAGACATTTTTGATTTGGGATCAGGATTCTATTTTTATTATATCAAAAACACTTCAAGTTTACCAATTGTAGAATTTAGAGTTACTGAAGGTGACAAAGTATGTAGAAGGAATTTAGATCAAAATATTTCACCTAACCGAATAGATTATCCTTTAATGGTATCCATGAGAAGACAATGCGAAAATACTGATCAACTCTTCTAAGTTATCCATTCTATCGATGAAGAGTAATTTTATCTTTCCAATAATGTAATTTATTTATCTGAAAAATTACCTTATTTTAACATTGATACCAAATATAATTGGACACTTCATGCTAAAACTTTTATTCCTTGGGCACCTCAATGTCGAGGTGAGTTATTTGATTAGGTTTTACAAGAAGGAGCTACTTTGCATCATGTTTACACATCTTTAAGAGTTTAACTAGGAGTGACTATTGCCTATTTTATTGTTATTGGCCTTATTTTTAATATTGTTGGAACGATGACTGCTTGCAACTTTGCTTGGTCTTGTATGGCAAGTAATAAATTATTAATTATCATTATAGCTAAGCCTGAATCTTAATATAATTATATTTTCCTAATGGAAATTGGATTCAAAATACTATTATAAATAGCTGAAATAATAGTTATAATAGTCTCCTTTGTGATTATAGATGACAAAAGAAAGATTATTAAATAAATTAATGATGATGGATGCGTATCTGATCCTGTTAGTGGCTATTTCTTTACTAATTTGGAAAGTGATTTAACTAAATTTGCTTGGTCTTACAATCTAGCTAATTTAGTTATATTCGCAGTTACTCTTATTCTTGATCTAATCATAATTAAACACTCAATTAATCAAGGACATCATCATGGAGCCAAAAAACACCATGAAAAAGGAGAACATTAAGAATTAGATATTGGATCTCATGGTGAATCAGGAAATTAGTAAGAAATTAAAAGTGATGTAAAACTCTAAGCTAAGACAGAGCCTCAAGTATGAAATTATTTAACATCAAAATTATTATTAATTAATTTCTAATCACCTCTATGTCATAATAAAATATTATTTTTATTATTTATTTTTGTATAATAAAATTATCAACTATCTCATTTCGTGTTCTGGATATACAAATATCATTTTAATTCCTTTTTTTTTCATTAAAACCAATTTATTTAGAAGTAAAAATGATTAGATTATTTTCAAAATATAATAAGGTTTTATGAAATTTACTTTTGCTAAAATTTATTGAATAGGAAGTTTTAAAAAAGTGAATAATTCAATTTCTATTATAGAAATCAATAGTTAACATTTGCACAGCGATGATTACATGTTTGCATGTCCAACTTATTTTGGTTTATTATAAGACAAAAGTTGTTACTCAAGACTGAAGTTGATTAAATTTCAAAATTTTTGATTACATGTATTAAAAATCTACAAATAAAATAATTACTTAACAAAGATAGACTAATTGTTTCAAAAAAAGTAAATGAGTCATTGCACAGATACGATAACTTCTAGTAAAATGATATATAGCAGAAATTTTAGGGTAATAATAATTAGCGAAATATGCAAACCATGTTCTCCTTGAATCTATTTTTCTTTAGGATTATAATTTATATTTCTTTGGAACAACAACAATATTGTATCGTTATTTTATATTATTTGACTTCTAGATACAATCATAATGTTTTTTCAATAGATTAATTATTTTATCATAATAATTATAATAGGAATTGCATTTAAATGAATTAGATAAACTCAAATTACTTATAGAACTTTTAATATATTAGGTGAATACAAACATAGAATATTTAAGATCGATTAATCTTAAATTATCTACTTAATAAACACCTACTAAGTTTGTATAATAAGGTATTTGCAGACAAAATTGGAAATCAAAGGTTCGATTTACTTATAGCATAAGAGAAAGATCCAATATCTGATTGAGTGTGTAAAGAGTTATACTCCTTAGATGATGAGGAAACTCTAAGTCATATGATGAAAAACGGGAAATGATATAGAACTTGAGATGAGTGATTTAGGATAATTAAATTTAAAATTAGATTTAAAATTAATTAAAATACAATCAATGCCTGCCAAAAAGAGAACTGTGAGAATTGGTAATTGGTACAAAAGCGATGATGAGAAAGTCCATTTCACTAGAAAGAGAAAAGTATTTTGAAATAAAATCAAAAAGGCTCCAAGACCAGCTAAATTGAGAAAGATTGTCCCCGGATAAGTGTTAATCTTATTGTCTGGAAGATTCTAAGGAAAGAGAGTTGTATTCTTGAAGTAGCTCAAATCTGGATTGTTGCTTGTAACAGGTCCTTTCAAAATTAATGGTGTCCCTCTCAAGAGAGTCAACTCTGCTTATGTCATCCCAACATCCACTAAAGTTGATGTGACTGGAGTTAATGCCAACTAAATTGATGATGATTATTTCAAGAGAACTTAAGCTTAAAGACGTAAGAATGAATAAGGATTTTGGGCAAAGAGAGGAGAAGTAATTTAATATCCATATATATAATTAGCTCACAGCTGAATAATAAACAGCAGAAAAAACAAGATTGGATGGAAAGAGAAATACACAAAAATCAGTTGATGCTGCATTGATCACTGCAATTAAGAAAACATAATTATTGAAATAATATCTTGGTGCTCGTTTCACCATTGGAAAAACCACAAGACCCCACGAGTTAGTCTTTTGATCATTACCAAGATATTATCGTACAATAATAAATATTATAAATCAATATATTAAATTCCACTTGTTTAATTATTTTTATGCACTCTTCTTAACTAATTACCTTATTCTCAGACATTTAAGAACTTCTCGAATGCCCTAGATGTTCAATCTCTGGACTTTTAACTAAATTAGTTAAATGTATGAGTTAGTGTAATGAATTACTATATTACAAATAATATTTGTATTTTTATAAGGATTTTATAACTAATTTATTTATTTTATTTTAGAATTCTCTAACCTTTATTTCTACATTCACTACAATGTATCAAAATTCCTATTCTACTTCCTCATTGCATAAAACGAAGAACTAAAAGTATTATAAACTTTCTCATATAAACTACTAAGTTTTTAGATGAATTATTCAATGTATATAGATTACTTTTATAATATGTCTTGTTTCTGATTATAGTCAATCTATAGTTAATTGTTAAAGCTAATGACAATATTATTATAAATATTTATTACTTATTTAATAATACTAATTTGCAGAATAATTTCTATAGGTTGTTCATTAATTAGATTAACTATTAGGATTCATAACTTTAATCAAATAAAAAATATACTTTATATTTAATTTATTGATTACATCCAATTTTACAAGAATAGTTGATAAAATTTAATATGAATACTATAAAATCATTGATATGCTGCAACAATCTGATTGAGACTTTCATTCACCTCATAATCAATATTAAAAAACTATTTTGGAACTTATTAAAATTTATTGATGGTTTTTGCCAATATATTCACATTACTGCTATGGTTACTTACCTAAGCAAATCCAGGATAGGGTTTCTCAAGAATGCCCATGTAAGAAGGAACTTAAGTGATTTCTTAAACCCACTTGGCCTATTCTAAATTGGGTTCTCCCCTTATAATTAATCCAGTTCTATTGAATTTTCCTTCCTAATAATTAATACCTCCAAAATTATTAGCAAAAGCATTTACATAAGTGTAATCAAAACCACATGACAAAAACTTTTAATCGTAATCTAAAAATAAATGTTAGGAGAATGTTGTGATGTCTAATTCTTTCTTATATGATTGATTAATTGAAGCCAAACAAAAACTTAAGAATTATGAAATATTTCTTGGAGGGTAGGATGTATATTATTTATTCTCCAAAAATACACTTCCATTGATCTACAAGCACACTTCTGCAAATTCTTTGAGCATCTCATAGCATTTTAGTAAACTTAATTGCTGAGAATATGATATTTAATCTTCAATCAAATTCACAAAATAAAATGGAACAGTAGGTATCAATTATTATTATTCTTTGATGTAATTATCGTAATTTTAATTTGTTGTATTGATAACAAGGACTCCTTGTAGATTCTCACATTTCTCAACCATCTATCTGAATGAGGAAAACTATCAGATATATAAAATTATGTACATTCTATTTTGCATATATTTTCTTCTTTTGAAATTGTGTATCAGAATCAACGAACACAGTTTTAGGAACAAATTGGCCATTTTAAGTTTCATAATAAAATGATTTGGCTAAGAAATCTGATTCCTTATTTAACAGATTCAAATCCTGTATTTGATTTTCAGTGGCCAATTATTCTTGCAAATGATCTCCAATGATGCTTCCATTCCAACCCAAGTTGAGTATGATTATTTCCTTCATTTCTTTAATTTATAAATTAATGAATTAGTTAATTATATGAGACCAATAATTTGGAATAAATTATTAAAAGATTTATTTAGTATTTTGAAATGGGAAAATTGTAAGCAATTGTAATATGGCTAGCTTGAAACCAGGTCGTTTAGTAGTTATGCTTGCCGGTAGATAAGCTGGAAAGAAGGCTATTTTGATTAAAGCAAATGAAGAATCAACTAAAGTAAATCAAATGTGGATTTATTTTAGGATGCAAAATTCCCTAATGGTTTAGTGGTTGGTATCTAAAGATATCCCAGAAAGGTAACCAAGAGAATGGGTTAAAAGCAAATCAGAAAGCGAACTACATTGAAGGTGTTCATTAAATAATTAAATCTTAATCACATTATGCCAACAAGGTAATGAATTTATACAATTTTATTTTAGATATAGATTAGAGGAATCAACATTGAAGGAAGTTAGAGACAGAATTGAGAGAGTTAAGGAAGCCGAATTAAAGAATGTTGAAAAAAGAAAAGAATTGAGAAAGAATCTTAGAAAATACTTAGCTGAGAAATACAGAACATTACCAGCAGGTAGTTTGGCTGATAAGAAAGCTTAATCAAGATTCCTATTCTCAAAATTGAGATTCTGATATAATAAAGTATAATATAAAATATATTTATTATTGTAATTCTTAATCTCATACATATATCTATTTAAATTATATTATTTTTCAATAAATACTTATGAACATTTATATTTTGATGGGCATTATGAAACTTATCCTTTATTTTCAGGTGTTTCTTGGATTTTAACTGAATCTACCTATTGAAGATGATTTAACTGGAAAGTTATTACAAGATTGTAAAATTAAAGCAAAAACACTCATATACATTGGAAAAGTAGATAGCATATTTCAAAGATTTTTGCTTTATATATTAAATCAAAATTATGAGTTGGTTCTGTGATGATTTAAAGCAATCAACATTTTAAATTTTTATGGAGATATTCATGAAGATCATATTCTTAAATGGGGGGGGAAGATGAAAATCCAAAATTTGACTGATATTTAAAATAAAATATATTATACTTATATGAACCAAAAGTCAAAAAAGGTGCATGCGGATTCTCAAATAGAACTAAAATCTAAGAATCCTTAAAGATAAATACGCGTGGATACTTATGGATAGCAAATTTTGAAAGGATAAAAAAATCATAAAATTGCATTCAAGGAACATATCAAAACAATTCACATTGTAGAAAATTGGAAATTGTACAATCTTGATCATGTGGATAAGGAAGATGATTCTTGTCCATGTTAATTAATTTGAGAAAAACTATTGATAGTTATTTTTTGATTTCAGTTGTTATTTGTTTATAAAATGATGTTGTATTGATATAAAAAATTAGCAATAAATATGTGAAGTTGATATTATCACGTAAATTCCTATTATGAGAATAAACAAATTAATTTCTTTAAATTGAGATATTAATTAAAATATGTACTCTTAAGGCACTTAATATCCAAATTCTAAGTACAAAACCCAACTTTGTAGACATTTTAGTATTGAGTTGATAATTATCTGAATAGCACAGAATGGAGTTTGCGCTTTAGCAATAAGATGTTAATTTGCACATGGACCATAAGAACTTCGATAGAATGCTTAACAGCCACAAAGCTTCCCAGAGCAAACAATCTAACCAAATGCATATAATAAAGTATAAGGAATCAACCCTATGATTGTGAATTACAAAAGTAAAATTAGGGACTAATTAATGTAGCATAATTATGTAAGCATTTTAATCCTTAAACTGGATAATGTAAAAATGGTCCTACATGCACATTTGCACATGGTGAAAACGAGTTAAACACAATGCCATATTTACAAAATTAATATTTGTAATGTTGTTAATTGATTATTTCTGATTAGATTGATGTAATAGCAGATGAAACAGATGAATTAGCAATAAATGTAGGCAGAATTAACATAGCAAATATTAGTGATGATCTTAACAAATATGGAACATATTTTTCCAGGTTAGCAAGTATTAAATACTTTTAATTGTAGTAAATACTTGCATTGCTGAAACAAGGATAGGAGAAAGCAAAATCAGGCGATACTTAGGGAGCAAGTGAAATTATCAAACTAATAATACACGATTAGGATAGATCGAAAGAAGAGAAATAGTAATATCAATAAATTTATAATAATGCTTAAAGGCATTATGATTAAAAATTGAAAGAGATTTAATCTTCATAATAGTAGTAATAGCTTTATTGAAATATATTATTATATATACAGATATTATAATAAAAATTGATGTTATATTTTTAGGTAAATGCAAGACTTGTAAGTCCTAATGGAAACGGATAAGAGACTTAAAGGTATGCTTATAATTAATATACATATTTTCATTAGATTTATTATTGCTGTTATTGCTTTTACAATTATGCTTGTTTCCATTGTTTTAAATACTCGATTATTTATAAAATATTTTGCTCTAATTAAGGTACTTCCTCATTATTCAACTCCATAATAATATTTTGTTTATAAGAACTAAGCATAATAACAATATAAAACTACCTTTCCACCTCATCTTTGCTGACATCTAAAATTTCACACTCGATGTTCTCTGTAATCTTCTTATCTTCGTATCCTCTGGCTTTGAGTCTGTCATATAAGACAGTGTTGTTGGTCCTTAGTAACACAACTAAGTCGAACCACTAAATTTATAACTCTGAAATACTCGTTCAGGGAAAAATGAAGATGTATGAAAATCAATGATCATTCCTCCTGCTGACATGGCATCTTCCAATTCATCACATACCATGTCCTAATCAAATTCAGGCACATTAAATTCTTAATTCCATTCCTTATACAATTTCTTTTAATTTATTAACAATCCAACATCCACATATTGGAGACCCTCAATATGTTCACTCAATAGTTTTCCTAAGGTGCTCTTTCCAACTCCTGGTGTACCAGTAACCAAAATGTTTGGCTTTTACCTATTATTTTCAATTTCCATAAATTAATTATGAATTGTTAGAATAAATTAAAGTCTTATATTCATTTAAGTTTTAGAAGGCGGTTGTGGTGTAGTGGTTATCACGTCAGTCTCACACACTGAAGGTCCCCAGTTCGAAACTGGGCAATCGCATTTTTTTGTATATATATTTTTATTAAAAGTTATTATAAATTTATGTTTCCATCTTTGAAAATGTATATATAATCATACAATGCATGAGATTCTAATAAATTATTATGAAATCCAAAAAAGAATTATTGATAATGATAAGATATTGGACATATTTAATTAATTCTTTTTAATCTAAAATTAATGAAAGTACCATCTTTGGAAGGCGAAATGTTTATGACCGCAGCATATGCTCCAAGTGCCAGAGCTACTTGCAGAAGCTGTTAGGCTAAAATTGGCAAGGATGAACTTAGATTAAGCAATATTGTGGATGAAGATCATTACTGTCAACAACATCATTATCATGCAGATTGTTTTTAATTAAAACCAGTTTTTAAGAATGCAACATATAAAGATATCTTTCATGTAGAAAATTTAACAAAGCCAGATCAAGAAAAAGTCAAAGCTATTCTAGAAAAACTACAAAAAATGGAATTCAAAAAGAAACCTTAATAAAAAATATCTAATTCAAAATCTAAAAAAAGTCAACCAAAAAACACTGACTTGAAAGATTGTAGCAATAATGAGGATGATAACAAAAAAACTAAGAAATTGAGTAAAGAGGCAGCAAAAAAGGATAAAATATAAGAGACTACCAAAAATGGAGAATCATCGGAAAGTCAGAGTGATGAAGATGAGCCTGGAATCTTTGTGCTTTATGATAAGTCATAAAAGGAGGAGTTCAAGAAGATCCAATAAGATTTAGAGAAAAAGACAGCAGGTTAATTGAAATCGATGCTAAAAGCGAATGATTAAACATAATCGGGAAATAAAACAGAACTTATTGAGAGAATTGCTGATTGTATGATTAAGGGATGTTTAGAGAAATGTCCCAATTGCTCGGGAGGGAGACCAAAATTTAATCCAACCTAGAAAGTCTTTAAGTGTCCTGGATACATGGATGATACAGAATTTAGATTTTGCAATAAAGTTTATGGGCCAAAAGATCTCAAGAGAATTCCTTGGGTTGATGTTTGATATTTATATAACAATTATGTCGAAGATATTACTGATTGATAATATATGTAATATTAGCAATCCCAGTTATGATCTTCTATCTTTTTTGCACCATAGACAAACCGACACTCTTTATAGTAATTTCGATGAAATCAAATAGTGTGGAGATACAGGGTGCTTATAATAGTTATATTAGAGTGTATACTCTCCCGTAGACTCAAATATATTCAATTTAAGGTGACGAAGCGCCCTCAACCATGAAGTTAATCAAAGTTTGTGAATACAGCCTTAAGGTTTTGGGAGAGAATGGATTTATCACAAATTGTAGTAATATCTTCACATTAAGTATAATCAAGCATGCAAAACGCAAGACCTGAAAATGTATGCCAAGATGTATATTTAATTTGTGATCAAAAAGTATTTTAATTAATTAATTAAATCCATCAAATACTTATTCTCATTTCAATCTTGAAATGTTCATCTATAAATTAATTGCATTATTTGATATCACATCTTCCCAGAAGATCGGAGGACAACTGTCTTTAATAATAATAGTATTGCAATGAATTTATAAACAAATGTTGTTGTCGACAATAAAGAATACCGAATCCTTTTGGATATTGAATATTTAAACACAAGAGATGAGTAAAACAATTTATTATCTTATGATTAATGGGACACAATTTGTTATTGAGTATTTATTAATTAATAAAATTTTAATTGTTCGATTAACGGAATAAAAAATAATGAAAAATTCCCTGACTAAATTTTATACTTTAAACTCATTTTCACAAGATAAAAGCTATACCTTCGTGAAATTGCGAAAAGAGTAATTATAGGAGGAAATCATTAGAATCAATGATGAAACCGAATTTGAAGTAATGATAATTATGAATTAAAAAGGATTTTGCTGAATTCAAGTCATTAAATTAAAATGAAACCATAATCTCAATCAAATATACTGTTGATCAATTCTATGACCCTTTTTAATAGTAAGAGATAAAAGTGGAACATTATGTCTAAGAATTGATTTACAATGTACGTCGAAAATACCCCTATATTACAGTGTTGGAAAAGCGAATATCTCAATCTGCATAATTACTGTGCCAAATTTAACTTTACAATCAGAAACACAAGATTGTGTTGTTCAACAAACCATTCACAAATACCTAACATATTTTGGAGTTATTGAAACTCTACATAGAGAGAGGAACAATCAACATTAAATTCATCTGTCACAATTAGGACATAATTGCATTGGGTGGCCAATTGAATAATTTGTTTGAAGATGCCTTTATCACAATCTCATAGAAGGATAAATTGCAAATCAATGATAAGTCACACATCCCTGCCAAACTGATTACAATAAACAAGAAGCTTACATCTAATTTTATTAATTTCAAAGATCTACCCTTAAATAGCGATTATGTAGTGGATGTGTAAGGAAAGCATTTTAAATATGTGCATCAAGAAGTAAGTTTCAAAGAAAACGTCATAGAGTTGGAAAGGAATGACATCATCCAAGCCAAATATAAATTGATTCATCAAGGGAAATTGGTAGAAGCTGATAAGTTCCTGGTCAACGGTATGCCTATCATTTTTAATGGTGAATATAGGTTTTGGACAAAACCGTAGATGGAATATGTTGTTAATATTGAGAAATTAGATTTCTATCCTAAACAGCAAATTTTAATAACAAAAGGTCTGGGAGAATATAAATAGGAGATTGAAATGATTAAAATATAGAAAACTATTCTGAAAATTACTACTAAGAATATTATAGATTCATCAATACTTGACAGTGTTGACATCAGTATAGATGGTAAGTTAGTTGGATAGACTAATAAAAATGGTACAATTGTAATTTAGAATCTTGACTTGAGAAGCTTCGTAATCAAAGCGTCTAAAAAGGGGTTTCTCACAATGCCTTTACAATTTGACATATCTGCAAATAACATTGGCTAAAGTCTATTAATAGAGATGTTTCCTGATTATTTTAGTTTAATGAATTAGTTCCACATTTTGGTGGTCAAACCAAAGAGTGCAAAGAATTTGTCACTCTAATTGATTGATTTAGACGAGTAAAATAAAAGCAATATCCAATAAAAGATAGTTCCATATAGCAATGGCAACATAGTAAATTATGGAATACATATTGGCAATTTTGATGTGTTCGACAAATAGAAAAATATTTATCAATTATTCATTAAGGATTCTAAGGAAGTGTTGCCTAGATGTAGATAAAGCAGTTAAAACTTAAATAAGAAATCTTAACATGTTAATTCATCACCAGTAAATTAAATGAAAACTAGAATAAATAATTAGAATTCTGATTTAAAGACAGAGAGAGGTTTAAATCAAAATAAGAAATCTACTCCGAATCTGGAGGTTGAGCATTTACACATCTACTTATCTTTTGGAATGGATATAGTGTGTTCTCAAATCTTTGAGGTTGAAAAATTCGCTTCAAAAGTTTATGCAACAATAAATTGTAAAAATTAATGATTTATTTTATTAGTGCAAAGAAGAGTTGTTGAGTTAGATGGTAAGGCCTATAGCTGCAAGAAACAGACGTCTCAATAAAAAACAAATAAAAGAAGTAACACTGGAAATATTCTTTAATTATTAACAAATCAAATATGATTAATTTGTTATATGCATTATTTTAATATAAATAAAATCTATTATTAGTTGAATAAATATAGAACTCTTTATGACTTTTATACAAATTATCATAAATAAATTAAGAAATTGACATGAATAATGCTAATCTAAACGATGATACTCATTATTGTTGCATAATTAATAGCAGAAGAAATTCAGATTCATTTTTTGCAAATCATGTTATAGATGATGAAGTATATTAATATTTTATGTAGGGTGATGTATTAAGTACTAATGCAGTGCTTTTATCATTATATAAAGGAGGTTTGGATATAGAAGTTATCAAAGCCAATTTGGAGAAGGTCAGATTGAATCCAAATTGGTTGAGTTAGAAGAGAGATGATTTGGAATATTATATACCATAATTTATCAATTACTTGGTATTCAAAGAAAATCATAAAGAATTAATAAATTTCTTAATAAATGCATGCGAAAGTAACTATTTTTTTGCTCATTTGACATACTTTTAATTAAAATCCTTATCGCAAGTAGTTAATAAAAAAGTCATCAATCTCAAAGAGGTTTAAGAGTTTTTGATTGAATACGTAAATATAATGAAAGCACAATATGGCGATGAATACTTAATCAATGGAAATGAATATGTTTCCCATAACATTAACAAAGAAGCAATCTAGATTTATGGCACTGCAGATTATGATTAATCAACTCCTAAACTTAATGCTTCCGAAATTAATATCAAACAATACACTTCCGTAAATGGAGATGACTAAATGACTGATAGTAATATAGGATTCTCATCTACAATCAATTTCTGGAATGACATAATCCGAATATCTGAAAGGTATTTCAATTTGTTATTTAGACTATATTTAGCTTACCCGCAAATAATCTCTTTAAAGGCGGATCTTCAAAGAATAAATCAGAACCTACCGTCTTCTGTTTACATACCTTTTGTTAAGGACTAAATTAGAAACTATGTAGTCTTAAATATAGTGGCATCAGAAAGCAAAGTATTCTCAACCAAAGAAAGATCACCCTTCTATATTTGTCTAGAAATCTACAGGCCAGATGTTGAAAAGGATCAAAGGAATGACTATAAATAATCCATAGCAATCACTTTACATAAGTCTATATTACCATAGAAGATGTCAATAACAGGGTCGGTCAATCTTGATTAAGCTAAATGTATATTGATCGATATATATATTAAGATTCAAAAGTCCATAATATCTCAGTATCACAACCTCTTTAAATCATCGAGGAAGATATAATTGATGAAACACCAACTGTTTAATTTTACTCACCCTAAAATGATGAAGAGAAAAGTGTTTATTAATCATTTTCAAAAGAGCAGAATGAAGATTTCGTGAGTGTTGCTAGTTCATTTGTATAGGAAGTACATCAAAAAAGTATATTGCTTGGAGAAGATGGCCAACACTTATTTGGTGAGTCAGCCAAGGATTAAGAATAAAGAATTAGAGATTAGTCCTTATTTGGTAATTTGAAATCCTGGCGACTGGTTCATCTGATTGTGAAGTCAGGGGATAATCTGAAATAGGAGTAATTTGCCATGCAACTCTTATCAACTATAGATTAGATATTTATAGCTGAAGATCTTCCTATGAGATTATCCATTTATGAAGTGATATCCTTGGGACCCAATTATGGATTAATAGAAATGGTGAAGGATGCTATTACAATTGATTCATTAAAACGATAGTTATGGAATAGACAATAAACATTGACCTAATTCTTCGAGTAATCAGTATATCTGTTCGATTATTAGTAATAATTTTAGTGATCGTCATCGAACCAATTTCCTGCATAGCTTAGTTGGATATTCTCTAGCCTGTTATATTCTCTAACTTAAAGATAGACACAATGGAAACATTTTATTAAAAAGAGATGGCCATTTAGTCCACATAGATTTTGGATTTTTTTTGGGGAATGCCCCAGGAAAGGGAATCGAAATAGAAAATAAAGTCCCATTTAAGTTGTTAAGTGAATATATAGAAATACTTGGTGGGGTTTAAAGTGATTTCTTTAAGAAATTTAGAGAACTGTTTTATAAAGGCTTCATTGCCCTTAGAAAACATAGTGATCGAATCTTATTACTTGTAAAAATGATGTAATTAATAACATATGAATTTAAAGGTACTCTGGACATAAGAACTCTATGCCATGCTTTAAAAGAGGAGATAAATCTATTACTCAATTGGAAGAGAGATTTTATTTGTAGGAGGAGAATCAAAGATTAAATGTTATCTGTTAAAAGTAGAATCGCTCTATTTATATTTTAGTATCATCAATTCGTCCATAGATAACTGGAGAGCAAAATGGTATGATAAATACCAATATTATTTTCAAGGTATCTTTTATTGATTTAAGTTATTTTCATAATTAAATAAATAATTTTGTAAATGCAATTATTTAATCGCTTGTCATTATCTATTAAATAAATCAAAACATATGTTATTTTTGTAACTATAATTGACATTCTAATTTGAATTGATAGGTAAAAATAAATTATAAAATTTATTTTTACCTATCAATTCAAATTAGAATCTATAGAGGAAATTCTATTTTAAGAAAGCCAAAAAATATTTAGAATTAAAATAAAATAAAGCAATCTATAATATGAAAATAATAATTAAAGCAAATAAATCTATTAGTAAATTTGATGATTTCATTAGGACAAGACTATAATACTTATGTTAATTTTTTATGAAATTGAAGTGTATATGAAATTTAACTAATGTTATTATTTTTATTTAATTAGAAATGAATTTAATAATAGGAAATAATTAAGAAATACAAAATTAGAAGTAATTGCAATACTTTAAGAGTCACTTGTTCATGGGAAAATAATATTATGGATAAAAGAAATATTGATTAATAAATAAAAATAAAATGCTTTTCGTTCTTGACACAATGGTTAGTGCAGCAGACACTACTCAAATAAGTGCTTCATCCTTTTTTGGTTTTATGGGAGTCACAATGGCTTTGGTGTTGGCAAGTATGAATTAAGGATTACTCTTTTAGATTTGGGTGCAGGTTATGGAACATTCAAGGCAGGTGCTGGTATTGCAGCCATAGGTATTTGGAAACCTGAGATAATTATGAAATCATTAATACCAGTAGTTATGGCAGGTATTTTGGGTATTTATGGTATGATCGTTGCAGTTTTGCTGTCATAAAAAGGTATATGTGAGATATGTAACACATGATAGTGAAAAACCCTTTGGAATACTCTTATAAGTCTGGATTTGCACATATGGCATCGGGATTATGTTGTGGTTGCAGTTGCATAGCAGCTGGATTTGCAATTGGTATTGTGGGAGATGTGGGTGTTCGAGGGAATGCACAGTAGGAGAGGTTGTTTGTTGGATTGATTTTGATTCTCATTTTCGCAGAGGCTTTGGCATTATATGGTTTAATAGTATCATTGATCTTATCACAATCATGAGTTTGAAGGTATCATATTATATTATGAAATAAAAATCAAAATTCATCTCCTCTAATTCTTCTTGCCAAATTGATATCTCTTTGCATTACAGTCATTCTTTTGGCATGATGTGCACAAAGAACACTGTCTTCTAAGAGATTAACTATAAATGCTTCCGTTGCCTCTTATAAGGCAAATATGGCGCTACTTTAGAATCTCATTTCTTTTTCATTCACTCCTGCTATCTCTCTTATTAATCTCTAAAAAGGAATCTTCCTTATTAATAAACGAGAGCTCTCTTGAAATTTTCTGATTTCTTTCAAAGCAACTGTTCCAGGTCGGAACCTATGTGGTTTTCTTTCCTTTCTTTTCGACTTCATTTTTTTTCCTGAGTTTTTAGCAATGCTTTTCTTTGACATCTCTTTGCCTTCTTTGGTACGGGCCATAACTTTAATGCGAGGGAAAAAAAATAAAACAAAAATTATTATTGATTAATCATTTCTCCGTCAAATTTAAATTTGAATTACAATTTATATTCAATCAAATAAACTAGTTTAAATAATGAAATCACGTATTCTATTTAGATTCATTTTATAAAAAAATAGATTGACTATGTGTTTAATTGAAAAGCATAATTAATTAAATTATATTGAAAAATTAAATCAACTTATTATTACTAAATACAAATGACGGCTTTTTATGTAGTTGACGATCACCAAATATTTGAACGTGGGGTAATAGCTCATTTGGTAGAGCGTATGCTTAGCATGCATGAGGCGCTGAGATCGAAGCTCGGTTGCTCCATATTTTTAATTTTTAATTTTTTATTATAACTCACACGTATTATAATATTATAACATTCACGTTATTCTATGTTAGAATTCAATAGTTTAGATGAAAATCAATTCGATCTTTTAGTTGATCGATTATTATATCCATGCTTTAAGGGAATGAGGTTGAACACTGATTACAATGCAAAGAGTTTTGGACTTTTAAGATGATTGTGCAGATGAAAAATAATGATTCATGCAAAATCTATTGAGAAGATGATAACGAGCACAGAATGTGTCCCAATTATAAAATATGGAGGCATTAATAATTTATATCCCAATTATATTAAAATTAGATATTTATTTTTTTAAATAAATAATGAGCACCTAATAGACTCAAAGACCTCAAAAATAAAAGCTTGATCCAACAGATAACCAATTGCACGTGTCATCAAAGAAGAGTGCTAAGGAATTCATTTTCATCGCTAAAATATTTTTGAAGAAATTCAATAGTGTTGAATTACATGCATTAGGTGAAGCCACAAAGATCAGTGTTAGAGTAGCTGAAATTTTGTAGAGATAAGGTATTGAAAATCTTATCCTCTAGGTTTAATTACAATATCTAAGATTAATTCTTTCACAACCGATATCGATGGAAGAAAAAGAGTGAAATTGGTTATCATTTTGCAATTGACCTAAGGTGGAAAAGTGAGAATTGATCAAGAATTATAAGCTTGAGTGATTAAGTGATGGCAAATAGTATACATATATTAATTTGTTTATATTTATCAGTATGAATCTTGAATAAGTCCTCTTTATATTAATATATTGTCTCTATACTCTTATAGATGAACCTAATTAAATATCACATCAAATATATCCTACTTTATATAATTATGCAGAATTGCAAAAGTATTAATAATCTGATCATTAAATAGAATTCACAAATGCTACTCTTCAATTTTGATTAACATAATCGATTAGAACTATAATCAAAAAGTTTCTGCTACTAACGATTGCTTCAAAATTAGATTCATCTTCCCAAGATCATAAAGTTTGATCCAATATTATATTAATATCAAACTCTTTACCGAATATATTAACAAGGTATTTTCAATTAATTAAGTTTATTTTTACTAATTCATATATTGTTAGGTTCAGTCTTTCTAAATTAATTTTCTTATTTTTACTAATTTTAGGAATATTTATTTTGTATATACAACGACCATATTTTGTTTCTATTATTGATGAATTTAATGGTAGAAATATATGAAATAAAAAGACATTTTTAATCCTACTGAGCTATAAATTAAGTCTTTTTTTAGTATTTCAATTCATCTATTTCAATCATTATAATGTCTAAATTATCTATATTCTATTATTAAGTGAATATCATTGGATTGTTATAATTAGAATTTAAAGTTATTTTATTAAATGTATATAAAAGTGGGGCTTACTTGATAGAAATATAATTGACTTTGAGAACTTTGTAAGACACTCTTTTCTTGTGAAGTTTAAGGATGGTCTTATCTAAATCATATTATTAGAATATATTATTATTGATCAACATACATAATTGCAATTAATGAATAGTTCGTTTATTAAAATACAAGTTTAATCTATTTTTATTTTTGGTTCTTAGTTATTAATATGAAATGTAATTCAATATATATGTAATTAAAATATAAATATGGATCCATTTTATGAGGATTACACTCCAACAACAAACAATAAAGATGTAATAGATAAAGAGTATGAAATTAGATTAAAATATATCGAAATGGAGATTCAAATTTATGTTGCACGATTACAATAAGAGATAATACTAAATTTCATGAAATACGTAAAACACTGCAATAAAAATGGGACACTTATTTTAATCGCCTTCGTTTATTCAATTAGGAAGGCGTAGAGATAACAGAGGACGATATTGATTATATAAAAAATGGAACTGTGTTGTTTGCTTCTAAGGGTATGAATTAAAGTAACTATATTAAAAGGTGAAGAATTCGATGAGAGTTTTTAATTAGCAGAATATGAACAACTTCAAGACATTGGAGAAGGGGGATTTGGTAAGGTTGTCTTAGGTAGACACAAACAAACAGGAGAGAAAGTAGCAATCAAAATGGTGAAATAAACATTGACTAATGCTTAAGTAATAACTAATTAAAAATGTAGGATGTCGATATGATATTTAGAGAGGCTAGAGCTCTTAAGTCTTTAAAGCATGATAACATTGTCAAGATTTATAATGCATTCTTTTTACAAAATTTGTAAACGGTGTATATAATGGAATATTTGGAAGGTGGTGAATTGTTGTAATATTTATAAACAAAAGGGAAATTCGAGGAGAATGAAGCAAGACATTATTTCAAATAGCTAGTTAGTGCAATTTCATATTGTCACTAAAAGAAGATTATTCATAGAGATTTAAAATTAGAAAATCTGTTGTTAACTAGTAAAGATTCAGGTGTAATTAAATGTATCGATTTCGGTATCTCTGGATTTGCTTCAAATGATAATCCTGAAAATGCAGACGCAGGAAGTCTTCGATATATGGCTCCAGAACTATTGAAAGGTATTAGAATAATTGATCCATTTAGGATTGGATAAAGCAGTTTCTCCTCTAGTGGATGTTTGGTCAATGGGCATAATTCTATATGGAATGTTATTCGGAACCTTACCATTTACTGGCAACACCAATAAGGAAATTATCGCTTAAATCTCAGAAGGTCGAGTTATGATCCCAACAGATTTTAACAACAAATTGTCCCAAAATTGTTAAGACTGTCTTTATCGTGCTTTAGAACCAGATCCAAAAAAGAGAATAACCTCAATTGAATTATTAAATCACCCGTTTGTGACAAATGAAAATACTCTCAGCACAAATTCGAATAGTACAAATAAGTAATTAATGTATTCTAAATATTAAGGCCCAAAATTTAAAATTAATTATAGCAAATCGATGAAGATGAAATTCCTGTTCAAAAATAAATGTAATCGGCAACTAATAAAAAGTAAAATCTTCAATTTTCTAAACAACATCCTTAAAGTTCGAGATAATTGACTCAGGCTCAAAAGAAAACTCCTTAATAATCCCCTTTATTATAAAAACAATCATAATCAGTTGGTTAGACAACAAAGATGACTAAGTTTAGTAAAAAATGATAAATGTTTTCAAAATAAATAAATATATATATATATAGAACAGATTCAAACTTCTTTTGAATGTATTTTTCTAGAACCAGAATTAACTGAGATAGCATTAGCTTCATCAGATACTCCTATTTCTTACTCCAATTCACTTAAAGATATCTCTTATTTCTAATCCATATCTATTAATTGATATCCAAAATAATACTTATTTTATTGTCATCTTCATTTTCCAGATCCATATTAGGATAGAATGAATAAGGAACATCATGAAAATGAATTCCTGGTGCATTTTCTAAGTTTTTCAGATGATCATACACCTGAGATACAATTTTGTTTAAATCTTCAGCTTTATTTTTGTTTTCGACATTTTCTTGTATTGGAAAGTGTAAATGAAAATCCCCGCTATAATTTTTATAGTAAACATCATTAGTTGGAATAGGCTACATTCAATAATAAACTACATACCTCATCAATATTCTATCCTAAACATAATCCAGTCTCGTAAGCCCAACATCTAGACACATTCTAAATTGTATAGCCTCCTCCTCCTAAAAGAATCAATGGAACTCCAAATTATTTCATATAGGTAATGCACTATCCATGTCCTCTTTTAATAATATTATTCAATATTACTTAATGGATAAATTTAGAGCTCCTAATCGATCCAGTGATAATGAATCTGCACCACATTACACAACCACGCAATCAGGGCGAAAAGTCTCCATGACTCTGCTTGTGACTTTCTTAAATAAATCTAAATAAGGCCCATCTGAAATCCCTGGTTTTAACGGTACATTAACTGCATAATATCTGCCTACTCCTAACCCTACTGAATTCAATTATCCAGTTCCTGGAAAGAAGTCATCTCCATATTAATGAAAAGATAAAGTCATGACTCTATTGGTTAAGTAAAATGCTTCTTCAACTCCATCTCCATGATGGCAATCTATATCTACATACAATACTCGCACATATATTCTCAATAATTCTAAAATACACAAAACTATATCGTTTATATAACAAAACCCAGCAGCCTCTTTTTTCTTAGCATGATGCAATCCTCCTGACCAATTGATTGCTATATCTGCTTATCCAGTTAAAATTGTGTGTGCACAATCTATACTAGCACCTGCACTGAATTAACAATATGAGAAAAGGCCAGAAAATGTAGGATTATCTGCTGAATCTCCTACTTTGTATTCAGCATTTAGATTTTTAGTACTCTTATTTTGACTCCATTTAGTTATTAATCGATATTCTTCCAATAGATTCTCAGGTATCACACCATCATTATTTGTTGAACAGTACTCCTTTACAAAATTTACCTTATTGTCACTCATATACTAACTTAAATAAGTAACGTATTCAGGATCATGAAACTTTTTCAATTCTTCTAATTATGCTTCTCTTATCAGATATACATCCAATGATCTATATAGTCTATCTTTATATATGTTTCAACTACCCAAAATTTACTATTAAGCTATGAGCCATTGCGATACGTTTAGGTTTCATAGGATGTTCCTTACCATAATGAAATTTTCCTATCAATCTATTATAAAAGTATGCTACTCTTCTACTTGAATCCGAATCAGCTTAAATCATTTGTTAATTATTTAATTATAATATTAAATATTAAATTTACTATTATTCAATAAATGCTTTATTAAAATAATATAATTTCCTCATATATAATTAAATTTAGAACAAATATTAATTTATAATAATTTATTTAGTTTCATAACAAACTCAAATTAATCTTTGTAAATTTGAAGTAGTTTAAATAAACATAAAATTTCATTATCTCTAACTGAAAGATCTCTAAGCAGATTCGATCTTAGAACTAATTAACACTTTCAGAGGAGATCTAGTAATCCTATATTCAAAATTTTTATCCGAATATTGATTTTATTTATTTGTACTTCCAGTTTATCTAAAATATCAAAGATATTACTATTCTTTTTATTGGATAGGACTTGACTCATTACCAAATATTATTTTGTTAAATGAGTACTATACAACTTTTGGTAATTGGACATGGTAAACATACTCTTAATCTCTTGAATTCTGTTTTTAAGAAATCTAGGTTTAATTCAATTGCTTTTTTGATGATTGAGAGTATTTCTCAGTAAAAGATAAATTTTTTTTGCTTTCCATCAACTCCATATGAAGAGTGGCTAATTACTATTTGATTTCTAAACAACTGTCATTATTACTAAAGTTGTCTCCCTAATGCTGAGGAGAGAGGTTTGTAAATTTAATCTTCTTCTCTGATTTTAAAATCTTTGAAGGTTTAAATGAAGGATATTTCAAAACCTTATTATTCAAGTAGATTTAATTTTCCATTATATTCCGCCTTGGTTCCTTTTTCTTTTATTGTAATACAATCTAATCAATCTTATATTTTGATAGTATTTAGAAAAAATCACATTTTTCAGGGGTTATCAAGGTTTATTCAGCAAAAAGTTTAACTGAACTAATTGAGGGTCTTAGTTCAGGATCATAACAGAGTAATATTCTTAATAAATTATTTAAATTCAGACTATATTAAGGATGATACGTAAATTTAATTCCTTTTGGTATTTATTTATGTAAAACACTTATATTGTTTGCTTTAAATGGTTATTCCTTAAACATTAATTAATAAACTAAAACTCCTAGCATCCAAATATCAGATCTACAATCATATTTTCTTGCTTTTACAAATTCTGGAGCTAATAAATATATATCTTAATAGTTTTCTTAATAAAGATATTATAATATATTCATTTCTCCCAAGATTGTAGTTTGCTAAGAACAAAATATATTAGATAAACTGATTTTTCCATGAGGATGCTTCGGATGGAATAATTCAAGTGCTGAACAAATCTAGTAATTTCTATTAAAAATACCTAAATTAGAACCTTTAGGATTTCTTATTCCTTTAAAGGACATTAATATTGTGTGTCGTGATAATCGCTTATTACTCTTTTAATTATACATCAAAGTACCCTAAATAAGTATTATCTGCATCGTGCGAGGCTTCATAAAATTTAACTAGATGAGGATTGCAAGTTTTCGATAGTTTATCGATAAATTGTAATAGAGAAGTTACTGTGTTCTTGTTAATTTCCTCTAAACTGTACAACCTCAAGATGTAAGGTTTATTAAGTCTTTTAAGGATAATAGTTTTTTTGAATTTATTACATCGAAGCACCTCCATAACATTAAATTATGGATATAGTTTTTAGATGTCCTTCCTTAATGATTTCATCATGTTCTTGTGATATTAATTTTATTATTTATCAAAGTTATAGAATTCGTGTCGCTAAGGGATATTTCAAATTTCATTAAGAAATAGATATCAAAAATTAGAGTTAGATTCTAAATAAACAGCCAAGCTTGTAATGATCTAATATGAAAACCAAAAAAATAATGAAGGATCTTATATGCTTTTTTAATTTGATATTTTAAATTGGTTGATTAAATCTTTTTTTGTTGTGTTACAAGATTAAAGGCAGGTTGAATTGTCAAGAATTTGTGAAATTATGGTTGCTTAAAAATAATAAATATTTTTATTAATTGTTATATAAAATTTAATGTAAATAATTACTGGTGATGAAACAGGATTATTGAAATTAATTGATTTGGAGAAAAAGGAGGTGGTTAGGAAATTTGGGGAATAAGGAAAGGAGTTTAAAATAATCTAAATACTAAATCTGAAAATATCTGACATTAGCTTTTTTTTGGTTTTGAGAGAGGAAAGCTTGGTATTATTGGATAATGAATTAAATGAAATAACACAAATCAGCATTGATGCATCACCTTTAAAAGCCTTTTGTGATTCAAATCATGATATCTATATAATTTATACCAACAGAAAAATTAATCATGTAAAATATGACTAAGAGCAAAACATATTTCTTTAATAAGTAAATATTAACTCAAATGATTTTTTGCCATTAACCAATTGTAAGGATAAGTATGTGACTTCTGCTGCTATCTCTGATGATTAAGCATTGTTATTGGTAACTTATTTTGGTGCTCCACCATCCATTTTCAATTTAAAATTGAAAAAATTATAATGGCAATCAAGAAATGTAAAAAATGATGAATTAGATCTCTAAGTCAAAATGCATGATTATGATGGATTGTTCTTAGATGACTATTCGGTCGGTGTTATTACAACCCACTTAACTTTAAGAATATATAGTATTCTAGAACAGAGATCATAACCAGTTGCTGAGCATTCCTTGAAGCATTCAAAAACCAAAATCAAATTAATCAGAGCTTATAATGAAAAATATTATATGATTAATGAGAGAGGAGAAATTTTAATTTATAAGAAAGATTTTAAATTTGAGAGAATGATTAAAGGTACCTTTGGAGCTGTCAGAGATGTGGCCTTTAATAAAGAATACATCTACACAGTTAGCATTGATCGTTTTTTAAGGTTTATTTTAATGCTTATTTTAGGGTTTATCACAATGAAAATGTAAGAATACCATTATCAATTAATCTATCACAAAGATTGCAAGCCATCAATTTTTATTGTGCTGAATACAAAGATATAGAGATAGAAAAAAAATAAGAAAAGATTTGGACAATATAAAATGGAAAAGAAGCAAAGGCTAGATTTGCTGGAATGAGAAGACACACAATTAAATTGCCATATTTGGATAAGATGTTTTAGAATCATAAACTTAATAAATAAAAAAAAGAATAATAAAAGCTGAAATAAGAAGAAGAATAAATGGAAATTAAACAAGAATATGATGAAGAGGATTAACAACCTAAATTTAGAAGTATAGAGAATAAGAAAATTTCAAAATAACAATAAAAAAAGAAGATTCTTGGATTAAAGAAATAAAAGTTACTTGACAATAAACCAAATAGAAAAATGAAATGAAATGAAATGAAATGATTATCTGTTAAATAATGTTTAAATTTTTAAAAACAATTAATTATAATAATATAAGAATCGATAATATCTTTTTTGAATGATAGATTTATACAATCTGGATAATATTGTATAAATGCTAATTAGAGATTATTATTATAAATTTAAATGATATCAGCAGTTATGATGAAAACAGAGAATATAGAAATGTATTTATATAAAAGAATGGATTTAGTATTAAACAGCAAATTAGGTATGTTATGTATTATAATAATGAACTAATGGAAAAATTATTATTTATGTTCATTTATTTGTGGAGCTTGAGCTTTGACTAGATCCTTCTTAGTAGTTTCTAGTTTTTTGTTTGAGTTACAAATAATCAGATAGAATGGATTTCAACCATTTCCAGGCCTGTTTCAGTGATGGCTACTCTCGAAAAGAATTTTCAGGGTGGCAACTAATCACCATATGCAATAATGATTCAACAAATTTGTGTTCATGGGAATATTTAGATCTTCCTTAATATAATAGTACTTTATGATTTGCAATTCTTCTGAAATATCTTAATTTTTTTAATTATTTGTAATGAGATCTTGTTCAAGTTTGAGAATAGTCTTTTGTAACTCAATATTAGTTTTTTATTACTAACTATTGTGTATAATCTCATGATGTAATTTATTGGATAGTTGATTTAGTTCTTTGTTTAATTCATCTATGCATTCTTGATCTTTATTGGAGCTTTTGTATTGAATTTCTAATTGATTTTTTAGATCTTTGACTTAATTGAGAAGTAACTGTTCTACCTTTCTCAATTGAGTTATAACATTATTCAAATTTTATATTTCTTCATCCAAATCTTTTTACCTTTTTGGCAATGATTTGCTGGAACTCTTTTTTGTAAAAATAGTATCCTGATTAAGAGATTTGTTGGCAGTATATGAATCTGTTGATATATTGCCTTCAGCTTCGCTTTCACGAATAGAATACAACATTGAAATTTTAACGAAATTTATTAATAAATATATGAATATTTTTAGGTGAATAATTTTGTTTATCATTATCTAAATATACCTCCTTTTTTTAAGGCATTTTCAGCATCTTTGATGGCTAAGAGTTCATTATCATATTATTGAATTAAGGAGTTATGTGAAGCAGTTCTAAGTAAACATATTAATTCACTCTATACCTTTCAATCCATCTATTTTAAGTTGCAGTGAGATTATCTTCTGCTTCAGTCAAATTAAGTCTTGCATCGTTAAGAATTGCATTAAGTGCCTTAATTTCACCATCCTTGGTCTCAATTTCAGTTTACAACAAGGGAATCAAGACATCTCTAATTCCAGTTATTTTGGCTTGAATTTCTGATAAAATGTCTTATTATAATTTGGATTAGGCATCAAACTGATTTTGTAAAGATGTTTATCCATCGATTAAAGATTGTCTCAATTAATTCATGTAATTGATAACCTTGTTGAGATTCTCTTAGTCAACATAGTTATTTTAGGCAATTTAAGTGAGTGCCTTTACTAATGGCTAATAGAAGACTCTCTTGGAGGAAAGTTATTTGAGGCTATTATTAAATATGAGTAATACTGAGTGTGCATCTTTGATGAGATCTCTTTGATGTTATCTGATTTTTATAACAAGGATGTTTCATCTTTTACTTCATTTAACAATGCAATAGCTTAATCTAACACTGCAATTGTATCTGCATATTCATTGAATTATCTAGTAAAAGTAGATTTATCTGAGTTGATTTGTGCTTCCTTTGCATTAAATAATTTGGTAGCATCATAAAGATCTTACTTGGCTTCAGTCAAAAGTTATTACAATCTAGCTCTTTCATCAGTCAAATCCTTGACATCAACCTCTAATTAGGCAATCTTTCGTATTATAAAACACATAAAACTACCTTATTCTTAAAGTCTGTAATTTAATTTTAGTAGTATTGTACATCTGCTTAATATTGTTGATATTCTTGCTCATAAAAAGCATTTTCTTCAACCTTTCTTTCTTTAAAAGATTCGGCCAATTCATCTAGAGCAACAAACAATTATTAAAAATTAAAGTCTTTAGATGCTACTTCTGATAATGCTACAATCACTGATTAGAAGGGATGTACTTGATCACCAACTGTCGATAATATCCCTTAGCTATTTATCATGATCATTTATACTTGGCAATTGTCAAATACAAGAGAGTCAATGTGATGAATACTTTCATTTTATTAATATTAATCCGTTTTTATGTGTATATATTAAACTTGATAAAACAATCATTCAATTATCATACTGATTTCTCGTTTCTGCCCAATGTGATTTCTTAATCATTGATCATAATCAAATTAACCTAGATTATATTATTGCATAAATTACATTTTTCAGATCAGTATAAAACATTCCAATAAAAAATGAATTCATTAAATATAGACTATAAGACAAGGTCGAATATATTTCACTGACCATATTGGCTATAAAGTCTTCTGATGCACTTAAACCATCATTTATATTGGGTTCTCCTTGAGCCATTGGCATACCCATGAATAAACTTATGAAATTTACAGATACAACTAATCATATGATATTCTAGACTTACAGGCAGCGAACAAAAAGCAAATTACAGTAAATAGAGCAGCTTTAATTTACTGACTTAATGAAAACTCTTTTGATTAATTAACAATTAGCAAGAATTATGAATTCTACTTATAACACATATAATAACTAGTAAAGAGGAAGTTCATAATAAAGGAGAAAGTTAACAAAATCCTATCTTCAGTATCTAAAGTAATAATAAAATTATATTATAAGAATTTAAGATACAGAGGAAGTTGATTTGGTTTTTTTATTCAATCGGCAGCAATGCAAAGGCTAAAAATGCCAAATGAGCTAAAACTCCACTCAAAAAGATCTAAAAGGAAAAAGGTTTTTGAGAGCCATGTCTTGAGCCAAATCTCTTTCTTCTTGGAATTTATTAATTCGCTTAGTAAACCAAATAATAAATTAGGATGCCCATCAAAGTAATCAATGCATTTCCAATCTAAAATGAGTAATAACAAAGGGCATACAGTAAATAATTAATTTTTTTAGAATGGTAATTCTAAGAATAAGGGAAAGGTTTATGCCCTTGGATATTGGAATTAACTTAAAATTGCAGCAATGAGAACAATGAATGATATTGATGAGTACATTGGTGGCAAATAGGTTATTTGCTATTTTAGATTGGTTTAAGTTTCTGCAATTAAATCTCTGTCATTAAGGCTGACAAATGATTATTGTTCATCCTCCTTTGAGATCTCATTCAAAATCATCAACAAAAACAAATAAATTATATAATTATTATATTAAAACAATCAAACCTTATAACTCTTATTCTAACTCTTAGCATTGCGACTATAGTTTTCTAAATATTGACTATCTAAGGTGAGATTCTTATAACCAATTGAAATATCCAATTTTTTACCTTTTAAGGTAGATTCTCTCATTTTAGGTCTACTTTAAATTCCAAATATTTACCTAGAGTTTGGAACAACTTAATATTGATTCAAATTCGGTTCTGGTTCATCTTATTCGGTTTTAATGCGAATATCTTAGATATTTCTTTTGCCTGTAACTACAATACTATTATTAATGTTGGAATTGATGTTGATGTAGTTGTTGTTCACCTAAGGTGTTTTTTTATAAAATGTTCCACCTATGCTATAAAATCACAATATGATTACTTTTAACTGTTTGTGTATTTTTGTTAAGTAATTTTCAAGATTTATTGAATTTATTTAGATCTATTTTTCTTTTCAGATGAAAGTGTGGGTGTGGCTCTAAATCCAAGATTGGAAGGAGGTTTAGTAATGACGCTTTCTCTTCCTTGGCTTTAACTAGCTGCATTCAAAGAGAGTTCTGTTGGTTTAGTAATGGAAGTGTTAGATATGTTTGTTCCTCTTAATTTCTGCATTCTAAATTATTACAATCATTAACCTGGAGGATTTCAAGTTTGGTGCATAATTGTGTTACTTGGTTTTGATCTATGATTCATCAACAATAAGATCAGTTAATTTCATGAGTCTCTCATTTAATGCTTTCATAAAATGTGGCTAAGTGGCATCAGTCAATCGATCCAAATTATCGCAATTTAGATTATAGGTAGTAACATCCTTTAGAGATTACAAAGATGTATCTGATGAAGATTCATAGTTTTCTTTTGGAAATTTAAAAGTGTGATTTATTTTACAACTCTTATACCTAAGTTGATATTAAATTTGAGATTACTTCATTTCTATTTCTAGTTTGAAATCTTCAACTTCAGAATCCTCATCGGGCTAGGTTTTAGTAATTAATTCTAATGGGGCTTGTGGCTTAACAATCTTTTGATATATTAGATATTTCATGAGATCCTTATCAATATTTTTCGGTTGCTGCAATTATGGACTCTTAGATTTTTTATTTCTGTTGGACATAATCAAAATTAATTATAAAATTAATATACCAAATTGCTTATTAATTACTAATATTTTATGTATTTCTCTCCTACTTTCCTCTCTTCTTTCAAATCGTACTCAATCCTAGATCCTGAGACAATGGTATGGTGTAATTTATATAATTTGCATATTAACAATAATTTCTGAATAAATATTATTTATTTTAGATATTGAAATGATTAGTGGTTTATTATACAGTCCAAATTGGACATTCGTCGACAAAATCTTGAGAGACCCTCAATTGGTAGATCTTGAGTATTTTGTTGGAGGTGGTCCAGGACATGATTGGCTTGCAAAAGTCGTAAGAGTAGAACAATAAAAGTAATGCAAGCCTAAATTTATTTTTATTTAGATTTTTAGGTCCAAGGGCTAAATTTGAGAGATAATTTAAGGAAGACCCCAAAACTTGGGAAGTTTTCTCTGACAATTTCTATCGTCTTACTGTCCTAGCTGGAGTTGAAAGATTACTCACTCTTAGATAAGCATATGGAGGTTTGAAGACCAGATTTACCTTTGGAGATTCTAACACGTATTGTATTGCTTAATTTATAGAGCTTGCCTTTAATAAATATTCAATCAAGGATTATTCAAGGGATATTTTAGAGGAGCATTATTGAATGCCTTCTAATTTTTAACCGTGTGGGCTCATCCATTGGTATACAGCAGAGGCAATGGATATGCTTCTCATTATCTATACTCTTCATTGTTTGAATTGATTACTTATCCAATTGATACAATCAAGACTATTATATACTCTGATGTTCAAGGAAGATATAAGGGTGCATTCGATGTAATTGAATAAGTAATCGATCAAGTAAAGTCTAGGTTTATGCAAGAAATGGATTCAGCCATTTTTATAGAGGAATTGTCTTCAAATTGGCCTTCAATGGAACATTAATCTATCATCTCAGAAATGTCTATGAATAAGATTACATTTAATAAGTAATACAGCTTCTTATTATTCTTAGTTGGTATCGACACCTTTATTGGCTATTGGTTATGGATTCCTTACAATTAAGACAAGATTGCAATTAGCAAGCACAGATTTGAGTTTCTAACAAACAAATCAAAAGGGAAGAATAGCTGCTAACCTTTTCGCTTAAAAAACACCCTTCAGCATCTATAGAGGTGTTATTCCATTCTTGTTGTTAACTGACTTCTTCCACTACAAATTATATGCACTTTATTCATCCACTGCTCAATCAAGAACTTTGGATGAGTTCCTCAATCAATATAAACATCATATAGGAAGTCCAAAGGATGAAAATTTATGGCAATGATTATGCAAATAATCAACAAAATGTCAATATAAAATAAAAGTATTTATAACTTGGGTATAATTTTATTCTTATTTTGTCTGTTTTTGTATATTACTTTATATTCTACTTCTTTTCTAGCACTTTTCTATAACAATATCTAAATGTTTTCATAATAATTAAATGAAAATAAAATATAATGTAAAATCGTTAAGAATTACAATCAAATCCTATTTTCCAATAGGTTTGTTAATAACTCAACTTTTAGCCTGATTAATTAGAACCATAAGGATTTGAGGAGTTCTACTAAGCAAATTAAAAGAAATACAATATGGATGAAGAAGGTATAATTCAAATTACATCATAGCTTGGATAGTATTATGGGAAGGACAAGAAGAAAAGAAATAAAATAAGTTAAAACAAGTACTAAAAATAGTTGAATAAGAAGAAATAAAAGCGGAAGAAGAAAAAAAAAAATCTTATGCTCATTTATTAAATTAGTTAAGTCAGAGTCAATCTACCAAAGTTTAACAAAAATAATTGGAAAAATTAAGAGCAGGTAATCTTAAAGATCTCAGATTTTATGTGGAATAATAAATTTCAGAATTAACCAATAAGAAGAGTTTTATCCCTAGATATAAAGAAATTGATATTTTTTAAGAAAGAAGAAAAATTGAGATGGATTAAGAAAGAGACAAAGTCCTAGAAACCAAAATTTTAAAATTCACTCCTCCTTTAGAGACAAAAAAGAAAATTGATAGCAATTTAGTTTTTGTAGGGTTGGACAAACTTGCTCCAAGACAGATTAAATTAAGTTCATATGAATTTGATGTTGAGAATTACGATCCTGAAGATGATGTGAATTATGAATTAGAATAATAGCTATTAGATCAAATAGAAGAAGAACTTAGGCAAGGAAAAAGAACAGATAAAAATGTCACAGAAAATGTCAGAAGACCATAAGTAAAGAAGAAAAAAGGAAGCTAAATATAGGAAGTATAAAAAAGAAATTAAGAATAAATGGAAGAAAAAAGAAATTAGTTAATAGAGAAATAGGAGAAGGAGGATGAAAGAGTAAATTAGAGATAACTTTAGAAGTAGAGAGAATTAAAATAGAAGATTATATCTAATTTTATGAGGTAATAGGATAAGAAAGAAAACCAAAATAGAATATAATTAGTTGATGAATTGAACAATGAGTTATTACAAAAAAAAATTGCTGAAAAGAATAAAAAAGTAGATAAGTTTCAAAAGAATAAATCTAACTATCATAAATAAAAATTTTAAATCAATAGATAATTGGATGATTATGATATGAATTTAAATCAACTTCTTGAAGATTATCAAGATGGAGTGATATCAGCAAATGCATTAGAACACGCCATCACCGATGTTCCAGTCAAGATATCAGCTTAAAAAGCTTAATCTTAAAAACCTCAATTATCTCAAAGGAAAAAAGCTCCCAAAGCTTTAAGTTAAAAAAATTAATAAGAATTAGTTGATTTAGAACAAAAACATAACTTAGAATTAAGAATGGTATTATCTTGATTTATTTTTAGTTAATTGAAAGAGAAGAACTTGCTGAATTAAATAGATAAAAATCAATTAATAATGGTGTCACATAAGAAATATTAGAATTGTTTGAAAAATAAAGAGAAGCATCCAAAAAGAGAATCTAAAACACTTTAACAAAATAAAAAATGGAGGTTTAAAATAAATTAAGATTGCATTCTAAATCTCGTTGAGATCAAATGATTTTACACTATATATTATTCATTTTTGAAACAAGAAATAAATACACTGGTCTAAATTCTAATCATAAGCTTTTCCCAATCAATATTCAAATAAACATATTAGCAATATATTTTTAAATATAATATAAATTTATTAATTAAATTAAGAAGAACTTATTTAAGTTATGTAAATATTTACAAAAAAATATCATTTGCATAAGATTGATTGACACTTAAATGCAATCTAAACAATAATATAATGAAAAAATTAAGTCTATGAATAAATAAAACCCTTTATAAATTGGTGTTTCGTTTAGTTTAATATGATAATGTGTTATAGATATCATATTTCTAACTTAATGAGTTTTAATAGGGAGAATTTATCGATTTATATTTTAGTAAATAAACAATATCTATTTTGATTATCATCTTTCAATAATAAAGATAATTGTATTTATTTCTACATATGGATAGTCACACTAATTTGAGACCAAAGATATTTATACAAATACAAAATGACTTTAAGAAATAGTTTTATTCAGATGATGACGCTGACGTAACTCCAAAACGACCTCTAATTACCAAACCCTCAAAATTTTCAAAAGGCGAAGGATAACAATTTTAGACTGATGATTCTGATAATACACCTCAGAAATAAACATCCCCAAGTTCACCTAAAGGATAAAATAAATTATCAAAATTTAAATAGAAGGAAAGTCATATAGAAAAAGATTCTGATATTTAATTTGACTCCAATGAGGAAGACAAGAAAGAATAACCTTAAATTATTTAAAACAATCAAAAAACTGAACCTGAATATGATATTTAGTAGATGTCACGTTAAATGGAATAAAAATATCAAAATCCGAAACCTGCATTTTAACATCCACCAATTTAGAAGTCTAATTCCTCAAAATCAGTTATGATAAAGCATATTAATATCAAAGAGCACCCGTTTGGACATTTGGTTTATGGCAAAAACATTAACTAAAGTGACTATCTAAGATTTTTGTAAATAGTTCAGAGCGGATTACTATATGCACATCATTCTTTAAAAGGTCCATCAGAAAAATTTTTGAGAAGTAAGTTTATTAGACTTAGAGAATCGAATCAAAGAAAACCTAAATTTTTGATTCTTGATTTGGATGAAACCTTGATACACAGTTGTACATTCAGAGACTCTCCTTAAGTTACAATTACACTATAAGATGAGGACGATAAAGTTGATGTAATATCTATGTCTATTCTAGTTATTTTTCAATGTTAGACCCTTTTGCAAAGAATTTCTAAAGGAAATGTCGAACTATTATAACATTTACATATTTACAGCTTCATCAGAACTGTATGCTAATGCAATTGTAAATCATTTGGATCCAAACAGATAATATATAAATGATGTTTTGTGCAGAAACAACTGTTTTGAAACCAAAAATGGGTTTTTTATTAAAGATTTGAGAATCATAACAAATAGACATTTAAAAGATATTGTAATTGTTGATAACCTGCCACATTCGTTTGGATTATAATTAGAAAACGGAATTCCTATTTTGGAATACTTGTGCAACCCAAAAGATGAAGAATTAAAGTACTTGTAAAAGTATCTCATCAAATTAAGTAAAGAAGAGGATGTAAGGCCCTTTAATAAATAAAATCTAAAATTACTTAGTTTAATTGATTTTAAACTTAATATCTGATGTTTATAAAATGTTAACTTGTTCTTCATATCTCTATATCTTAATTATTGACTGTTATTTATTAACATAATCACACGGAACTTAGGAGCATTTTCAATGTTAATGTTTTTTCTGCCATTTTTCTCATTTATTTATTTCCAACAATACAGATTGCAAATCATTTAAATATACGCATCTTCTTTATTATAATATGTGTTTACTTTTATATCAATGACAATTGTAATTATTTTGTAAGAATATCTGGTTTAAATGAGAATGGAAATGAAGAAATTCAAAAGGAAAATCTGAATATGATTTTAAATTGAATTTAATAATAATTTATGTTAAGCTTAGATCAATAAGAATTAATTATACAGAGAATTAAATCAAAAAAGCCAATATTCAAGACTATATGTGAAATAGAGTATTTAATCAATTAATTCCTTTAGACAATTTCCCAAGTTGATTAAGAGTAGAGAAGCAATTCAAAAATCAATTTTATCATAAATTCAAAGATCAGTTTCAAATATAGATATGGATCCCTTGGCATATGGATAAAAAGAATTAAAAGATGTTATGACCTACTTGGAAGAACAATTAAAAACTGTTTTCTTACCTACTCTGAGTTTAGATGAGAGAAAAAAATCAAAATTTTTGATGAAATAAGAATCCAAACAACTTGATTATGAAGAAAGCAACCATCCAAAAAAATAAAGAGTAGATAAAAACAAGTGTAGGAAATGCAAGCAATCAACTATACCTATGATATTAAACTTATTATAACAAACAGAAAACTAGGACACAAATCCTCATGTTACTATGAAATCTATCAGATAATAAATTGTGTAAAAATCATAGAAAAAAGAAGAATAATCAGAATCTAAAGTGCCTTACATCGCATTTGATTACTCTGATCGCATTATTATTTGTAAGAGATGCAGATTTAAATTTCATGCTGAATGCGTCTAAGTACTTGACAATATCAATGATTGGATTTGTGATTATTGCTTGGACAGAATAAAGGAACTCAAAAATTCAAATCAATGGGATTATATCAATAATAAATAGTTGAAATAGCAAATATGTCCAACTTCTGAATAGAAGAAGATTAATTTGTCACTAATAGAAAGAATTTAGAAAAAGTAGAAAATCTTTATTATTGAAGAAATGGAAATCACGCCATTCAAACCTATTGATTAAATATCAGATTTCTTAAGGAAATATCCTCTTTATAGAGGATAAAATGGAAAAATAAAATATCCTGTTTTAGAAAAGTTAGCTCTAGATTATCCAGAAGTCTTAGAAATTAAATAGAAACCCTAACCATATATGATAAATTCAAATTTAGTAGAGGAAATCCTTAAAATATAAACAAGTTATTAAATTTTATTTCCTTAATGCTAAACTCCTCAAAATGTTAATTAAGATTATATTGAGAAAAATTTCTATGAAATTCTTATGAATTTGCTTACTGAATACTTTAATGAATTTATGCAATCAGACGTAGTCAAATTTGATAGATATTGCAGTTAGGCAAATGTTTAAGCCAATGCCTTTTTAGAAATAATGAATTATTTGTATGATCACTAGGAAGCTTTAATGAAAGATCTAATCAAAAAAACATGGGTAGAATGTGTAGTTTAAATTGATCAAATAATAAACTATGACTGCGAATCAAATATTAATAAAATAGACTTTAACAGCTTAGAATTTTCAGATTAAATCTACATTTTAAGCCTATTAACTGATGGTTTATACGATTTAGACAAAATGAAGGAACAAATAAAGTAAAAGGACTCTTCAAATAATTATCGACAATGTAATATCTCAATTTATATTAGCTAATTTAAAAATATTATTTTAACAGAATTAATCTGCCTTTATTAATTGCGGAACTTATCTTGGATAAGATGCAGATGAATAACAATATTTTTATTTTACTCATGTTCCTAGTTCAATTTTTGTAGAAACGATGGCAGGTTGGGGTCAATATACTCTCTCAGATTTATCAGAATTGATGAGTGCTCTCAATTTGTAAGGAGTTAACGAATCTAATTTATTTGAAAACTTAGAATTAATAAGTCAAGTCAAACTCTTCGATAATAACACAACTCCCATTAAATCATAGAATCGATTAATTTAAAGTATTTGTAAACCAATAAATAGAATAGTAATATCATCTTGAAATCATAGAAGTTATTGAATAGTTTTAAATTACTGAAGAGACATATACCAAATATTTGCTTTCTAAAAATTTGATTTGGATAGAAAATAATAAAAAATAACATTTTTACTAATTATTAAAGAATGAGAAATAGATTTAGTCTTTATTATAAGCACTAAAATTATTTTTCAATGGTTTATTATTGTTGAAATCTAACGATGGTTATTTTGTTAAACCTTTCAAAATTTTTAAATAAAACTTTGAGCTTGTAAATTAATTAGCAATCTACATTGATAATGCATAATCCTAATATAACGTGTATATTTCTTTAATCACTTTAAACATACTATTAGAAGAGTACCAATAATATCAATCATAAAAAGAATTGAAAAATAAGAAAAATCAAGCTCAACGTAAAATCACTCAAAAAGTTAATTAAAAAGAGGTGAAAAATATCAAAAAAAAGTCAAAATTAAAACATATTGAGGATGAGTCTTTAGAGTAGGAATAAAGTCTTTAATACGCAAACAGTTTGGCTAACAAAAGGGAGAAAAGGGAAAATGCAGGAAAAAAGTAATAATGATCTATTAATCATAGTCCAAACATCAACTTTGATTAGTAAGTAAAGAATCAAAAGAAAATATCTTGTACATCTTGTAAGAAATAGATTCCCTAGGCTTCATAAAGTGTTTAGTGTTCCAGATGCAATAAACCTTTTCATTAAGAATGTTTATCATTAAGAAAAGACTATTGCAAGGATTGTGCCAGAAATAACAGCAAGAAATAAAAATGAGGCTTTCCTTAAATAAGCTTAATTAATACAGTATATTATTTTCATTAAAATATCTAAATACATTTCCCAAGACAATGTTAATAATTCAAGATCTTTTTTAATATTTGATGGTAGAATTAATTCATCTGAAATGCTGATGTATTTAGATCTAAAAACATTGTTCTTATGATATAAATATAAGTTCTCATAAAATTTAAAAATTCAAACTAGTCATAATATCAAGAAGTCTTCAATATTATCATTCAAATCTTAAGTTTTCTTCAAACATTCGTTTATTTCCCTTTCAAACTTAAGAAATTTAGCATCCTCACTATTTTAAGTTAAAAGGACTGTCGACAAAAAACATTTATAGAGTTATTCTAAATTGTATTTTAAGTCCTCCGTCTATTTATGAATCATAGTCACAGCAATTTTCATATCTGAATTTTCTTACTAATATAATAATGAGATATGTGTACAAATTAAATGGGTTGAGATTTTGGTTTGAAATAATTTAAGCCTTTCTTAAGAATGGAAGGAGTCTTAGAATTCTTGGATATTTAGCTCTCTCCATCAGATATCATAGATGAATCTAAATTATTTTGTTCTACCATAGGAGTTTTTGAAATGCTTTGATTCAGCATTTACTTTTGCATAGTTGAAGCAGGTTATTATTTTGAGTGATTGATCATTTAAGATATCTATTAATTTTCTAATTGTAATTATTTGCTAGTAGAATTTAGATCATTTATTTTCTATATGAATATAAAATTCTACCTATTTTAATAGTTAATTTTATTGTTCCAAGCGATTCAATTCATTTAATGCAATAGCTCTTTTCTCTAGATGTTAATGATTAGTCAGCTTCTATTATTCTAACTCATGATTCAAATCATTAATCTGTATTTTATTCTCAGCTATTTTTTATTTTAACTCACTGTTTTTTTAAGTTAATCTATTATAATTTAATATAATACTCTTAGATAGCTTATTCTAATTTCGACATTTATAATTCTTTTTCCATAACTATTTCTGGATTGATAGAAATCTCTGATGAAACTGTGCTTTCAGTTTTTTATTGAAGCAATTGAATTTATTCTTCAAGTTAAGTAATTTTTGCTGAGTATTCCTATTCTTACTATTATAATTATAATTTCATCTATTTCAATTTCTCCTTTTAATCATCAAATATTTCTTTCTCTTATTTCCTTTTTTCTTTAAAAGAATCTAATTGTTATTGTAATAGATTATTGCTTTGAAACAATTTTGTAGCTTCAGCCTTATATTGATTCAATTCTCTTTCATTTCTGAGTAACTATATAATATGAATAATCATACTTCTTTACTTTTCTATTCTTATTTTAATTCTTCATGATTCAATTTTGTTTCCAAATCTCTGATTTTGTTATTAAATTGTTCAGTTTATGTACTAAGTTCTGTACTCTTCTCTTCAATTTATTATAAAACTTTAGAATTTTCTTATTACACCTTTTGAATTTCCTTCTGTAATTCGTTTACCAAAGCTATATATTCGCTTTTTAGCTTTTCTTTTTCATCTTCTTTAATTTAATTCAAATTTTGAAATTCTTTTGACAATTCCTAATATTTATTCTAAATTTCTTATAGTTATTGATCAACTGTCTTTTTCTCATTAATTAATTGCTCAATTTAATTTTGCAATTAACTAACCACTTATTATTGAGTATTCTTCTGATTGTTAATTTTGTCTTTGAGCTACTTTTCAGATTCTAAGGACATAACTAAGTCTTAATTTTGAGATTGCAAATTAGCTACAGTTTACAAAGTTTTTTCTATTTATTCTTTGAGATGTTAAACTTCTTCTGATTAATACTGTCTACTGGATTAAGCTGGTAAGTTTTCGACAAACATCAATATCGAGTCATCAATCTACTAAAGTAAATCCTGGAACAAAGTGTCAGATACTACTGTTATAAGAATTCATACCCTAATTATCATTGTCGTAACCCATCTAATCATTGTAATTTTCCAAAAAGTCATTCATAATGTCTTTGATAGTATTAAATAATGACTCTTTTAATTCTTGACATTTTTTTTCTTAAAACTCTTAAGGCATTTACATCTTTTAAAGTGCTAAAATTTATTATTTGTATTTTTAGCATTCTTTGTTAAGTCTCTCCTTTTCCTGATATTCTCCTTCATACTTCTTTAGAATTTCCATTTGACTCATTTTGTATTGTTCAACTTCGTCCATTAATTATTTTCTTTCTACCTAGAGTATCTCAATTTTTTAAAAGATGGGTTCAATTTCAACTCTTTGCTAATCATAACTAATTTTTTTTGGAATTCATACGCTTTTCTTAAATCATTAATATACTATTCTTATTTTACAGACTATTCATTAGCTTTCTTTGAGTCATAATTATACTTTTTAGCAGCAAGTTAATCAAATTCCATAAATTGTGTAGGTTGTTTCTTCTATTCTTTTTTCGAAAATAATGACATTTTATCTATTGTGTATTAAATAATGAAATTCAAATATTTATTTTCGTGTTATTCAATTATCTCAGTTGTAAAATATGACATAGACACCTAATTCAAGATTTCCAATTACATAAACTGAAATTATGATATTTTTAGTAGAATATTTACCATACATCAAAATACCATTAGGATAGGAAATGTGATTAAAATTTTACATGATGAATTAAATTCATAATATAAAATTTAACATCATAAACAACTAGAAAAAGAGAGTGATACTATAAATATCAGATATCTGTTCATTAAATAAAATATTGTAATAAAACTTACATTTTTTCAGTGTGTATCTTTTAAAGAGTAGAGGTCTTATTTCTCTAATTTAATGAATATCACTATTTAATGGGTTTCTGCTATAAATTTATTAATAAATTATAAAATTTAATCAATACATATGCTTTATTCTCGACCTAAATATTTGCCAAAGTGCAACAATCATCCTTGTGAGACTGTAGAATCATTTGAAAATGCATACAAAAACAACCTTATTTAATGGTACTGAATCAAATATTTGCACTACTTGAAGTGGACAAATGTTCACTTTTTGTTCTTACGATATATATATTTTATTAATTGTGGTAATTTTAGGGCTAAGAAATAAAATGTCAATGAAATTGCAGTTGTTTCCAAAAAAATTACCACTTTTATTATCAGAATGTATATCTATGATTTGTAAGTCGAAAGATGCAATTACGCTTTAGATGAATAAAATCCAAGGTAGCAGTATCATAATTATCAAAAGATTCCCCTCAATAACAGAAGATATTAAAAAAGTTTGTTTGCTTCGTAAGAGACGTAGTCACGAAGAAGAAAAATTACATTTAGAATAGGTATCTTTTAATTATAATAAAAATATTAGAAATTATTATCAAAAATTTACATTGTTGATCAAGATGAAATGTTTGAGAAATTTTGTTTGTAAGGATCTTTAGAAGATAATATAAATTTATTGATAGAATGCTCAAATGGGCTTGCGTTTTCTTCATAACCTAAAGTTTCATACAATTGTATAACAAAACAGTATATTGTGAATGATGCTATCTGGTTTAATCCGAAAACATATTAGTCATGTACTGGATGGATTACAAATGAGTTTGAAAAAGCAATTGCATTATTGTATATTATTAGATCTAAAATCTAGATATTATTAGCATCAATAGGATTGCATCGAAGAAACCAATCTAAATAAAGATGAAGATCTTAAAAGATTTTGGATCTAGGATTTTGATCTAAGAACTAAAATACTGAATTAAATACCTTAGATTTGTAAGGAATTCAAGAATGCCCCAAAAAAAAAGAACACAAAATAAGAAGATATTTTATGGACTCAACTCATTTTAAAATAGTCTTCATCATAAAACGATAAACAAATCAATCAAGATTAAAATTTGTAAATGATGTTATAATCGATTAATGAATCAGATGTTTCTACTATCATAATGAATAATGAATTGGAGAGTATAAATTATATGCCTCTTGAGAAGATTTTAACCATTTAGATTTTATGTTAAAGAAGAATATTGAGATTGATTAGAGATCATTATAAGGAAAAACTAATGAAAGATATTTAGAACATTGAGGGTAAGGAAAAAAAGAAAAATGTAGAATAAAAGAAAAAATCTAAAAAACATAAAAAGCAAAAAAATAAGAATGAATAAAAAAAAATTAATATGAATTAAGACAAAAGTATTAGTTTTGAATTAGCAGATAAGTAAGACACTACTCAAGACGATGTTCATTGTAATGAATGTGAAATAGACAAGCCTGCAAAGTAATATTTAAAAATAACCTATAGTTCATGCTAAGAGATTACAACCAATGTCGACGTGTCAGCAAAATCAGAGTTAACTAGAAATGCCATTTTAGAAATGAATTTGGTTGAAGAAACCAATTAAATACTTGATGCTGAAACAATCATAGAATTGAACAATAACAATTAGAATGATGATGATGAAAATTGGGTTGTCATAACTGCACCTAAAAAATAAAAAAATAAATCAAAACATAATTTAGTTACATCATAAGAGGACTAATTCAAAAAGTAAAAGTCACAATAGAAATCAATTCCATCAAAAATCAAGGAATAATCAGTTAAATCAAATGCTCATGAATAGGATCTTTTTTCGAGCTAAAAGAGCTAAAAAAGAAATGCATAAGCTATTGAAACGATTAAATAAGACATATTGATGGTGAATAGGGAGAAACCTGTAAAACAATAATCTTAGGAAATTGCGAATCCATCATCTCAAGATTTTGCTAAAGATAATCAAATCTCTTATTCAAAGTTGGAAGAGACAAAAAATACTAGCCAATCCCCAAAAATGATAGAGATCGTGGATTTAAGTCTAAAAATTCCATAAGAGCCTGAGAAATTAGTTTAAAAAAATTCTAATATTAATACTTAAATGGATATTTAAAATACACCTCTGAAATAGCCAATTAAAGAAGATTAAATAGATTATGCTATATTGAATTAAGCAAGGGCCTTAATGATCAAGAAACTTGATATGGATATGAGAGAATTTAGTGATGTTATTTTAGGGTAGAATCAGTAAATTCTGAAATTCAGAAGGATAATTTATGATAGATTATAATTTGTCATCAATTATCTATTTAGAGGTTTCATTCATCATATATAATAGCTAGATTTTAATTCTTAAGTTTGCCTTTTCGGTTCATGTGCCACTGGATTAGCCCTTCCAGAAAGCGATATTGATATAGGAATAACTGGATTTGAAATGTGTTCTCCATCTTAGTTAAACTTACCTATTCAAAAGTTAACTGAATTTCTCTAAAAAATGAGATGGGTTAACAATATAGTGTACTTTAAATCAATATACTTCTATTAGAGCAATCACTTCATCGGCAATGCCCTTAATTAAATTATAAGTGGATCCAACTATTTCCTTTGTCTCTTCCTCTTTACCAATAGGCTTACCCTACATAGATCTTGTGTTAAAGTAATGATTCTCTTTTTATAATAGTCCCGATGAAGACATTCCTAAACAGATCTTCAGTGTTGACGTTAGCTTTTTCCAATATACAGGTCCTAAGTAAAATTAGCATTTGGGTTTGATTTCAACTGATTTAACCCTATAATGGCTGTCTTTTTATAGTGAATTGAGACCAATAGTGTTATTATTCAAAAGCTTGCTGAAGAAAAGAGGATTGAATGATTAATATAAGGGAGGGATCTCATCTTTTTGCATAATTTAAATGGTTCTGGCATTTTTAGAATGCTTTTATCATTAAAATCAAGTGTCATCTATAGGTTATACGACATATAATTTTTTGAAATTTTATGGTACAGAATTTGATCCCAAGACCACAGGAGTTAGTTATAAAGGGTTTAATGAAAAGTAATAAGTTATTTCATTTTAGTCCATTTTATGAATTAAATGAATTTGATGATTAATCTGAGATAACAATAGTGTCTCCAATCACAAATGAAATTATAAGTTCGGCCACATCATTTGTTCTAACAATATTATAAGATTTGAAGACTTTGTATTAAGCAACTGAAAATGAAGTGACCTTTTTTTATGAGAAACTAAAATTCAATAAAAAAAAGAAAGGAAAGAAAGAGGAGAGAAATTTATTTTAAAAGGAATTGAACAGACTTCGACCTCTCTTTAGCACTACTGTATATAACAAAACTTGACTTTAATTTTAAGTAAATAAAATACCAAAATTGGTTAAGTAGTTAACAATTTTAATAAAATTCTTTATTCATTCTAATCCTTCAACATTTGATTCCTAATCTCCAATTAATTTAATTGGGGGAACAAATAGTTCTTGCATCAATTTAACAGTGTCTACTTCTAATTTGATTAGTGATATAATATACATGTATGTGCTTTTCGTTCCTTCCTCAAAATAATTAAACTAGGTTTCTTTATACCTTCCAAAATCCCAGTTACTTTTTAGAATTCTGGTTTTGATCCATCACATAAATCCCATATTGGCAATCCTCCACCTTCACTAACAACACCTTCACTTTCAAAATAATTGTTTAATCTTGAAGTTGCTACAGAAGGTGAAATATAAGAATCTAGTTAATATGATGAGTTAAGTTGAGGAATTTGAAGTAAGGTGGAAGAATGATTTTGCATTCTGAAAAGTCTGCTGTCATCAGGTTTGATTGGGGATAACACATTTTGTTTATTTAAATCAGTATTTTCTACTATGTTAATCAAGAGAGGAGGTTTTTTGCTTTTACCAGTGGGACTGTAGACAGTCTTTTTAGTGCCCTTTCTTTTTTCATTCATTATTTACTCAAATGTAAGTTATTGATTTTGCGTTGACTTTTATTGGGAATCCTTTGTTTATTAATTGATGAACTGATTTTATTTATTTACTTGATTTAGTTTATGAGGATTGAATGCAATTTCTACTTATTACCGTTTTTCTTGATTCTAGATTAATAAGAATTTACTTGCATGACATGGACTGTCTGATGCTTCTTTTGTTTGCTGTATTCAGGTAATCTTTCCCAATCATATGTAAATTAAGAGGCATTCATGGATGTTTATTTATTAAGGATCTCAATTTCTTTCTCAAAATATGATTTCAATTTATCGTAATTTGGAGTTTCCTGGAATTCTAAAGATTTCACATCATTCATGTAGAAATAGAAACACTAATAATATATATGAAATGATGTTACTTTAGGTAAATTAGAACAAAGATCTTCAGTCTTGGTTTCTTTTTTAATTTAATATATTTTAGTGTATTTGGCATCCTTAGAATCAATTTACAAATTCATCCAAGGCAGATTTCCTGTTGCCAAATATATCAAAACATAGCCAATGCTTTCAAGATCATCTTTTCTTCCTTGTTCCATTTCTTCATGAGCACTTATTGATGCATATCTCGCAGTTCCTATAAGGCCTGCCTTTTTAACATACGAGATGTGTTCTCCTTTACTATTCTAGAAATTATGAGTATATTATGATACGATATAATGTTTGGAGAGACCAAAATCAATTAAATACAGTATCTTTGCATTTGGCCCGGATTCAATAACAAAATTATCAGGTTTGATGTCTCGATGGAGAAATCTATTATCATGCATAACTGAAATTCTATCAATCATCTGTTAGGCTAATATCATCTTATAGTGAATACTTAAATGGCTAATCTTAGGACAGTGGTTTAATTCATGACACACCCCAACTTCCTAAAGATCTGTTCTAAGTTTTTTCCCAACAATGTCATGATGCAGTAAGTGTATCCTCTTTCTTATCCGTAGAATTTAATTTATGGAAAACCTTATTATTTTCTAAATTTGAATCATGTAATTTTACCTTAATTCAATGAGAACTTTGATTTCTCTTTCTAATAAACTGTTTTCATCGTCCTCATCTATTTCTACCTTCATAGCCCAAGTAGCGTTATTATTATTTCTATCAAGTACTTTGAAAACACTCCCAAATGAGCCTTCTCCTATTTGTTGACTAATTAAAAAGCGATTCTAAATGATATCTCCTACCTTTTAGTATAATTTGAAATGTAATACTTTTAGTGGTTGGATGTCCTCTTCGCTCTCATAGTATTTTCTTTCAGATTATATATTATCTGTGAAATTATCATCATTTTTGGAAATCATTGATATGTGATTAATAATAATATTAAAAATGTTTCATAATTATTATAAATGATGATGCCACTTAGTTTTTTCAGCAAGAATTCCAGGGTTAGACACATTGCCAAACTTCCCAAAATTGCCATAAACATTATGAGCAGTACTGAGGAAATGCCGTTTTACATTAAAACTTCAATTTAATTTATGAGTAATATACTGTCTATCTCCAATTTCGATTTGTGATGCATTTTTGGTCAAAATGGGTGCTTCAGGTTCTGGCAATCGAGACCTAAAGGAACCCATGGTGTAGGGCTGCAAGGTTTTCTTTTCAGATCCAACATGTAAATTGAGTTTTGGTCGATAATCATCGCAATAGGTTGATGTAACATAGACAGATTTATTCTGATGATCAATTTGCCCCTTATTTGCAAGTTCATAGAATGGGACTGCCTATGGATTAATGGGACTCATACGTAGGGGTTGCCTTTTTTCATGTGGATGTAGGAGCAGGAGTCGACTCGGGTGTCTTTGAAGTAGGGATTGGACTTTTGTTGTTTTTGGGATTGATGCAATATCATCCGACCACTAATAGTATGATTGGTATTTTGGGACATAAAATAAATAAATTTTAATGAGTTCATTTTATAATCATCAACCCAGGAGAAAGCATTCTCAAACATCATTTTATCTAAAGACTCTTCATTGTCAATCATCACCAGTAAAAGAATATAATAAGGACAACACTCAGCAAGAATATTTGTAGAATATGTTAAGAATGTAATAAAAAGAAATCGAAAGATTGGAACATCAAAATCGTAATCTCTAAATTCTGACCGAACATTAAAGTAAAATAATTTATTAAGAAAGATAAAACAGGACTCACTTCATTCCCAAAATTTAAGATAAAGATACTATGGGGTCTTAATAAATCATTAATAAGCAAAAGGTTGAGAATCAATTGGATAAACCCATCAGACTCTAAAGAAAAAACACCATAAATCGTAAATTGACTGTGCTCTTCCAATAGGATGACACATTCAAGTTGAATTCTCTTTTAGATCTGAATATAACTGACGAGGAATTAATCAACAACTATTAGACTGATGGTTCCTTATCCTTAATTGAAGAGACCCTTAATGACGAGGATTGCTTTTTGGATGTCATTCACAATTATCCTCCCCAGAAAGTTTCAATAATTTATGACAAACTGAAAAAACTATATCATGAACACAATCTCATGTTCCACATCATACTTAAACTCAAACTTCTCATCTAAAAAGGATTCATGATACAAAACAGTAAATTACTGGATGAATCATTCCAAATTCTGAGGGAATCCATCTTGACCATTATGAATAGTTAGGAAGTGAAGATATACTTGATAGATGAAGAAAAGAAGGAACTCTACTCTCGATAAGATAATCACAAGTACTAAATTGGAGAAGGTTTGGTTGGATACGTGGCTGAAACCAAACAAATCTTGAATCTGAAAAAAGCTAAATATGATACTAGATTCGCCCCTATTGATTCAAATGTGATCCTGGCAGCTCCAATATTGGATAATCAAAAGTGTTATGGAGTCATTGTCTGTCAAGAAAAGAAGAATGCAGGTATCTACTCTGAAGAAGATGAATCCTTGTTATAATTGTTATCAGAATAAGGTAAGATGATCCTATGCAATGTGATGAATCACAATTAATTAATGACTGCTGTGAATAAATTCAGACATGCACTCAAAAGTAGTATACAATTCATACAATTGAAAAGTCAAACCTTGTTAGTCCAACATGCCTAAAAGAGATTAAAAGAAATGATGAATAGCGAGATTGCAACTATTAAATTGGTAGACAACATAGAAGGATAAGGAATCATGGGGGAAGCTATCTTAAATAAGTCAATAACATATCATCACAATGCATATAACAGTTAGTCTTTCAATCCTAATATTGATCTAAACACATCATTGCCAATATTTACACTCCCTGTCATCTGTAATAAATAAGTAGTGGCTTGTGCGTAATTTACCTAAGTTCGAGGACTGGTCCAACAATCATCATTATCTTCGATAGAGCAGGAAGTCTTGGAATTGTTTCTATAATCGTTCGGCTATCTAATAAGTAAATGATATATTTATTTATTTATAAATTATAACATAAATTTACAATGTTTATAAAAGAAGCCTATGAAAGAAGATAAAAATAGAGTGATGGAGAATAAGAAATATTGTAGACTGAATAGAGAATTCATAAGATTGGCAGTATCAAGAACAATAAAATGAACTACGATAAAGATGAGCAATTTTTTAGCAAAGAGGATATACCATAAAGAGCATTGTAAATTAAAGAAACTGTTTAGACTTTTGTTGATCCAGTAATTTTGATTTGTCATTTAATATGATAGGATATTTTAGGGTTGAGAAAGAAAGAATGGAATAGTAGCGTAGCAGTTCCTAAGAACCCATTATCAGAAGAAACCCATGAAAGAAAACTGGTTAAAATTCGATTAGGCCTATTTGATCATCCAATTCCCAAAGAGAAGGCCAATATAATATATGAGGGCACAGAAACCAGAGACAATTATATCTTAGCAAAGAAAGGTTCAAGTAAATGGAATGTGAGTACAGAAACCAATAATTTCGAGTTCTAAAAACATCTCATGAATCAGACCAAGGATGCACTTAAGAATACTAAGACGAAGGAGGAAGAGATTATAAAAAACTATTTAAAGCCAATAGAACATTAGACGAAATTGCAATTGGATCTCAGATCTCAGAAGGTAAACGAGAAGGATATGAGAAGCAAGATAAGATAGGATTATCAGATGGCGAATCCTGCTGCTTCACAATAGGCGATTGATGGGGCAGTCTTTAGATTGGCGTATGAGAACAAATTAAGCAAAAACCAAGAGCAAATTCAAGTAAGGATTTACATGTGAATAGAGGATAAAAACTATACATTTAAACCAGATATGGCGAGAACATTGAAATAGGATTTGGATTATAAGTATTGTCACAATGGGGTTTGGTAAAAGATGCCGGATGGGAGTGAGGGTTGGTCGTGCTGCATGAATGGTACGTTGGAATCGAAGGGATGCATAACGATAAAGATTGATAGGAACAAGTGGGATTATTCGTCATTTACACATTGACTTATTAAATTATATCGAATAATATAAATAAATTTTGAAATGGGCAATTCAGATAGTAACGCAAGCATAAAAGCCTTGCATGCTAACTATATGGTGGTTCGTAATATCAAAGACGATCCAAGGTATGGGGAAGGCAGAATAGTCAAATAGAAGCAGACAAAACAAGAGGCGTTTTAGAAGGAGATCAATTTGACGGATGAAGATAAATTCAAAAGGCTCAAAGTAGCCTTGGAGAAGAAGGAAAGTAACACATACGATAACCTCATAAATGTTACTAGTATTTAAGTTTGCATAACATTATCTAGAGCTCTATTATCATGAGGATAGTTAATTCTGTGGGCAATTTTTTAAAATTTACATTTTGTTAGAATATATTCCATTTAGCTTATATGATATCATAGAGCAGAAATTAGCTAAGAAACAATAGTTCAGAGAATAAGAGCTGATGCAAATACTCAAGGGATGCACAGAGGCTTTGTTCATTTTGCAATCCTAAAAAATAACACACTAAGCCATACGACCAGATACTATATCTTATTTGGAATAATATCCATTTGTGAAATTGACTGATCCTACTGTGAGTGGAGTGTTGACTTCATTCCAATTAGTGGTGTAAGACGAATTGAAATAAATCAATTAGAACTATCTGAGTCCTCAGTTGATGCAATCTTTGAACGATGAAATGCAACCACAGCACAACAATTATAAAAGTGATGTATATTCATTAGGAATGACAATGCTCCACCTCTCAACTCTTAACAATTGCGATGATTGCTATGACATTCCAAGATCAAAAGTCCTGCATCAACAAGTCCAACGTAGATTACAACAAATAGAGCCCTCCTTCTCATCCTAATACATTCAAGTGCTCCGAGAAATGCTACTCCTCAATGAAGACTAAAGACCAGATTTCACGCAATTGAAACAGGCATTGCAAGGAGTGTCGACTACTCAATCTCCCTAGTAACCCTATTATTAGGAAGAGTACGTAATACAATCAAAGAAGGCTCCCATCATACAAGTGCAAGCTTATGAATAGGCTGTGGAAAGTTTCTCAATTCAACAGCCATCCCAAACACCTTAAATGATTATGCATTCAGAATAGAGTGCCAAATTTAATATCCAACAATCTACTTAATCGATTAGGAATAGTTAGGTCTAGAAATCTTAGCAATTAAAACAGTCTCAATAAGTCAACCAATCCATTTATGTTGATCGCAATGGTGTATAAGAATTGAGACCAGACATCTGCGATCATATCAAAATAGTAATTAACTCTTGTGCATTATTAGTTGCCCTTGTCTGAGCAAGTATCTGAATCATCTTAAATCGATGATAATATCGGAAATCAAATCGGTATGGATCAATTTCTAGACGTTACTCATGAACCTGATCAACAAGACATCTTGATGCCAATCACATCTTTCGAGACTTCTTAATAATATTAACAATTATAAAACATGTAATAGAATAAACAATATTTACCCGTCTCTTATGAATCAAATAAAACAGATTATAATATGTAAGTCAATCATTTATCTAATAACAATAAATATGATTATTTGTATGATAGAAATTTAAGCAATCAAGAGAAACTTATTAATTATTAGAATGATCTCAAAAGAACATTTGAACATCTCTCAGTCTAGGCTGAAAAAGTGATAGAAGTCTATGCCAATGGATCAAAATATGATGGTGAGAAATTAAATGGCATGAGACATGGAAATGGTACATTCTTCTATTAAGATAATGGAGGAGTTTATGAGGGCCAATGGTTTGAAAACAAAATGCATGGAAGCGGTAATTTTGTACATTCTACAATAGGAACTCTCTTTTATGCATCAGGTAAACCTGCATATGAAGGATAGTGGGTCAACGATAAGTTTTAAGGTAAAGGCACATTGTACAATGAGGAACCGTAAATGTTATTTAGTGATTTCGATTATGGAGATTTTGATTAAGTTGGAGAGTAAGTATTTCTAATGAATTTTAGATATTGGACCAAATATGTTGGGTAATTCCATGAGGATAATAAAGAAGGATAAGGAACCTTATATTTGTCAAACGGTGATAAATTCGAAGGAAATTTCCTTCAAGACTTAGTTAGTGGCCCAGGGAAGTATATAAAAGTGAATGGATAAGTATTTTCAGGGAGATGGTGGAGAAACAAACTATAATCATGAAATTAATTTTAATTAGATATATATTAATAAAAATTGACATCATTCTTATTTAAGTTATTTTGTTTCTTTTATGTGGGTGTATGATTATTTTCAAAATTTATTATATCAATATTTATTAAAATGTTTCTTGAGATTTGATAAAAATAGGTATAAATATTTTTGAATTAGATATATATTACATTACTTACTAAATTTAATTATTGAAAATTAAAGTAGATACCACCCCATCAACTAAATATATAAAATATAATTAATGGGTATTTATAAAGGAAACATAAAAGGTTTTTATTAATATACTTATATACATATTTTATCATTAAATTCATTACAAAAAAAAATACTTAATTTCTCTCTAAAAAATGAATTAATAACAATAAGGAATTCAATAAATACTAAATAACTTGTTATATAATATAAAGTTCATATTTTAATAACTAAAGATAATGTTTTTAGTACTGAAGGAATAGGCAAACTATTTTGATCCATGACCTTTGTTAAGCCCTTGAAAACTGCCAGTTCCTAGGTATTTATTTTATATTGCTCAATTAGTTGATCAATTATTTGATTCGAATTTTGATAATCAAACAAATTTTAGGGTTTTACATCTGAATATTCTTAACAATTAGATGATCTCTTTTTCTACTGATCTTCTCTTGATTATATATTTAAATGATCTACATTTTACAATTATAAAGGGTTCACAATATCCTGAATCTAATTCTTATTACCGATGCCTTATTCTAATTCCTTTAATTGAGACAAGTGACATTCACATGGCTTAGATAAGCTTAGTAATTATTAATTTAGTAATTCTAGTTCCAAAATCTAATGCATCTAAAAAATATACCTTTTATTCCAACTTGCACACTTTCTTTTAAAGTATCAAATTCTCCTTCAATAATTTTTAATAATCCTCAGTTTTATGTTTAGAAGAGTTCGTGTATTCTCTGCTATTGATAGTACTCTTCTAAGTGGATTCAATTTCTGGAATACGATATACTAATTCTAATCTATTTATAATACATTATTTGTTGATGTAAGATATATTATCATTTTCTTACATTTTTGCTAATACCTAAGCAATTGCTTATTATGATTACGAGATGCTGATTGATTTGTTCTTCTACATAGTGGACAATCTAGGGTTGTTTGGAGATCTACAATAGTTTGGCACTATACTTTTAATTAGGAGATGTTTTTCTAAGTTTATCCGAACTCTCACTCAAATTTATTGTAGCCTTTCGAGCTGATAAAATGGTATTTTATTGCTATAAAAACAAAGCATTCTGAATTGGGAAATTTAATCCTTCTGCTTTTAGTATATTATTTGCGGCTTTATCTTTTATTTATTTAGTTCTAATTCAACATTTATTTAATACATTCTATCTCTAGAGTTACTATTATGATAATTTTTAGGAGGTGTCAGACTTGGAACTCTTTTTGTAGATAACATGTTAGTTGTGTTTAATTAATAGTAACTCCTGTTGTTTTGGTGATTCATATAAATATTTATAATTTCTTAAAACAATTATTAAATACAATTATTCTTCAATTGAATTTGTTATTTTTGTGATTAAAGTAAACAACCAATTGACTATGAATAGATATACCTATATAAATTAAAGTTTTTTATCTATTTTCTTTGTTGGATCTTAGATAATATTTGGTTCCTTGAATAAATAGTAAAAAGATAGAGATTAAAAATTCCATAGTTAATTATTATACTAATAGAGATTAATCATTGTGTTTAAAATATTTTAGAGTTGAACTTATTGAAAATAAAATATAAGATCTATATCTATTATATTAAAACATTTCTTAAAATAAATAGATAACTTAATTCCTAATTTTACATGTATCATTCCATCAAATTTAAATAGAAAGAATAGTCAATTAAATCATTAATATAAATGCATTTTAAACTTTTTTTTATAGAAGAAGGCAAACAAATTTTAACTAGAATAAAACTAACTATTAATAATATATTATCATTTCTTGTTATAAATAAAGGTTTTCACATTATTATTTGCCTTTTCACCATTATACTTTGAGTTAAATTGCATTTTCATGTCATTAAACTAGAAGGCATAATTTTATAATGAAATGTGATTGGATAAAAATGGAGATTTCGTTTTGGCTGAGATATTAACACTAGATTTCTTGCTTCCCCCAAATTTAATAGTATGTAAAAAGCCATCAAAGTTCTATTTTAAAAGAGGTGTTGTATTTGGTTACTCAGTTTTGCAAGTAAACAAATTGGAAATTTATCTTTGCATTTCTCTAAATTTATCATCTTTAATTTCTGGTCTAGTTTTTGGATATTAATCTGGCTTTGGTGGAGAGATAACCTTAGGTGGAGATGCTGTCCTGTCTAATAGAGGAGGAGTATTAAATTAATTGATTGTAAAGTCTCCTTAAATATTGATGTATTTCGTAGGAGAATTATTTGATTTGTAACTATCAAAGAGATTTGAGAATTATTAGGAAGATCCTGATTTTTAGAGTATAGATGATTAATGAGGTTGTAAATACGATTTAATAGGTTAGAGTTCCTTATCCTCGTTAGATTGTTAGGTTTCATCAGACATCCACAATTTTTCAAATTCTTATAGTGTAATCTCTTAGCTTTTAGATGAATTTAGTAAATTAAAGATTGAAGTGATTTAACTATTAAATGTAAATTGAAAATAATACCTATTAGAGGTAATGCCATGATTGGTTTAGAGTTCAATTGTCAGTTCTTCTATGTCTATTGTTCCATTTTTATTTTTGTCAATGGAGTCAAAAGTAGTCTTGAGATTAGAAAATCTGGATTGTAAATTTGATTTCACCTTCTTCCATAGTTGTACTTTTTAAAGCATATTCGTTATAAAATTAATTTAAATTTATTCAAATTAAATTGGTTAAGGTTTTATTAGGATTTATTAATATTGTAATATTTTATGGATAATTAAACATAAATTCAATAATAATTTATCTACAGAAAGCTTGAGCTAGAAGATTATCAAAAAGGATTTCTCCTTTGTTTGTCTTATTTAACAAAAACACCAGACCTTCCCTTCGAGAAATTTAAGGAAATTCATAACAATTACCCTGGGTTTGTATATGTAGTCGAGGATGTTTAAGCGAAGTTGATTGCTTCTACGATAAGTTTAGTTATTGAATAGAATATCTTTGAGACCAAATATTATATTGAAAACGTTGTAACTCATCCGGATTATAGAGGAAAGGGTTTCGTAAGGGAATTGATGGAAATAATTAAATAAGATGTGAGAGATCTGGTAAAAAAAGAAAATATAGAAAATGGAAATGAAAATAAACAAATATCATTGGAATTGTATTGCAAGAAGGAAACAAAAGGTTTATATGAAAAACTGGGGTTCTAAGAAGATGGTTTTATTGCTTCCAAATACGTTTGAATATTAATAATATTTAATGATAATTAATATTAGTGACTTATTCTTGAGTTTTATAGGAGGAATCATGATTGGAGTGGCATGTAGCATACATTACATCACAAAAGGAAGGATAACTGGAATTAGTGGTATTTATTATGGTGTAATTACATTTAATTGGGATGAATTTTATTGGAAATTATCTATTCTTTGTTCTTTAGTGTTTTCAACTGGATTAATGTATTAGATTTTTGGGTATTACATTCAATAATTTATAGAGATGAGAGCATTATGGCAAGTTCATCTTTGGCTTTTAATGAAATATCTCAAATTACCAGTTTATCTTATACAATTGCAGGAATTAGTGGTTTATTGATAGGTTGTGGAGCTAAATTGTGTAATGGATGTACAACAGGTCATGGATTTTGTGGTGTAGCAAGGATATCCATACGTTCATTTGTGGCTTTTGGTTTGTTCATACTATTTGGAGTGTTGAGTTGTTTTATTACTATGAGTGAGAACAAAGAAGATGGGGAAGAGAAATACAATTATAATCATGTTTCTATAATAATGATTGGATTAAGTTTAGTATTACTGTCGGCTAGTCTACTGGGAGCATACGTAAATAAAGAATAATTGATTGACACTATCATAGCAGTACCTGTTGGATTACTATTAGGAGTGGGAGTAGTATTTTCAGGGATGATTAAAAGAACTACCATTTTGAGCTTTCTTTCTTTGTAACAGTGGAACCCACAATTTTTATTTGTTGTTTTAGGGGCAAATGTAGTTTGCTATTTTGGATTTAGATTATTGAACAAACCTATCTTTGATGTAGAATTTTAATACCCTCCTACAAAGAAAGTGACAAATATTCTATTGGTCGGAGCTTCTTTATTTGGATTTGGATGGGGAATGACTGGAATATGTCCTCTAGTGGGACTAGCTTTGTTTCCATAATTTACATGGTAAGTTGGATTGATGTATTTGGGATCGGTGTCTATGGGGATGAGAATTGCTCAATGTTATCTTAGTAAGTATTAGAAAGTGGAAGATTAAGCTCTTGAATTCAATAGCAATAATTATATAATAAAAAATGACAATGAATAAAATGATAGATTTTGATATATATTAGTTTATATATACTAAATGATATTGTACAATTATAAGAATGAATCAATTAACATCTGAAAGAGGAAGTAGTTTACTTTTAATGAATTCATAACTTGCCCATGCAGTAGCTCCAGACATAGTCTGCATGCATAATCTTGGTAGCAATCCTTTATAGAAACCAAGATAACCCTCTTCTTTCAATATTGTTTTTATAGTTCCAAAGAAAGTATTATATTTGACTTAGGAGGAGTTAAGATGCCAACTCTAAGTCTGCAACTTGGTTTTGACAACATCCAATGGATTCATAACACAAACAGCTGCGCATCCTGCCAAAGCTGCACAACAGAAGTGGCTAACAAAATTATGTTCTGATTTCTTAAACATTAAAGTCTTGGTAGTTTCATTGGCAGCAAAAAATATGGCCTAATATGGAGCTGACATTAACTAAATTGAATTATCTAAAGTACATAAGTAATCGGAAAACTCCGATAAAATGCAATCAGTCCTTCTTACTTTAAGATTGTTTTCACTGTTCTCTTGAAAGTCTTCTCTTAGATTTGCTATCTTTATTTTATAACTTAATTTTAATAAAAGAGATACCATCAAATGGTACCATAATTAGATCGTGCCATAGAGTTGATACAGCTCCAATCAAAGCAAAGGCTTAAGGATGGATATTTTCATCATTGACATCCAGGAGAGTTTTCAAAATCTTGAATATCCCAATTACTTATACCTCATAACTACTGAAATAAAATGCATGAGCTGGCATACAACCTGCTGTGACTGCTCCATAACCATTAAAGAATGTCTTTAATCCTTATTTCCTAAAATTCCAATTTGTTCATACCTCAAAGACGAAACTGTCTACGAGAACTTCGAATCAGGGAGTACTTAAAGATGAGTCTAGTTGATATAGTTTAGAGAGTACTTTCACATTATCCAATGGTAACATTGATACATGTTCAATTAATCCTGCTAAGCAACCAGCTTAAAATTTTCTTAAATTAATACCAATCATGTGTACTTTAAGTGGAGTGTTTTCAGATCTTTTTTCCCAATCCTCAATTTCCATCATAAATTAATATTAAAAAGGATAAAATTTTATTATTATTTTCTCCAATTTAAAATGAACATGAATCATATTTTTCATATAAACAATCAATCACATAGTTATAAAATAATAGAAGAACACTATGCCAACAAAATAAACGACCAAAACTACCAAATTAAATAATTGATTAATACTTTTGATAATATTTATTTTTGTATTGCTAAAAATCTATTTAAGTTTTGGGAATCCCAAATAATTACAATAAGAATGAAGCAATATTACACTTATCAAAGAGCGAGTCTTCAGAAATACAGTTGCAGCATAAAATCCAAATATGAATGTGAACATTAAAATGAATACTATTAAAATAATCTATGAAATTACAGGTTGTAAAAAGTGCTTTGGTGAAACATGCCTTAAAATCTCTAAATTTATTTGCTTCCTTGTTGTACATACTCCTAAATTTTCTTTCCTTTCTGAAAAATGAGAAGAATTTATGAAAATGAGCAAGAGAAAATAAAATTGAAGTTATTAAACGAAAGTCACTCTAATCTTCTATATTTTAATAAAAAAGTGCCCTAAATGTAATCTCCTCTAAAAGTGGGGCCTATCTCATTAACTAAGTATAATACCAACAATATTCTTATCAACATTCTATCGTCAAAAACTTGATTTTGATTAAATCTATTTACAAAGTTTTCCTTTAGGAGTAATTTATCCAAAATTTGATTGTATATTGGACCCAAGAATAAAAAAGTATTGCAAATCAATGGGAATAAGATTGAATTTAAATCTACTTTTATGTGAATGCATTCCACTATGGATGAACAATTGCCAATTATATATCTTTGAATTAATATCATCAATAACACTGAAGTAGCCACGCTTAAGGTCTTGAGTTTAGCATTGGCACTCATTTTTAAATATCTTTTTATTTATTTCCAGACATAGACGCTTGAAATAAACATAATAGTGTATAGTAAAGGTATTTGCATTAAATAATTATATGTATTTATATTATTAAAATTAATAACAAGTTTTTATACAAATCAAAATAGATACTATTATCACAATTAATCATTAAGTTCTGTTATTTGATTATATCTCCATTAATTAATAAATATCGAATTCACGATCAATGCAATCGAGCATGCTAATTCAAGAAAAACTGTAAAATTATAAAATGAGAATGAACACTCCATTTATCCCTAAAGATCAATCACATTTTACCTTCATTTTCTCCTCTATCGAAAATTCTTCCTATAAATTGCATAAATTGTAATTATTTATCTGTGAAGCTTTGATCGACACATAATCAAAATAAGCAGATATCAACTAATATGTTAAAACATCAATATACTAACAAAACAGAAAATGCTATTCCTATTTAAAAACTAAGTTCTCCATACTTCTTATTTGATTTTCGCAAGGCATAGATTCCAATTAGCACACTCGAGATAGAAAGCAATATGAAACATAATCTAACTTCTGAAACAGCTATTTCCCAAGGACATTCAATCTATAATCAATGAAATGTGAAATACAATTGCACTGGCTTAAAGGTCTTGTTTCACTTTCAAAAATATTTCTGATCTTATTGGACCACTTATGGTTTTACAATTCATGGTCCTTCTCATTTCAACGCAAATGTAATGGCCTCCTGTAATGATTAAATCAAGTTCATACTATTATTTGCAGATTCAATTTCACAAGTCCACTTATCATCAGAGCCAATAATGCTGTAAAATAGTAAAATTAATAATAATCCCTAAGATTCTTTTGTTTTATTTTACTAGTGCAACCAAATTTAGGATCAAGCTCCTCTTGGTATTTCCATCACTTTCGTACAATAATTTCTTGGCTTACCAAATTTCTTTGTTTGTTTTTGCCTATATATCCAACATATTAAATACGTGTATAAATTAATAATTATTTCTAACAACATATAACTATTACAATATATGTTGGTTTACTTAAATTAGTAGTCCTTCAATAAGTATTTCCTGTATTGATGAAAATAGAAAATACGATTTTGACTTTTCTTATTCATTAAATATCTATCAAAGTTTATGGAGTATGAGAATTCTTGTTTATTGTTTAAATTAAATTTGTATAATGCTTTAGTTAATTAAAAAAATGGATAAGTAAAATAATAATTAAATTATTTATAAGCGATGATTTAAAATAATTATGGCTCTTTCTTGTTTATTTTAGTGCTTCTGTTTTTTATTTATCATACTATGAGGTCATAAAAGAAAAAAAGTAAATTAAAATTAATTAAAATCATAATTGATACTTACAAATATATTTATCCGACCATGTTCAAAAGTCTTATACCAATTAAACTATTTTACACTTCTGAATTTTACCGGATTTACAATAAAATTAGTAGGAATAAATCTTTAAGCTTGTTTTTGATACTGATTTCTTAATCATAGATATACTATTTAATATGCCATCCCTTTTCTAAGCTTTTTCAAATATATGCAAAACCCCTTTTTTTGTTTAACAAATTCTTTTAGAATATCAAGTATCAAATTTACTTATTAATAGTCTTGACTTTCAATATGGTAACACTGAAATATGGTCTGAACTTTTCTTGATTATAATGTTGGCTTTGCAATTATTATATTTTTTGTGTTTTATCCATCTTTACTATTGTTAAAGAATTAAAGTTAGAAATCAGCTCTTGAAGAAATAGTTTTAGTCACTATAGTAACGGGACTCAGAAGTATCAGTCTCTTTATTTTAGAATGAATCAAATAGTGCAATCAATCTGATTTAAGTATCTGAAATTTATATATCATTTGGAACAAAGATTTACAAATAATTGTTTCATTATCCAATTATTCAATTGGCCTTCCGAAAAATGTTCACATTATCAAACTAAAGTAAACATAAGATTATAAATTTAGATTCTGATTTGAATTCTTATTAAATTTTAGTATTAATCATCACCTACTTAGTATTCTCACTTAATATCTTATTCTATATTCTGAACGAAACTCATAACATCCAATACTCATTCAAAAAGGTAGATTATCTATCCCGTTTTTATTCATCTGGCACTCTGCTGCAATCATTGACAATAGAAACCATGATAATTGTGGTTTCTATTTTAGATAATTTAGGAATTGATGAGATGGCCACTTTGATGATTCAAATAGCCCTGCTTACTCTAATTTTAACATTATCTTATAATAGCCCATAATATTAAGAAGAAATGGTTAATAAAATTCAGATCTAATCTTTTTCCCTTTATTTAGCCATTATTTTGTGTATACTCATATTCGCAGAAGGACTTCACTAGGAATTTTCGGAATTGATTCTGATTATACTTCCATTTGTATTTGAGATTTCTAAGTTAATATTTAGGAAATAGGAGAACAAGACCCAGAATTTAAGTTACGAAAATAAGAATTTCGATTGTTTGATGATGAACATTTATAATCAATGCTAAGAAACTCTAGGCAGAAATGGAATATTGTTAAATGAAAGCAAATAACAATTAACAAATAATTTAAATCTTTACTCATTTTCCACCAACCATTTAATTAATTGTGAAAATGCAATCAATTGTTTTTGTTGTTGTTACAAAAAGCAAGATGATCGCTTTACTTCTCGATCATAATTTAAACAATACGTAAAGGAATTAATAAGATTCCATTACGAATTAAAATTATTGAGTTTGAACAAAAATAATTCTTAACAATATCTGAAAAGCTACTTTTATTATATCCTATACATATCAAAAGTGATTAAGTAACCTACTAAGGCATTCCATGAGATAATCAAATTGAAGAATAATATGTATTCTGGTATGAACCTCTTGAATCAAATGTTCACAAATTCAATTGAAAATCTGGTCAAACAGGATTTTTTAATGATGATTGAAAACAAAAACATTACCAATCAAAAATATGATTGCTTTAAAGTCTTTAATTACATTCAGTCAATAAATTAATGGAAGGAAAAGTTTGGATAAATCCTATAGATGTAAAAATAGTGGTACATGACTCTATTAAACAAAAATCTTACCTAACTTATAATTGATGGTATGCACTTGTAAAATTTAATCTCTGCTTAAGAACAATAACTCAAACTACTTTTTAGTTAAAACCCACTTTCCTAATAATGTCAAGTCTTAATCCATCTATTTTATAAGTACATAAACTTCAATAGGAGAAAGATTGAAATTCCCGCATTAGATTCTTCCCTTGCTTATAAATTTTCAAATTCAATAAATGGAATCTTGTTTCATAAAGAAGCGAGTCTTGTCTATTTAACATTATTAGATACTAAAGGGATCATCAAAAATTACACTAAAACATTTAGAGATGCTCTATGTACAATAGATAGTGAAATAATGAATAATTCCATCAATAATTTCATTCCAGATATTATAGCAGAAGTGCATGATCAATATTTAGACAACTTTGTTGAGAGAGGCAGAATCAATATAATGAAATCGGACAGAAGATTTCTGTTGGTCAAAAATAAATTAGGGTTTATATTTCCAATAATAGCCAAAGTTAGATTGGAGACAGATTTGGGATCGGATTTTGGTTCATCTGCACTTATACTTCCTACCTATCAAAATTATCATTACATCATGTTGAATAAACATGGTTTAATGGAAGAGATTAGTGATAAATTATACAATGAAGTTATCTCTCCAATTCTTTGCATTGATCTTAAAGATCTCAAATCTTTGGATTGTCTCAAACTAATACCAAAGTTGATAAAAAGTTGGAAATCACTAAATTAGACTAATGTTTTGGACTAGGAACTGAAAGAACCAACTCAATCATATATTGTAATTCCGAAGAAAAGAAAAAAATAACAAATACTGTTATCCTCATACGTGAAAGAGAAGAAATAAACCATTTATGATTTCTTAAAAGGTTAGGATCTAGTTAATGAGAAATATTTTGACAACTTCAAAGAGATGTATATGTTTAGAATTACATTCAAAATTGTTGAGTTTTATACATTTTAGGAAACGTAAGCAACATTTTTAATTTTAGGATTTATTGTATTGAGATTTAAACAATTAAACCTGTTCGTGAATCGCAAAGAATGGAAATATTTGAAAAATTGATAGAAAAATCAGAGTATGCGAATCTCAGTAGAAAATTCATAAAACTAAATTAAGAGAAAATGGATTTCAAGAAGTTAAAAACTAAAAAGTTAGAAGTAACTAATTAAAAGGAATCACTAGGGTTCATATCCTTTTAACCTGAAATTTATAATTTGGACACCTCAAAATTAATAGAAGATGATTATATGATTAGGTAGAAGGAAATGCAAATTCATTTGACTAATCCTCTATATATTTTAGAAGTAAATCTTAAATTAATATAAGATAGAAGAATATTAAAATCTAATTAGTTAACCAAATAGCCAAGATAAGAAAATATCAGATCAATAGACATTTCGAATGAAATCATCAATTGGGCCTAGCTTTGGTGCTTTGAATCACTTTGGTAGCAATTTCTCAAATGGGGTTAGTTAAGTCTTTGGGTCTGATTAAAATAAACTCATTGTACACTCCAGTGCAATATTGGAGGCATTGAATGAAAATAAAGAATCAATAAAATCCAAGAATTCCGATGAAGTCATGGGATCAATAGATAATTTTCTATTTGATGCGGATTAGATGAACTCTATATCCTCGTCATAAATCAGTGATATCAAAGTCAAGAAAACCCAATTGAAACACAACTTGTTTGATGAACAGACTAAGCAGCATTGGACTATACGCATTATTAATTTGATGACATTTACTCTGCTTATCATCTTTAACATTTTCTACTATTATGTCTTGAATTAAGAAAATAAGGTAAAGTATAATAATTTACATTTTGTAGATAATAGACTCAGCACTATAAACATACAGGTTGTCAAACAATTTTTAAGTATAGCTAAATAATTTCATTCTGACCTTCAATTATTCGAATACAAATAGATTCAATCATTCTCAATACATGAAATTTTGTGCCAGTCGTTTTTAGAATGACATAGCTAAACTCTAATACTATTCCCCTAATATAGAAAATAATTCAAGTAATAATAATTAATTTAATATTAAGTTCAATATCTATAGATTAGCGAATTTGAAAACATTACAAATCTGAGTCTGTTTTATTCTTTGGGATATTTCTCTTAATATTTACTCTCGCAATCAAATTGTTCTAATTAGGAGTATTTTTTAGAATTGATAGCCAGAAATTTCATAACAATAAGTACTTCAAATTCTGTATTAAATGCAACGGTCATCAAAGACGGAGTAGATTAATTTAGGAATGCTTAACAATAAACAAAATTATCGTTTTATTTTACTCTGATATCACTTTGCATTGCATTTTTGTTTTACCTCATTCTTTTGATCGTTATTAACAAAGCTAAATAGAAGATAATTAAATTGTTCAATACTATTTCAAAGACCCAATTGAGTTGTTTAATTGATTAGATTTCAGTAGTTGTACATTTTTTGGATAAGATTGACTTCATTAATGAAGAAACTACTGAACATCAATTTGAATAAATAAAGTCAAAAATTGCTTCTACTCCAAGGATCAAAATCAATGCTCCCTAAAAAAGATAATCTTTGAAAGTGAAATAAAACAAAGCGAAAGAAAACAGTAAAAGTTTTTTTTATTTTAGATTCTAGCTGCTCTTATTTATTTGATTTACTCTGCGTTATTATTACTTTGTTACTTTATTATCTCTTCGTAGTACATAGGCTCTCAAATTTATTAAAATTCATTTGAAGAAGATACAATATATTCATTCAGATAATTACTACTCTACAAATCATCCCAATCCTTTTTGTTATAACAGAAGAGCTTCTAGAAGCTTCTAATTAAATATGTGTAGATAGGAAAGGAAGAGATGCTTTTTTTAAATCAATGTAACATTATTTAATTAATGAATAGGGGATGAGGCATTAAAGTTCATGGAAGGACAATTAGATGTTCTTTAGAGTTTCATTCAAAGATTGAATGATTAAAAATCATTTTAAAATGAAATCTTCACAAATACAATAAAGAAGAATGCCTGTTAAGCCTTTTAGTTTACTATTGTGAATACTACTGACGATAGAGAGTTTTTCAACGAGGCCATCTGCAAAAACCTTGATAGTCTGGCATCAGGTTTAACAATTTAATTAGTTGCTATGTAACAAACTTTATAATAATTCTATTCGATGAATAAATTGAATAATAAACAATTCAAATCCTATTTGTCAAACATGGAGACGAATTCAACCTTAGAAAATGATATCATTAGTGTGCTTTACACGTCTCATGTTTTGGCATTGCTGCATGATTTCGTGGCTCAAGAAGGCCAATAGGAATTATATTTTAATTATATAGTGCATACTATCAGATTCATATTTGGATTATTGGTTTACCTTGTTTTAATTATTATAAGCAACAGGAATATAAGGTTGTACTTGCATAAAGAATTGATTAGGACGAAGCAGTTGTTTTTGCTGATACCCTTGGAAATATTGTGCGAGAATGCAAATGTTTTATAACAATTAATAAGAAACTAGAAATGAGATGTCATTATTATATATTATAAATATTTATATTTACAAGTTACTTTAAAATGTCAAATTAAGTATCTATATCAGTTAAAGAATTGAGAGTCATAAAAACTCCAATTGCCAATGATTTTAGTAGTTTTAGAGATTTATAAAGGCTCCCAATAACTAAATCTAATTTTAAAAGAACTTATCTAAAAGGTGCTTCGCATAGGGTAAAATCATTGAAGGAAGAAAATCAATTTGCAGAGGCTCACAAGAGATAGGGGAATGAGAAGTTATTCAAATTCAACAGATAAGATCAATTATTGAACATTAGAAATATGCATTTGCATAAATTAGCTCCTATAAATACGGAGCCTTATGTTGATGAAAATAATAAAATTTAAAACAAATAAAAAATAAGGAACGCAGAACCAAATAATTTAAACTTAAAACTGATAACCAATTCAATTAATTAGACTATGGAATTAGTCTACAACCCTCAACCGATCATCAAAAAATCAATAAGATTTCCCTTATAGAATGCGACTCAAAAGACAGAATTTCAAAACTCATTGTTAGTCACGTAAGTAACTCATTCAGGCCTGAATTCTCCAAAAGAAACATAAAAGAAAAAGGTTGAATTGTCAATTCTGAAACCTTCACAAAAGAAATGTCTCAAAGATATCTTTATAGATTCCATCCAAACTACTAGTTATGGTTCCATTCGTATGGATACCATAGAAACCAAATACATATCTCCTAAACCAAATGTAACTACATCTTTGGATAGCACAAAAAAAATATTGAAGTAATATTTATGAAGAATTTTATTAATATTAATTTGTCTGTTGTTATATGTTTTCAAAAACCAACTAAGTGTCTCCAATCAGAACTCAATCTCCTGTCATTGCTCATAAACACTCAAATCCAAACAATTCTACTTAAGCACAATCTTATTATACTTCATCCAAAACCACACCTCTGAAAATGCAAGAATAAAAATTTGAAATCATTCAATAAGGAGCAACCATCCCAACCCAACCGTAAACATCACCAGAAAAAATTAAGATACTCAATCATGACTTTGAATTGCAAGTCTTAAAAAATGAAATCACCTTCAAAGAATAAAAAATAGTCTCCTTAGAAAAAGCCTTGGAGTTAGCAAATGAAGATAGAACTAGATTACGCTCTGTTTTAGAGTAGAAATCCATTTTATGCGTCAATAAGGAGAGGGAAATAGCAAAGTTATTAGCTACCATTCATTAATTGGAATTCAAGAGGAATGAGAATTAAATAATCAAAGAACTTTAAACCTAGATCGATACTTTAAAATAGTTCATTTAAGAGAATGCCTTAAATAGACAAAGCATTAAGTAAGAAGATACGACTAGTCTCAAAAATAAATTAACTACTACTTAAGATTAACTCGCTTAATCCATCAGGTAAAACGAATCACTCTAACAGTATGTAAGTGACCTTATGAAACAAAATAAGGAATTGTCTCAAAAGTATTAAGAAAAATTTTTGGAATGGCAATAATTGCAGATGTAATTCAACTAACCTTCAAATTATCAATCTGAAATAAAAGAAAGTGAATAACCTGACATTCAAAAAAATACATTGAATTACAATTACAATTCCTCTGTAAAGTAGTAGAGTTAGTTTGATTAACAGAATGAAATTTTAAAATTCCTATCACAGATTAAACAATAATACTTGGAAGAATCACCAAAGAGAGACATTGATGACCAAGAATAAATAAATGTTTATAGACCAATTTACAGTTTTCAATCCACCGAAGATATCAATAAAACAGAAAGATTAAATAAGTGAATCTATTATATTAGTAACTATATATATAATTATATCAATTGATTTTTGCTCTACAAACTGGACAAGAATTATTAAGCTTTAACCATTATGTCAAGCAATCTTTGTGAAAGTTGTGAGAACAACTCATTTCTAACTCTGTCTCATCCTACATAAAGTCCTCTTGACATATATAGCAAGTTTATGATTAATCTTCAATCATTGCCACATGTTCCCTTAAACTACTTATTTAGGACTCAGTAGCTCCTTACTATTGTTCTTCTAAGAAAATTAAATTCTCTGTAAAATGAGCTAGAATATTTAGAAAATCTGAGATTTCACTAAGGTTCTATGCCCAACTAGATAATGCCCTTGATTATTAAGCCTCTGGAGATACGTAGATCTCAAAAGAACGTAATTCTGTATCGTTAATATCCTATTCCATTTATTCTAATGGACTATCGCATAATATGCAATATTCCTGATGATCTTCATCTTAATTATAAGTTCTCTAAATTATCTCCATTTTACAAAGATGACACCAATAATTTTCAAAATGATTTCTCCCTTCAAACACACTTCTTAAAACTTAAAACATTTCGTTAATTTATAAATTTTAATAATTTCAAGATTTCAGAAACCTTAATAGGAACAATTCTATATGATCAATTAACTCTTTTTACCATTAAATTAGATTAGATCATTTAAAATAAACCCCTTGCTCTTATTGTTCTAATATTTTTATTTTAATCTTATGAAATATTCCTATAAATAATATTACATGCCAAAATATTATCAACATATATATGTATTTCAAACATAATCTCAATAAATATATGTTAAACAATAAAAGATGTTTTATATTAAATTTAAATAAATAAAATATTTTATACAAAGTGAGAATGTGCTTTTAAGTTAATTTTGATTCGAAACACGTAAATGTTAATTAATAAACAATAAGAGGACTTACAAAAGAATGTCTATTTTCTATTAATCATTTATATTCACATATACTTTAACAATTTTAGTATTGTCCATTTTTGCCTGGAATGTTATAATTTCATAATTATCAATTAGTAATATAGTGATCTCACAAAGCCTTATGTTGACAGAATATAGAATTGGGAATTGGACCCAATTTATGAAGTTTATAAATAAGACATTTGCGAATCTGATTCAGATGACTTCTTTAAACTGTAGTAGGGATAAACATATTATACTAAATGGACAAATTCAAATTAAGTATTTTCCCTTTGCATAAGAAGATTAAAAGATTACAACTTCGTACAGAGTAAGGCTTAACTAATTAATATAGAATATCAGATATACCCTAAATGTTTAGATACTGAGGAATTATGCGGTGGAGTATATGTTTAGAATAAGTATTGTGCACCAAAAGGATAGTGTCCAATTAATAGTATGCTATTTGTAACTGGAGATGGTAAGATAGATTAATATTGCAAGAGTTGAAGAAGGTTGATTAAACGAAATACACAACTCAGTTGTAAATAAATGATAACTTTTACTTGGTAACATCAACCTTGGCTGAGAGTCTGCCAATAAATCAACTTGAAATCTATGGGACATCTCCTTGTGTTGTTAGTTAATTTACAAATTACGATACTATCTTTTCTAATGCATTTTGTGAGAATGATACAGCCTACACTCTTTTGAATCAAATTGATGAAATGACATTTGCAACTTCAAATGGGTTTACTTCCAATACTGCTGACAAGTATACAATTTAATATCATTTTAGAGTTGGTATATATTCTCGTAGTTACACCTAATTTAATATTGAATGTAGACAGTAGAATCTAATTACGTGGGGGATCAGAACTCTAAAAGACAGTGATGCCATTTATCCTGTTCTATCAATACTAATGATAACTAGTATAATTCACTTTGGATTGGTTGGATTTGTCTAGTCTTTGTATTACTTTATGTAAGTTCAATATTAAGCCCCAACAAACAAAAGTGTTCATTAAGGATTGTTACTAGTCAAAATATTCATCTAGTATTTTCATTCAGCAATGATTACCTTGGCTTTTGGGTTGTGGATAGATATCAAATTATTTCTACAAATATCATACGATTTGAATTGCAGTGACACATAAACAGATACCTTCATAAGTAACGAATTAGATAACATTGATAAATAATGGAAATTAAGCTTTATTATGTTTTTGTTGTTTGTAGCCTTCGCTTTACTTGAGTGTACTGCATTCTCTATTTGTTTGGATAAGAAACTTAAAAAAAAGATAGAACCAAAATATAGATAGATCACATTCTCAACTGTCAATCAATCTCAATTAGGAACCAAATCGGATAATTCTAATTTATATATGTATTTTAAACCCTAATTCAATTTGCAATAAGAACTAAATCTATAATAAGAATTGGGTGCTAAATAGATTGATTAATTGGAATTTCCAAATTAAATTTTAGAGAACTAATAGCAATTCAATAATAATGAACCATCTATTTCGATGAAACAGTCTAATTCAATTGATCCATCCCTTTAATAGTCAATTCAAAGTCCCATTAAATAGCAATCATTAGACAAATAACAATCATTAGATTAATAAAAAAACAGTCAAGCTCCGTATATGTAATAGATGCAACAAAAACCAAGTTAGCGATTGTAATAATAAGGCTATACAATACCTCAACAATAAATTGATTTAGCTAACTTTTAATCTTAATAAGTTCCCATTCAGAAGCCTTCAATGAAGTATGATATTGATGATCAAATTGATAGTGAAGAGTAGAATAATCGCACTTATCAAGTTCACAAATGAATTTATTCTCATATAAATAATATTTTAATTAGAATATCAATCAACTATATTGAAATGAATACACCTATAATTTGCTAAGTAACTGATATGCACATTTAGTTATGATTGAGACTATCTATAATGTAAAATGGTTTAGATAGAGATTTTAAATATAAATTGTGATATGTGAATAAAATTTCAGTTGTTTGCTTCTTATGATTGTGCTTGATTTAATCCCACTCCTAGTACTTTTTCCATTTCAAACACTCTATGATCCAATAGATTAGATGATTTCTTGATTCTGGCTTTTTCATTTTTTAAGGTGTCCACTTAATTGCTTAATTCATGTACTTCAGCATTTGCTTCTTCAGCCAATTTTCTAAAATTCCGAGTGAAATCGGCTATCTCTTCAATAAAGCTTGTTGATGTATCATCATTAATTGATGATTATAGATATGACTCATGAATGATTTCTTATCTCAACATCTATAATTCCTTCTTGTCTTTTTCTAATTCATGTAATAGATATTCTAACATAATCTAGTTTTAATTACTAATACATTTAATTTTTCTTCGTGTTCAGTCATTGGCAAATTCATTGAATTTTTTTAAAACTGTTATAAAGCCTCTTTATAGGATTGCATTGAGTTATTTAATTAAATATAAATAATATTTTGAAAATAAGAATTAGTAATAAATATTGTAACAAAACCACAAAAGTGTATCATGGAAATAAAACCATCAAAATCCCAATATTCAGATATCACGCAACAATTATCACTTCGATCAGTGGATTCAATCATCATAATGAAGATTTGATTTCATTTAAATTTGCAAAATCATATGGCCTAGTTTCTTCAAATTATTGTTGTTCAAAATATTTTCTTTGATGTTCCTTGACATTTTCATATCATTATAGATGATATAATATAGTAATTCATATTTAAAATTAATTGGTATGCTTCATTCTTATAATCGTGAACAATTAGTGATTCCTTGAATTAAGTATTAACTAAATTTTATAATGTGAGTTTGTATAGTTATATTTCCTATTCTGCAGTTGTAATATTTGAATTAGACAATTCAGAAACAATATATTTAATTAGAAATTTTGATTATTTTTTGTTCAACGCACTATTCAATTTCTCTTTAAAATTCTAATTAGTTTTCTTTTCACATGTAGATAGTCAGAGTTTAGCATTTTGAAAGGGATTAATTCGAAAAATATTGATCTGATATGATACATCAACATAAAAACATTTAAAAGAAATCACCAGATATTAATACATTCGTCTTTATTTGTGGATGCTTTATTGACTTAATATCAATAATTAAATTTATTTAATTATCTATCTATTCGAGTTGAATCATATGAGAATCGCATAGCATAGCAAGTCTTGTTAAGTGTTGTAACAAAAAAAAATCTTTACTTTTAATGATGAAGAGTTAATAAACACAGCAGAGTCAACTCCAGATTCATCAGGAAACACAGAAAAACCGTAATTGTTGGTTTTTAGAAATTAAATAATGCCTGATTCATAAATTGCAAGAGAGCTTCATGAGGCATCTATCCAGTCACATTGGTATGTGGAAACACCCAAAGAGTATGTTGAGAAGCGTATAGTGAAACTCAAGAAACAAAAACGTACATTTTGACCCTCTAGTATTATCTTAGTTGAAAAAGTAGTTGTGTTGGATCTGGATGAGACTTTGATTTACTATAAACCTAACTAGACTGTTGTCCGACCATTCTGCTAAGAATTCCTGGAAAGATTATCAAGAATCTGTACTTTAGTACTTTTTACTGCTGCTAAAAAAGAACACGCAATAAACGTAATTAATTGATAAATTTTAAGATGTTAAAAATTATAGATCCAAATAAAAAATATTTTAAAGCTATTTGCACTTCAGATCACATGATTGGCAATGTTAAAGATTTGAGAATTTTTTAAACTGATCTCAAAGATATTGTAATTGTTGAAAATTCTCCAAAAAATTTTATGTATTTTCATTCTCTAAATAAGTGCCTAAATCAACAATGGTATACCTATCATACCATTTGAAGGTTAATAAAACGACAATTAACTTGAATTGTTACTTTCGTTCTTAGAAATTGTTCTATTAGTTGATGATGTACGAGTTCAATTAGCTAATATCTTTAAACTGTAATATTTTTATAAGGAATTGAATGGAAAATAAGCCATTAACAAGTTATATAATTTTAAAAAAAATTAATGACTTAGAAATTGTAATCATTTATATTTATACTATAAATAACATGTCTGATTATTATTTTTATAAACAAGAGGAAAAACAAAAATCACACAGAAAACCAACCAATTTTTTATCAGACTCAGAAGATACCAACTCTCATCCACAATTGAGAAATGCATAACGGTTTTTGTAATTATGTAATTATAGAAAGTCAGTCGTAAACCCAAAATAATGTAAGAACTGATCAAACTGCCTCAGCCATAAGTTTAATATATCACTCCTGTATCTATTCTCATTATATCCAGTATGTCCCTGAACCCATTCCCATACCTGAAGCTATTAAACAGATCGATAAGAAAATACAGGCATATCGAAGAGTAATGGAGATCACAAAAAAACAAAAGGAATTATAGGAACAATAACGAAATGTGGAAAATGTATTTATTTAAAAGTAGTCCGTTGATTTCCTAACCAATCCTAATATACAATTACAAAATTAATAAGATGATGAAAATGAGGAAAAATAAACTCAAAATTAAAACAATCAAGAAGATATTGATAATAATCAAGCAAATAATTTGCAATAGGAATATCAAGGCAAGCCAAGATAATAGTATTATTCCGAATCAGTTAAAAATCGAGATTATATTTATGATAATATGATTGAAAGACTTTATGCAAAAAGATAAAATCCAGCTTTGTTTGCAGTAATGACTTGATATAATATTCCCAATTAGAAATTACAGAAGAAAGCTCCTGCTTTGAATATTACATCGAAGAATAAAATTTAATCAGGGAGTGGAAGGATGGATATGGAAGAACATAAATTAAGAGTGTATAACAGAGAGAATGTACCAACTATTCCTGAATTGATAATTCCAACTTTTATGATAAAAAAAGATACCATGGCAAAAAATATATTGGCATATCTAGTATTCATTTAATTTAGCTTTTAGAAAGATTATTCTCCAATTTACAGACAATAGAATCATAATGAATATCCAAAATGTGTATAAAACATTTTAGAGGATGAGGATGACATTATTAATAACCATGATAAAAAGTGAAGTAAGAGTGAGTTAACATGTTACAAAATGTATTCATTAATTCTAGATATAAACTAAAATATAAGTTAATATGCTATCATCAATCCTATATTTAACTGTTAATTTATGGGTTAATTGTGTGAGAACTGCATTTTCTTTTGGAATTCTTATCTTGAATAGAATCAGAGTCTCCTTCAATCTCTACATTTTGTTATTTAATTTGACTCTATTCATCATTTTACTTCATTTCAATATTTTACCTTTAATTTTCATCTTCTTCTTAATCTAAATTCGGATTTACTTGAGCTTTTCTGACTTTTTTAGAACTACAACTAATTATATTAGATATGAATGAAAGTTTACCAAAATCTTTGAGGAGTTTCTATTTAAACTTGTTATTGGAATTTTTTCTATCTATTTTACATAATCCAAGAGTAAGTGGTAATTCCTTTAAATTTCAACCAAAAATGGAAAATCATTAGATTGAAATTAAGAATAAAGAGGAGACCAACTAAACCTACATTTATCCAAATCCATATCATCATTCTAGGAGATTAAAAGAAGTATGAAAATATTGCAAAAATAGTAAAGGTGATCCCGAATAAAGATACTAAAACTAATAATTTGAAGAATTCCTAATAATTCTTTTTCCCAATACAATTGTTCAACCATTTACAATGATGATCAAAATCTGAAACGCATCTAGAAATTTAATTAATATTCTACCTTTCACAGACCTTACAATGCTTAGTTGTACCACTTACATAGCTGTCACAAAATTAACAAAAATAATCATAGAGCTCTTGATCCAATGGTCTAAATATCAATGAACCATAAATACATATTCAATCCACTTCTTTATTATATTATAAGATCATCAGTTGGATCAATGTAGGAAGTCTTAAAAGCATAAAAAAAGATCATTAAGGCTAAAAAGTAGAAAAAGGATGCTAAAATAATCTAGTTAAATTATCTTCTTTACCTAAACTATTAAATCAGTTATTGGGACTATTGCAATTGACACACAACACATCAATTGAATAAAGAATATCATAGTAAAAACTTGGAATGGGTGTTTCGGTCTAGTAAAACCATTAACAATTTTATGCTCTCTGTTGCTTGTAATCATTTAATTTTATTAATCATGATTACTTATGAGGTAAAATTCTTGATTAATGATTGTAATATATGATAAAATATATCAATTTCACCTTCCAGACCATGAGGCAACTTATTTTTTGAACATAATGATGACTTCATCAAGAATAGCATTCTCCTCTTGTCTCTTAGCCTTGGCTTCAGCATAATCAGCTCTCTTGCTTTCTAAGTCAGCTTGGGCTTAATCTAAGGCGTCCTGAGATTCTTATAAGATGATCTTTGATTTGGCTTATTAGGCTAAAGCAGCTTAGATTTACTAAAATTGAATGATATTGTACAGTAGCAGTTCTGTCAGCAAAGACTTATTTTCTTTCATATTCAACCTCTAAGGAAGAAATTTCAGCTTCAGATAATGAAACCCATCCAGCTAACTCCCATGATGCATTGATTTCATTCTACTTCAAGTTTTCCAATGAAGCAGACAATTCAGATTCCAATCCCTCAAGAACACTCAACACTTTTTCAGCTAAGGTTGCTCCATGACCAGATGATGCTCCTTCCTAGCGTGATGATTATTTGAATATACCTCTTGTCCATTAGCTAAAGCCAAAAAGGACTTAATTTAATGGTCTTAGAAAAGATTGCTGTATTGTTTCAATTTCTCAGCAACTGATTAGGCCTTGACTTAGGTAAATTCAAATGAGTCTCCATTGATGATGTAACCAGCAACGTCTTATTTTAAGAGTCTGATGACTTCAAGAGCTTCTTGGTTGTGTTTAATGGATTTGACGAAAAGTTAATTGCTAAAGCATTGATTATCTTAGAGAGCTTCAATTTTTCTTGCGATTTCATCTCTTCTAGCTTCATTCCAAGCCAAATAATTCTTTGTTTATTTAAGAACTTCCTCATAATTGGCTCTATTCTCAATGGCTTAATTAAAAAGTTTTTAGTTCAGACTTTTGATCTTTGTGAATTGTTCGATAGTTCTAAGTGGATTATTATGATTATTTACTATGCACCAACCCATTCATCTGTTTCATTCTTTTAATCTGCAGCAAATTGAGCATCAATATTTGATTGCTTTAAATCATTGAGTAAGCCAAAAACTGTATCAATAGCGTCGCTTGCTTTTGTTCCAGTCTATCAGAGATAGCAATACTTTTACTTATAATAAAGCAAGGATTTGGTCCTATGTTTTTGAAGCATAGGTTGTTGCTGCAAGAGCGAACAAAACAACAATAATGAATTTCATATAATTATTAATCAAAAACGTACTCTCATTAAAAACGATAAAAATAAATAAATTGTATCCCCATTATCTTCCCTTTAAATACAATTTCAAATAATAATAATTTATTAATCATACCCTTGTCTCTCATTGTTAGTAGTTATCCCCAAATCAACAGCCATCTTACAAAGATTTACTCTAAAATTTAGATTAAAATAAAATATACTCTAAAATTAAGATTTCTATTGTATTAGCAGGATACCATAATTACTTTTTTAAAAAGAATCTTAAATAACTTCTCCTTTTTCTCTGAATCCATTACGTTATATCAACTTTCTTTTAAAAATGACTTTATGATCTTTTATGATATATCAGGCAAGGACTATTCTCTTTATTTCTAATTTTCATTTATTTTTGAGCTGTTCAATAACCTAAATCAAAAACTATTCACTATCATATTGTTAATCAAAAATCATTTAAACAAAAAAAGTAATTAACTTCAATATTTTTGATTGAATGATTTCTAGAGTTTCTCTTTGTATTTCTAATTACCTTACTTTTAGATTACTTTAATCTTTCATTATTTCTAACTCCTTTTCTGTTTTGTAAATCATAAATAATTTGTTTTTTTTAAGATTATTCTTAATAGTAAGTTTATTCCACTTCAATACTTTAATAAATTTGTAGTTGATATTCCTTATTTAAATATCCAATTATTCTTGAATATATTTGAAAATGTTCTTTTAATTCCTACAATTATCTCTTTATTTTCTTTTTACTTTAGAAATACCTCAAATTTAACAGCAACTTCTCCTATTAATTTTATAACAACTTTTAAGCATCGATTATCTTAGCATTATTTACATTTGACAAATTGGGGTTTACATAATAAAGTTTTAATTTGCTTTGCTATACCCATTAAATTCAATAATTTTGAAAAATCAGGTTTGATAATTGCTTCCTTAATAACATCAATTAATTACTTTTCTTTTGCCATTTTATAATAAATAAAAAATATTTAAAAATACTTCATGCAATATATAATCTATTAATAAAAAGACTGGAGGAGGATGATCAATTCAAAACCAACTTGCTTGCATGATTTTCGAATTTGAATGAATACATAAAATAAAATTATAGTTAACTTTAGAATTAATCAAATACTATTATTAAAATTTAACTAAAATAGTGAGTTCGCAAATAAAAACACTGTCATCATAAAAATTCTTTTGTTGTAATAGATTAATATAAATAAAAAATGAGGGATAACTTCACTTTAAACAAGTAGAATGACTTTCAGAGTAACAACTAAAATGAAAAAAGGAAAGACTTTATTACATTTCAAATTTAGAAGGAATCCAAGAGATTGATTATGCAAGTATTAATCATTTAAAACATAGTTAGAATGGGGATATACGCTAAAAATAAGATTCAAACGTTTCACTTTTAAAAAAGAATTTTTAGAAAACAACCATTGACGATTAGAAGTCAAATGATGTGTTTCTTAATAGATTACCAATTGATTAATTTAAGAATTTGTAAATTTCTAAAGAATAATACACAGGGTAAGTTGGAAACAATAAAACTACAGAAATACAAACAGCAAAATATTAGTTGAATAATCACATAAGTGATTAATTTGCATAATAATAATAATCGATAAAATCAACAAATAGACCAACTACCATTTTAAATAATAATGAGCCAAAAAAAGTAGGATTTACTTCAGACTGTGTATTTTGGGATTCCTCGAAGAAGAAGAAAAACACTGATAATTAAGATTAATTAAAAAGAAACAAGCTACCCAACAGAGAGGCCAAAAAATCATATTTTTTAGTCGAATAAGAGTTAGAGAGAAAAAAATTAGATTCTTTAGATAATAAATATTTACAGGAACAAGGATAAAAATAAGTAGATGAATTGTTAAACGAGNCTAACTCCTTTTCTGTTTTGTAAATCATAAATAATTTGTTTTTTTTAAGATTATTCTTAATAGTAAGTTTATTCCACTTCAATACTTTAATAAATTTGTAGTTGATATTCCTTATTTAAATATCCAATTATTCTTGAATATATTTGAAAATGTTCTTTTAATTCCTACAATTATCTCTTTATTTTCTTTTTACTTTAGAAATACCTCAAATTTAACAGCAACTTCTCCTATTAATTTTATAACAACTTTTAAGCATCGATTATCTTAGCATTATTTACATTTGACAAATTGGGGTTTACATAATAAAGTTTTAATTTGCTTTGCTATACCCATTAAATTCAATAATTTTGAAAAATCAGGTTTGATAATTGCTTCCTTAATAACATCAATTAATTACTTTTCTTTTGCCATTTTATAATAAATAAAAAATATTTAAAAATACTTCATGCAATATATAATCTATTAATAAAAAGACTGGAGGAGGATGATCAATTCAAAACCAACTTGCTTGCATGATTTTCGAATTTGAATGAATACATAAAATAAAATTATAGTTAACTTTAGAATTAATCAAATACTATTATTAAAATTTAACTAAAATAGTGAGTTCGCAAATAAAAACACTGTCATCATAAAAATTCTTTTGTTGTAATAGATTAATATAAATAAAAAATGAGGGATAACTTCACTTTAAACAAGTAGAATGACTTTCAGAGTAACAACTAAAATGAAAAAAGGAAAGACTTTATTACATTTCAAATTTAGAAGGAATCCAAGAGATTGATTATGCAAGTATTAATCATTTAAAACATAGTTAGAATGGGGATATACGCTAAAAATAAGATTCAAACGTTTCACTTTTAAAAAAGAATTTTTAGAAAACAACCATTGACGATTAGAAGTCAAATGATGTGTTTCTTAATAGATTACCAATTGATTAATTTAAGAATTTGTAAATTTCTAAAGAATAATACACAGGGTAAGTTGGAAACAATAAAACTACAGAAATACAAACAGCAAAATATTAGTTGAATAATCACATAAGTGATTAATTTGCATAATAATAATAATCGATAAAATCAACAAATAGACCAACTACCATTTTAAATAATAATGAGCCAAAAAAAGTAGGATTTACTTCAGACTGTGTATTTTGGGATTCCTCGAAGAAGAAGAAAAACACTGATAATTAAGATTAATTAAAAAGAAACAAGCTACCCAACAGAGAGGCCAAAAAATCATATTTTTTAGTCGAATAAGAGTTAGAGAGAAAAAAATTAGATTCTTTAGATAATAAATATTTACAGGAACAAGGATAAAAATAAGTAGATGAATTGTTAAACGAGGGTCAATAATATAGTTCAATAACAATATAGAAAAAAAAGATTAATGAATACAAAGGATCAGTTTAAATAAAAAGTAGTTTCGAAGAACATATTGATAGTTTCCAATAACCTGAAAATTAAGTTTTTGAATACAATAAGCTTCTCAAATATTTGTTTATGAAAGATTACTTTGAAACTAGAAAATAAGACTGTGAATTCAATTAAATACCCATCAATTTCTCAAGTTGGGAATAATATAGTAAGATATTTCAATAATTTTTCTTAAATGAAGCTTGCGCTTAGATTAAACAAAGCTTTATTGAATTTATGTTCAAATTATAAAAAAATAACAAGTACAGAAAACTATAAATCAAGTTAGACGAATCCGAAGCCAATAAAGATGGGACTATATTCCAAATAAGAAAACTTTATGAAGAATAAAACATTGAATAAAATCAATAGTAGATGGATGAAGACAATAAATAAACTTAATGTTTGAAAGGGTCAAGTTTTGAAGACACTAAGGATGGATACTGTGAATTAACAACGTTAAAAAACTATTTGGTAATTATCAGCAACAAATTCTAAATTAAATTGGGTCAATTAAATTAAGTAAATGAAAAGACAATGCTTTTCTTTGGGATCTTAATTGAACCTTAGAAAGCAACATTACTTCAACAGATAAAGTTATAAACTTTTGTTCAAAGGTCAAAATTTGCATCTTCTCGTTGGTACAATGTGTTCCTAATACCATTTATGAAGATAACTACCATAATTAGAGAATATTAGACTCTTTCATAGTTAAGGTATATGATGACACCCTTGTTTAATATAATTTACGATCCAAATAGATAATAACACTTGTTGGGAACTGAAATTGGAGGCTCATGGACAGCATAATTTAGGAATTAAGTTTCGAATAGTGAATGTTTGACTAAGTTTTTTAAATTGGTAGATCAAAAATTTAATTAAACTTAAGCTAATTCTATAAAGGAAATACTGTAACAAGAGAAGGGCATAAGTTTACTTTAAGGACCAGTAAATTTTAATATATATATATTTAGCCTGGAACTGGTAAGACTCATACTCTGATTGGAATATTGTCTGGGGCTTATGAATATATGAAAATGACTGACAAATTCCCAAGAAAAAAAATATTAGTATTTCCTATTTTTAACGTAGATTTGTGCTCCTTCAAATGCAGCAATTGATGAAATCATATTGAGAATTATGAGACCAGACAGTTTATTTGATTCTGAGGGTAACCCAAGAGAAGTTAAGGTAATAAGAATAGGATTAATCGATGAGGAAGGTGAATTTTCAGATACTGTCAAAAAAGTATCTTTAGAGTATTTAGCCTAGAATATGTTACTAAAATCTTAAATAATAAAATAAGAAGCAGATTAAAAGACAACAGCTGATTTAAGAATAGATATTTGCAAGATCTAAAATCAAATTAAGAAATTACAGAAAATCAAAAAATAAGATCAAACAGATTAATCTACTTATAGTGAGCAACTATCTAACTTGAAATCAGATTTATCAATTAAATAGCAATATTTAGAAAGGATGAGAGCAAAAAAAATATAATATAAGGAATCATATAATTTATTTTGTGAAAAGATTTTGAATGAAGCTGAAATAATTTGTAGTACTTTGAATTCAAGTGGATCTGAGAAATTATCTAAATATATGGATTAAATTGAATTATTGATAGTAGATGAGGCAGCTTAATGTACTGAACCTTCTAACATCATCCCATTACGTTTAGGAGTTGAAAAGATGATTTTGATTGGTGATCCAAAATAATTGGCAGCCACTACTTTTTCATCCAGTTCAACTACAGGATTTTATAATCGAAGCTTATTTGAAAGAATTTTGGATAACAATTTCTAACCTCATTTCTTAAATATCCAATATAGAATGGATAGTGAAATAAGAAAATTTCCATCCTTTGAATTTTACTAAAACAAACTGATAGATCATGAATCAGTTATTAAGAGAAAGTTACCTGAAAATTATTTTAAAAAGTAAATGCTATTTCTAGATATTATTGATGGATAAGAAAAAAGAGATAATACTTCTTATATCAATGAAAAAGAAGCCAATTTAGTTATTTAATTGATAAATAGCATCAAAGAATACTTTAAACATTAAACTATAGGGGTTATCTCATCCTATAAAGCGTAGGTTAAACTTATCTAAACTTTAATTAAATAGAGTACCACAAGATTGAAAGATATCGACAACAAAATCTTAAGTGTAAATACGGTTGATTCATTTTAGGTATTATTTAAACTAAAATAAGGGACAAGAAAAAGATATCATCATTTTTAGTTGTGTCAGATCATCTGAATGTAAAGGTATTGGATTCTTAAATGATGGTAGAAGAATAAACGTTGCATTAACAAGAGCTAAATTTGCTCTATTTGTAATTGGAAATGGATTAACTGTATTTCTTAATTCTATAATAGTTATCCAAAGGATAGCTATGGAGAAACTTTTTGTAAAATATGCAAGAAAGACAATTATACAGAAAAGTTTAGATTACCGAACAATGCTCATTTGAAAAAATACTCAAAGATGAATGGGAAGATTCTGATAGATAAATGCCAGAAAAATTAATTGCCAGCTTATCATCCTAAAAACTCTCAAAATTTTGATCTTTTATTTTATAGTGCTTTTTACAATTTGTTATAGCTTATTATATTAAACTATTACTATTTAATAGTAACAACTTATAAAGCTATAATAGGATCATTCAATGTAAAACCTCCTGTTAAAACATCTAAGCCAATTCAGTAAATATTTTTGGCTTCAAACACATTAGAGCTACAATTTGCATTGCACTGTAGTCTTTATATATTTCCCATTCCAACTGCAAATTATCAAAGGATGGGTTTTGCTTATTTTATTTAACTTCTGCCATCGATTTAAGAGTATCATGAACTAGATTCCGAATTTATCTGCCTGCCATGACACTTTTAAGATTCTTATGATTGTATCTATTATTAGCAGCGTTATCTTATAATGAGAATTATGCTTTTTGTATATAGAAAAGCAGAGAATGTTATAGACCCGAATTCTTCACTACTTTTTGAGATTTTGAAAAATATCTACATATACTTAAACAATACTTTTTATAGGCTTCCATGCACTCATTAAATAAATCCATTTTCAAATATTTGTTATTTCTATAGGATGTTAATTAGTATCTCATTTATTTATTCTCATATTTTATTTAATCAATTTAAGGACCAGTTAACTATTCCTACTTTTAACTTGATTGGCTTAATGGTTTTTATGGATAAAAGGTAGTTTATTATTAAGTTCTTAGAGAATGAGATGTTTTTTTTTGGAATTTTTCTATTGATGTCTGGCTGCATTGAGTTCTCTTAAAAGAACAAGATTCTTTGAATTTTGTTTATTGAGTGCTGCATGTTTATATTCAATTACTCTTTTGAGATTCTTACATCTTGTAGTATGTTCAGAAATTTGATTTTATAACTTATTGATATTCTCTGTCAATGCTTCACTATATGCTTTATAGTTGTTAACATCTTCAAGCACTTTTCTAATTTCAACACTTTTTTCAATTTTGTCTTGCAATTCCAATAATGATAAATTATACTTAATTAAGTTATTCTTGGCCCTTTCGAGAGCTTACAAAATCGATCGATATCTAAAATAATAAATTACAAAAACTACTGTTTGCCAAGATAAGAATCTTGTTTCTCTCTTGTTTCATCGATTATCGGTTGAAAAAGATCTAAATACTCATCTAATTTTTATTTATCCTCCTATCTAGAGTCTATTAATTTTCTATAATCATTCTTTTCATTAATTGACAAGTTCACGATAATTTGGTGAGGGTTTCAGAGGTTCAGGTACATAAAATATTTTCGTCACTGACATATAATAAATTTAATAATTTGATTATATTTTCTGATTTAGAAAAGTATTAACAAAATTTTATAATAGAGAAAAAACCAATATGAAATTACTTTATAAACAAATATATTTTGTAATTAGATCTATAAATAAATATTTCCAGTAGGATAATCATCCTTTCTACTAAGTTAAACGTATATACTCGTTTCTAAGATCGATTTAAAAAACTCAGATTCCAATTGTTAGAATAGGAGATTCCAAATCAATATTGTTTATTGGAATGTTTATTCCAAATGATCTAAAGAGAAAAGAGAGGATTGCAACTATCAAATAAAATAATAATATTTTATTTTAATGAGTGATATTTAAATTAAGATTTCATATATCAATTGTCATTCACCCCCTAAATATCTATAGTTTACTTTATTCTTATTATTAGGTCTTGTTCTAAGTCTGCTATTCACCTGAAATTCAGAATTCTAATTTTAAGAAATAAGAATTACCTTTTCCTCTTGTTATTATTATTATTACTGTTATTATTATTACTATTATTATTATTAAGGTGTAGAATTTATTTTCATGATGGGAGAATCCACTAAATTCTATTTCTTAACCATTTTCTTGCCTGCATTCCGTAGACTATCTAAGTCTTGCTTAATTTCATCCTCATAAAGATTAAATCTAAAAGCTGATAAATTTCATAAAATTTAGAAATTTACTAAATACAATTTTATTATCTCTTGTGGCAACGAAGTTAATATTTTTTTCTCTCATTCTATTATCATCGCATTCAACAACTTGTCTTTATTTTGGTTGGTATTCTTCTGTGGACTTCTCTTATTTCTTTTAGGTTTGAGAATTTTGCTATTGTTTCTTAATGGTTTTAGAACAATTCAAACAATGATATACTTTATTTTCAGTTTCTTCTTTGATGTTTTGATTCCTAAATTTAGCTTCACAATTTAAATGATTCTTTCAAATAATTCAATAGCTTACCCATTTTTCACAAGCATCGCATTAGATCCACTCCTATTCATCTTAGTCATTAGTACCATTTGAATATACCTGTTGGAATTTATAATAATTCTTAATACCTATTCACAAAAATCGCAATAATTTCCACGATTGTATAATCTCAAACATTTCTCACAAAATTAGAGAGCCTCTCCTTTTCTTGATTTGGCTTTTCGATCACCCTTATTATTGCATTTTTAATTGTGACATTTCTAAAATTACTATGGTTCATCGTCCTCAACAGTAATGGGATTATTAAAAGTATTAGTTTTCTTTTAATTCCCTAAACCCATCTAGCAGATCAATTGATTAGACATGAACGGATTCAAAGAAGATGGATTAGTCATCTAAAGGCTTTTCTATAAAAGCTTCGTATAATCTAATGCATTTAATGCACCCCCAAAACCTATAATAGAACATAGTAAATTTAAAACTATAAGGTCATTAGATGATAGTGGTTTGCGAACTTGATGATATCTTACCAAAATTGCCATTAAACAGATCTTGTGGTTAAAGGGTTCTATTGGCATTCTCTGGAACTTATTGGTATAAGTGTGGAAATAACAGTGGTTTCATATTAAGGAGTGTACTCAAAAATTGCTATTATCTAAATAAGGTAATTAATTGCCGAAATATTGTTTAGATCTAATATGGTAATATGATAAGGTGAAAGTGGATTTGGAATCATACCTAAGCTGATTTTAATAATCCTCGAGTTAAGATGGGATAAGTTGCTGCAACAAAGAATTTTAATTGTTCAACCCAGAGTTCATATTATTTTAATGATAGTTTAAATTAAAATGGTCATTCCTTATTAAATTATTATATAACATATATGAACCCAGTTATATATTTACATATAAACTAAAGTTAAGACACTTCAAGACAAATAATCTATTAGTCTTTCTCTTTTATAATACACTTATGATAACACTTTAATATTTTATCGCTTTAATATTATTCTCAACAACAAAAAAATCAAAAAAAATCAATACAATAGTGGAAAGTAGGTTCCTCCTACTTTTTTTTGCATGATCATCAATATTTAATAATGTTCTCCTTATTATTTTTATGAAAAACAAGGAGATTTTATTTCAAGATGTAATATCATTTGCATTTTTGTAATTAAACTGTTATTTTAATGTTAAACCTTTCAATCTAATATTACTTTATTATTGATCATCAAAATCCTATTGAAGTAGTAACAAAGTCAATATTATCATACAAAAACCCAATAATCGTATGGATAGGATGTATAGTTTAAAAATATTTTAAATATATCTAGCATATAGACTAGCAATTCAAAATGCTGTTCTTTTATTTGAGTTATTTTTAGTTAAATTAAGATGTAATAATTCATATAATCAAATGCAGCCATTACAGCTTGTCATATACTCTTTTTTGAAGGTGAGTTTTCTTGATCTCTTCTTCTAATCATGATGGTACTGTTGACTATAAATATGGGATTGGCAATTATACATATGTTATTCTAAAGAGTAACTTGACGTAGAACAAATTTGTAGCACTTTCCAGATTTTATCTTTTATCGAATTTATTTTTCATTCAATTATTATATTGCTATAACATTTTAAGTGAAGTTTGTTTCAGGTTATCCAGTTGTTAGGCTATCATCATATCTGTTTCTTGTTGGAGATGGTTATTTTTGCGAAGCGCACCCCATAATAAATGCTCTTATTTTATTTAAGATTTATAATCTAAATAGGAATTAAATTCTTATTTATATACTATTTTATAATTTTTAATAATTGAAGAACTATCTTGAAATTTGTTTCGTCAAACACACATTTTCATATCTCAAATAAATTTGCTGAATAAAAATATTTCCAAAAATACCTCTTGAATAATTTTTGACCTACTTTTAAAAGTATTCCAATAGAAGATTAATGTTTAAGAAAATTAAATAATTTTCACAAAATTGTGATTCACCTTTTTTTCCATAAATTCTGAAAATATTCATTTTTCAACTCAGATTTTTTAATGTACTTGTCTTAAAGAGGACTAATATAAGGGCAAGAAATTCAAATTATAAATAAGGAACAGAATATACGAGAAAATTAGTTAAAAGTATTAAAGGACTTTATTTGCATGATTTTTTTATTATCAAGTAGAATGGAACTCTTTTGGTTTTAAAATAGGGTCAATAAACATATTTTTTACTTTTAGGTTTTCTAGAAAATTTCATTTGGAAGAAGAAAATAGATCTCAAAGTATTCATGCTTCATCTTGAATTACAGTTTAAATTCAATAATTTGGAACAGAGGAAAATTAGAGAGAAGATGTAAACAACTCATTTAATATTTAATTATTATAATGAATTAGAGAAAATAGTAATATGATATAAAAAATATATATATATTTTGTACTTTATTATATTTAAACTGTAATTATACTTTTTGATCCTATAAAATCACTTTTTACTACTCTTTAAATCATAGTTTAACTAATCGATGCATTTCTTCATTCTAATGTTGTCTAGCATTAATTCTTCATAGGAGGGTCTTCCAACGTTTCCACTTGCACCTCCCCATTAATTTGATTAATTCATGGGACTAATACCCATTTTGTTCTAAGAAACTTAATTAGGAGTTCCTAAATATGCACTATTAACCTATTGACCTGGTGGTCCATATGATCCAACAGGACCGTAAACTGGTTAACCATTTGGTCCATAAATAGGTTGTCCATTAGGTCCATAAGCAGGTTAGCCATTTTAAGGACCATATAGTGGCTATCCATTGGGACCATAGAGAGGCTATCCATTTGGAGCATAGAGAGGTTACTAATTAGGATTGTACGGCTAATTCTAGGCGGTTGGTCCAAATTATCCATTGGGATTAGGTTTTTAACCAGGTTACTATTCAGATGGATCTAAGAGTCCTAAGAGACCATTTTCTTTCAATATTTTCAAAGCCTTATTATAATCATCATGAACTTGTTTTAGATGTTAACTACAATAAGTATTTTAGATTACTCTAATTCTTCTCTTTCAGCCTTCAAGTCATCTAATTCTAATAAAGCATTGTCTAATTATCTTTTCAATTTAGGTACATCGCCTGCCTTTTTTGCATCATTTTGGACATTATTCAATTTTTTGCCAAGGTCATCTTTATCCTTTCTAGAATAATATAAAGATTATGAGTATACTCTGCATCTTTTAATTTGTCTCTCACTTTGCCCAATTCATCAAGCAATTAGTTTCTATTTTTATGTAAGTCATTTAATTAGTCTTTTGTTTTGTCTCTGTCTCCTTTTACATCACCTAAGTTCAAATGTAAATTATCATTATCTAATTGAAGATCATTGCATTTCTTTTCTAGATCCTTGTTGGTCTTTTTCAAATCTCCCAAATCTTTTTAGAGATCACCATTCTCTTTTGCCAGTTTACCCAATTTATCCCTTAAAACTTAATAATTTTGTTTACTTGATTGCTCCATTTTATTTTTCCAAAGCTGCAAGATCTGCCAACATTTTATCTCTATCACCCTTCAACCTATTCAATTTATTCTTGAGATCGTTGTTTTCTTCCAAAACTTTATCATTATCTTTGTTCTTCTTTTTTAGATCTTCAATTTCTTTTTTCATATTATCATTATCTTTAGCTGCATTATTTGCTTTGTCTATATTATTTCTTAGATCTTTGACTTGCTAAGAATATGACTACTTAGATTACATTTCCCAATTTATTATTGTCATCAAGTAAATCTTGATTCTTATGTCTTGCATCTCTTAATTAATCTTCTAACGGACCGATCATCGCTTTCAATTTCTCGTTTTCTTCTGGTAGATGTTTGATTCGATCTAATTCAGTCTGTAATCGAGCCACATCATTCCTTAATTTTCTATTTGCCTTGGCTTTTGCAGCAATATCATCTCGAAGTTTTTAATTTTCTGTTCCAATATCATCTTCTGGGTCTCCATCCCCAGTCACACCTTCACAATCAGGACAAACACCATACTCGTACTCTGGAAAATTACTATTTCCTTATTGGGGCTTAGCCTTTTATGCTTCTTACCTTGCTAATAAATCATTCTTATGTTATTAACAAGTCAAACAAAATGGACAATGTACTTCGGGCTACTGTTAAATTCTCACTGTATTTTCCATCGGTCTTGGTTAGTATACCTGAGATTGCACATATGATTGTTGAGCCATTTGAGGAGGCATGAAAGGGGCAGGAATAGCATTGCTTGGATAGTTCAAGGGATTCTAAGATTGCTGTTGAATTGGTTGTGCTGTCAAGATGTTGTTGTTGCTCTAATATTAACTACGACTCTGAGGTTAGGTTATGATTTAATGACCAGACATTTATATGTTAGGTTTTAATTTCTATATTTTAATTACGTTTTATTTATTTCAATCGTATAATTATAAAATTTGAGATATATTATTATAATAATGTTATCCCTATGCAAAATATAGAAGTTTAAACAGAGAAATTTAACTTATTAAAAAGTTGAATTATGATATCATCACACAATATGAATTTAGAACACTCAATTTGCAGGTTCTTTTGGTTCTGATGAGGCACTTGTATTTGTAGTTTCTACAATACCTTCGGACACATAAGAAAAGAAGACCAATTTATAAAATAAGTAGAGAGACAATTGCATTGTAACTACTATGGCTATTATGATATACTTTTTTTGAATCTATAATTTATCTAGTTCTCTAATATTATATAATATTAATTGTTACTCTTTCAAATTGAAAATCAAAAATAATATTGAATTTCCAACTCCATATGCTATAATTAACCATAAAAACAATTCATTCTAAAAGTAACATAGAATTGTGATGGGTAACAGTGTTGACATGGAATAACCATATAAGCAGATGGTTTGGAAGAAACTTAAGTCAACTCCTAAGACCTTCATTACGACAGCTAAAATCACAGGAGTTCCAAATGCAATTATGTATAACAAAGCTGTTGCTTAAGGAACATAACCGACATCAAAGGATTGGTTCTCTTTCTCTGAGTCTACTTATCTCAAATTAGCAATAGCCGTAATCATAAAAATCAAAGTAGCATTGATCCATATTGGTCCCCATCTACCAAATATATTGACTATATATACAAATCTGGGTTATCTTTGGTAATGTTTAGGAAATCTGGTCGAAATGGAAGGAAGGTGGCTTTGACTCTTTGTATAACATCATTTTCTGTGACATTGAAATATGGAGTGTAATATCTATTTTAGAATTGTAGTAATTACTCAACAGTCAGAAATCCACAATATCCTGTTTGCTTTTTATCCCCACTATCATTTAGTTTGTTGAATTATCCTGGCTAGACTTGCTTTTCATCATCTGTTTATTTTTGTACTCCTATTTCCATTCTATTCTGATATTTTTATTTTAAATAATATTAATTTTCTTATTCATCTCCCATTAAATCAGTTAAAATGCTTACAATTAAGAATCATTTTATAAGTAATAGATCTTGCGATTTTCATATTTTAGAGTTTCTATTTTTATAATAATATTAAATTTATACATGTAAGACGATTTTGTTTATCATCCCGAGATCATGAAATCATAGCTAAGTATGCTGCCTCCTATTGAATAACTCACTTTGTAATAGTTAGCTAATAAACGAAAAATAAATTTCAACATGATGCTCTCATTGCCGGTTTATTATTAAATTTCTAATTGCAGTTTCTACTGAAAGACAAAGCTTTAGAAGATAGGAAGGATACAATCGCCATCTATAGAAAACATAAATTTGAGCCATTAAAGCCTTAAAAACATAAAGTGACTTTGATAAACAGTGGTCGCATTCACTGTCCTGAGTTTTGGTCAGATAAATATCAGAGCACTGCCTTACGTGACTCCCATATTGATAGAAATTTAGACAAGTACAGACAGATCATTAAGAATAACATCTAAGATTATTTGGTTAAATTTGAGATGCAAGCAAAGGAATAATTGGAAGAATCAAAAAAGTATTAATTAAATAGATTCAAGAATTAAATATTAAGAAATCTTCAAAAAGCAATGTTCCATCTCAGATGAAGAATATGCCCCATCAAATAATGAGTTAAATCTCAGTCAATGCACCTAAGATGAAATTATTAGCTACTATAGAGATGTAAAAAGGCAAGATTCTGCTAAAAAGACAAGCTTGAGAAATCTTGATAAGATTACTTGCAGTAGTGTTAAATAGAGTTTTATTGAAAAATTCGACAAAGTCATTACTACTTGCGATCGCAATTCTATCCCCTCAAATAGAAATTCGCTAGATAGCATAAAGTAACTATAAGATCTATTGCATTAGCACTTGTGGATATACGAATATTAAATAAAGAAATAGACATGTTGTTGGTAGCAAGACAAGCAGAAGTCATTATAATTGATACTAATTAATATATATATTTATGATCAAACAAATTTCATCACATTATTGTTTTTACTCTTTATGAAGAAGATGTGAAACTAGATTTTTTTAGATTAACTTTCTTTTGATTTGCGAAATAAGGTTATAATCTATGTTAAAATAGGGGAGCTGTCTAAGGAGCAGTGTGAATTCGAGTTTCCTTTGTTTCTGATAGAAATTTTATTATGGAATCTCTTTTAATTTATTCATAAGGTTTATGTTTGTATTTATTTAATTAAAGCAAAACATACTTTTTTTATTTAGGTACAAAAACTATATTCTTTCTCGTTTGTTGTAATTAAATACTAGGCTCACTAGGGGAATCTGATATCAAATCAGAACATTTTTTTTCCAATCGTCGTTAATAGTAAGTGCGATCCTTGGTAAAAGTCCTTAAAACCTTGATATCCTACATGCTGGCAAAGTGAGAATCCCTATTAGAGTTAAGCTGATTTAATGGATTGAATTGGCTTGTGTTTTGTGTATCTATCTTCTTAAACGATTTCTGAAATTTTGTTTTCATTCTTCCCTGTATTGCTCTTCTTCTAAGATCTTTGACTCTATCTAGAAATTGATGCTATTGTATAATAGTTCTAGGGTATTTAAGGTCTATATTCAACTTTACAATAGACTAAATCGCTTACTATTTTTTATGAATTCAAGCCTTCATTGTAGCTCTTCCTCCTTTGTCTTGGGAAGTCATCTGAAATCTTGATTAATTAGTAGCTGTGAATTGCATTATTGGTTTTATGTAAGCACTTCAAGACTACACTAGGTTTGACTTACTTATGCAATTTATTGTAAAATTCAATTTTTTGGAACTTGACTTATTGGTTTTCTGAACTGTCTTTAGCAATTAATCTTGGGTATTATTTACCATTTTTATCCTGATCATTGGTGATTAAAATCCTCATTAAATTAATTAAATGCAAACATCAATAAAAGGTTTTAATGAATATACAATAATTAATAATTTCAAATTTTAATTTACTATTAATGAATTAACAGCGTCGACTTTCTCCAGCTCCACAAAGTCCTATCCAACGTAATACGATAATCTCATGTATGAGTCATTCTTAAATTAGAACATTCTAATCGATTTCAATTCCTCTAAGTGACTCCATCCACACATCCTGTTTAATATGTCCAATTGTAGAATTGTAAGAATCCTCCATTTAAATTTAGACAATGAACCAAGATAAATCTCTAGAGAAAGAGAGAGCAATCAAATTCCCTATTAATAAGTTTGTCCAAAGGGATTTTAGAGTCTGAGATTAATGAGTCAGCCTGATGGTAATTCGAGTAAGTCACCAGTAGCCCCAGTCATGTAATCTTCACCAAATATCAGACCTAATTAAAACTCAAATTCTCTACAATAATATATAGATAATGCTCTCAGAACCTAAAGAGAGGAAATGCTAAAATTATTCGAATAACAAAATAAATAGATCGATTATATGCATCAATAATAGCAACTCATCATCTAATAATAATAGTTGTAATAAGAAAAGAAGAAAGAGCCTCTTAATTTTGAGTCATAACTCAATCAAGTGAAGGAGCAACTCAATTTTTAGATTACTTAAACTTGTAGAGAAATGATCCATAAAATACAGAAACAAGAACAAACTGACTTCAAGGCTTTGCAAGTGCAAATAGAGAAGTTGAAATCTCAACTCTATCAAATTAACTTATCAACTAGCAAACAGTCTGATAGATTGCAATAATCATATAGGGGCAAAGAGAATGAAGCAGAAGAATATTAATATAAAAAACACATGCCTTAACGAAATTCCTTAGATAATTATGATTAATATATCAAGAAATACGAGTAGTTCAATAAATAGGTTAATGATTATTTAATTAATCGAAAAATACCTGATCATTTGAGTTCAATACTCAATTCCAGCAAGGATTCGAATAGTGAAATTCATGAAGTCGAATATATCTCATCAGATTATCCCCTTACTGATATCACAAACACCCATAATATCAAATAAAATAAATCATATTAATCCCAACCCTTGTAACAAATTGCATAACCATCCCTCACTTAATAATTCATGACTCAAAAGACCACAACTTAATCCAATAACTAACCTAATGAAGATTCCCCTATCAAAGCATTGAATGAATAAATGATGATTGATAGTTTGGATAACATCAATGTGCATGATCCAAATAATTTATAAATTACCAAAGAAGAATTCGATCAATTAAAATGTACAACTTTAAAAATAATATATTAGCTTAAAGAATGTCAACCATACATGAAAACGATGACGAAGATGAGGAATTAATGTATTAAGTTGATGAAAACGGATTCATTCTGAGTTAAGATGGACATCCTTTGATTGATGATACAGGAAAACGGATATAACTAACTAAATAAGAGCTTCAATTCTATAAAAACAAAATTAATAGTTGATATAATATATATATATAAGGCACTCATTTTAATTTATAATAATTGGACAAACACCCCTATCTCTTCAAAAAACATTCCATGTGATTTTCCTTATTCTATTATCCAACTTTCCTCTACGTAGTAATTGGAGATTTGACTCTCTGATCCAAAATAACTCTATTGATCCTGTCCATCATATTTGAGATTGGAATTACTTTCTATTTTTTTCCTGATTCTTAATTGCTATTTTAGGTTTTTATCCTAATAGGAGATACAAATGATTTTTCATTTGGACTTTCCAGCCTATCTTTAAGAGGTTTTAAGTAGAAATCTACGTTTTAACGAAATTTTTAATAATTCATAAACTTAAAAATTAGTTTTTCACTTAGACAACTATCCATATATAAATAGGTATATAATTTGTTAAATACAGCACTCATATCATAACAAAACTCTATAAACAATAAATAGCTATTACTCTTAATAAACAAAATTAAAACAAATCATTTTTATTCATCTAAGTGATTATTCGTAATATGATTGCCATTACCATTTAAAATGCCATTGCCATTTGTATTGGATTTCATAAACAAAATTTTCTTTAGTTTTTTATCTATTTCTACTTCCAGGTTCACAAAATGCTATAATTTTTCAATAGTTGTAAATTAATCATTTTCAATTTCTTATATTGTGAAATATTTAGCAACACAATCATTTTTGAAGCGAGGCAACTTGATTTTATTAATCTCAAATAATACTTGGATAATCTTACTTCCTCTTAAGTTATGGAGTACTTCTATCTATTATCTTCAATTCTTTGTTTCCTTTCTTCTTTATTTGGATTATCACCTGTATTAATAACACACCCGTTTTTCCTCATAACTCCCTTTTTTTGATTGTTGTCTATCCAAACCTTTTCTAAATCAATCTACAATCCTATTTTAATTGTATAAAGTAGTGCATACCCATAAAATCTCCTAATGATTATTATCCAAGCATTCTCTAAGTTTAAATGTAGATTTATCCAATAGATTTATCTGGCAAACATTCTGATTAAATGATGCTTCTCCATTTGCCAATACCGAATTTCTGTAATGCAAGCTTAAGTATCTTGACTTCTTCTTAGGACCAACCTGGAGATAATGTGTAATTCCACAGACTCTTGGATTCATTGTGTGCTCCATGCTTCTTCCTTTTTTATTTCTCCATTATTGGCGCTTTAATTAATTAAATATAAATATATTGAGGAGTGGTTGTAAATTAATTTTTATTATATAAATATCATGAGTACTGTGACAAATGAGTCAAAGAAGAAGGAAAGCATTGATAAAGCTCTTCTTTAACAACAGAGGGAACAACTCAAATAAACTGTTTTGGAAAGATTTATCAAGGATTTTGGGAAGAATAACAAAAATAAAATATAAGTAACTTACAATCTAGAGATTAGATAATCACCAATATTGTGAATGAATATTTCTCAAAAACTAGAGTTACTGATGTTACTTTGAAAAATTTAAAACAACAAGTTTAATAAGCAATTCAAAATGCAGGATCCACAACTCAATCTCAAGCAGAATAATCAATCAAGGAATCCCAAGGTATAGCAATGTTGTATTTGGTAGTGACACAGTAACAGTAGTTGTAATAGATACCATAATAGAAACCTCCAAGTAGTCAATCAAGGAAATCAAACTAATAAATGTAAACAGCTGCATAATAACATCAAGATGTCTATTCTGAAACCTCTTCCAAGGTATCAAGAATTCATTAACAAGGCACCCAAATCAGTGTACATGATGGAGGGAGACGAAGATGATGAATGGGCGACTTTAGTTAAATTCGATACTGAATTGTATAAAAAAGAGAAGGAACTTGAAGTCATTAGAAAGTAGGAATTTAAAAAGAAGATCAAATCGGAGTTAGATAGATAAATAAATGAGAAATAAGGGAAGAAACACGAAGAGGTTCAAGATGAAGATGCTTATGTGAAGTTGCATCATTATCAATTGAATGTATATGACTAGAGAGAGAAGGATAAGCAAGATAATTTGAAGAATAAAATATATAATGAAAAGTTATAAAGAGACAAATAAGTAAGAGATGAATAGTAAAGAAAGTAATATAATATTCATATTATTAATAGAAAAGTTGAATCAAAAAGAGAGAAGGAACTGGACAGTTTGTTGGTGAAGAAAATTAGAGAAGAATTAGAATTAGAATAAAGAGAGTAATTAAACAGAAGAAACAAAGAAAGAGAGCGTTTTCTAAGAATGATGAAAGAAAATGAGGAGTATAGAAAGAAAGCCTTAGAGGATGCTAAGTTGGAGAAGGAAGCAGAAACTCAAATGCAACAATAATACATCAGTTTATAGAATTAATTAGAGGAATAAAGAGAATTAGAGAGGAAATAGCGGGAGGAGAAGATGAAAAAGGTTATGGGAATGTTTGCTGAAGGAGTTGTTCGAGATCAAAAAGAGTTGATTAAATAGGAAGATGAAAAAATGCTTAGGAACATTATTTAATAGAATGAAAGAGAAAAGATTGAAGAAGAGAAGAAAAAGCTGAAATAATTAGATTAAAGATAACAATTAAGAACCTTTTTAAATTCATAAATTGAAGAAAAAAAGAGAAGATAAGAAGAAGAGGAAGAACTCAATAAAAGACAAGCAGAAATTTGGAAATAAGATTTAGACAATTACAATGATCATGAAAAAAAGAAATTTGATGTATTCAAATCTCATTTTACATTAGTACATCAAAGAAGTAAATTTAAGACATGCAGATATATTAAAGAGTTAAATCTAAGAAAAACAAGGTAAAATCAAGTAAAAATCTACTAAAATGAACACAGCTGAGTTATTATAAAATAAGGATAAACTAAAAGTTATTGCATAAGAAGTACCTGATCTAGGAGATAAAGTAAAAAAAGTAGAGATTTGATGAATTAAAATCAGCATAGAATATTATATATATAAATATTATTGTAAATTTTTATGATACCTAATCGCGAAAAATAACTAAATTAAAAAGAGTTAGAAGCTTTAAATCAAAAGAACAAAATAGCATCAATATTAATTGAAGATGCCTCATTTAATACTATGATCAATAAAAAGAGGGCTGAATTAAGTGACAAAGAATTCCTTAAATGGCTCGATTAAATAAAAAAGTCAGATCAGCAGAAGATGATTCCCATTAAAGAAGCTGGATAGGATAAACTTTTAGTTAGCAAACCTAAATAAGGAAATATGAAATAAACTTAAAATCATGAATAACTAAAATCTTTTGGCCAATTGAAATAATAATTAGAATTAGAGAATATATAGGCTCAAATTAAAAAAAATGCTTAGAAAGCACAAAACCAAATAGATCGGCAAAGATTAGGTGAATTTGCAACCAAAGATAATAATACTAAAAAAAGAGTTGAAGAAAATCAAAAAATCCTAGAAGAAATGTTAAAGGAAAAATAAAAAGAATAGGAAAGGCAGGATTATTTTATTAATGAAGAGAAATATAAAAATTCTAAATTGCATGGCCAAGATAAAGCCAAATTTGAGAGCAATCTTGATAAGTTAAAGTATCAATCTAAAAATACAAGCAAAGGCAAATTATTAACAAAATCTTTTATTCCATCTCATAAAAGAGAACTATGATCAATACTTAATTTATACAAACATAATTGTTATATTAATATTTAATATTTAAGATTTTTATGATAAAAAAATTATGAGAACTACTTCGAAAGAATTATGTGAGAAACTTTTCTAATAAAATTTTCAATCTCATAAATAAAATGATGGGCATTCTGTTTTGATCTTTCTTTCTTCAATTCAAATTTGAAATGGTTGAAATACCAAGTCGAAATTGTAAACCTCATAACATGACATCCTTTGATTATATTTTTAAGCATAAATAATATAGAATTTGACAAATCACGTATAATTATATTATATAATTCTAGGATGCTAGCTGAATTTCGGTCTAGTTTTAAGAATTGTTATTAATATTGAATTCTAAATAATTTAAAAGAGTTGTGATTTTTTTAATTATTTTATAATATCTCTATGTTTCTATTTGATTATTAAAGGAGGACGGAGGCAAAGCAAAGAAGTTTTGGTGCAATTTTGCTCTGATGATTAAAAATTTGTATGTATTTAATGATCAGTATTTATACATAAAATATAAAAATTTTTGCTTTAGATTTTAAAAAATCTTTAAAAATGTAATAAGAAGCAGATTATGTAAATATTCATTTATATTTATTTAGAATTAAGATGAAAAATAAGTATACCAACTGAGGTAGTAAATTATTTGTTACAAGCAAGTTTAAAGGTAAGATTGAAAGTAACCATATAGAAATCACCACATAGAAAATGAAAAATTAATGTTTCCATACAGTAAGGACTAGTGGGAGGCAGAAAGGGAAAAGATATTCCAGAATTCCATACAATATTTTCATGACAAAATCGATAAAAATGAGGAACTAAAATCCATTTTTAGAGAACGATACCCAAAGCTTAAATTGGATCAGACTTGCGATGTATAGTCTTTGATATGATTCCTTAGGATATGTCTTTATTTAGTGAACGAATGCAAGGGTATATTGAAAAGAGGAGATTGGATATAGAATAGGAGCTAAAGAAAACCCACCAAAATGATCCAAAATATGTGAGTTTGAAAATTGAATTACTGTTTATAAATTCAAAGGAACTTTATGTGAAAGTTAAAGAGTCCATCTTGAATCCATTATTGTAGGAAGAAAATTAGGCAGTATTGTAATCAAGGATGCTGGAAAGATTATTACTAGATAGAAATTATTTTAAAAGAGACAAACCTTAGAGGAGGGCAGAGAGTAAGTTGTCAGATAAATTTGAATTAAGTATGATACGACACGAATAAGCAAGAAGGAAGAAGATAAAATAAAAAGAGTTCATGTCAGCAATATTTGCACATCAGATTGAGTTTATGGAATTCCATAGAAAGAAATACAAACATGCTAGAAAACGAAGTGTTTAGTTTAAGGTAGTATTGGAACAAAGAGAACAATAAAGAGATAAACAGATGAGAATGGAGCACATTCGAAGAGGAAATCTAGAAACTTATATTTAAGTTTTGGAGAAACTGGATGAGGCTAAGAAAGAGAGAGTAGTTTCTATTTTGAGATAAACAGATCAATTTTTAAAGGATATAGGGGCTAGAGTGAAGATTTAAAAAGGTGAAGAAATTACAGAGGAAGATGAAGTCATAGAAAATATGAATTCGAGCACTGGTTTGGGGTATGAATTAAGTTAAGCTAATAAAGTATATTATAATATAACTCATAAAATAAAAGAAGTAATAACACAATAGCCAGCATTATTGGAAGGAGGATAATTGAAACAATACTAATTATAAGGATTAGATTGGTTAGTAAGTTTGTACAATAACAATTTGAATGGTATTTTGGCTGATGAAATGGGTTTGGGTAAGACTATATAAACAATCTCTCTCTTGTGTTATTTGATAGAAACAAAAAAGAATTTTGGACCATATTTCATTATTGTACCTTTATCAACATTGAGTAATTGGTCTAATGAATTTGAGAAATGGGCTCCGTCAATTAAGAAAATTATTTACAAGGGTTCTCCTTAAATAAGAAAGGAAATATCAAAATAAATGAGAACAACTAAATGGAACATCTGTCTAACTACTTATGAATATGTACTAAAGGACAAGTTAACTTTATCAAAATATGAATGGAAATACATAATAGTTGATGAAGGACATAGGATGAAGAATTCAAGAAGCAAATTCGCAATGATCTTAGGATAATAATATCAAAGCGAAAGAAGATTATTACTTACAGGAACTCCATTACAAAATAATATTGCAGAATTGTGGGCTTTATTGAATTTTTTGTTACCAAAAGTGTTTTCATCTTGTGAAGACTTCGAAAAATGGTTCTAAACTCCATTAAACATAATGGGAGCAAGTGAGAAGGATCTTTAATTGGATGAAGAAGAATAATTGTTGATTATTAATAGATTGCATTAAGTGCTTAGACCATTCTTATTAAGAAGAGTGAAAAAGGACGTAGAGAAGGAATTGCCTAGAAAAACAGAATACGTCATTAAGATAAAGTTATCAGCTTGGCAAAAGAAAATATATGATTAAATTAATTAAAGAGGAGTTATGACTTTTGATTAATAATCAGGGAAGAGCGGGTCTTAAGCATTATAGAATTTGATGATGTAATTAAGAAAGATTTGTAATCATCCCTATCTATTTATGTTGAATTTGGATATGAATAGAGTTACAGATGAAATTTGGAGATCCAGTGGAAAATTTGAATTATTGGATAGAATTATTCCTAAATTGTTATACTTTAAACATCGATTACTAATATTTAGTTAAATGACATAATTGATGGATATAATGGAAGCATTTTTTGAGTATAGAGGATGGAGATATTTGAGATTGGATGGATCAACTAAATCAGAAGACAGAGAATCTAGAATTCAATTGTTTAATTAAGAAAATTCAATCTATAATATTTTCTTATTAAGTACAAGAGCTGGTGGGTTGGGATTGAATCTATAATCTGCAGATACTGTCGTATTGTTTGATAGTGATTGGAATCCAATGATGGATTTATAAGCGTAGGATAGAGCATATAGAATTGGATAAAAAAATGAGGTTAGAGTACTTAGATTGATTACAGCTACATAAATTGAAGGGAATATTCTCAGTAAGGCTGAACACAAGATGGGATTGGATGCAGTTATCATTTAAGCAGGATTGTATAATTAAAGATCAACTGATCAAGAAAGAAGAGAACGTTTATAAGATTTCTTTAGACAAAAGAATAAAGTGGATTTGTTTGAAGCAGAAGAGATTCCTGATGACACTTAAATAAATGAATGGATAGCAAGAAGCGAAGAAGAATTTGAGATGTTTAATGAGTTGGATAGATAGAGGTATGAACAAGAAAAATTGATTTACAAAAACTTTAATGAGAATAAGGATGATCAATATTACAATTATAGATTAATTTAAGATGATGAAGTTCCTGAATGGATTACATCTAAATAAAATGAAGTTCAGGAAGTTAAAGAATATGGCAGAGGTTAAAGAGAAAGGAAATAAGTTGTTTATTATCTTCCTGAAGCATCTCCAATTCAAGAAGAATAACAAGATGACATGAATGAATTAGATTTTAAAATGGATGATTAAATTGATATTGAGTAAAATCAAGTGTTTTAAGATGATCTTGATTTACCAAAAATATAGAGAAAAACAAAAAAATTAAGATAAATAGATAATGATGAAGGCAACAGTAATAATGTTGATGAAAATGAACCAAAACTAAAAAGTAAACGTAAACTTAATTGATAATCACAATTTATTCAATTTATTCCAAACAAAATATATATAAAAATAAACTTATAAATTCATTATTATTTCGATTCTAAAGAATATAAATTCCTAAATAGGTCTATTCATTTATGATTTTAATAACTGATTACTGTCAATGTTCACATTATGAAGTAGTAATCTTCCCACTTCTAAGAAATGAACATCTTTAGGAATCTATATTATTTTCTCAATAATTTCATCTAAAAGAAACAGCAATGATTATTGAAATCAACTTCCTAAAGCCAAATATTTATATATTAGTTAATCCTTTTAAGATTTATATAATTGAATTTTGTTTATTGTCGAATCACGTTTGCAATTAAATATAGAAAGAGGCATCTTACCTGCACCTCTTGGAATATTAAAGACTTTATTGATTTTTAATTTTAAGTTTCCCATCCTGTCGCTTTTAATTGTGATTGGGTCCAAACATGTCAGACTCCTCTTGTAATGAGCAAAGTCTATAGAGCTTAGAGTTGAATAAAATGAGACTTTCTTGAAAGCATTATTGAGTATTTGGTTATTTTATTTTAAAATTTAAAATAAATCAAATCCATTATTTTGCATGGTTCAAGTAAAGAGATAAGATAGAAGAAAAGTCTATGAATATTTGTTATTGGAAGGTGTTATTGTTATCAAGAAGGTATATTTTCATAAGAATTCAAGGACATGGCACTTCCACTCCATGCTGAAACAGGAGTAAAGAACTTAGAAGTTTGGATGCTTTTGAGAAGCTTGAGAGACAAAAAGCTTGTGGATTTGGTATTCTCATGGCAATACTACTATTATTACCTTAAGGCTGAAGGTGTTAAATATGTCAGAGATAAATTGGGTATATGAAAAACATCTATCATAAAAGGCATTGTCGAGGATGTTATCCCAGCCACTTTCAAGAAAGCAGATAAAAAGTTTGATGAAGATGTTCCTGAATAAAGAAGAGGCCCAAGAGGAAATAAGCCCTTCGGAAGAGGTGGTAATAGAGGACCAAGAAGAGCAGAAGAAGGAACAGAAACAGCATAACAATAACAATGAAATTGATATATAAAAATGGTACATTATATATTTCTATCTATGCTTTAATTCAATCCCGTTTACTCTTAGTGTTTCTATTAGTTTTTTAAGGGTTGTCAGAAGGCATTCCTCTAAACATATTTTATATTTTCTTGTCCATTTCCGAGTAAATTTTTCTCATAGCCACCATAAATATTATGAAAACTCCTCCAATAATAGTGATTGTTAAGATTAGATTTTAATAATATTTGGTTCTTCTCTCAAACATCAGATCTATTGATTTAACAGAACTTGACACTTTTCCAAATGTATTTATTAAAGCAACCAATTCATTTCTTTTCAATTTTCCTGAAAATTCACTTGGAGATTCAGAAAATAGAATTTTTAATGCTGTTCCCAACCCATATGTTTGCATCTTTCCAAATACTCTACATTTTTGACATTCCACACAATCCATAATTCTACTTATGTTATGAATATATCTTTGGTAATCCTTCTTTTAATCCTAATAATAATAATGTTTAATAAATTACAAATGTTATTTAATTGAAGAATTATTATTCATCAAAAGGTTTAGAGCATTAGTTATTTCCTAGAGATAAGATAGCGTTCAATAGATATTTAGATCTAGTATCTTCTTCAAAAGACATAGAATTTATATCATGTGTTTGAATTCCAGGAGATGCTAATATGACTGCTCTTAATAGAACTGAATATATAAAGAACAAGTTTCGAATTCTTTCAGGATGATTACCTACTCTTTCGAAATATAATGAATAATTTGGATAGGTTTTATTTGTTGATAAATCAACATAAAACTCACTCAACTAAGTCGAAATCGAAGTATGCAATCCCTAAATTAATTTATTCAATGCTCTCTTCTCTCTACACATTTCATTCAATGAACCTTAGTAACAGTTTTCTTTGTATATAACATCCCAAATGTGTTGTCCTTAGTATCCTGTAAAGGCTTCAGGATTTAATTTCAAATCAACATAGACACCCTTGTCATTATCGATATCTTCAACATGCCATATCCATTCAGAGGGAGCTACAACTCTTTAATGAAATTACATAGATATCTTTCTGACTCCCAGAATGCGAAATCATCCTTTGGCTAATTAATTGGGGAGGATACTGGGGACAACCAATTGGATGGAATCTTGAATATATTAGCCTTATTACTTCTGATGTGTTACAAGTGCAAATTACACATTTTTTACTTGTGCAAATATATTCCCCAATAGAGAATGGACAATCATTTTCTAAATTGACTCTGAAGATCTTAAAATATTTTTTGTACTATAAATTCGATACTTATTTTTACAGTCAATTCATCCAATAGAGGGAATATTTGATCATTCACTGATTTGAGTGTTTTAAAATCTTAACAGCTGTCCTCAACAATTCCTTCATATTTAAAGCTTTTTTCCAACTAATTGTTTGATAACTTTAATTACTAATAAGTAGTTCAATCCTGTTATAATTATTCCTGCAATGTATGCATAAATCAGCGAAGAAATGCATTTGCCCATCATCTTTAATTCCCACTCTTTTCTTTGTCTTCTTTTAGCTCTCTGTATTTTCAATTATGCAAGCTCGTCTACAATATCATCTTATCCTGTTTACATAATAAAGTAATTATAATTTATATTTAATTAATTTTAGTTTAAATCTAAATCTATGTACACGTATGATAAATAAGTGATCTAAATAATACTTAAAATTTTAGTCATCCTCATATACTTTTAATAATATCAGTTAGCATTACTATCAACAATTTAGGTATTTGTTGTATAAGAAAGAAAAGTACAAAGAACTTCAATGTTAAGGTAATAAAATTGAAGACTTTTTTAAAGTTAAAGTTACATTAGATTTAATCTGTTGAATACAAAAGACTACTCATAATGATAATTGATAACTTTTGATTTCGATTTCTTATTAATAATTACAATTTAATATGTTGGCTTCAAGATCTGATTCTCAATTAAGAAGTCTTGAAAATCCAGATAAATAAACGATGAGAGGAGAATCTTCCAAAAGAAGTGATAAATTGCTTGAAATTCCAAGAAAAAAGCTCAATATGAGGTTATTGTTTTTATTACAGTTAGATTGTATACTGAGCAGGAACAAAAGATTTAGAATTTAATTAATTCTAAGTCAGTTACAATTAGTATTATTGCATTGGTTGGAATATATGCTATTTTGATTTTTGTTATTGTAGCTTTAGAGGAATTGATGGATGAGACAGAATTCAACAATGTGTCCATAATACTGAGTTGGATTGAATTAGGAATCCTAATTGTTTTCATTTTAGAAATAGCAGTTGGCTTATATGCATGGGGTGTGATGGTAAGAATTAAAATATAAATTAGAAATATTACAAAGATAAATGGTTGATTTTGGATACTCTCATTATATTATTGTCTCTCTTTTTTGTGATCTTTGAATTGGCAGATTAGAAAACATCAAATGTAGTCAAAGTGATCTAGGCTGTTTTTCGATTCTTACGAATATTTCTACTCATAAGAAAGGCTTAGACTTTCAGAAGACTGTCAACAATATCCACTATCTCTACACCAGCTGAAAAGATTGTTCGATTTTTATCAGAATTGAAAGAAGTGATAGAACTTGAAAGTATGAAATTGGATATCGATTATTGCATTGATAAAATAGGTAACAACTAATTATATTAAATGGGAAAGTTGGATGAGGACAATGCTGAGGTAAATGCTGAATATAATTATAGGCTATGGGTTGGTTGAATTAAAGTCAATAGGGTAAAAGTAGTGTGAGGAAAATTGTCACAGTTGATTAACAGCAGTAACAGAAAAAAGTACTAGCCAACTTTTAAAAATTGAACATTCCCAAAAGAGTAATCATTTGCAACATGTCATTAGGTTCTAGAGTTGTTAGATAAATAACATGATGATTTATATATTGATCCATTTGAGTGTGACAAATTAAGTGGAGGGGAAGGGTTGGTGTATTTAATGTTATTTCTCTTTGAAAACTACAATCTTTATGATGTTTTCTTGATTAAACCCAAAGTTGTAAGAAGTTATTTCGAGGAAGTAATGAGAGGATATCAAGATAACCCATATCATAATAGAGTGCATGCATAAGATGTGGCATAAACATGCAATTTTTTGTTGAATAGATGCAAATTTATTGAAATTGGTTAATTGGATGAACAAGATATCGCTTGTGTTCTTATTGCAGGTGCCATTCATGACTATGGACATCCTGGTCTAACGAATGCCTTTCTTATTAATAGTAAAAATGACTTAGCATTAACTTACAATGATTAAAGCGTTTTGGAAATGTTTCATCCATCTTAATGTTTCAAAATTGCTTGGACAAACCAGAAAGCAAACATCTTTGAAAGTCTGACATTCCAAAAATACAGAAGGATTAGAGAATCTATTATCTCGATGGTTTTATCCACTGACATGGCTCATCATGCTTCTGAATTAGCTATTACCAATAGTAGAGTGGCAGCACGTAAGTTATGTTCTTTGAATTTAGCCGACTTTGAACCATATGGGAAGGATAAGTAAAGATTAATGGATTTGGTTGTTCATTCTTCAGATGTATCAAATCCAACAAAAAGCTTTGAAATCTACAAGCAGTGGACTGAGAGAGTTCTGACAGAGTTTTGGTTACAAGGAGATAAAGAACGAGAACTCGGTTTGCCTATCTCCTATCTTTGCAATAGATATACAACCAACATGGCAGAGGCCTAACTGGGGTATTTTTAAACTTAATCATATTAGCTTTATTGATTATGTGGTCAAACCAACATTTTCTTGTGTTTTGGGTTTTCTTCCAGCCTTTGAGCCTTATCTCGAAAATCTAGATAAGAATAAGGCTAAATGGCAAGAACTTGTTGGATACTACAAACAATAATTGGCCTCCATTTAAACCTAATGATTAACAGATAAATATTTAAAAATTTTGTGTGATCCTCAATTTAAATATAATTTTGTAACCTATATAAATTAAGTTCCCTTTAATTCAAATGAATAATTTGGAAATTATTTGTAATCTAGTGAAATATTAATTTGGGAATATATATACTTAGCAGATAACAATTGTGAATTGATATACTGTTGTAAAATTATTTGAATGTGAATTAAGTAAAATCTATTGGAATAAAAAAAGTCAATGTTCTCTTAAATTACTGATTATATCAATCATCTAAAGAATAAGGAAATTAAACTATATGGTATTAATTAATTTATCTAATAATTTAATGAATTTTGAAGATAAATAAAATGACAGGCTATACAAAAATAGATTCTATATAAAGCATAAGATTAGTGCAGGTACTTTTTGAAATTGGTTTAACATTTGAAAGGTTCATTTGGAGTTGTATTCTTATGTTAAGATCTTCAGACCAAAGAATATGTGGCAATGAAAGTAGAGAAGGAGGACATCAATTCAATGAGTTTGGAAAGGGAAATCTAAATGTTAGACGAATTAAAAAAGCTTCCAGGTTAGAAATTTGCTAAAATAGGGATTCCCAAAATAATATGGGCAGGAAATGAGCATAATCATAATTGTTTGGTGATGCAATTGCTAGGCAGAGATTTATCCTACCATTTAAAGGCTTTAAAAAGGTTTTCATTGAAATGCGTTGTCAATATATCACTCCAAATTATCTAAATAATTGAAGGAGTGCATAAGAAGTACTTATAAATTCATATAATTTGACAGAGGAATAATTCATAGAGACATGAAACCAGAAAACGTAATGACTGGAAAAGATCAAGAATCAAACTAAATCTTTTTAGCTGATTTTGGAATTGCCAAATTTTATAGAGAACCTGATGGAACACATGTGTATATTATATCCCATAATAGAAATAAATATCAGACCCTTCAAAGACAATAAATCCTTTGTTGGTACAACCAGATATGCAAGCATTGGAGCACACAGAGGATTTGAATTGAGTAGGAAAGATGATCTTGAATCAATCGGATATATGATTATCTACATGTACAAAGGAACCCTGCCTTGGTAAACTTATCATAATGTGGCAGAGAAGGAAAAGACTAAAATGGTTGGTTAGATCAAATAATAAACATCATTAGAAGAATTGTGTAAGGATTGTCCTTAAGAATTTTATTAGTAACCCTCATTCATATGTAGGTATTTCCAATATGTAAAGCAATTGCAATACAAATCTACTCCTGATTATAGATATTTACATTCCTTATTTGAGTAAATATCCATAAACAATGGATTCAAACATGATAAAAGACTTGACTGGACTGAATTCTCTCAAGGGACCACTAAAATCTCAGGAGAATAGACCCAGCAAGATACAAGACAACCAGTTAGGTCGTCTAGATAAGATGATAAATTTAAAAATGTTGACTACATTCCATCATAACGGTACATGTCTTATTTCATAATCAGATCCGACATTAATAATTTACAAAAAGCAATTAACAGCAATAGAAATAGAGGTAGACATCAATCAGAATAATGCGTCAATAAAAGTAATAACAGTGGAAATAGTTTCTCATCTTCGTATATCAATAGTTAGCAATCTTCCATTCTTTTAAACTATTAAAACTCATAATTTTCTCAAAGTAATATTAGAATAGGATCCTCAAAACTATTAAGCAAATTATAAGAAAGGGGAATCATCAGTTTACATTAGGATTCCAAAGGATCTCTAATTTAATAGCAATCTTCTAAATCATTTCATGAAAGACACATGTCCTCTCACTTACAATAGTAATTAATGCCTCAATAGCAGCAGTCGTTTCATAACAATAGTCAGATCATGTAACTCTAATAAGAAGACTTTTAAGATTTAGAGGAACTTGAAGAAAGACTACAAAAAGATAAAAAGTCTAAGTAAAATATACATTAATCAAGAGTTAACGAAATTAGGCTCATAAAAGCAGCAAACCATTAAAAGTCAAAGAAATTCAAAATCATTTTAAGCAATCTGATAACTAAACTGATTTGTAAGGAATGACATAATTAGAAGAAGCAAGTATCGAAAACAAGCTCTAAAACTACACTTTTAATGCTCCAAAATTAAAATAAAACTTAGCTAAATATTGACTCATACTCGATTTTTTATTCTTTATTTCAAATAGAAATAATCTATTTTTGATTGTTAGATTGTATAATTATAAGTACAATTCTATACACTTAATTAAGTGTATAATAATATATTCTCATATATTAAACTATTTTGTATAATAATAATACTTATGTTATTTCATTGTATTTTATTAAATGAACACAGTTATAGTAGTTAATACTTAAATATTGTTTTTAATTAGAGACTTTGCCTATCAATAAAAAGAGTATTTATTGATGTGTTTGATAAGTAATTTCACAATATTAATTATTAATTATTATAATTTGTAACAATCTACTTAATTTTAGTATATATTCAAATAATTTACATTGTAATTGATAGACTTTTATAAAATAAAGTCAAATATGAATTAAATAGAAAATTAACTATTTTATGATTAAAAATTAATTAGTGAAATTTGTTTTTTTATTTATTTATTTTTAATTATTAATGAATTTATTCAAGACTTTTTTTCTAATTATATTTTGAAATTAAATGAAATGAAATACAAAACAATTAAAATTAATAAAATCATTAAAATTGCTAATCATTATTATTATGATTTAGATTTGGATTGTTACGAGGATTGCATTCGTATTACTCGATTATGGTATGCAAAAGTTAAACTATTTCATTTTGAGTTGGTTATTGATAATTTGTTAATTATATCAATTTTTACCATAAGGAAGATCTGTCTGAGTATTCTCTTCGTTCTTCTATTTCTTTTAATTATAAGAAATGCTATTACTATTACATTAAGCTTTGATAAAACTATAGATCTAATTATGAGTTTTAATTAAAGTATTGCATCTCTAGAAATATAAGAATAATAAATACAGTCTCTAAAATACTATTGTTGAGGCTATGGATAGCATAAATATTGTTATTATTGATTTTACATTTATTACTATGCTTACAAATATTGTTATTGTAAATAATAAAAGTCCAAATATGTATTTGGTTAAAAATGTGGGATAATGGGAATGTCTTCTTAAACTTTTGCTTTCTTGATTGTTTCCTTCTTCTATTTAGTTTTTGGAGGTCTGCCTCTCTTCGAACTTGGAATTTTATATTCAAGCATTGGAATGTCCTTGATCTATTATTTTTGAAATCGAACTCCAATTCTTTCTTGATCAAAGTAAGCCACAAAATTTTCTTTATTCATAGGAATTTTGGTATTTGAATCGCAAAATAAGATGCTAGATTATTTTTGATCTGAGAAATCATGATTAATCACATTCTAAAATCCTTGAATTAAAGTTCTTATCAGATTTACACTTCTATAAGTATTAAAAGTATTTATATGCTCCTAAGATTGGATATGCTAAACTAAGATAAAAAGTCAACATACATCTAAATATTCTTCATAATTTTTTTTGCAGACTCCACAATACCTATGTTTTTTGCCAGGCTTTGGAACTAACTTAAAAATAATACAATAATTAAATACCATTTTGGTCTTCTTGATTCTCTATTCTTCAATTTTCAATTGATGTTCTTATTAATATATCTCTAGATTGAATTAATATTAAGTTCTATCATATTCTAGGATGAATGTAGGGAGTCCGGGCTATCTATCGCAATTCAGAATAGGAACTATGTTTTCAAACTATCCAGTGAATCTTTTGTAATGTGATACATTTACTCATTATAAACAGGACAATAATCGAGAGTGATTTATGACTTAATCCAACATTCACTATATTTTGGTATCAAAATGAATTGATGTTCATAACAAATCTATTAGCATCTCTTCTTTGGTTTAAGGGAATGAATCATTTAATTTTTAATAAATTAATATATAAATATTCTCAACTCTCTGCTAGTAATTTCAATTACCTCAATTTTTTTAAATCTCCATAAAAATTTGAGTAAATTTTATTTCTTTCATGTTGATTTAAGTTATTTATTTTTAGGGCATCTGATCCTCTTGTAATAAATTCTTCTACTTTCTTCTAAATTTTGCTTTCTCTTCTTGTCTTGATGTCTTCCAACAATAACTTGATTTTATCATCATCTTTGATATCATCTCTGCAATAAGAGAACAAAATTGAAGAAATTTCAAAATAATATTGATCCATCCTTGCCAATTCTAACTCATTAATGGTTTCTTCATCAAGTTTTTATTGCAACCTCTCAATAGTTAACCATTCAGGAGGAATAACTCTACATTTATTCTTTTTCTTCAATTCAATTGCTACCCATAATGGAACCTCTACAATTTAATTAATTTTAAATGGTCCAAAATATCCCTTAATTAATCATTTTCGATATTACAGAAATGAATTGTAGCTTATCCAAATCAAAATTCGGTTAAATATTAATGAAGGTTGAATGTTAAATAATGAAATCACTCATTTCTGCATTAATATATCCTTATTACATTATTAAATTAATTTTATAAAAACATTAATTATTACAACCAATATATTCAATCCCCTTTTGGTAAATCAGTGCCTTCTTCTTGAGATTATTTTTAGAATGACACTTAAGAATCTTGTTATTGTTATTGCTATTATTATTTCTTCTTAGCTAATTTTGATTGCATATTCGAATTTTATAGTATCATTTTTAATTCTTCAAAATCTTCATCGTCCCCATCACTATCCCCTTGTCTGCCAGCTCTATGAGTTTTCATGGCACCACCTTTCCTCGGCACTTTACTTAAATCAATCCTGGTATCAAGAGCAATTTAAGACTTAGAGCCTCTACTTGATATCTGTGGTTTTTAGAAGCCTCTATCAGTGTGATTGCCCATATTTAACTTTTATTTCAGCATAAACTCTTCTATTTACTTATGAACAGGTTTATTCACATCAAACCACTTAGGTTATTTAATAACATTATCTCGATCAAAGTGTTTCCTATATTTATATAAATCTGATATAGAATTTCTAATTTGGAATAATTGTAAATATAATTCGTAGAACTATAAGCAAATATTTGTAGCTAAATGTCTATAATAGTCTAACAATTGCAAAATCTAATATCCCTTATAGTAATACCTCTTTGCTTAAAAAATTGTAAAATACAATTATGTCGGACCAATACACTAACACTATCTCTTTTAGCAGCATGTCTTCTGGTACCATCAATAGTGCTTCCTTCAATGTATCCATCTATCCCAACCCACTGTTTACCTGACTCTTTAAATCATTAATATACCAAATTGCTTATCTTAAACAACCATAATAGCTTTGTTTATATATCAATAAATTTTTATCCTTCCTAAAACAATGGGTATTGCTACACTTTGCAGGCATGAAACACCTAAATATTAACAGCAAGTTTTTGTAAATATTAAAAATAGCTTAGCTAAATATTTGCAGATAGCCATTCCTCTTTTTGTTGATTTGTTTTAACAACAGTTGGTGATTTTCGATTCATAAGAATTGCAAATTTCTAATTCAGAAAGTGATCTGCAAAATCAATACCTAATTAAAATTCGTGCAGCATTAAATGACATGTCAAAAGCACTTTATTTCTTATAATATATGAGCTTGCAAATTCCCTAAGAATATGGTAAATATTTCTTACTGTTCACAAGTCAATTGGAAATATTGATCTATATAATAAGATGGTGCTTTTGTTATAAATTCTGAATGATTATTCTCGAAGCAAGAAATTAAGAATAAGAGATCATCCAATAAAATTTCATCAGATTAACCTAACAGAGATGAGTTTGCTATTCTCTTTTAGAATGGTGGCCTATTTTTGAAATACCCCATAAATTTATTGATCATAATATTGTATTTATAATTCTAATTAATGTTTGATTACAATATTATCATTCTTACAATATGCTAACGTCATTTTTATATCATCTAATTCAAACCAAAGACATTTAAATATTTTATATTTTCAATTATGATTCATTTATTTTCAATTTAATTTAAGCTCAACTGAGGATTTCAAATTTTACTTATTTCTGTCTATTGTACTTATTGCTATTTCAATTCATAATATTCAATAAGAACATTAGATTTTATTATTAATCAGATCGTTTCTATATTAAAATTTAATTTACTAATATAGAGAAATGATAAAATGATAAGGAATTAGTGCAATAAGATTGGACTAAAATGAACATTAATTAATTAAGTTACATCTTTTGTTTTAATAATTATAAACTTGTAATTATTAATTAAAATCAATTAAACCAATTTGTTTTATAAATTATCAAATTCTAAGTTGTTGATACTTTTTAAATCAAATTTTCTTAGTCTATAATTTTATTAATTAACAATTACTAAATAAATATAAAATAGAAACATAAATTTATCTATAATCTTTTTCACAACTTATAACTAGTACATGGATCTTTTGTCATAATTCTTAATAATTATTTTATCTGAAATTGAAGTTTTATCTCTTAGATTGGAAGATTTTCATTTCTAATTAAATCACAATATTTTAAAGGATATTTCATTATAGTTCCACTTCAACTTCACACTCATACGCTACAAAACATCTATTTTCAACTAATCTGTATTTCGCTTCATATACAAAATAAATTTTCTTTCTGTTACCATCAGATAATAAGAATACATTATCTATTTAATAAATAGCATATAAGCAAAAATATAATTCTTCCCATTTATCCATGATTCTTGATCTCTAGTTTGACGATCTGTAATATTTTTACAAATATTATATTTTGATTAATATATTTATTAAATATATAAATGAAGGTTATTTCTTTGGACCAGAGTTAAACAAAAATAAAAATTTTATAGCAAGTCATTACTATTCCTGATGTTCCTTGCTAAAGACATGCAAAGGAATAGTTGGTGTCAGTGTGTACTCAAGGGTAATGTAGAGAAAAAGGTGCAATATGCCCATTATGTTAAGTGAATTATCATCATATGCATCTGGAGGATACTTGGAATCTGAATTATTTTGTATAATAAATTCATAAATAAATTGAAAGTCTATAGCCAGATTATAAAGCCATTAATGAATTACTTATCAGCTTTAAGTTAAAAATAAGTGAAGTAAACTTTGTATTAAGAATTAGTCCATCAAATCGTTAATTTTGTAATTGGAAATCATTGATAAGCAAGTGAATATGATTCTGCAAAAGTCTAAGCAAAAAATTGACTTTGACATAGATGAAATAAAAACTACTTTGAAAAATTTAGGAAAAACTAGTTAAATTGATAATTTTGGAAAAAAAAGTAAGTTATCTTACACATTTTAGTTGTTAAATTAACCTAATACTTTGGTATCGATCCTAAAACTCATGAAGTTTACAGAACAAAGGATTATGAGGATTTATAGATTTAGAAAATGACAGACTTAATAGAAGAAAACTAATAATACTTTGAAAAAGTGAAGGAAAGAATAACTAGATTATTGACAAAGACTTTAGATAAATTTTGTAATTTTGAGATACCTTAAATGGAAATGGTTGTTTCAAAATAATTCGAACCCAAACAATTGAGATGTTAATAAGTTATACATAGAGCACATTAGAATTGGATCAGAAGTGTATCTATGTTTAAATTAAGTGAAAGAGAAATTTAAAAAGTAAAAGAAACAGCATAAGGACAATTGTCAGAATTTGACCAATCTTTGCGATATGGCTAAATGGCCATTGTAACCACTAGTGATGATATGGACATAAAGGTTTGGCTGGATTCACCTGATGATCATAAATTTCATTTGTTATCGACTATAACTGGGGCACATTAAAGGGAATTCTTTGGACTTAGAATTCATTATTGCGATATTAATTTAATTACTAGGTTGAGCAATGAAATTTCATGTAATAATTTGATTTTCAGTGCACAACATGGTTTAATTAAAGTTTGGGATTGGATTAGCAAAAAATGTGTTAATGAAATAAAGACTCAATCATTTTTTACTTATGATTTTGAAATTGTCAAGATGAAAGATCTTGGAATTTGTTTTGCTCATGGATCTAAAAATTCTATTTAAATTGTTGATTTCACTAGTCCATTTGGAATGCTTATGATATAAGAAATTAATCCAGATGAATAAAACAAAGATATAAGTACTTTCAGGAAGATATCCCAAGTAAAGGAAAAATTTGATTATCTGGCAGTTGGATTTATCAATGGGGTTATTAAAGTTTTTAAAAATGATGGCAAATTACTCTATAAAATATAGAGATAAGATACTGAATTAGCCTTTTGTGTGGAGTTTTTAAGGATTGTGTAAAAGAAAACTTAAAATACTAAAGGTTCTACTGAGCTTTTAGTTATTGGGTCTGATTCTGGATAAAGTACGCTTCAATATTATAAAAGTTAGTGCTTATGACATTTAAACCGGAAAATCTGTTTGGGTTAACAGAAATTCCCATACAAGTTTTGTAAGAGGTTTGACTTCCATTATAGTTAAAGATAGTTCTTCTACTAAGACTATTTTGCTAAGTCAATCAGAAAAAGAAGGAAGCATCAACATATTAGACGGGTAATGTTAAAATTAAACGTAAATTTAGAGCTAATGGATAGTTATTACATTCGATGCAGGATGCTCTAGATTCAGGCCTCAGATTTAGAGGCTTAAGCTCGTATTAAGGAGTGCTTGATCCTATAACTCCTGATTCTTCAATTATTGTTGCAGGAACTTGTAAAGGAACACTACATATTTTCACTTTTTAAGAATAAAAATAAACTTGATTGTATATTCATATTAAGTTTAAGTTCCAAGATTTATTTATTTATCTTATAATCGTTATCAAAATTATTTTAAGCTATTTTTACTCAAATTAAGTGAAATTCCTATTTAGAACCTTATCTAAGATCTTGATATCAATAAATGAACCAAAATTTATTTAAAATCTAAGGTCGAAAGAACTGATAGATGAAGTTTAAATTGCAATCAAATATAAATTATAAAGTTTGAATAACACAATTAATCTTTAATTATTTATAACAAATATCAATTTTTTAATAATTCGAATGGATTTTAAGATTTTATTTATTACTTTTTAGATTCTTTCTTTTGTTTATTATGGTGATGAGCAATTGCAAAATCTTAAAGTTCATTCTATGATATATTTAAATATTTACATGAGGTTTTCTATCTCTATTGATTACTCTCTTTTGATCTTCTTGATCGTGATTTTATCCATCTTTCTATTCTCTATCATTATCTCTTTGAGATTAATTGTCTCTATAACCTTTATTATTATTTTCTCTATTTCCTCTATTATCTTAATATTCCTTATTATCTTTATTTTCCCATTTTTCTCTTTTTTCTCTATAATTGTTATCTCTTCGCTCTCTGTTGTCATAATTATCTTAGTAATCTCTCTTATCCCATTTATTTCTATTATCTTTATTATCCCTATTATCCCTATTATCTCTATTATCTCTATTATCTCTATTATCTCTATTATCTCTATTATCTCTATTATCTCTATTATCTCTATTGTCTCTATTGTCTCTATTATCTCTATTATCTCTATTGTCTCTATTATCTCTATTGTCTTTATTATCTCTATATTCTCTATTATCCCTATTGTCTCTATTATCCCTATTGTCTCTATTATCCCTATTATCTCTATTATCTCTATTGTCCCTATTTTCCCTATTATCTCTATTATCCCTATTGTCCCTATTATCTCTATTGTCTTTATTATCCCTATTATCTCTATTGTCTTTATTATCCCTATTATCTCTATTGTCTCTATTATCTCTATTATCTCTATTGTCTCTATTATCTCTATTGTCTCTATTATCTCTATTGTCTCTGAAATCTCTGTTATCTCTTTGATATCTTTAGTCTCTATTATCTCCATAATCCCTATTATCTCTTTAATATCTTTAATCTTTATTTTCCCATTTATTTCTTTAATCTCTATTGTCCCTTTAATCTCTATTTTCTCTTTGACCATTATTGTCTCTTTAATCTTTATTTTCTCCCTAATCTCTATTATCTTTCTATTCCTTATTATCTCCCTATTCTTTATTCTCAATCAATTCTTAAGGTTCTCTTTTATCAGGGTTTTCTCTTTAATCTCTATAATCTCTATTATCTCTTTTATAATCCCTATTATCTCTATTGTAATAGTCTTTTCTATTTTCATAGTTTTTGTATCCACCTCTTTGTTATGCTCTATTATTTTCATCATTTTAGTCTCCAGGTTAATCATTATCATTTTAAAAATTTTTTTAATCTCTATTTTAATATTTATTCCCTCTATATTATTTGTTATTTCTGAATTAATTGTCAGGATTGTTATCTTTTTATTAATCTGCATTCTCATCTTGATTAGTTTGATCTCTATTTCTATAATTATTTTTATAGTTATTATGATAATTATTATTATGATAATTTTTATTTTGGTAGTCATTTCCTCTATAATTGTTATACCTTCTTTAATTAGATTCTTGATATTATGATTATGATTATTGTTATTATTATTATTACTATTATTATTATTATTATTATTATTGCATTTATTATTATTATTCATCAGTAGGAATTTGAGGTTCTTATTATTTCTCTACCTTTTCCACTTATTCAACCTTCTTTTCTCCATCGTCTGTAGGTGTTTGGTCAATATTTTACGTAGCTTAAGGTTATTACGCCTGATGATTAATAAGCAAAATTACATTATTTTCATCGGCTCGTGATGAAGGGTTCCTGAGAATCTTTGGAGGCTCTTAGACTTTTTAATGTTATTATTGATAATTATTGCCTCTTCTATTTTGATAGTCTCCTCCTCTAAACTATTGATCTCTTCTTTTGTGCACAAAGTCATTTTAGTTTTCTTCATTAAATTATCTTGGTTGCTTATGGTATTACTTTCCTTTATTTCCATAATTTCTGTCCCTATCAAAATCTATTTTCATAAAAATTCTTTCAGTCTTTCCATCAACTTCCTAAATAAATTTATATGTTATCTGATTACAATTTATAATTTATGAGCATCAAGTAATTTTAAAGCATTATCCTTATCTACATCAAATCTAGCTTGATCGTCATGGATTGAGAAATTGTTCATGACTATGTCTTTCAAGACTTCCTTAATTTAATCCTCATTCAATTTCAGATTTTAGAGATGAATGAGAATATTGACATTATCCCCAGTAAAATTAGCGAGCTACTCTTTCTTTTATTCAATAAATCCTAATATTAAACTAAAATGATTACGATTGTTATCTTTATAATTTCTTCTTTGATTGTTGTCATTCCTGTCTCCTCTCTCGTTTCTATCACCTCTATAGTTATCTCTATTTTTATAATTCCTTTAATTGTCCTTATTGTCTCTTTGATCATTTTCTTATCTTGGATAATCTTTGTTATCTCTGTATCCTCTTTTATTGTTATTTCTTTAATTGTTGTTGCCTTTGTAATTTGATCTTTTCTTGTTTCGGTTATCCTCTTCATCAGAAGCATTTTTTGGTTTATCGTTGTCTTCGTCTGATGTCATGTCACCCCAATTTTACTATTAATTTTCAGCCATTTGCGATTTAAATAATTATTTAATATTAAAGAATCTAATGACTTTTGGATATTTAAATCATTTCCATTTCTTATTATCATTTATTCATTAATTATTTATCTGAAAGTGCGCAATAAGAATGATTCAATAAATTTATTCTAATATTTTCTTAATCACAAATTCTCTCTTGAATAAAAAGAAGATTAATTAATGTTTTATATATTATTACTTATTTCTTAAGTGTATTCCTAAGATGAATACTTGTGTGGAAAAGGAGAAAGACAATCCCCCATCAGTATAACAGACACATTTGTAAATTATTAATAATATATTTGTCATCAATCAGGATGCTAAATACTATAAACTTGAATTAAGGTTTAAGGATGATGTTCTAGTAGGACTGAGAGAAGAGGACACTGAATCTAAGAGATATATATTTACAGATGATCCTAGTAGACAAATACCAGAATTTAGAATGTTAGGACATGATCCTCATGGATTAATGGTTGGTTATAGACCAACAGAATTCTAATTAATTGCTCCAGCTGAACATTAGATTTTTGAATAATCCTTTGATTTAGAACTAGTTATATGGGGAGATTTGCTTAATATTTACAAAAATCCAAATATTAAAGGAGGACTCTCCTTTTTTTTCAAAATTACAAATTAAGATGAGACGAACTAGGATAACGAAACAACAATCAGCTATCCTTAAATTTTTAATGTAATTTAGAATACTATTTCAAGTTAACTGAAGATGGTGACTAATTATCAATCAATATGATTAATTTAGCCTCTCATTTAAAAGGGAATGACAAATATATCACTTACAGAGGCAGTTTAACTTGGGGGGATTGTGATGAAATTGTAGATAGATTTTTAATACCTTAAGTGTTTCCAATTACTTAAGATCAAGTATAAAAATTTTAATTATTTTCAGTATGATTAAATAGTTTCTCAGAAATAAATAAGCAATCCAAATCCTTTATAAGAAATAAGAAAAAGAAGAATTGTAAGGGGTAGTTTAATAATAGAAGATGAAACATCAGCAAATTATAATCCAATCTATAGATTTTTGTCCTTAACTTTTATTGCATTCTTATTTTTTTTAATTTTTGCATTGTTTATAAAAGAATAAAGAGAAAAAAGAAGAATGGACCAAGCTAAAAAGTTCAAAAGTGGAAATTGACATTAATTATTTTAATAAATAGTAAAATATTAGAAATCTATTATATTATTAAATAGATTCTTAAATTAAGTTCTTTCTAATTAGATAATTGAATATCCTTTCAATTTACTAATCAAGGAACGATATTTTGAATCAGATATATTGGGCAATTCAATAAAACATTAATAACAATGAATATAATTATTAGTAACCTTATAATATGCTATATAACTTAGATGTATTTTGATATCAAACTAATATTATTTTTGATATAATTTTTATCCCATTGTAATCAAATTAAAAGTGGATATTTTATACAAATATATTCAATTGAAATATTCAAGAATGGACTTGAACAAAGTTTAATATTAAAAATATTGATTGACTCAAAATGTTCAATATATCCTATTATGCATTAATTAAAAAAATGTTAAGAATTTGAATTATATGTTTAATAGATTGTAGATTAAATATCTAAGCGTCCAAAAATAAATCTGTAAAAAGTTGTATAAGTTCAATTTTCAACTTATTGAATATTATCAGAGCAAAGGTTTGATGATATTTAGTAATAGTTATATAATTTTTGTTGATTAAGATTATTTTTAAATAAATATCATTGAATTCTATTAATTTAAAATAGATTTCATAAAGATTATTCTTATTCAATCTGATTGGATGGTTAACTTTATTATTATTGACTCTCTTGAGATTAGTAGTTGGTCAGATTCAAATTTAACAAAGTATCTGAATAGTCTTATTTTATTATATTTTCAATAACAGGATTTTTTAATGCTTGAAATAATACGGATTTTAATTTAGAATTTGAGAATTCCAAATTTGACACCTAATTTAAGATCTTATAGTACTTTCTTCTCAATCTTTTCATATTCCTTTTATAAGGGACCTATCTTCTCTAAAGCCTCTCTTTTTCTCTTTTGTGCCTCTCTTGCACTATCTCTATTTCTCTTAACACATTGGCATCTTTTACAATTACAAAATTCATCCTCCTTGCTCTTGCATTTGTTTTTGATCTTTTCTATTAACTTAGCATAATATTCCAAGGGATTTCTTTGGGGTTCTTCAGAACTAAAATCAAAAGACAGTAATACATTTTATTTTCTATTACAATTTAAATGATTTAATTCTCAATTCTCACTAATTCAACAAACATAAATAAAAAAGATTTTAATTTATCATCAAGTCTAGTTGAATTAAAGATGAATTCTTTGCAATCAATTTATGTCTATTCACCAAATAATCCTTTGATTAACTATTCACTTATTTGTTTCTAATCATTATTTTAATAGATCCGAATAATTTTTAAATACTTTTATATATAATTAAATAATACTTTTTCTGCATGACATTCAAAATTACCGTTCGTATTAAATTACTTTTAATTCTCAATTATTTATTCTATTAGATTTGATTGATGAAAATATTGGCCCATTTTAGAAAACATCTTTGTCAATGATTATTAGCACTACTCCAAAGTAAGTATTTATTATTCCGGTTAACAAAGAAATTGATATAGAAATTCAGCAGACCTATTATCATCTGACAATAAATCATTCAGAGTTTTTAAGACTATTTATTGAGTACTATCTTAGGTTATATGCAATTTTTTAAATATGACTTCACTGATGATGTTGCTAAATAGAAGTGATTAACTAATTATTGCAATCTAGGAATCTAAAGTTATTTAAATAGTTACCATTTGTACATTAAATATCTTTAGTCCCCAAGTAAACTAGTTTCTTACTGACAATATCACAAATCAGTGTCCATTGTTACTTGTCGATTACTATTGAAGTTGGATCTCTTATATAATTCAGTATTAGTTCATCAGAATCAGAAACACTTTATTTCATTAAATAAATCATTAGATTAGCAATGTATTTGACTAAAATGGGCATTTTCATCTATTAAAGGGAGTCTTTGATTGATATCTGAGAACCCTTCTGCTAAATTTACTCTAATAACTTTAATATTTTTTATTGAATAGTCTAATTCTAGTTCTAACTCACAGTCTATAATTTTAATAATTAAGCTTGCATAATCTAATTTTAGGCCTGAATCAACATATATTATTGAACATTATACATTTGGGACTAAATACTCAGGCTGTAAATACCATATATGAGATATAGGAATCAATTTTATCTGTTGGAATATTCTGGGTTCCAATTGAAGGTATAAATGGTTTCATATGATCTTTATATTAATTGCAAAAATTTTAAAAATATTACACAACATATTAATTTGTTAATGTATATTAATTCGAAATCCATAAACGAATTTTTTGTGAATTTAAACATGTCAATTAAAATAGAGAATTGAATTATTTCTAATTATTTCTCATCAGATACTCAATCTAAATATTCAAACATTTACAATATTAAATTATAATAATATATATTTCCGTATGATTAATAATGAAAAGACTGAAATCAAAATAGAGAGAAGGTACCTGATCATATCAATAAAGTTAAATACCATCTGCTTAACCAAAGAAAGTGTTGGTGAAGAAGCCATCTACTAATATTGATAAATAAGAAAAAACTTCAGAAGAATCAGCTAAGCATTAAGAAATGTTAGATGATCGTCTTAAACAAAAACAATAATAATATGAAGAAGCAAAAGCCAAGATACTCTAAAACTAAAAACTTATAAGAAACTAGCAAAAATACAATTTAGAATTCCCAGAATTGCCAAAATGAAGCAATACAATATAAACACACAAACATCGATATAAATGTTCTCAAAATAACATCACAATTTCTTTATAAAACTATTATCATATTTAATTAATAATGTCTAATGATGATAATTTTCTGATCGAAAGTGATGATGAACAAGAAGCTGATGATAATGATCTCACTTAATAATAATCTCCTTTAGTCAGAACATCTTTTACTAACCCATTACAATTTAAAATTAACTAGCATTTCAAGGGTGAAATAAATGATGATGATGAACAATAAGTTATTTTGACAAGATCATAAAACTATTGTGGAGATGCTAGTGCACATAGTTAAAACAGTGAAGACCTCAAAGGTATTACTCATACAAATAATTCATCTGATGATGAATAAGAACCCACCAGAATCACATAAACCTTCAATAACCCCTTACACAAAATCAAAGAAGAAGTTGACGAGAGCTATGAAATTAATCTAAATAACTCTGATGAAGAAATCATAGTAAATGAGTTTGCCAAAGCACATGATTTAGTCATTAAAAATTGCTCCATTAAAATGGTATCCAAATATTATTTCATTATTAGATATACATCTTTATAAACATATAATTCATTCACTCCAAGCGGCTAGCTTTCCAAATACTGTAAACCTAATTAATTTCAGAAAAATAACACAAAATCTTACAAAAAAAGTAATTAGCCTCTCATTTAACCAAATGGATATTCAATCATCGAGAAAAAAAAATCAAAGCCAATTATTTGAAAAAATGGAAATTGCAAAATGCCAAGAAGAAGCTTTATGATGAAGCTAAAAAGAGAAATATTGATAAGGCTAAAGATCTAAGACAAGCATAAGGAAATGCAAGTACTTCTAATGATACAAATCTTTAAAATAAATCCTAAACTTAGGCTGGAGCCATTAATAACACTAAATTAACTACATCAACTTAACCAACTTCATAAAATTAATAATCATCAAATTTACCATAATAATAATCACCACCTCCGCCACCACCGCCTCCTCCTCCCCCATTGCCTAATAGTACCTCAAATGTGACAGCACCGCCTCCACCACCTCCATTACCTAATTCATAAGCTCCACCACCACCTCCTCCTCCTCCTCCACCTCCAATGCCTGGTTAATAAAATCCTCCTCCTCCACCACCTCCTCCTTTACCTGGATAATAGGCTCCTCCACCTCCTCCTCCTTTGCCAGGATAACAAGCTCCTCCACCCCCTCCTCCATTACCAGGAGGTGCCAGACCGCCTCCACCGCCTCCTCCTCCTCCAGGAGGACCTAGACCACCTGGACCACCTCCTCCTCCTGGATAAGCTGGTGCAGTACAAGTAAACACTTTATAATATAAGGGGACCTGGAATTGCAGCCAGAACACCAAAAAAGGATATGGCTCCAAGAAGAGTCCATGTGAATGTGCTATCTAAATTCAAATTGAAAACAACATTTTGGTCATAGTCAGTAGAGGCCCAAGGAATAAAAGTAAAAATGGTTATAACTTAGATTCCATTATTGGATTTTGATCTTTTGGAATCAAAGTTTTGCGAGAGAATAGATCCAAATGCTAATAAGAAAGAAACGAAAGCTTTGCCAAAACCAACATTGATTTATATTGAAGAATAAAAAAAAGTAAATAACACTGCAATAGTAATGATGAAATTTCCAGTAAAACCAAATGTAATAATTGAATGGCTGAACGTGCTTTCAGACAAATTAGATATTGAGTTGATTGAAAAGTTGATTTCAATAGCACCTCTAGATGAAGATGCAAAGCTATTAAGAGAATTTGAAGGAGATTGGACAAAAGTGAATGATGCTGAAAAGTTCTTAACAGAATTCATAAAGATTTATCGATATCGATAGAGATTAGATAGCTTATTATTTAAAAGAACATTTGACTCAGAATTTAATGATACATTTAAAAAGATAGGTTATTTATAAGAACCAATTCTTCTGGTGAAAACTGATCCCCGTTTGAAAATCTTTTTACAGTTAACTCTTAATATAGCTAATTTTTTAAATCATGGTACTCCAAAAGCAAATGCTGGTGGAATTGGGTTAGATAGTTTGAATGTAGTGGATTCGATAAAAGCAATTGATAAGAAAACTAACCTATTGACATATTTAACGAAAATAGTGAAATAACAAGAAATAAAACTTAAAGTCTTTTTTGACGATGTGCTTCTATTGGAGGATGCTTAAAAGGTAGAATTGGCTGATATTGAAAACAAAATGAATGAATATATAAAAGGGTACTAATATAAATATTATTAAGATTAAAGAAAATTAATGATGAAATAGCAGCTCTATAAAAAGCAATAGACAATAATCTATTGACAGAGGAATAGAAAATAGCATCATTAAAATTCATTGAGTTATTTCAAGAATTTTTAAAGGAAGGAGATTGGAAAATGTAAGCTTATTAAAAGAAGTTCGAGTAGATAAAGTTAGACATAAAATAAGTAGGCTAAATGTATGGAGAGAATGATAATTACAGTATCAAAGATTTCTTAGGATAACTATTTACATTTGCAAATAAATTTAGAGCTGCATACATGTATTATTGTTATTACTATTTTAAAGTAAAATGGAAGTAGATGAGGCATTAGAAAGCAAACCAAAACCTTAATAATAAGATACAAAAGGCAGATCCAAGACTTTAGTATAATCTACTCCTGAAACCTAAGGGAACAAAAACTAATTAGATTCTAAAGTTAACTTTTATAAAGCAACAACTCCTAGTAGTGGAATGAGGATGAGTACATCTGCAAAAATGAATGCAAAAAATGGTATGAATTTTTAATATACAAAAATAGTAATGAGTGCTGTGGCTAAGTAAAGGGAAAGTAAAATGCATGAGAACATTTCAATAGTCTAAAAATAACAATAATAATAAATTATACCATAAGCTCCAACAAATATTATTTAAAATGCTAGAACTGGTGTTATTTCTTTTAAGTAATGATAAATATATATTTTTAACGATTATAATTTTTAATATTACATGGATAATTAACAAAGCCAATAAGCATTTTTGTAGAGTGTTTCCCTTCTTTTCAGTAAATATATGTCTTAGAACATTTAGAAATTATCAAATTTCCATTCATTTGTCAAAATTGTGGAAATATTGAAGTTATGAGATAACTTTAAAAAATATTTAATGAAATTGATGAAATTGATATTGAAGAATTATCAAGTAGGATAGTTTTAGTTTCAAAATCGATTCAGAAAAAGAAAGAGGAAAGTTTTGTTTCTATTTAATAATAAATCTAGAAATCTTTGAATTATCTATAACCATTAAAGACAGATGATCAACAATTATTTAATTTTGAAAATCATGAATAATGTTTACAAAGAGTTTGTGATGTATGCATATTTTCTTTATTCGAGGATATTTTTATCAATATCTAGGAACAACTAGAAATTTAGAACTCATTAAATGAATTGATTGCCATAATGCAGGAACAACAATTACAAATTAATTAGTTTCCTCAATCTAAGAACCTACAGTTAATATCTGAATACAACAACAACAAGATAATCAAAGAAAGATTGGAAGGAGCATTAAAAATTAATTAGAGTCATAAGGAAATCCTTAAAGAAATTCTTATTAAAATAGGGTAGGACAATTCCAATCAAAAGATTAACTATCAAATATCAATCAAGCAATCTCAACTAGATCTTATATATCTTATTCAATAAAATTCAGTATTAAATGAAAAAATAAATGAATTAGAAAGTTAATTAAAGGAAAAGAACAATTAACTTCTAAAATTTAGTTATTATATTTAACAGCTTGAAAATAGTTAATAAAATTAAAACATCCAATATGTTGTATCTCAAAAGATCTCATAATAGGATCAGAATACTTAATCATAATAAGACCATAATAATGTTTAAGATTGTTAGGTTAACTAATCATAGTCGGATGAATTCTATTCCATTATTGATTAGAGTCTGAATAACTTTTATGAAAATCAATGCAGATAAAGTTTGGCAAAACCTTAATAATCTATGACGGTCCTCAAACCCATAAATCAAAATATTACAGTTTAATAAAGTTTTCAAAAATAGAAAGCAACCTTAAATTCTGAAAGAAAGGTTAATTTTAGTTTTGATTATGGAAACCCACTGGAAACAAACAATAGTTTTACTTAATAAGAAGATGAGAATTACTAATTTAATTTTTGAATAGATAAAATATTTTCGATTACTTATTTATATCTCAGATATAATAAACTATAATTTATTATTCTTAATCAAAATTGAACTTACTTCATTTATGATTACTATAAATTTGCAAATTAATAATTAAATGGTTACTAAAATGGACTTTATTCTTAGAACAAGACATCTGATTTATTCATTTCAGTATATCTGCTAAAAGCTAAGGTTGAAGTTCCAAATTTTTATTCAGATTAATGAAAAGGTTTAGGATTAGCATTATGTATATTTGGTGAATGATTATCTTCTAAATTGCTCATTTAAGATATTCTTGATTATTATACAGAGCCTTGATGTAAGTTGAATTAATTATGTCCTTTAACATAATCTGGATTCTTTTTGCCGAAATTTAACTAATTAATAGAATTAGATCCATCATTTTCATCTGGCTTCCAATTAGCCAAAACAACATATTGCATGTAGTCTGTTTCAATGTATTCTTCATCGGAATCTTGTTTACTTTCATTTGGATTGTAAATATCTGATTCACAAGTACCCATATTTGAGAGTTGATGCAAATTAATTAAATAAAATAATATATTAATTTTAGTAATATATCATAATAGAGCTTTTAATTTAGTTATTGTGTGATTAAACCATGGGATTTCTTTTAAAATAACAGGAGTTAGAGCTGTTCTAAATGTGTTATCCATTATATTTTAATAGACAATGACTTCACAAGAGTCATCTGTTTTCTTTTTCAAAAATATCAAACTCATCTTCTACCCTAGATATTAAAATTGCTAATACCTTTTTAATCACATTTGATTTTGTAGTGATTTGGTAATGGTTTTGAACTGGGAACAATAGTAATTTAATAAAGTAAGTCATCTATTTTAGTAATTTCCTATTCACTGACGAATGCCATTTTCTTGAAGGTTGATTTATCTTCCCAGACATAATATTCAACAATTAGACTTCTAAGTTCATCATATTGTTCTAAGACATCCTTTTATATCATTCCATGAAACCATTGGATTTTGAGATCTGTAAAGATAACAATAGCTTTTTCGATGGAACAATTAATAGGATGAACTGTTTTTACAAATTAACCAGATAGATGATACATCAAATGAGTTTCAAATTCTATGGATAATCCAAATTATTTATTACCTTAGACAAACTTCCAATTTAAATTCATTTAACTGATTTCATATAACTATTCAATCGAAGCTTCTTATTCTAGGATGGCATGTTCGGTAGAATTAGATTTTGTAGGCAATAGTTCTTAGAGATTTTCATTGCTGTCTTTATTTACTTTGATTTCATCTATCATTTTATTAATATGAGTCTGAACAAAATACTCATACTCTTATAAGCATTCTTCATCATCAATCAAGTATTTGATCATTTAATCCTTTAATTGATTCTGATTAATATATTTATGCAAAAGTGTAAGAGAATCTTGCTTGCAATGTTTTTATTGGCCACATACATGAGACTAGATCTTAACCTTTTTAAATTGCTTAATGGATATTTCTCCAAACTACTTTAGTGCTTATTCGGCATCTACTTAAGTATTTTGATATACTTGGATTATAATCATATTCTAGGACTTTTCGAAAAAACTAAAACCCATTGATACAACTAATATGACTCTAAATATCATTGTTTTGGATGGATAATGTCTACATGATTCCTTCGAGTTCTCTCTCCTCATCTCCTATGAATAACACCTTTAACATGGTTGGAGATACTTATTGGATTTTACCAAAGCAATATTTTTCCATTTTTCTATATTTTTTAATTTATTAATATACTAAAAGAGTTTGCCTCTCTCATCTATCTTCTCATTCAACTTTTTTAAATAGTGGATTATCATTTATTCTGGCTCATTCTTGGGCTGTATTTTCTTAGGACTGCAATCCAAAAGATCCTTTAATGCTGTTTCATCTCTACTGGGTTGATGTAGTTTAACATTTTAATCGAAACCGCCTTTTTAAAATTATTCTTTATATTTATTAATTCAATTACTACCTTTAATATTTAGGAATTCTAAAAAGATATACAAGGAATGATCTAAATGTTTTAAAAGGTGTTACAAAAACTCTTAGAATAATTATATTCTTTACATTAAAGCATGTCCTATCTTTGAGCTATAATTTTCCTTGAATTTGTTTGAATTAAAGTTTTCTAAGGGAACTTCGGCATAGATTTTAAGTAGGAGTGAAGCTAACAATAATTTAATGAATTACTTATTCATGCAATTTCTCAAACTCCGAATATCTTTTAGGAATGGTGTAATCAAAATAATCAGTTTTTATTTAAATAACATAATTTACTATATGTTTTTTATATATCGATTCATGGTCTTCTTCCTTAAATATTTCTATTATTTCTATCTATTTAATCATTTGTTAATCAACAATTAAAGCATAGAGATCTTTTCCTTACTTTTCCTTCTAGACTTGTTGCTTTTGCCCAAGATTTGGACGTTCCGATTATTCTCTAAATAAAGTAGGAATGACCTCCGGTGTAAAGCTTTATGAAAGTATCTATTTCATAATAATAAATAAATATTAATATATTTTACAATTTTTGTTATTCACAACTTTTATTATAAATGCTTTAATAATTGTTAATTCTTGACAGCAAACCTATTTTTTTATAAAGAAATTAAGCAACTAAAATTATCTAAATTATTAATGAGTAAATACACTTGTTCCTATTCTCATTTTCTGATAATCTTATTCAGCTATTTCTCATACCAAATTTTCATTTTACTGTTATAATAAATTCTTATATTTATGATATTAATCAATAATACCAAAGTAGAATAACGTGAGAATCGTTATTATTAGATGGCAAAATTGCATAGATTAATTTCGTTATTGATAATATTTCTAAAAATAACACAGCATTTAAATTATTTTATTTAATATCTATATAATTTACAATATCAATTCTACATTGTTCCTTTTATTATATATATAATATTACTTGTAGATTCTAAATAAAAATATATCTCTTTTTGTATTCTAAAAATAAACATTCTAAAAACTATATTCGTTAATTATTAATATTTATTAAATTTTCAAATATGTCACATAATGCTATATTGAAATGGATAGGGTATTTGGTGAATGTGCCAGAAGGTACTACTTTAAAAGATTTAAGTGATGGTAGAATTTTAACTAATTTACTGAATAAATTGAATCCTGATGCTTATCCTCAAAAAGTTTAATCTTCTCCTTAAAAAAATTTCTAAATGGATATGTTATGTGTAACTAACTTAGTTTAAAACTTGAAATAATCAATTCCCAATTTACCTGAAATAAATAGTTTATTAATTGCAAAGCATTAAGATACTACCGAAATCATTAAATTGATATCAATCATTATAAAAGTAGTTATGTTTACTATTGATAGATTATGATCGAATCTCAATTAGCTTAAGAGGCAATACTTAAATTAAATGAAGAATAAGTGCAAAATATTTTATAATTTATCAATTAATATTAAGAGGAAGAGATTGGACATCAACAATAATCTGATAGAAAATTACTTGATAAAATAGATGAATTAGAAGATGAAAATTAACAATTGAAGTAATTGATAGAACAATAGGATAAGCAATAAGCTTAACACTTTAATAAAATTAAATAATAAGAGCAATTATTAGTCTAAAAAGAGAACGAAATTAGTGAGATCAAATTATGTATGATATTCAATATACTATTTAGAACTTCAAAAAAATATTCATATAGAAGAGAATATATCAGGAACTCTAATAGAAAAATTAAAAATTCAATTGACAACAATCAATAAAGATAAAAAAGAATTATCAGAATAAAATGAAATGTAATTATAAATATTATTTATTAAGGTTATAACATAAGTTGTAAAATTATTAGAATTTAGAAAATATCAATTTACAATTATAATAAGAATTAGCACAAAGATGCAAATAAGACAAAGTTATAGAGGAATTAAAAACAAATATTGAGATTCTGAAATAACAAATGGATTTAAAAGACTAGAAGATCAGTAAATTGTAGGATTAAATCAAACAGACATCATAAAATCAATAAAAAGAATGTAGTAAAGTAGTAGAGTTGGAAATGTAGAATGAATAGCTGAAATAAGAAATAGAAGATATTTAGAGGGGTAAAAATAAGGAAATTCATTAATTGCATCAAAAAATAAATGAACTAAAAATACAAGTAGACACAATGCAAATGGAGAAATAGGAAACGTAAAGATCATCAGTTCATTATCAATAGAGTCCAAGATGTTTAGATTCTGAATTTAAATCATTATTAAACGATAACATTGGTGGTTATTATTCAGAGTAAACAATTTAAGAGTTTTAATAATAACTATAACAAAAAGAGTAGTAGTTACAATAGAAGGAAATCCTATTTGATTAAAAAATCAAGACTCTGGAGGCAAAGATAAACAAAGAAAAAGATACAAACATTTAACATATACAAATAGTAAATACATTATATAATTAGACATCTTCATTGCAAGAGGAAAATAAGAAATTAAAATTGGAACTAGAGAAATTAATTGATACTAATTATTAGGTGAGTAGAATACACGCAGAAAAACAATAAAATATGCTCCTTATTTCAGTAATTGAATGTTTGAATGAAAAAGTTAATTAATTACATTCTTAATAGAAGGAGCATCTTAAGAGCGATAAGAAAATACAACCATAAATTTTATCAAGAAATTCAATATCTTTATGGAGTGCTAAATAATGATTATTAGATGATATATTTAATATTATTATACTGATTATCACTTTTTCTTTCCTTTCTTGCCACCTGCTGCTCCTCCAGCTGCTGCTCCTCCTGCTGGAGCTGCTGCTGCTGCCGCTGCTGCTTTGGCTGCTTATTGTTTTTTTATTGCTTCTAAATTTGCTTTAATCTATAGTTTTATAAAATACACATCTTACTGTTGCTTCATCCATTCTGAATGTTTGATGACATGTTCCACAATAGTGTCTATCAAAATGTTTAGCCATATACACTCCTTGAGGGCATTATGGACATTATTTATGTGATCTCTAGACTGCGCCTTTATTATCTACAGTATAAAGCTTAAGTGTTGCCAATTTAACCTTTCGGTGTCTATGCTTCTTCTTCTTGGGTTTAGCAAAATTCTTCTTCTTCTTCTTCTTCTTTTTACCTCCTTCTGCATCTACATTTACATAGTATATGCTTTCACTGCCTATCAAGAATTAATGATATTCTTACCCAATAAAGCAGATGCTGCAACAGCCTCACCATTACTCACCAGAGAGACTTCACATTATATTTCAGATTGAATCATCATCATCAACTCATTAGCTGTACAGAGATCAGCTAAATCATATAGTCTTACCTCTCCATTGAGGTGACCAACTTTAATTATCATTTTAAATAATAAAGATTTTAATTTAAAATAAATTACTCAAACAAAATACCAATCAATTTAATCTCAATCTACGATTTCCAAGCAAAGGTCTCAACTCACTAATTATATAATGTTTATTAGATTCCAAATGCTTTGCTGATTACTCCTCTAAAATTTATTAGCAATGCTATGTAAAGTGAGAATTGGATCTTTACAATAAGACATGAAAATTTTGGAAGTAAACCAATTGAAATTCCTTCTATAGAAGATGAGCTTATAATATTTAAGAATTAATTTGATCTTCCAACACTATATCATTAATCAAAGACACAAAATTCCCTAATTTGATCAATAAGATTGGAGTTAAAGACTGACTCATCATATAATTCAGGATCATCAATCCAAATTCTTTATGAGATTTCTGATTTAATTAAATGTAAATATTTAATGGAATGAATATGTGTTCATAAGGTTCATCTTTGATTTCAGAATATTATTGAACTTGCATAAGTAATGTCTCACGCATTAATTAATCATCATAACTCTTCAGATATAATAGGAATGTCTGAATAAGAACACTCTAAATCCAAAATTCACTTTATGATACCAACTAAGATTTCAATATATTTTAGACCAAAATGGCAAACTCGTTTGAAATCTGTATATTCTATACCTAACATTAACTTAAGAACATCAACAATAGCTCAGTTCCCATCTCAATTAAAATTTATTATTTTGAACTGAATATTTGTTAGATTATAAATATACACACCTCAATATGTTATGCCAATTTATCACTTCTAAAGATTATCTCTATCAGAGTTTCAATAATTTTCTCTTAAATATTCAAATTATTTCCTTGCCACTCCTAATAAAATTACTTTATGATCCAAGAGTGATCTGAAAATTAATCCTTCTTTGTTAATTATGAATAGAAATTGAATATACATATTTTACTCTCTTGATTTTAAAAGTTGCTGTACAATTATTGTATGTTAGGCCAAAACTTGCTAGGCTAATCTATTATTTCTATAAGTTAATTTAAACACTCAATCTGCAATAGAATTATGCATTTATTTGTAGTTTGTAATGTCAATATCAAGTTTATAATAATTTATGAAATGTCCTCTGGGATTTACTCATTATATTTTAAATACTTAATGAATATTTATAAAATCTAAATCTTTAAAGGATCAAACAGAGCATCAGTTGATTATAATTCCTATTAAAATTGGACTATATATTAATCCATATCAAATTGCATATCAAGCATCACATTTCTAATTAAATAATATATGGCTTCCTTCTATATCACATTCTAAAATGTCTTCAGTTCTGGAGTTTATTGAAATTGATCATTCATTATTTAGATCACATCATCAGCCTTATGACTTTGAAGAGAGGCAATCAAAAAGTCAATGGCTGTATCTCTGATTTCATATGACGAATTATTATTTTCAGCATAAGCCTCTTCTTAATCATAATAGATGTCGTAAACTTGGGCCGGACTTAAAATCAAAGCATATTGAATCAAAAACTTGAGGATATTACTAAAATATCCTTCAAATAGAACTAATTCAAATTCTAATCCATTTTAATTTATCTACTCTAAGGCCAACAGAGGATCATAAGTATGATTCTATAGTAACAGCTTTAGAATCTTTAAAACCTGTAATACTAATTTATTTTGTTAATTCGGAAGATCTTTCAAATTTTAAATATCATTTTTAAATTATTATTCTGAAACAAACTCTAATTATATTTACTTTAAATGTTAATTTGTAAAATATATTTTATTTAATACAAATAGCAATTAGCTTAAAGATTCTAATGAAAAATCTTTGTTATAAGTTAATTTACTTAATATTATTTTTTATATTAAATATACAACCCTGAAATTGTTATTATAGATTTATTTCTCCAATTCCCCTAAATACTTTTCAAATTCAAGAATTGCTGCATTTTTAATTATTTTTTATGTTAAAACTACTAATTTTAATGAGATTTCTAAAGCATTATCACTAATCATAGATTAGCTTTGTTGACACAAATATTGCACTCTTTGAGAGTCTCCCTCCTCCTTAAATAACTCTTTAAGTAAGTAATATAATAATTCAATATCCTTTTGGTTTATAATCCATTGAATCAATTCGAGATCTTATTGTTATTTTAGCAATATAAATCGCAGTGCTTTTCGAATTTAAATACCTTTATTGTTTTTATCGCTATAAATTTAAGTGATGATGGCTCTTAAGTATGAATATTAATTTAAGTCTAAGGAGTCATTATGTTGTATTAGCCAATAATTGAAATAAATTTCTGCTAGTTGATTCTTTTCAATAATTAAATTAAACAATGGATTCATGTCATCTAAATTTCTAAAGGTTTAATCCAACAGTTAGAGTGATTCATTTCGAACACAATCTAATTAATCGATCGATCCCTATAACAATTTCAATAATTAAAATTAATCCATAATTATATTAATTAATTGAAAAGAATTATTTATGCAATATAATCATAAAATTTATTTATATATCTTAATTATTCTCACACTCTTCAATTTTATTCACAAATCTAAAGAGCACTTGCATTAAATAATTATACATTAATTGTATTATTAGAATTTATGAAACTTAATAGATTCATAAAAATGTGATAAAAACATTCATTATTTGGATTTGCTATGAATGGTTAATTCAATTGAAAAAATATCCGTTAATTTAAGAATTTAGAGTTTATTAAATATGATTTAATTATTCTTATGAAATATAATAAGAAGATATATAAAAAATAACGATAGTCGATTTGGTTGGTTTTGAGTTATGACTTAATTGTATGATGATGGAAGAATGTAAAATCGAGTGTAAATTAATTGGTATTTTGATGAAAAAGAAGATTTGAATAAATTATATTTTATGGAATTTATAATTGATAAGAAATTTCATTAATAACGAAATATATGGACAGAGATTAATTTGTCTATTTTCCTTTGTTATGATAAATTAAATAAAGATCAGAATAACAAAAATAAAGGAAAAGTGCTAATTATCACAAGTACATAAATAAAATTGGAAAAATTATAAAATAAATTATTCGTGGATAAAAACAGTTGTTAAATATTGATTAGTTCTTATATAAGTAGAATAGTTAATTTGATAAAATAATGTGGAAAGGAAATAACTTCTAAAGTTAAATTCTGTGGAAGGAATCCAGAAAAGTTAAATGGGAAGTTCCAAGTATCTAAAAACACAATTAACAATACTATAAAGTAAGATAGAAGAGATTCGATTAATGAGTTATGAAATATTAATATTGAAATAATATCTATTAATGCAACGACACAATTAGTTACTTATTACGATAGCCAACATATTGGATGAAATAATTAAAGAGACTGATGCCTTAGAAATAGAGTAAGATTCAATATCTTGTTTCCATGCAACTAAAGCACCATCAATAACCTTATTTAACTACCTATAAAGAATTGCAAAATACACACATTGTAGTGAAGAATGCTTTGTTATTGCCTTAATTTACTTGGATAAATTGCAAGAAAAGCATCCCTATCTAGTGTTGAATTCGAAATGCATTCATAGGTATCCAATTTAATTAATTAGATTTCTATTGACTTCTTTGGTGATTGCCATTAAAATTTAAGATGATGATTATTATAAAAATGAATATTATGCAAAAGTAGGAGGTGTAAGCGTAAAAGAGATTTTTGTTCTTGAATAAGCCTTTTTAGAATTAATGGATTATGAATTGTTTATACAGGAACAACACTATTTTATGTACGAAAAGAAATTACTAGAGTATACAGAAATTGAAATGTCCTGATGAACCTTGATTTATCGTTAATTTTTGATTTAGTTTAATTATTTTAAACATAGTCTCAAAATATATATCTAATCAACAACTTTTAAAATAATAAAAAATAAACATATTTATTATAGAATTTTTTCAGCATAAATTCTACATTTATATAATTAAAAATAAATATTAAATCCTTTAGGAGAATCGTTTAGAAAATAATCAACTCCGATTATTTTCATTAATCAATTGAGTTAAATATTTACTGTATTCTCTCCAAAAAATTTACTCTGCAATTATAAATTTTAATCAGCAATTATTCTAATGAGAATAGGTTAAGTTTAGAATTATTTATTATTCATGATTTGAATATTAAACATAAATAAATAAAATCATAATAGTAATGTATTTCTTGATTCTTACCATTTCATCTCTCTATCACAATGTCTTGTTAAAAGTAGTACGAGATGAATCTAATGCATAATTTAAAGATTTACCTTTCTTGATACTTTTATGAGATGCATTATATCTGGATTTTAACATTTATACTAACAATTCTTAATAGACCAAGGGTTGGCCTTATAATATAATAATAGATAAACTATATGCTTTTACTCTGACTACATAGCATAATACAGGGGAGTTTTTCCATCTTAATCTATAGAATCAACATAGGCCCCATAATGAAGCAATCTCTCAGTAATTGATTAATAGCCCTTTTTAGAACTCAAATGTAAGGGTGTCTATCCTTCTTCATTTATATCGAATGCAAAATATCTACATTTTAGGAGCATAAAGTTGATAAGCTATAAATTATTATCTTCAACCCCCTCAAAAAACTAGAATGATCCTTCCCTTTCATAAGCCTTTTTTTAAATGACTCCATTCTAGAAGATTTCTTTTATAGTTAATTTCATTAGTTTCATTTTTCTAACGCAGTTAACTATTTAATTAAACATCTTTTTAAATATTGATCTGACTTAAATACTGAAAATAGTGTTTTATTTTTTTTTGAATCTATCTTTAATTTAAGATGATTTGATTGATTATTACATGAAATTTTGTGATTTTGATTATTTTTATTTTTATTCTTCTTCTACTTAAAAGGCAAATTATTTTAAGAACGTTGTAGATATTCTCATTCTTTTGTTATTATTACATGATTTAGTTTATTCTGAAAGTTGTGTTAAAGTGATTTCTTATTATTTACTTTATTCTTCTTAGTATGCTTTTTTTTTATCATAATAAATTTGGATGACTGATTTTAACTTTTTGTCTGGAGAAGTAGATTCTTAGAATGATTGATCTAAAAATTTTAGGTTTCTAGTAAAAGCCTCTCTCACCTTACTTTATTTTCTAACCGAATTTTTCCTTTAATTAATAGCAAGCATTTATCCTATCTTTTCCATCATATCTTTGGGGTGTTAATTCTCTAATTGTTCAAACTGAGTTATTTCATTTTCTTATGTAGAAACAGTTTTTGAGTTTTAAACAGACTTTTTTTTCTTTCTCATTAACAAGTTATCTTTATTTATTAATTTTAGAGCCTTAGAAACTGAATCACTCCCTTCTCCGTTCATTACAGAAATCTATTTTCCTATTGTTTTATAATATGTGTACATTAAAGTCAATATAACTCAATTTAGGAACTTTGAGATTTCTTTTTTCAGAAGTATTTCTACTATTTTAGATTAGTATTTCGTCTTCCATTCTGCTTTCTATTTTTCTAATACCAATATTTTGAGGAGTGTTGGGATTTATTGTAGAATTTTTTACGAAAGAGGATTACCTTAGCCATCTGCTGGTTTGAGCTCGGTTGTTACTTTATTTGATGGAATCACACTTCATTATTTATTTAAAGACATAAATACTTTAAATTAGGCTAGCGGTTCACTTTATTACATCATTCCTTTTCCGCTTTTGGCTTCTAGTTTTTTTTTAATCGTAAATGACTTTTCTGTTTTACCGTCCATATAATTGTACTCAAATGTTTCAATGTATAACGGCTTGATAGCATATTTAAACTTGTTCATCCGAATAGATTGTTATTATAATACTTAATTATTAAAATCACAAATCCTAAATGACTCTACCACAATTCATCCAGGTTTGTTATCTTTTCTTGTATGGAATCATCATCAGCAATAGGTCAATCTAATTACTCATTAAACTAATACTCTTCTTGCAATTTTGAGTATCTTCATTAAACAAGGATCATTAGTTTCATAAATGCAACCTTTAGATGACCATGGATTACATTGTTGAATTAACAAAAGCTTAACTATATCCTTTTATTTATTCACTAAAGCATAATATAGTGGTGTTTTATAATTTACATCTTTTGCATCAGGATACGTCCCATAAGATAATAAAATTTCTGCTATAGCCATATATCCCTTTCTTGAACAGATATGGAGAGCAGTTTAGAAGTATTCATTTACATCAAACGCATAGAATCTACATTTTTCTAACATTAATTTAACTAAATCTAAATCATTTTTGCCTATTGCTTTGAAGAATACATATGATCCTTCTCTTTGATATGGTTTCAATTTTATAATTTCATTGTTTTTTAATATTATCTCTGGGTGCAATTTCATAAATTTTAGTTTCCTTATACAAAATAATAATAGGCTCTTCATTTTTTCTAAGTTTGTTTAAGTTGATATGCTGATATTGCACTCAGTTTTTCTCACCTTTGTGGGATCTTTTTTTGTTTTTATTGCAAAATCCCAATATTTATAAGATTGTTTAAGTAATTCTGAATAATCATCCTTTTCCTAATTCTTGAAGGACAAATCAGAATCAGCAAAGTCTTCAAAAAAATTTGTTTGAGTTTTTATCTATCTCTCAATAGAGTCAGATTATTTAGTTAATTTTCTTTGAAGATTAAAGTCATCCATTTTTTATGATAATCTTTAAAGGTTAACACTTTTTCTGGATAAATAATTTTAAATTTTATCCTATAACTATTGATCCTTATTGATATTCTAAGATTTTTTATTCTTTTATTGTGTGTGATCTTATTAGGAATTTTTCATTTGATTATTATTAGTACTGGAACCCTTAAAATAAAGTGGCTCTTACTCTAATGCTTCTAATACTTTTTTTTTCATCTATCTCTAGCGAAACGATTTCTAATATTACAGTAACAAATCTTCAAAGTTAGTAACTTTTACTTATTTTCTCATCAGCTTTTTGTCTTGTATAATAAATTACTTAACCTTTTCATTTAATTCATTACCTGAATTCTTTTCTTTGATCTATTTTCTTCATATAATTACATTAAAATCAATATATTTTTACACATCTTCATTGGAACATTCCTAGCACCTATCCAACGTCATTCTTCTTTATTTTTGTTTCTTCTCCTAACAATTGTTTGTTTCATGAAATGAGTTACTTACGGTTTTAAATCTTTAATATTAAAAAAATTCAGCTTTCTTTTTAATTTAGAATGACTTTTCTTGATTTCCAACATAATATTTATATTGTTGAGTTTCTATTTATATTGGCTAATAATTCATAATAATAATTATACAAAATATTTATTAACATTTAATTTATCTTAAACCCAAGACAATTATAAACAATTCAAACACCAAACACTTAATTATTTATAAATATTATATATAAATTAAGAAATTGATATACTCTTCTAAAATATTATGTCATACCCAGTCTTACAGTTACTTTTTATCCATTTAAACTTTAAAAGTTAAAATTAGTTTGTTATAAACAGAAAAATAAATTAAAATAAAATTGGAAATCCGTTTTCAACTTCATCAGCTGGGGAATACCAAGAGATCTCTAAGTGTATTTTTCATGATGAAGATGATAAATATATACAATTTATGGCCTATTTTCAAGATTAAGTTAAACTTAGATCTCAAAATTTAAGAAAGCAAGCCTAATATTTAAGTTTGAAACAATTATCAAGCTAGATTATTCTAATTGTAATTTCCTTCTTCAAATCCAGTTACTTTAGAAAGAAAGGTAGTAATGTTTTGCATTTAAAAGATATGAGTATTTTGTAATAATTTAGATTTAGTAATATACATGATATAGGGCAACATTATCAAATTATATATCTTATTTAATATTGTAAACGATTATAAGGAGTACAATAGAAAGATTAGAATATTCATTTAATATAATTAGTATATACAAAATTATAAATTCATCACAACACTATTTTATTTATGTTTAAAATATGAATATATATAATATATATAATAAATTTCAAATATTTCTCAATCATCACTCATTAATAGACAAGTACCACTGAGAATCCATTTAGATACGTCTGAATCTTCATTTTCCATATTAAGATTTGCTGTAAATACAAATGTTGGTCCTCTCATTGATGTTACATAAACTGGACATTAGTATTATCCAATCTTCTTCTTTTTATCTGCTGTCACAGCGATCACATTAACAACTGGTAACTTTGGATGTAATTCCTTCTATTTCTATTCAATCAAATATCCTTCTTATCCTTAACCACCTAATTCCCATGCAGCTCCTTCCAAATACAAACCATGAATATAAGCACCATTCTCAGCTGAAACAGTAACTTCTTCATGTCCTTTGATTGCTGTCACATTTGTTTACAAGACCATCTAAATAATATAAATAATAATATCTTACATCATCTAAAGGTAATCCTTATTCTCTGGCAGTCTTCTACATGATAGCAGTCAAAAATGACATAGGATTGAACAAATAACTAATACACAATGAAACTGGTGTGACCATCTCTTATGTCCATACTGCTAATTAGTTGGTTCTTTCAATTAAATCATTGAACCAGGCAGCCAAACCCTTTCTTGAAAAATAGGCAAACTTCTCCCAACTGGCAGGGACTTTATTGAATTGTAATGATAGAGATAAGGCTTCCATTTAATCTGTGATATTCAAAGCACCAGTTAAACCAAGTCTAAGATCTTCAAGTGATCTTCTGATTTCACCTAATAAAATGTTCATTCTTTCGCATTCTTATAGACACACAATTTGATCAGGTGTCTTTTCTGATGCCTTAGCAGTGACATCCATTAAATTAGTATCAGCAGGAGTTGTGGATTTTAATAATGTCAATTAAGTCATAACTCCATCATCTTTTTTACCTGCACCACCACTGCTTGATCCTCCTTGAACATCCAAGATGGTACTGAATAATGTTTCACATTATTATGTCAAATAACCAATTTCTGCATTTGGATGCATACCAAACATTTATGGAGATTCAATTGGTAATTTCTTTTCAATGTATTCCTTATATTGTTCATATTCGAATTTTGAAGGATCTGGTGATTTAAATCCTGGACCCAAACTGAAATTTGGTTGTAATAATTCTGGTTTAATTAAGACTTTCAAATAAGTAGCATTGGTTCTTCTGTCCCAATCATCTGTAATGTGTCCACCATACATAATTTCACCGAAGATATATTTCAAATCATCCCAAGGCACAACATCATATTTGGACAAATAATTATACAAGACATTAGCACATATTGTTAGATCACCATCATTAAAATTGTAAATTCTAGACCATCCTTAAGCACCAAACTTCTTTCTACCCAAGACCAAGGAATGGAAATGGCACAAAGCAAACAAACATGCTTTGAATTCTTATGGTTTCTTTTAGCATTTGTTTAAGAATTCTTAATCAAAGTGAGCATAGGCTCTTCTGAGATTAGCCTTTAAATCTTAAGGTGCTTCATTAGCAACCTTAACTGATGCTTATAGAATAGATTCTGGAATAATCTTCATTTCAGGTAGAGGAGGAGGCTCTGATGAAATGAAAACTCTGAAGTTTGGATGATGTTTGGCATAAACAGTTTCAAGATATCCTTCCAAACCATTAAGACCTGTCAACCAATTTTACATTAAATGTACATTTTGTAACATAATCCAATGTCCTTAAACAGCACAATCTAATAAAGCTTTTCTAGCAATTTCTTCTTGACCTTGACCCATAGAGATGTTGATGAATTTGCCATTAAATGATGTAATATCATATTAAGCAGCCACTCTTTCCACTTCTGGTGTAGGATCAACTCCTGGGAACAAGACAAAGAAAATAGGTGTGGTTGGAGCCATTTCACTAAAGGTTTCAAAAATTGAGAATGGAGGTTATTCAACATACTTATCTCCCATTTCTTCAGCAACATAATTAGCCATAGCTGATGTCAATCTATCAGGTCTCATTGTTCTTAATAACAGTAATCTATGGAATTTCTTAAGATGACTGAATGCCTTAGGTAGATCACTGATTTCAGCCTTTTCTTCATTATACCATTTCTTCCATTAGAGATTGTCAACTTCTAAACTTTATCCAAGACCATTAAATTCAGGGATTGATTCCAAGGCTTTGCAGCATGCCCAAATTGTATCATTCAAGAATGATTTCAATGATTCAGGCATAGGAGGAGGATTTAATTCAATTTTACCAATAATCAAATGGTCAACCTATTCCTTTGGTAATTTTCCAGCTTTCAAATTGATTCTCAACGTAAGCATTGTTGATACAATCAACTTGTGTCTTTCGAACAGTCCTCTTCTGGCATATTAGAAAGATGTATATGTAATACTTTCAATCAATTAATTGACTCTCTTTCTCAAAGATTATGGTGTGAGTTGATCATCATCAGCAGATCTCTTTTATTCTTCAGCTTATTCTTCTTTCTTTTGCTCTCCTTCTTCACCTTCCTTTGGTTCTCCTCCTTCTTCTCCTTCTCCTTATTCTCCCTCTTATTATTCACCTTACTATTGTTCACCTTATTATTATTCTTCTTATTATTATTCTTCTTGCTATTCCTCTTGTTATTATTCTCCTTCTTCTCCTTCAGCTGCTTCTTCCTCTTCTCCTTCCTTCTTCTTTCCGAGATCAATTTAAGCTGCTGCTTTCTCATCTAACATGACACCTGTTTGTACATATTTATGTTCAGAAATTAAATCAATAGCTCTATGAACAACAACCAAATAAGATTCCAATGAATATTTATAGAAAGAGTGGATCTTAGATAGATCTGTCAATAAGAAATAAATTAAGGCACCTCTAGCAGCTGCATTTCTGTATTATTCTGATGTTTCATTGATTTTAGCTTCTGTGGCCTTAGCAATTTCTACTTTTTCAGCAATTTCTGTTGAGATCTTCTTAGAGTATTCTAAATTTTCAATCAAAGCAATATCTTCCAAAATATCACCTTCAGCATTAGCTAATTTGTATAATAATTCATCTTCCAATTCTTTTAATTTAATTTTGAATGAATTTTATTGTTAGATCAATTCTACTTTCTTCTAAGCCAAATCTGGTCTTTCTCTACCAACAACCAAGGCTAATAATTAATCACTTAAACCATCTTCAGTAACAGTGAAATTGATAAGGGTAGCTTCTGCTTAGATTTCAGGAGGATAGTGTGGATTACTCAATTATGTGTGTAAAAACAATTAGAATTTGGGATGGACATCCAATTCTTAACCAGCGAATTTAATCTTCTTTTATCCTGAACTCTTGATGATAAATTGTCTTGCAATAACTGGCATCAATACAGCATCGATTCTTTCATCCATATTTTCAATTAAGCATGGATTACCAGCTTAGATAGAGAATTCAATTTATCTATTTGTGTTTTTTTATCCAATACGTAAGATCTTCATGTTATTTGAAGATTCCTTCTCTTTAATCCATTTGATTCCTTATAATTAAGGATCTATGATCAATGGATATCTTTCAGAATTAGTTAAAATGGTACCATTTTCAGTACTGACAGCATCACTTGGCAATAATTATTGATTCCATTTTGCAATAGTACTTTCATCTGTCAATAATTTCACTGGATCAGCATTATTACTAAGTGGCACCTTATTATCAATGATGAATTTCAGGAAATAGTCCTTTATCATAACATCTCTGAATCTCTTGTTGAATGGACCAGCATAAGAAACAAAGGCAGCTGAAACTAAAACATCTCCACTTAATAATTAAATTTAGCCTTCTAACATTTTAATTGCTTAATCCCAACGTTCATTTTCACTTCCCAAAGCTTTAACTAAACGATTCGCAGAATTAAGTCTCTTTTCACATTTGGCAGCTTAATCTAAGGCAGCCTATAATTGTGCCATAGCTTTATTATAATCAGCAGTCAAAACAGCTAATCTATCATTTAATTCTTTCACTTGTTCTTATACTTTAGCCAATTTTGCATTAGCATCATCTAATTATTGAATAGCTTCTTTTAGTGCTTGTCTCTTAGGTTCTACAATTTGAATGACATCATAATATTTGACAATGTTAATGACCCAATCGCATAGACCTCTAGCAGCTGATGATTTGTTAGCCATAGTTTATGCATTAAAATGCTCTAAATTCAAATAGTTTTTCTTAACAAAATCTACATTTGTTGGTGGTACTTGATTAGCATCTACAATATCTTTGAAACCCATGAGTTTATTCAACAATTCTTTTGGCTTTTGCATCATCTTTTATGCACTCTTCCAATCATAAGCTTTAGGCTTCTTTGATTTAGGATCAACTTCAATTTGTTCATTATAGAAACCAGCCAATAAGAAAATGGTAGCTGAGAAGACATCTGGCACACCAGCAGGTGGAGTAGCAAAGTTCTTAGCAACTTAGAAATCCTTTTCACTCAAACCATTCAAGGCAGCCTTGGCTTATTCAACTAATGGGATAGCAGCATCTAAATCTGCTTGGGTGGATGTCTTTTTCTATTCAACATCTTATTTGATGGTTGAACATTTGGCTTCTTCTTCTGCTGCCTTTGCATTTTCAACTTCAGCCTTAGCCTTTTCTTTACCAACTACTTCAGCGACTTGATTGGCTTCATTCTTAATTTGTTCAGCTTCTTATTGCTTTTCCTTGACTTGAATTTCAATTTCAGCCACTAAAGCTTGTGTAGATCTCAATTTGATAAGTCCATTTTCATATCTTTCCTTATTCTTTTCGAGCATTCCTTTCTTAGTCTTCAACATGAATATGTATAATTTGATCAATTCTAAGAATGATTTAGGTGTAGTATAGACATATCTTCTTTCTTATTCTAACAATTTGACTGATAAATCATTAACTAATTTGAATGAGAATGGCATAAACTTAACAATAGCTTCTCTAACTTAATCTGTTGGCACATCAATATCTTTTAAGAATTATTAAGCAACATTATAGAGAGCATCTTAAGGCCATGGTTAGAACCAATCAATGACAGTGGAGTTAACAAGAGCTGGGAATTGTCGAGCTCTTTTACGGAGAGATTCACCTACTGGTGAGAAACACAAAGTCATATGTAAATTCTATCTTACTTTATCAATAAACCATCCCCAACATGAGTCTCTTGTATCTGGTCTACCATCAGCCTTTACTTTAGGTCTAATTTGATTGATCAAAACTTCCTTTTCATCTGAATTATATAGTTCTGCCACTTCTCCTGAAGATAACAAATCATTGATGTATGTTAAGAATCTCTCATTTGTGATTTGACCTTCATTGAATAAAAACATAATAGGTTCATCTTTGACACCTGATTTCTAGTAAAGTAATTACAAATCAGTTCTTAAATCATTCATACCATAATTGCTTGAGATAGTAATCATGAACAGTGTGTATGTCATAATGAACGCAGCCAATTTGGTTAAGGATTATTTACCACTACCTCCTACTCCTACCAATAATGAATGTCCTCCAGGTGGTAACACAATTCTAGTGATTCTGCATACATGTTTAAGGGCATCTTCGAATAACACCAATCCCATATATGCAAAGTTATCATTATATTCTTTTAATGCTTCAGTTATCACTGGTTCCAATTTATCATTTGGCATCTAATCGTAAAATCTATCACCACCAATACCAGCCAAGAAGTTACAGAAGATCAGATTTTCAGGATTATCTTTTGCAAAGAATCTGCTGAAATTGAATTTGGTGAATTATTTCTTTAACAAATCAAACATCAATGCTTTGTAGGTATTAAGATTATCCATTGAGACTAATCTATCTCCATATGTTCTTTCGGATTCATGAACCCATAATCTTATCAATTTATCTGAATCAATAAATTTAGCAGGATCTGCTAATAACAATCCTTAAATAACATTCGAAATATGTCTAAGATTGAATTCATAATGGAAATTTATGGCTGTCTTTCTGAAATTCTAGATGACACTTGTATGTAATTATAAAGCAGCCTTGATAATTGCAGGTCCATTTTCAGTTACAGCTGGCTTGAATCTCTTAAGATGTCCTGATAAGAATGTGTTGTAGATTAAGAACAAACTTTCATTGTCAGGAATAGGGATTGAAACAGTCCAAAAGTGTCTTTGATATCTTGGATTAACAAAGAATGAACCAGCTGATGGATTCATAGCAGCTATTGTTTGAGTGTTGATGATATCTTTCAAACTCAATTTACTTAAATCATACCAATGGCCATAATCTGCATGTTATCTTAACAATGCAATGGCTGTTTAAGTATCATATGGATCTAATTAAGGCATATTCAAATCATCAATGAAATAGATTAATTTTCCTTTTCCTTGAGGTCCAAATTGTCTACCTGCCTTCTTTTCCAATTATTGTTCTAATTAAGCTTACAAATATGTTGAATCAGTATAATAATTGAAATTGATCAATTGATAAGTAAAATTATCTGGTTGAGCTTTCACTATATCTCTCAAAATACCCTTGGCCAATTGGGTTTTACCACATCCGGATTAACCAATCATCAAAACTGGTTGTTAAACATAAATAAATTATTTAACTAATTCACTTGTAGCCAAAGTTTCTTTAGTTGGCACTGTGATATTACCCATAACCATAGATTAAGGATCAAAATCTATATTAGATAATCTCTTAGCCCATTCATCGAATTTAACATTCTCTGAATTCTATTCAACAAAGTAATCAAATACTGTACCCTTACTTGGGAATTTCACTGAAGTCTTCCACTCTCCTTTCCACCAATTAGAGAAATCTTTACGATAATCTATGGAGTCTTTTTCAGATAAAACACCTCCTATAGCCCAAACACAACAATACACAAAATGATATTCCATATTCTTCACTTCTCCTTATAACAATGGTAATAAGGCCTTGCATAATGAGATAATCATAGAAATTGGATTGACTGGAATCAAAGTCTTACAATGTTTCTTCAAGAATAGTAAAGTTCCTTCAATATATCTATCAAATAGCTTCTGTAAATCTTATTTAAATTTATCATCATTAAAGTTATTCTTAACCCATGATTTCACGTATGCTTTCCATTAGTATCCCTTGTCATCTGAAATATATAAGATACCAGCTCTAGACACTGTGGCAGGAGTAGCAAAACGAAGATCTCTGATTTCAAAAAGCATTCTCATGTGTGGTTTCAATGGAATTCTTTCATTATTTGCCAATGTCAATATCTTATTGTCATCCATCACAGAGTTCATAGACTCAATCCAATTAGCATCTAAATCTCCATCAAGTAATATCCATTTAGGATTAACATCTTGAATTTCACTAAGAGATCTCATAACTTTTGAAACTAAACCATCCTTCCATTCCTTTGTTGGTAAATTGTAACCATACAAATCTCTAGTACTAACGACCTTTGGATCCAAATCAACCACTGTTGTCTTCTTACCAGCCTTGTCTTAAGCTTTAGCTAACATCTTCCATGTAGTTGATTTACCAGCTCCTGGTGGACCCATCACGAAAATACAATGTCTAATTTCCAATAATTCTGATGCTTGAACAATCTTCAAAATATAATCAGGGTCTGGATCCAATCTATTTTCAGCTGTGACTTATTCAATGATTCCTTCAAATGCCATGTCTCTCTTTCTTGGAATATTGATATTTGGGAATAAATCTGATAATAATCCTGAGAAAACATCCAAATCTTAGAATGCAATCTTTGGAATATTGAAATCTCTTAAGGCTCTCATCAAAAGTGCCTATTCTGCAATATTTGCTTCTGCTCTCTTGAAACCACCAGCAACGACTAAGACTGATTTAATAGCTCTAAGTCCCCAATCATAATGCAATTATTTTGATAACAAATCTCTGCATAACATATATAAAGTAACGAATTTATGTGCTAATGTCTTTGCCTCTTCAAATCCTTCAGCCATCAACATATTTTCACAAATCAATTCCAAATCTGGAACAACCACTGTAATTGGTCTAAACAATGCTTTCAATCCTTCTGGTAATTCTGCTCTTCCCAAATAACCTGGATTCATTGTAATGAACACACCACAAGTTGGATCCAAAGATATCTCACCTCCTCCTGGGAATAAAAATGTCTTTTTCTATTATTTGATAGCATCAGTGACTGCCTTAAATTAGACTGAACAGACTGATAAGACCTCTGGTAATAAACGATTAAATTCATCAAAACAACCCCAACATCCAGAACTGGCAAGTCCCTTATAGATATTACCCATAGATTCATAATTCATTTCTGAACTGCAATTGAACACATAACATGCTTTAGCCAATGCATTTGCCAAATCTTTAGTGGTTTCAGTTTTACCAGTTCCTGCAGGACCAGCAGGTGCACAACCCATCTTTAAATGCAATGCTTAAGTGGCTGTGACGTAAATACGATCTGTCAATGGTGTAATAACCAATCTTGGACCATTACNAATATCCCTTGTCATCTGAAATATATAAGATACCAGCTCTAGACACTGTGGCAGGAGTAGCAAAACGAAGATCTCTGATTTCAAAAAGCATTCTCATGTGTGGTTTCAATGGAATTCTTTCATTATTTGCCAATGTCAATATCTTATTGTCATCCATCACAGAGTTCATAGACTCAATCCAATTAGCATCTAAATCTCCATCAAGTAATATCCATTTAGGATTAACATCTTGAATTTCACTAAGAGATCTCATAACTTTTGAAACTAAACCATCCTTCCATTCCTTTGTTGGTAAATTGTAACCATACAAATCTCTAGTACTAACGACCTTTGGATCTAAATCAACCACTGTTGTCTTCTTACCAGCCTTGTCTTAAGCTTTAGCTAACATCTTCCATGTAGTAGATTTACCAGCTCCTGGTGGACCCATCACGAAAATACAATGTCTAATTTCTAATAATTCTGATGCTTGAACAATCTTCAAAATATAATCAGGGTCTGGATCCAATCTATTTTCAGCTGTGACTTATTCAATGATTCCTTCAAATGCCATGTCTCTCTTTCTTGGAATATTGATATTTGGGAATAAATCTGATAATAATCCTGAGAAAACATCCAAATCTTAGAATGCAATCTTTGGAATATTGAAATCTCTTAAGGCTCTCATCAAAAGTGCCTATTCTGCAATGTTTGCTTCTGCTCTCTTGAAACCACCAGCAACGACTAAGACAGATTTAATAGCTCTAAGTCCCCAATCATAATGCAATTATTTTGATAATAAATCTCTGCATAACATATATAAAGTAACGAATTTATGTGCTAATGTCTTTGCCTCTTCAAATCCTTCAGCCATCAACATATTTTCACAAATCAATTCTAAATCTGGAACAACCACTGTAATTGGTCTAAACAATGCTTTCAATCCTTCTGGTAATTCTGCTCTTCCCAAATAACCTGGATTCATTGTAATGAACACACCACAAGTTGGATCCAAAGATATCTCACCTCCTCCTGGGAATAAAAATGTCTTTTTCTATTATTTGATAGCATCAGTGACTGCCTTGAATTAAACTGAACAGACTGATAAGACTTCTGGTAATAAACGATTAAATTCATCAAAACAACCCCAACATCCAGAACTTGCAAGTCCCTTATAGATATTACCCATAGATTCATAATTCATTTCTGAACTGCAATTGAACACATAACATGCTTTAGCCAATGCATTTGCCAAATCTTTAGTGGTTTCAGTTTTACCAGTTCCTGCAGGACCAGCAGGTGCACAACCCATCTTTAAATGCAATGCTTAAGTGGCTGTGACGTAAATACGATCTGTCAATGGTGTAATAACCAATCTTGGACCATTACCCAAATATTCATATGAATAATTAAAAGATGCATCAGCAATTCTAATAAGAGCATCATTATTGACCCAATAGAATTTCAATTAGGATTGCCATTAAAATTCATCTGGTTTTCGAACATGTTCATCAATCAATTTACCAATAGTATCTCTGGAGTGAGCATCCATAGTAATCAAACACATCAACTTTTATCTTAATGATTTAGTTAAATCTCCTCTAACGAATCTAATTAACTCAGTAAGAGCTTCAACACTTCTCTTAAAATAATCTTTAAGTGCATTCATATCCCCATTCGCTATTTTTGCAAATGCTTCTTCTACTTGAACTGACCACATAATGTTATTGACTAATAAAGCAATTTAAGCTGGATCTTAGTCAATCCAAGTTTTTCTATCCATTTATAATTGGCATGTTTTAGAATCATAGCATCCAAATGATTTCTTGGCTAATTCTCTGAGAGTATCAATCATAGAATCAATCATGGCCTATAAATAGATTTCGACTTTATTTAACAATTACAATGGTTTAACTAATGATACTTCTTCTTGGCCAACACATGTAATCATCTTTTTAGCAAATGGTCTTTCATTATCATTTTCTTATAATTCTAATTTATCAATGGCTTAGAATATCTTTGACATATGTCTGTTAATTTTAGCAGGTGAATTACCATTTGAAAGGATATCCAATAGGTCATTGACACTAACGAAATAGAATCTTGGGAATGCTCTTCTTTTAGAATCCAAAAATTCGTTCAATGCTTTCTCACAGACTTTCAAATCAGCTTATATTTTTTCTAATGATTTCAACATATTTGGTTATGTACAGAACTTCAAGATAATCTTAATTTAGCAACCAGATTCCATAATTTCTTTCATATTTTTATCAATTCCAACAAATTATTCTGATTCCTTAGGTAATTCCTTTTTGACTTCTTCTGATTGAATAAATAAGTTTTCTAAGAAGGACCATGTCTTTTGTACTTCTGATAATAATTAAATAACATCATAAATTGCTCCCAAATCTTATTTCCATTTTTCAACATCCTTTTCAAAGAATTTCACATATTTACTCAATAACATATTGTTAATCTATAATTAATGTTCTTCCAAGGTTTCAAAATGTTCATCTAACATTTTCAATGTCCTGATATCAGTATCTTTGTGTTTCAATAATTCAAATTGTACATCCTTCCAGAATGTATCTACCTTGATAATACCCTTCTCCATTTTTAATTCTTATTTTGCTTATTCAGAGATATCTTCAATTTTTTCTCTAAAATCGAAAAGTTTAAGATTCCAAATAACATCTAATTCCATATCATCTCCTATTGCAAAGTCTTGGTTAACAACAACCTTGACTTCTTTCCAATGTCTGCTATCAGTTGTATTCATAGCTGGATCTTTTAATTCAGTCAATAAAGGAATGAAAGTACCCCATTTACGTAAATCTTCATTAATACCAGTGAATACATTTGATCTTTTATCAATACCCTTCATATCAATTAAGAATTTACGAAGTTTTTTCACTTCATCTTCCATATCATTAGGATCTATGGTTGCCCATTTATATCTCTTGTAATCTGAGAATTTTTATTCACATTTCTTAATGTGTTCCCATAATAATTATACAGCAGCTACTTCTTATTTAATAGCATCTAAATTTTTTTAACAACCAACAACTTCATCTGGGAAGTTGAACATTTTAGAATAATATTCATAATTTTAAAGTGTTTTTGTGAATTTATCAATTTAAGCTTGGACTTCAGCAAATCTTTCTTATGAATCTTTAATACCTGTTTTATATTAATAAAATGTCTCTTTTTTAAGACTTTGTAAATATTCTTTTAATTGTTCTTCAAATTTCTTAATCTTTTCTTTAGTCTTATCAGCCTCTTATTTAACTGGACCACTTATGTCTTTTTCAACTGTTTGTGAAATCTTTAACAAATTTTTCCATTCTTCTTACATCTTGTTCACTTTTTTGATTTCTGTTTCTTTTTTCATATCATGTTTTTCTAAAGTTCTTAATATTTATTCATTTTCATCTAATAACAAAAGAATGTTTTCTTTTTCATCTGAAATCTTTTTAAGATTCTCCATAACTTCTAATAAACTATTGACATCCTCTTATATATTCTTATCTTTAATATTAATATTATCTCTGGAGGTGTCAATAAGTTTATTAATTTCTTCATTCTTGTTAGTGACATAATTAACTAATTATGAACCTGTGTATTGGTTATTCTTATGACCAACACCATCTAAAAATTATGCTTTTTTAGGAGCACCTCTAATTTCATTAAATTCACCTCTTTCATTCTTTAATTTAACATTAACAATAACTTCACATGGTTCTTCAATTTAATATTTAACAATATAAGATCCATCATCATTATCGTGAATGGAATATTTGATATTGGCTTTTTCTTCTAATAATTACAATCTAGATTTTTCTTAAGGTACCTCTTCTTCAACTTCTTCATATTCAGATTCTTAATTTTCACCTTCTTCTCCTTCTTGTTGTTACTTAACCTTCTTTCTCTTAACAATTCTTTTCTTGTGAGATTCTTATTCAATTCTTTCTCTCTCTTCAGGGTCCATCTATTCTAATTATTATAATCTAATTGATTCTCTTTATCTTTCCTCTTCCAATTCTGCTAAAACATCAGGTCTAGTGATTTCAATTTAAAATTCATCAGCACCACTTTCTCTATTTTAATTATTTAAATTTCTTGTTTGAATGTAGAACATAGTATCATTTTTTATTGCATTTTCTCTCAACACTCCTGGTCCGAACATTAATGTTTTTTCAGCCTTTGAGTTTAAGAAATAGGAATAAAATTGACTCATAATAGTGAAATCTTATTTATCCACACTAACTTTAACTTCAGATTTTCTAGCTCCATGTTTTTCATATGAAGGCGTTTCACAAGTTAATTCAGTTGGACTAACATATACTCCTGGAACATCCTCTTAAGCTTTTCCTGAAAAGAATCTGACGATAATATTTTATGAATCTCTGAATCCATCTCCTGTAATAGACACTTTGGTTTTTCCTGTTAATGGACCCAAACATGGTTTAATTGAATAGATAGCATATGGAGGTCCAACAATTGATGAGACATTCAATGCATACATATCATTCATCCAAGCATTTGACCATCCACCAAACATCATAATTCTAGAATCTTATGGATCATAAATTAAAGTAGTTGATTCTCTAGTCTTGGGTTTGACTGGTTTTTCTTCTTCTAATTAGACAGGTGACCATTTCTTAGCATCTACATCCAATACAAAAGTATCATCTACTAATCTACTTGCTGTTCTGTTACCACCTTCTTCAAAGTTACCAACTTGTCCACCAAAAATGAAATATTTCCAAGATGGAATAGATGGCACCATAATTCCTGCCATGTTCCACTTAGGTATTTCATGTGATATTTCTGGATCTACCCAACTATTGTTATTAATATCATAAATGATGACATTTTAAAATTACGAAATTTGATTCCATCCGCCAAAAATCAT